ATGTTCCTGCCAACCCTCGTAGTTCTCACAGATGAAGGATCACGGCCCTGATCACCTCCCCTACCCTCTGCAACTACCTTACGCCTCTGTTTTTTCTGTATAGGCTTTGTAGTAGGCTCTAAAGCCTTCCTCTTTCCCTTTTGGGAAGTTTATATAGGCTTTTTAGTGTTTTGTTTCTCTTTTTCTTTACGTTGGCGTGCAGCCTGTTTCTCAGCCATAATCCTCTCCTTTTCTTCTCGCCTTTAAATCCTTAACCTTGCTCTTTCTTCTTTCTCTTGAAGTTGATGTACCTTTTTTGAGGCCTTTTCTGCCTTCTTATGAGCTTTTTTAAGTTGTTGCTTCTCAGCTTCTTGGTCTTTGATCCTTTGGCGGAACTGGGCCTCCCTCACTTTAGATGGGGACCAGAATACAGCGCCCCTGCGGTACTCCTGGCGTTGCTGTAGGTCTAGGGGCTTGCTTTTCTTCTCGTGTTTCTTCTTAGAAAGTAGAGCCTTTGATAAGCCTTCTACTTCTATGTGGAGTAGCTCATTTTGGATTAATATATGGTGGAGTGAGCGGCTCAGCTTTTGAGCCTCTCTACTACTCTAGTCCTTTACTTCTGATCGTATTAGGCTATGCAATTTGAGCCAATCCTCTCCACTAAGGACTGAGCTAGAGTTCTCTCTCTCTTCTTGCTCTAGTGTTGATTTCTTGAACCGTTTAAGTATAATCTCTAGGCTAAGAGTTATTATTCCAGTTGCTTGGAAAGACCTCAGGATTGTTTTTTCTTGAAAGGAGCAGGTCCAGGCTTCCCAAAATAGTGGGAAGAAGTCTCCTTTCTTAACTGGTAACAGTCCTTGGGCGTTGTGGAGGTATTTTGTGAGCTGTTTTGAATAGGCAGACGATAGAGGCTTGAACATCACCACATCTAGTGGCTGTAACGTGTGGGTTGAATGAGGGGGGAATATTAGGAGGAGAATTCGATTCTGATCACAGAACTCGATGAAATCCATAGTGATGTGGGATCCATGGCCGTCAAGGATCAATAGCCGATAGGATTGTCGTGATTTCTGCTTAGTGTATTGATTAAACACCTGTTCAAGCCACGCTAGGCTAATATCATTATTGGTCCAGCCAGAGGGAGATAAGCTGACGTGAACTTGGTGTTTTCCAGCCTAAATTCCATCTACCCAAGAAGCTTGAAGGGCTGAATTTGCAGAGGCAAAGATTAGAGCAGGAGGGAGAGCTAATCCATCACTACAAACACATGCTTGTAGTGTTATCCACTCTCTATTACCATCTTAAAGGGCTGCTATAACTTCCTTTCGGTCCCACATTGCTTTACTGAAGATCCTTTTACTTCTTCCAATCACCCCAATAAGGAAGCCTTTCTCATCCATATTGTACGTGTGACGTGGCTCTATATCGTATTTCTCAATAACCTCTATCAGAAGTTGAAAGAATAGTTGATATTTATCCTCTGAATCAGCATGGTGGCGATCGCGATCCATTCCAGTACTCCATCGGGGGGTAATAGAGATCCCATGGCGGGTGAGAAATCGGGTAACCCAGCTCTCGCTCACTGGCTCCTTTGCTATAGCTGACGCGAAATTTTGTACCATCTCCCTTGTAGGTGGTAGCCGACGAGCTGTAAGCTGTTCTATATAGCTTACAAGCTCTAGCTCTTGTTGCGGAGTGAGCTTTTGTGTGTTGGCGTGCTGGGTAGCAGATGAGGCTGTTTCACCCTTATGCCGGCGCGTCAACGTTGAGCGTACAACACCATATTTTTTTGCTATTGCAGTGTACGTAAAAGTTTCGCCTGGTCCTAGGGAGTTGATTTCTTCAATCGCTTCGTTGATTGGATCCATATTGGTTGAGTTATGAGGTTGTGAAGATTGCGCGATTTTTCTGAGATCGCGCATCTGGCGAAACCGCGCATCGCGTGCACGGACACGGTATGCAAGCTCACGATAACGCAGGTCACAACAGCCAAAGAGCAAGAACTTCGTGTTACATTTCCGTGCCGCTTAATATTGACTATCCTTGATTAGGGTTGCAGAAATCGTCATCGAACCCAGATCCTGCTTTTTGGTTTTAGCGGGGTCCAAAGCGCGAATCTGCCTCGGCTCGGATACTGTGACAGTACTGAGGTTGTTTGAGGTTGATAGGGAATACGCAAGCTGAAGTACGTAAGCCTCCGAGGCATCCGGGTCTCTAGGGCACCTATGAGCAAGTATAAAAGCAGTCTTAAGTATCAACTTTCATAGATCAATACAGTCCTTCATAGCTTCCTGCTACCGCTACAGATACAGCTAGTCGTACCAGTATGAACCGGACGTGTGTCCGGCTGTATCCTGCTGCGAACAGCGTACTTGAAAATTGCCGTTCCCAGTATGCAACTCATTCGACGCTGTACGCCATAGTGAAACTACTTTCCGCATGCAAGCAAGAGCAATTGCCCGCTTCTTGGCGTGACGGAAACGGAATCAGACTCGTGATCCATGACCTAGAAAAGGCCCGCATTGTCTCTGTGTCGTTGTTGCCTGATTTCTGGCGCCAATTGCGGTCCGACTGTCATTCGTCAATTATAAACAGCTGTTGTAACACAGATAGTCCCACCAACACTTGGGACTCTATTTTCTATTTCAGAACGGACTTCTGGATCCATCCATCAATCCACAACGACATACAAGGGGATTGTGCTTTGACCATGGTGGTGAGTGCATCACTATCGCAGCTTATGTGCAGCAGTAGTTACTGAGGAATTCTGAACAGACTATCCCTATGACCACATCGAGTACTCCTGCGTATCCGTCACGATGTCGAAGATGCGATTCCCGTGTCACACTGATGTTCACGAGAAGCAACAATCGAATTGGAAATGCAGGTCGTCCATATTACAAATGTCTCACCTGCACAAAATTCCTTTGCTTCGCTGATAGCCGCGGACTCGATCCGAGTAATCCTCTCTGCTCTTGCGGTATCCCAAGTCGGAGGCAAATTTCCGGACCGGCGAGGTGTGTACCACGGGGACTCCATTACGTATGTAGTCAGGGTGGCTGCTCTTTCTATTCTCCGATGCACGGTGACTACGGGCAAATCAGTCTTGACGAGGAAATAGCCAGTCTATTCATCCAATTGAGTTTTATTTGATGAGACAGGCGTCCTGGAAGAGCTCAGAGCTCACTCGTTCCTTTTGGGACGGCATTCGGTTAGAAGAGAATTGATTTGTTCTTTAGGAAGAGTGGTGCTCCTAGACAGTCACCCGTGTCACTCATTTTCCGGTAACTAGTAGAGTGGTGCAAATGTCGATACCCGTCAATTACGTGCCTCCGACCATAACAGGCAGTTGTTAAAGGTAGTACGGTGCCAGTACAAGTCACGTTACCGTCCCGTCCTATTTCTCAAAGGAATTGCGGAAATTCGTATTTTAAAACTTCCACTCCAAGTCGCCCACCAGCCACTCATAGTCGTCACTGTTCGGTGCTTCTGTAACATGAGACCTACTTCCATTCATCAAAGCTTGGACGCAGGAAGAAATGGAAGCCTACGCTGCTCTTTCGCTTTCGACTCGAACGAATCAAGATAGTGTTCACGACAAGCCTGCGTAGTAGGATGATGGCTCCCAAGGGTAGCGGAGAACCCCGTGCATGCCCTCTGGTACAGTGATGAGGACTCGCTGATACGATGTCGTTGAGCAAGGAGACGAGCGAGGCAGTATACGCTCGTTAGCGTGTCAGGATGCTCTCGCCCAAGTATCTTCTCTCTTTCTTCTAGGGCTCGACGTTGCATCGCCTCCGCCTCTTCGTACTTTCCCTGCTTCTCCAGCACCGACCCAAGCTGGCTGGCGCTGGTGAGCGTATCTGGATGCTTTCTCCCAAGCACCTTCTCTCTTCCTTCCAGCGCTCGACGTTGCATCGCCTCCGCCTCTTCGTACTTTCCCTGACCCGACAGCACCGACCCAAGGTTACTGACGCTGGTGAGCATGTCGGGATGCTCTCGCCCAAGCACCTTCTCCGATCCTTCTAGCGCCCAACGTTGCATTGCCTCTGCCTCTTCGTACTTTCCCTGGCCCGACAGCACCGACCCAAGGTTACTGACGCTGGTGAGCATGTCAGGATGCTCTCGCCCAAGCACCTTCTCATATCCTTCTAGCGCCCGACGTTGCATCGCCTCTGCCTCTTCGTACTTTCCCTGGCTCGACAGAACCGACCCAAGGTTACTAACACTGGTGAGCGTGTCGGGATGCTCTCGCCCGAGCAAACCCTTCCTTAAGGACCATGCTTTCTGGAGCGCTAGTTCTGCTGGAGCATATTGCCCATTGCTTTCTCGACATAGCCCTATTCGTTCTAAGAGCCTAGCACTAGTCGCAACATCCAAGGCATCCTCTATTCCTACCACGTGCAATGCATGAGGCAGATACGCCACCTATATCTCTCTTTTCTCATGTCCGCCATACGGCACGAGTTCCTTGACCCGGGCCGCTGCTATACCTACCCAGGCTTTACGTTGACTATATCCCTCTAGCTACTAGATTAACGCCATATGCACAAGCCGATACATATCAAAAAATCTCTCTTTATTAGCTCCTAGGATAGTCTCCTGACGCTCAGTAAGAAATGCGTATCCTGTTATAGTGCTAAGCGCGTTTATATGCTGTAACTGAGATGTTGCTGGTGGTAAGAGTGACTGAGGAATGTTAATACGATCAACGCATAATATGAATGAAAGATACTCTGCTATAAGAGGGTCTTGCCTTTGGATTTGCTTAAAGGAGATATACTACGTCTTTGCAACCGTGCTATCCATCCCTAAGTATCTGCTAGCATCTTTGAAGCGCTCACTAAAGAGCTCAGCTTTTGTGCTAGTATGTTATAACAACGACAAATAGTTAGATATAGATATGTCGTTTTTATTTATAAAAGCGGTCGCCTGTATAATAGCAAGTGGCAAACGAGTAAGAGACTTAAGTAATTCATCGACTACCGCCCTATCATTTAGTAGCGCTTGTCTTAATATTTGTCGCGCAAGTAGCTGCTGAGCCTTACTTTGGCCCAGGCTATCTAGCTTAAGAATGTGGGTCTGGGTTAGTTCGGTGGCCACCTTTCTACTGCGAGTGGTGAAAAGGACCGAACCAGTATTACTATATGGAATGTAGTCAACTAGTCGGGCTGACTGTGCATTGCTGTTAGAGTCGAATAATAACCTGGGATCATCAGCGTTGTCCACGATTATTAGCCAGTCGTCTAATTGACGTAATGCCTCCTTCACGAGCTGCTTAACATTTGCATCGTTATTATTAACTCCTGGTATACGGAGGCGGGTGCCCATTTCTTAGAAGGCAAGGTCGAAGCTTTCTTGGCTCATAGCAGGCACCTAAAAGACCAAACGTCTTACATGTCTTGTTAGTGCGCGATATGTAAACTCGAGCGCAAGTACTAATTTACCGCAGCTACCTAGTCCGTATATAGTTATGCGCCGGTGGGTATCAGATATGAAGAGGATTTGTTCGATCGCCTGAAGCTGGCTCTCTCAGCCAATAAAGAGCTCGTTGCGGGGGAGTGGTAGTGACGAAGAAACTACGTGTGTTTAGCCGAGTATGTAGGAGTGCTGCCGCAGTTAGGGAGAGACACACTGGGAATGTCCTGCAGATCCGTCTTTCCTTGCCCCTGCTGGCGCTTCTGTATCTCATCCTTCAATCGCGAAGTTGCATATTCCACTCCTTCACCATAGATAAGTGGCAAGAAAACGCCAAAGATCCTAAGCAAGCAGAACACTTTGTCTTCCTTCACTGTAGTAGTGCGCTTTGCTACCCATTTCAATCGCTCGTCTACGCTAAAGTTGGAGAGCTTTGGATCACGTAGCGCCTTTACAGGAATGCCGGTGACATCTTGTATTTCCAGCTCCAGTGAGACTCTGGTGCCTAGGCACCTACTATTCTGTGAGAAGAACTCGAGGCTAGGTGGTGCGAGCAGCTCTTGCAGTGTCCAGCCTCGCGTGAACCACCGGCTACGCTGAAAAGATTTTTCCTACAGTTTGCGGAATGCTTGGGCGTTAATAACTTCATCTGGTATGGAAATATTAGATAAGTATACATAGCACTTAGTCGCGCACTTATACTAGTGGAATATGGAGTTAATCGCCGTGCTCAGCTCATCGCTCCTAGACTTGTCGATGCAGCAGGTGTCGACCCAGAAGTATTCAAGGCCATCTGCTGCAGCGCGGTCGCCACAGAAGCGGATCTTGGTATATCCATCCTTTCGTGCCCGTTCCTGCCAACAGCTCGGCGTATGTGACTTCCTGGCCCTCTATACAGGTGTACGAGAGGATGGCGTACGGAGGGATGGAGTCATCGTCAAAAGAGGTTAGTCCAAAGCCGCCGTCCGGGACGCTCTTCAAAAGGCGCATGGCGACCCCTCATGCTCTGGGGAGGAGAGCCTGCGGGCTGGATCGTAGCGGAGACAAGCGGAGAGATCGAAAAGCGCGGAGGGGCAGGCGATCTCTTTCGAAGTAAATAACGCATGTGCTGTGAGGCACAGTTAGCAGGCTGAGGACTGGGGGCTATTCGCAGATGATTATCGCCACGTGATGTCGCCACGAGATCCTGCGGAGCATGAAGCTGACAAACACATCATCTAACGTTAACGTGTTCCACCACTCATCCGCCAGCACCACTCATCCGCCACCCCACCAGAACGCGCGACACCTTAGCACCGATATCTCGACAATAATAGGGTATTTTGTATAAAATTTTGTACAGAGATAGTTTATAGCTGTCTACACTAATTTCGCTTGTGTCCTTGCTCATGGCACTTGCTGTACGTGGGTGGTGCGCGCTGGCGCGCCGGAGTAGGTCCACCCTCAGCACCCTCAGCACCCTCAGCAAGAGCTAGATGAGCTACAGTAGCTAGAGCGCGCCCTTGCTCAGCCTGTAGAGCACCTCCTGTAGCAATATACTGTCTCCGCCTATCCTGCCTTTGTCTACGGCGATGGTTAGCTGCCCGTAGCCTCCTATTCTCCTCTGCTAGGATCGTTGCTGAGTTCATCGCTAGCTGACAGCTCTTGACAATCTAGGCGATAGCTCGGCTTGTAGGACTCTGATGGTGGGAGGCTGGCGAAATATCTTTGGGCGTGTTTGCGGTATGTAATCAAGAATTCCGAATGACGGGCATGGATGGCGAGTCCGGGTACATCCTGGGAAGTTTGAACAAGATTTCTCAGAGGACATGGATGGGATGCAAGAAGGTTGATCAAAGTTCCACTGAACATTAGCCTATAGTAGCATCAACTTAGGTGGTGTTTACCATCGGTCAGCATACTTCGGAGCTTTGAGTATCCACACAAGTCCGCAACATATTCTGATTCGGAAGACAAGTTCATTTTAAGCGAGAGTGGAATTTCATTCTTTTGCTTTATTTTATCTTCTTTCTGAAAGGCAGTGACTCGATTCAAGGATCGTGTGCACCAAGACTAGCATTATTATTGTGAACGCCCAATACGACTCGCTTAAACATCCATTATCGCAAGCTCTTACATCATTGTCCACTATGGTCTGCGCTTGGTTGGAGGATAGGTGAAAACCGGACCGCTATACCTGCCGTCGATTTCGTGTGTGATGGTAGCCATAGTCTGGCCCGCTTTGGCGGTGGTGAAGTCAATTTTCGCAATCGCACCGAGGGTCGTGACATCAACCACGTCACCGGCATGAAAATCTCCTGTAGACACGTAGTAGGTTACCACCGGTGTGACTTCGTATGTCTGTCTGGGTTTGGCTGTCCAGACGGCCACAGGAACCACATTGCCCGTATCATCATACTTTCCGTACCCGCAGTAACCGTTCCCTGGTGAGATGTGTCAACAATGCATATGGATATATGACAGGTGCAACCCACGGTACTGCTCAGGATTGAAGGCATCGGTAACAATGCCGAACAAGTTGGCGAGATCAACGCTACTGTATGGTGGGGTGAAAGCCGGTGTGTCGCCAACAATCTTCATGACTGGAGCAGTTCCTTGGATGCTTTCAGCCGTCAAGGACACACTTGCGTAATCACTCTCCTTGACTGAAACGCCATGTCCGAGTGGTGTGGGGGTTGTGCCACAGACGGCAAAAATTTTCGATCTCGATGGTGAGATTTTGGGTGCCATTCGGAGTTGGTGTACCGCCAGTCTTCATCCATATATTAGACCACGCCTTTCCGACATTCTTAGAAGCCTTTGGTGGGTCATTGAATATCAGATAACGTTGGCTATCTTGGCTTTTGTTTTTGATGATAATAGAATACTTGGTCGACATGATGTAGGATACACTCTGACTCTGAGAACAGTGCTTGATGAATTGATAGATAGAAGGAGAGTGTGATTCTTGCGATGATATAGAGGGTATTTCAACGGCTATATATATTTCTAAACAGTAAACTAGCTTTGAGTCTTGTCCTACATGTGAAAGGGAAGTAAATATCTAGCTGCTGCATTATTGATGCATTCTCCGCGATCACGCCACCGTCGAAGCTCGCCGATTCGAAAGTTCTGTGTTGGCCTACCCTCGCAACCCTAGTCAATTTCTAATTTCAGCATTCACCTTTTGCTCAGCCTACAACCCATAACAAGGGCATACTGAGTTCGGGCCAGCTAGTTTCAGGGTTCATGTCCACACTCGGAAAGCCCTCAAGCGAAGAACCAAATATTGAACCCAGGATACCGGTTGCAGCCGCTACCTTGATAGATCTGCCGCGTATCTGGAGATGTAAAACAACTGGGAGTATTTAGAGGTGTGGTGGTGTGACGATTTTAGGACCGTAGGTATCGTGCAATGGAAAATATTGAAGGTTCACTGAAGTTGTATTACTGTGATTCTAACTGAACTATATAGCCGTAGTGAGGCGATCGTCAGGGGAGTTGGCCTATTCAGAGTTTCCTGATTCAGTAGCTGAATTATAACGATTGTCGCGATCCTCAGGATTCCATGAGGACTCGGTCCGAATAGGATCGATAGTAACGTAGATTGAACTGCGACAGGTAGTCTTCATCAGCATGTAACGATGACATGATTCGTTTGGAATGGAAAATAGAGAACCATTACCCGTCGTGTCTTATGCAAGACCTCCATTGCTCTGATTAAGTCGGGTCACTTCCCTTTCGTCTCTTCCTGGTCAAACGAAACAAAGAAGTTTCCTATGCGAATAATCGATACCTTTCCCTGGCTAGCGAACACCTATATCTGATGACGTGATCGCGGCCAGGTCCAAGCCCCATCAAGACCAGCAAAGAGGAGGGTAATGCCTCTCATTGGGTTTGGCTTTGTGGAGATTCTGGGAATTGGCAGCGGAGGTCATCGTGGCTGAGCTTATAGGAAAGGTCTGTACGGACCGGTCAGGAGATATGTACCGCAAAATAAAACCTTGATATGGATGGTACCCTAACTTAGAATATTGAAAAGCGAGGTCAATACAAGGCTACACCACGGAAGCTGGAGCCAGTTATCTCTAATTAGCGCACTTGTCGATCAGTTGTCACGATTTTATGATCGTTGAACGCCAATGTGACGTACACATCACAGATATAATTTGCCACTATAAGCTTAGCTCACTCCCAAAGCCAAATGACATATGAAATAAAGACGGTGAAGATACTTCCACGCGTAGCTCTAGCGTAAGTTTGAGGGTAGATCACGTGATTGGTATCTACTAATGACTTGTACGTGCTGGTTTATGAGGTGTTGAATTAATTGGGAGGTAGGGGTTCTTCCTTAGGGTGTTTGATAGAACCAAATATTGCGTAGACATCGTTGGTAACACGCTCATCGTTGGCGCATATCATCTCCTGCAAAACCCCGACGTGCAGTAGAGCCAAGGCCCTAGAGAGTCTACTGTATCTAAAGGTGTAATCAAGGACTATTTGTGCCTATGCTCGTAACCCTAAAAGCTATAACTGAGAATATGGACTATCTAGTCTAATGTGCAAAGCGGAAGACAGTTATAATTTGCTAAATAGTAAAAATCAAGAGTCTAGGATAACCGTTTGCCATTCCCCCCTCTTAACTTGTTAGATACATTTCTATTTGTCAAGTGCATGGATGGCAAAGCTGTTTAAGAAAGTCGCGTTATCTATCACCATAACAATTAGGAACAAGCACGACTTTTATGATATTAGTAGCGCCGTTTGCGGACTAAGGGTCTGATCGTGCGTGAATGATGTTGATATTCGGTTTGTTAAAACACCCCAGACCAAGACTAGAGCATTCTAATTCAATGAGGTCAGAGGCGATACCGCCGTCCTGCCTCCTAATATTCACGCTATTCTTATGACACGATCTGTTGCGCAAACGGGAGCAGAGACGATGACGCGGCGATCACCCTTGCCCTAGCCTCCTCAAGAAAGAAAAAACCGACTCTAATGTCACTATACTGTGCAAGTAGTAGTGACGGCCAGGTTGAGCATAAGTCTAAACACCCTTTCCGATGACCTTTGGCGCTATCGACGCCAGTAAGGGCCACCATCTCGTCTATACCCAAAGCCATACAATTTGAAGCTGAAAACGGGACCTTGTAGAATCCCAGAATAGAGTTAGACTAGGGTTCAAGAGAAGTACCTGAAATCGCCCAAAGAGCCTCCGGCATCGAAATCTAGTACATCAAAAGGTTGTGCTCTAAGCAGACTCAGATCGCCCCCCTGCCTGCACATGTCGTACGTCCCTGGCCGAATGCAGTCGCGTGCTCTGAGTCCGAGCCATCTGCACTTGATGCAAGCCAACCGCTTGCGGCTCCTACGGTGACGACATAGTGTAGCCTCCGCCAAAGCTCATGGTCTTCGACCTGAGTAGCTTCTCTGCTTCCTCTAACAGAAGTTCTAACCCAGAACTTTTAGAGTATTAATCGCAAATACACTCTGCCCTCGTTCCGACTTCTCGGTCCCTGATTCGGCTGGTCCGTGCCTCGCCTCACCTAAACGCTACCTGAGCTTCTACAGGTATCTGTTTCTAGTGCATAGTAGAATAGTTGGTGTATTCAAACACTACCACATCTAGAAATATCGCTCTAAAGGTAGTTCAAGAATTCTTTAATTGTTACCGCTATTACACTTATAGCTTGCATCTTTTCCAGCTGCGAGGCTCCCCCAAGAAGACATGGCAAGGGAGGCCAAGAAGCTAAGTCGAACAGTACACTTAATTTCTATACAAAAGCAGTTCCTAGATAATGAGGTTAAGGCCCTTTGATAAGCTCTTGCAAACTAGAAACACCATAGAGTACGGTAACAACGTGACAGAGGTACCTACAGTTTCTAATGTCGCTAATTACGGTCTTGATGTTCCGTTCATATTTCAATGGTTCTAGGTCGTTTGGCTGCTGCAGTGGCCTCTTTCTACGATATCATTTAGGGAAACCTGATGTGTAAAAGAAGAATGGTTTCAGTAATAAAGCGTTCTTGATTATTCAAGCCAACATTTGATGATTAAGATCAGCGCCCAAAACTAGTAAGGATTATGTTTCCACCCATAACATTTTTACATGATATCTCTTATACCACACTATAGTGACCTCTTTGGTGAATTTTCATAAGTTGGTGAGAGTGCTACACATAGAGATTTTAATTGACGATAATTACTGTGTAGCAGTAATAAATCGCGATATTTGTGAAGTGGCTTAGGGCTGTTCATATGAAAATGTTCTACTATTAGCTAGAGAGGCTTGTTTGCGCTCGGGTTTCCCCCTCCCGCTCCTTGGCCGCTTACTACAATCAACAATGGGGGGCAGCAAGGGGATTGAACCCTAATAAGTGCCTAGAATCGCCACTGCTTCTCCTATGCGGCTGACATTGATTTGCGAGTTTCCAACTGCGCTCCCTATACGTTTTTCCGGCGCGTGTTGTTCTCAAAAGCGTCGTTCCCGAGCTGGCCGTGACTCCCCTGCCCACGCCTCTGCTGGCGGGGGCTATCGGAGCTCTGGCACGATGTCTCGAGGAAGCCGCTGGGCTTGCTCTTTTATCCCTACGTAGATTCACGCATACGGTACCATTGCTCCCTACTCTTTGGATATGGGGGTTTAAAGCTTTAGTCTGGAATTCTTCGAACATAGGGTCCAGGAGCCCCGCCGGCTGCATTCGGCGACAGTCTAATGGGTAAGGTGGCATGATATAGGTGACCTTCAGGGAAGGTTTAGCAGAAAACTAGAGTCGGCTTTCCTAGATCGGTTGAATGCGCAGTTACGTCAGAGGGCTAGGGAATGCGAATGACATTATGCAAATTAGATTTCTTTCACTTCTCACGCTCTAAGACCTACACTCTCATAGACGAACCTTCTTCCGATCTGTGGACCAATTAGGAGCAACCCCGCTTCCACTATGCCTTCATCTCCTCGTCTCAACTGCATTTCCGGACCTACAAAACTCCACTACCGTCGCCCGCAGACCCGGCCCTTCCAGACCTAAAGCTCTATGTCATAATCACATAGAATGGCGGTAGGAAAATAAAGGCGCCTATCAAGGTTGTCTTTATAATATGGACTATATAGGGCTCCTTCTTATCGAGTATAGTAAGTCTAGCTTTCTTTACCAATTTGTATAATATAAAGTTCTTCCCTACCACTAAGTCTATAAGAGCTCTCGCCTATATTCCTATTACGGCAGTACCGAATAGTAGGTTATGAGTGGTGGACGAGCGACTTAGAACCCAAGGATAGGATCTACGGGAACGTGAGTGTTACGGCTACGCCGCAACAGAATGACCTGCAGGGTAATTACGATGACAGCGATGACGGTGACTGGGGTTCCGACCCGGGCAGCATCGCTTATGGCGACGATGCTACAACATGGACACGTAAGCATCAGGGCACGTGATAAGGTCACGTGATGGCTCTGCAGGCTCTGTACCACAGAGCCTACAGAGCCAGGTCCGATAGCAGTATATAGAGATGACGGATTACCACGGTAACCCATCATCGTCAATCCACGATACATTTACTGCATCCAGTTTCCTTACAGGAAAGATTACTCGTGACGTTTTGGCAACACAACCTCACTGTAGTTGATTGACGCATCAACCCAACGCGACCATACCGCTTCCTGAAGCCCTCATTTCCCACCAGAACCCCATTCGAGGATAGCTTAGCCCAAAGCCAAGCGACCCCCGTTACAGTGAGTATACGGATAGCTTTTATAGGGAGGAAGCTAACCATAATTTAGATTTAGATAGATAATTTACTACATAATATATTATTTTCGAATATGAGAACCCTCCTAGTAGCATAAATATATAATACTATAGGTAGCGTTACCCCCTAGATTTCCCTTTTTAGACGCTTAAATACTAACGCTAGACCTCTTCTACTATACGGTTAGCTAGCCCTATTACTACTTATTAGTGAGTAGCGTATAGCTAAGTACTTAGAAAGGTTTCGCCATGGTTTTTGTTGATATTATTCGTGTATTTAGATAGTCCTATAGATCGTGCAACTATACTCATCAAGTAGAGATCCCGTTCCCTGGTAGATAAACTCTGCATTTACCCCTTAACTTCAGAGTCTCTCTCCTTCAGGCCGTAGTAAGCGACGTTGACAAACGCTGAGTGGACATCGGAACTCTCCTCATTACGCTTGGCCACTGCTTCAGCGGCTTCGCGCTCCTTCAGCCCAAAGTAAGCGACATTGACAAAGGCCGAGTCGACATCGGGTTGCTCCTCTCCACGCTTAGCTTGCTCAGCCGCTTCTCGCTCTTTCAGTCCGTAGTACGCAACATTCACAAAGGCGCTATCAACTGAAGCCTTTTCCTCCTCGCGCTTCTTCAGGCCGTTGTATACAATGCCAATGAAGTCTGCATCCACTGTTGCTGACTCAGGCTCTGGCTTGGCCGCAGCTTCTCTCTCCTTCAGACCGTAGTAAGCGACGTTAACGAAGGCATTGTCTACTGAAGAGTCTTCCTGCGAATGATGAGATATGCTTCATGGCAGGGTACATCAAAGTAAAGGTCTGGAGGAAACTTACAGTGCCAGGTGCTGGAACCGGGGCAGCGAGGACGGAAGCCGCGAACAGGGCGGATATAACGCTCCTGGAGTACTTCATGATGATAAAGTGGCCACCTTGTACGACCGAGAACGTCAGATGGACCGAATACAGAGGATTGAAGGGCGATGACACCGGCCTGGATCCATAGTACGGTAGGAACAATGCTACTTATACAGCAGAACCACGTTCGACAGCAGAGTTGTGGCGGAATCGCACGGCTGCATATCTAACGGCAAGTCTAAGCTCGATTCCTCAGATCAATCGCCGAGTATAGCCATCCAATAAAGTATCGAAAGCGACCTGCAAGTGAATCAATCATAACTTAGGCGATAGGCCCAGGAGCACGCTAAGAACACTACAGAGGAAGGTGACAAGGACAACAAGTTGGGTGAATATGGTGCTAGCATGATTCTTGGTCGAGAACGATGTTCATCGTTCGCTGCGCCATCATGCTCATTCGACAGAGTGGTGGTCATGTGGCCCCCGATGCTGTCCATCAGTCAGAGTGCTGAGACTAGCTCGAGATATTGGTTCCCTTAGCGTACAGGCTAAGATGATACATACCCTGTGCATGCATACATGCATGTGCCACTCGGCGGAGGAAACAAGAATCAATCGGGTTGCCCGGCTGCTGATCACGGCTTGACGCGGGGGATTGTTTCAACGGCGTGAACATAGCCCCTCTCGCACGACACTCAAGCCCGACTATCAACCCGAACAGCATAGTTCCTGTATCCACCTCACCTGCTTCACATTTTATACAAGTGCTTTCATTCCAGCCTTTCGGTGGAATTGAAGATGAAATTCTTACTTGCACAAGGATACCAAAGAGTTGAGCAGGAACAAAGCTCTGAAAAGTCAAGTCGGACCTCATTGGAAGGATTTGATACTTCAGGTTCGCCTATTGCATCGCGTCGGATGATCTGGTATCGCTGGCTACCATGGGTACTTGTAGCAATTCTGACAATCACCAACTGTTATGCGTGGATGGCAACTAGATCAACGCATTTTCCTGAATCTATCTTCTGTGAGTTACCTCCACCATTCTATGTTCTAAGACTGAGCTAACAGTGGTTGTCAGCACCAGCTACATCAGCGATCAAATACAAAACTGTCATCTTCCAGGCTGGCATTGATAGTGATACAAGCCCATATCAAGGCAAACCTTCCCAAGAAATTGATCACGAATGGGAAGAGCTCCACAAATGTGAGTGAAGAATCCTTTGTAAATGACAAAGTGACTGATGTTGCTACCGCCAGATGGAGTAAGCAGGATCCCAATGAGCGACGCGGCCCAGCTCGCCAACCGGACTTCACCCATTCCTGGGGACGAAGGTCACTACGTTGTGATTCTCGAAGTGTTTCATCAACTTCACTGCCTGGTAAGTCATAACGCCTTCCATGTATTTCTCCAACTGCTAACCTGTGTTTCAGCAACACGTTCGCAGGCGACTATTCTGGAACGAAACCGAACAGGGTTCCCCAGACGAGGTTGAAGCTCTTTCTATGAAGCACCTGGATCACTGTATTGACTCAATTCGCCAGAGTCTCATGTGCTCCGCTGACGTGACCCCACTTCCATATGTGTGGTGGCGCAAATATGACCAGCTTATGCCGGCAACCGCTGTCGCACACACATGTCGTGACTTCGAAGCCATCAGAGACTGGGCAAAGGAACATCGTGCTGGCAAGGTTGATAAACATACGCAAGTTTATGATCCTCTAGGTGATCAGGTAGTTTATGATGTATAGATTGTATGGAAAATGTCCTTCTCCGCTTGCACTGAAGCATTCGCGGGATTACCGTGCGTTGGATTATGGTGTTGCTGCAATCGTGGGCACTTGTGGCACCATTCACCGCCCAGGGCGTAGATCCTTAGCATTATTGCCTAACACAGATGCAACTGCATGTCCCTGGCGCGTTTTGAGAGTGAGTTCCTACGGGGGCCCCGCATCGGCCTACATGTAGGTCGACTATCTTGGTGTACCTTCCTGATATGGACATGATCCGCAAACTGCTTCGGGCAAGTGAATCCTACAGCCCAACACCAATCCCTGTTTCAATCCGGACCACTATGCGCAACCGTACGAGAACATTTTGAGCTGATTAGCTAGCGGACATGTCATCATTGATTGCACGGACGCGGCGGGGTACTCGCAAGCAACACGAATTGAAGATCTCGCACCATTTCAACCGGGACGGTTGTTGATACTCATAATCAGCGCTAATCTTCGTCTTCGGGATCCTGAAGACTCCGTGAAGGATTCGGTGTCTCATGCTACTAGTCCTACGTACGTCGACGACCCGTTGAGCTCTCAACAGCCTGCCGCACCCACATTGACGCCATTGGGTCCAACGTCACTTTCTGCTCTTCTGCTCCCCTGCGGACACCGAAATGGAATCTCCCAAAAACTCAGCACTCACAACGCTGTGCGATGAGGAGACATTCAAAGACTTTTCCGATGTTGAATCCGACGACACAACTTTGGTTCAGCTTCGCTCAAGATCTAGGGTTTTCCGCCCGGTCATCATCCTACTCTCAGTTATCCTCGTTTTGATCCCGCTCATTTACTTCACTGTTGCAACACCCAGGAGAAGACTGAAGTACGATCAATGTGGCACCACAGCTGACGAAGCGCGGGCACGTGGTTGTGTGTTCGAGATCACTGGCTTCACATGGCTACCCAGAGAGTGCCAGGATACAGAGACTGAAGACGAGTTTCTTGATTATCTCGCCGAGAACGATTTGAACATCTACCGCGACACAAAGTACACGGATATTGTGCCAATCGAGGAAGTCCGGCTCGGCAACGGGCCAGGCTGTAAGCCACTTCAAGTATACCCAATCTCAGACATCACTGACTCTTACCAGTCTTTGTGCGCCAACAATACCACGTGACCCATTGCCAGTTTCTGCTGCGGAAGTTGCATCGCGCACAAACGAGCGGACGGATGATCGATGGGCAGATCATGCCTACGCATCATACGGTGCACTGTGGGGAGCAGACGCTCAGCGTGATCCAGGACCCTTCGTGGCGGGAAGACGCTATACAGCTCTCTTATACGAAGTTCCCGTATTGCGGGAAGCCTGGGGGTTACAATGTTGGTTGGGATCAAGACCATGGGAGGCCGACGGCATGGACAAACGCTTAGGCGGCAGCTGATCTGCTTTGATAGTTTTCAAGAAAGAATGAATCAATTGCCTTTCAAAAGTATTCAGAGGCAGCAGAAGGGGACGGCCAGCTTTTGCACCTTTCTGTTGATGGAAATGTACTGCATAACATGAGTGCATTGTCAAACACATGCATTTTTCTCTTCTTCGACGCTACAGGCTCATCTCTCCTCTCTCTGCTCTTGTGTCCAGACTGATAAATTCACTACACCACCTTCCACCTCTCCAGCACGAAGGGGGCATTCAATCCAATCTATGTGATCCGTGGCGATAATGGAAACGTTGGTAAGACTGTTGATACACGAGTGTCCGCTAGATATCGTAACTTGCAAACCTAAACATCAATTTATGTTTCAACTATCCCTGGCGTGGTCTCTGCATACAATGGGACATGCCTGGCGGGGTGATCCTTAGTATTGGCGACATCGATGTATACACCACAGGGCACCCCCTGTTGACATCAATCTTCACAAAGCAGGCTAGATAGTAGTCAATTCTTTTCTGTTCGCCATGGACCCCCTACATTAGAGTTGAGCACGCAGTTTAGCCAAGGTGATAAAGCATCTCCTAGGGCTACTGTCTGTCTAATCAACAGAATAGAGGCTTGGCCGAAAGGAGTTTCAGGTAGCCATCGAAATAGTGCCCGTAAAGGCAACCAGCTCCATAGTCAGAGTTGGATGAGATCTGTGTGGTGTCTGAAAATAGCCATATCCTCCAACAGTAAGAGTTTCTTCTTTTGCAAGTTAGGTGGATGGGCATATTTCATGATACTAGTTAAGAACTACGTTCGTAACGAACCTCATCTCAACTCTACCTCTCAAGGTCTGGGACCAGACGAGATATCTGTCCGGAACCTACGTCCCAGGTCCTTATTCTCGTCTTCCCAGTTGCCAAGTTCTTCATCCTCATTTCTCGGCGATGAGCTCACATGGTAAGTCTGCTCGACAATCACAATTCCATTCTGGATACTGCCTTCTCCACTCCCCTTCTCCAACGATGAACTCCTTCGCGACGACCGCGACGAGCTCCGTGGTACCGTCACAAGTTCTACATCCGACGCCGCCGCACCGCGCTTCGAGCCTGGCTCTGACTGCAGCTCAAAGGTGCCGTGTCCGTAAGCGCTCTTCGTCGGGCGGGATCGCGCGTACGATGACGACTCCGCGATTGGGCCTGTCCCACGCCAAAAGTTACGCCGGAACATGGGTCTGAGAATCGGCAGGTTCACTGTGATGATGCCAACAATTGTCTCGCGCACACCCCAACGATTGATGTTCAGCCCCGACGGAGTGTTGCCCAGCGTGAGCGCGGCGCGGACGATTGCGGCGGCGATGACGAAAGTGCCTGAGCAGATAAATAGCCCGATGGCGATCTTTTTGCTCAGCTTGATTTGGAGGCCCCACAGCATGGGCACGGGGATCGCGAGGATGATAACGTCCGTGACGACGTTGAGGATAGCGCCGACGTAGAAGTTCTGCGGTTTGAATGTACAGCGGCGCGGTGGCATAGGTCGAACCTGCCAGTTCATCTGGGTACTGCAGAGAGTGAGCCATCGCGAGTAGATCCATGTGATGAAGGAAGAAACGACTTACGGGTGGCAGCCAAATGTGATAGTGAGGAAGACCGCAATGTACGTTACCCCACACATCCAAAAGCACCAGCGGACCAGACGATTCTGGAAGGTAGCCATGGTGATGCGCCGGTAAAAGAACAGCAGCATGAACTTCATGCACCCTAAGCGATGTTAGCTTGTGGAGGTTGTACTGGTATTACAAATGATGCTCACATATGAGTCCAGTGTAAGTGTACCAAGCAGCTATCTGTGCCTTCGATCCTTCCGTCACCCGTTTGATCTCGGCATCAGTGAGCAAATCTACCACATCGCTGGGGATGTCGACATTTGTTCCTTTGTGGTCTAGAAATCCAAGTATGAGTACTGAGACATCGTGCTGGTCACCGCTCGGCGACTTACAAGCAATGTCGACTAGGATGGCATCAGCGGTGTACAGTGCCAGGCTCTGCATACTATTAGTGGGCGCAAACCACAAGGAGATCAAGTTCACCTACAACAATGGCAATGTAGTCATCTCCCTGGAATCCTCTGAAGCCAACAGATCGTATCCGCGCAATGTACCGCAGAGTAATAATGGTCAAGCCGATGCCGTACCAAATCTGCAGCAGAATTAGTGACAAAATCATTTGATACCCTTTTGCAGAGTTAGACATGCCCAAACCTCAGCCAGGAAGCTCGAATCTCTCGGTAATGTAATGTTCCCGTCCGACATGGCGATGAAAGCGCGCAGTACAGCACGCAAAAATCAAGTTGATATGTCGATATGACAAAATACGACTGCAATGGGACTCCTCAGCCCTGTGATCGCCCCGGCCGTCATGAGCTACATGCCTATGTATATTCTAAAATCCCAGTTCGGCGGTTTTGCGGGAGCTAACGACTCATCGTCAGATCCGCGATCTGGTTCTGTGAGATAGTCTTGGTCTCCACTAGATTCGCGAGGCGCACATACTGCAATAACACATGAATCGTAGTGGGCCTGGAGATGCTAAAGTCTCAAACGCGCATGTGGAGTGCTCCTTACAAAACTCCCCGAGAATCTCAGTGCCCTGCGATGCATAATAACGATACTGACTCCCTCTGCTTTTGGTAATTCTGATTTCGCTAGACTCTGGGCTTCGGCAGACCTTCTGGAATCGCACCATTACATCACCGCTACTAGACTTGATCAAAACGCTGCTTGCGCAAGTGTTACCGCGACCTCCCAAGCCATCTCACTGCCCCTGAATCAACTGGCTCGTAGAATCTCAATAGCGCAAGTCAATTGACAGGCTAGCAACAAAGATCGTGAAGTGGACCACGATCCAAAATTTCGGATTAAGCCATCCCGGTGCTGTCTGGGGTTCCAAGATCGGCGACGACCACTAGCAACCCTAGCGCTGATCATGGCGCGCGCTATTGACTCCGCGTCAGCCCCAAAGCATTCCAGTTTCAACGTGAACATGATACCCGGGCATGCGTCAAGGAACTCCACCTGTTTCGTCTAACCTGAAAGCCTCCGCAGGTGTTCGGCTGAGAGGTAATGTCGCTGAATCGCGAACAAGTTCTTGCAGGCGCCCGAAATGAAAGTGCCGACCGTTGAAAAGGCCACTGCTACTAGTGAGCTAGCAGGCGTAGGTGCCGGCCGGGTTGCTGCATTTGAAAATAACATGCAGACCACTGGCTTGTTCTCGCTCGTGATGACTACTAGTTCAGAGATGGCACGCCGGCGAATCCGCTTTCCCGCGCACGGGAGTGGAAAGCCGCAACGACGGCGCAGCACCGCGCGGAATTTCAGCTTGGTGCGTTCGACACTCGCATGGCTCCAATTGTGAATTGATTATGGGAAATTTTTAACAACATATGGCGACCATTCTGAATCATCAGATCTGGCAATATTGTAGGTAAGCTGGGCTATTGCTGGTGAAGTTCGTCATCGTAGGTGTGCTCCTAATGAAAACCGGACAATTCATTTTACGAGGCAAGCGTGTCGATTGCTGACCTTTTGTACGGATGAATAAGCAATTGGAATGAAAAGGGATGAGCCCCCAGACCTTCAATTCGCAGCATTCTATTCACCGCAATTGCACCCACTACTCCAGCAGGCCGCATTCGAATTAAATAATCTGACCTCGTATATAAAAAAGCCCGATGCTAAGATCTGGTAGAGCACAACCACGACTGGCGTAGGAGAATCGACGGGCACTCCCGCCACGTATGGCCAATTCCGATATTCACACGTACTATGGTCTCTATGCAGGGGCAGGCGATGCATTGAGAGGGTTCGAACCAGCCAGGTGGGTAATGTCAATCCGGACTGCTTACTCCAGCGATACTTGAGACCTGGAGATGTCGCGCTTGATCGCACACGTGTGAGCCTAGAACCTTGAGAATGAAAAGTCTTCCACGTGCTGTGGCACACGACACGGCACAGGAACGGGCTGGCCCTCAACTACCCGGATGCAAAAAAACACGTAGATTAAGCGTCGCTAACTAACTAACGCAGGAGCGACCCGCACCGTTCCAGCGGAACGCAGGCCAGAAACGCAACACAGCCCGAAGCCACGCGCTACCCAGCCTGACCGATCTCTTCCTAAGATTACTCCTTCTTCAACACCCTATCCAGCACCCTATACCTATACACCCAGCTCCGCGCCCTCTTTCCCCAGATGTACATTGGGATCGTGGTCACGGTCACCGCGACCGTCGTTCCTCCGATGACAAAGAAACAATCCCGCACACCCTGCAACGCAATCCAGTCGTTTGCGTAAAATGTGAGCCCAAAGGCGAACATATTCTTGATGAAGTTCATGATGGCGAAGGCCTCGGCGGACTGCTCCCGATGGCAGTCGCTGACGTAGGTTACTACGGAGGTAGTGCCGAGCTGCACGCCCAGGTTGATCAGGCCCATACAGACGATCACGGGAATCGGCCAAGGGTCTTCCTTATAGAGGGACTCGCCCCAGGCGAAGAAGCCGGTGGCGGTAAAGATGAGGTAAGTGATCATTACTGGGAGGCGGAATTCGGGTTCTGCAAATATTAGTGACGGTGTTGCGTATGCGATTAAAGATGCGACTGACCGAAGACTCCGTTATTGCGTTTCGCCATCCAGGTCGCGACGCCATCGACGACATACCCTGCGACTAGCGTAGCGATCACGGATGCGACAAACGACGACACGTTGGTTGCGCCGACTGCGCTGACGGAGAAATTGTACGGCGGTGCTGAGAAGATTTGCGATAGCGTGATGGAGATCAATACCAGCCAGGAGATGCAGATGGTGAAGAGAAGCGTAGCCCACATGACGATCGGTGACAGGATAAGAACAAACGGCCGAATGAGCGTCCTCCAGAACGAGACAGTGTCGAAGTATCCGCTGTATGGCTTGAGCTCTTGTGCATATGACAGCCGGGGTTCAGACGACGCGGGTGAGACAGCCACGCGGTGCTCAATTTGCACTGTCTTTTCTTTCTCGGCATTTTCGATGTCAATGGTCTTGTCGCTCGTATCGATGTTGATGGCGTCATGTCGTACGAAAGCTGATTCGGGCATGAAGAATATAACCAAGATGAGCATCACGACCATTGCGCCACCCATAGCATGCATCGCAATGCGGAAGGAGCCTTTCTCGATGATAGAGCCGGCGATGGGACCCGCGAGGTTAATGCCGCCGAGCACACCGAGGTTGAAAATTGCCATCCTGAGGCCACGCTCGTGCACATGCCAGATATCTGAGACCGATGCGGGAATCAAAGCCTCGAAGGGGGCCATGCAGAAGCCCTGGAGGGCTCTTGCGCCAGCTAGAGATCCGAAACTCTTCGCCTCTGCGGCCCAGAAGGATGATACCGCAAGTCCGAGGGTGGTGATAAGGTACACTGGCCGCTTTCCGACCTTCACAGCGATGGTGTTGCAGAGAAGACTGCCGACAGCGATGGCGACGATGCAGGAGCCATTACAGCCGAGTGAGAATGTCTGGAGCGGAACGTTGAATTGAGTAGCGAGCGGGACGAAAGCAGGTGTCAGCAGAGGACCGATAGCTGTTGCTTGTTAGATGATGCACATCAGTTTGGTGTGTATAGTTCTTACCTCCTACACAACCACATCCGTAGGCAATCACCAGCGTGAACATCTCCTTCTTCCATCTCGGCCAGTTGTACGGATCGTTGGGTGAATCGGAGGGCTGCGGTACAAGGACAATTTGTCCGCTCGGGTCGTGCTTAAGAAGACCGCGATCAATGCCAGCGAGTTCGGCGTCTACCCTCCCGAGTTCGCTCAAGGGAGCTGTTCCGGGCACATGTTCGAGCTTGTTGTCGTCAAGTATTCCCAACGGCATGGTGAAGATGACGCTGTCGTATCCGTACGATCGGGTCTGATCAGGATTCAGATGGCGAGAAGCTCTCTAGATTAATATTTTTGGAGCTTCAGAGAGCTCGACGCGCCAACGCACTAAAATGTGGGGATACCCCCATGATTGCAGGGATGCGTTCCCAGTGGCATGCGGGGAACATTTCTCGCGGGGGGTTCTTCCTATGAAAGTGGGCCAATACGAGGGCGTCGTTTGCTGGCTAACGTCTTCCGACGCGAGATCACCATCGGCATGTCTGAACGCGGACAATCATTGGGGGCGCGCATGTCGAGCCATGCGCCTCTCAGCCTCACCATTTTGTACCCCACACGCGGCTGTTGCATGGCCATGCTGCATTTGAGACGCACTGTGTTGAGCCTCAACATGTTCTAGATTCTTTGTGGCTGGAGGGACAGGCCTCCTGGCCATTTACCTGGATGCTGCCACGTGAGAGATTGCATTCTACTGTGTACATCCGCAACTTATACGCTTTAGGCGCGTAAGTCCAGGGACCAAGCACGCCAGTCGCGACCGCTACCTACCTATCTCATCGACACTCGTTCGAATCAAGATGACTTCCCGTTTTCACAAGTGTGAGTAATCATACACATGTCTACCGTCCAATGTTTACCCCACAAGTAGCGTTCTGCCGGCTATGTTGTACTAGCACGTGCCCTGGGGAGGTAAGTCACTTACCGGTACTTGGCCTGGGTGCCGTAGCTTCGAATGCGATGAACAAGTAAAAGGAGGCACCCAGATCAGGTGGCTTTCCGCTCGACGTAACGACCTCCTTGGCGCTGGGACCTGGAACCGCTTGGCATTGATCCGATTGATCCTGACAAGTACTGTAGAGAGCGAGTCACTCTGGCGGACGCGTCGATGATGATACTTCCTGTTGCAGCGCTGGATCCACGTCTTGTTTGTCGTCCCGGGATGCAGACCAAGGCCCGGATTGCAGTCCGTCAGTTGCTTGTTCGAGAGTTCGAGACAAATATAAGTCGAAAATGGCAATAGATTCTCACTATCAAAGGGGAAGTCCTTAATGTTATCATAAAGGCTACCATCGTAGGCACCGGATCTAAAACAGCTCGTATCGGATTGGGCTCGACGCTTTGCGATCCTTCTCGGACTCAGCGGCAGCATCGGCGTCATGCCGGTCCATACCCTCCACCTTGATAGCGTAGTCCACCAAGTGGTACAGACAGTATTGCTTGTTCTGTTGTCCTGGCTTCAAGTGGGAATCGATGCCAGCTTGATCTGCATCTTGGATGGTGATTCGGAACGCCTTCCTGATGAAGCGACCATTCACCCTTCGGTGTGTGCGACCCAGTCTGAATCTGCCGGGCGCTTGATGAAGAGTTGGAGGCCTCCATCCTCTCTCGTTGACCCTCTTCTTCGCTTTTTCCTCCTCCTCGTCCTCCTCCTCTTCGCCAACGTCTTCATCAGTTCCTTCATGCTTCACTTGGACCGGGACCCTATGGCGTGAGGTGGGATGTTGCACAGGGCGCTGAGATGGCGATCTGCTCCCAATACCTAGCAGGTCGCCTGTAGCTACGAGCGACCTCTGCATGTATCTTCCGTGCCCATTCAGATCCCTCACGGTCTTGCAAACCGCTTCGAATCCTGAAGCCACGCCCAGCGCTACCACTAGTAACTCGCAAAGGCGAAGGCGATTGTAGTGGTGGAGGCGGAAACCGCCGTGGTAGCTTTAGATCCCGTACAGTCCAGTGGCTGATCAGGCGATGCATGATATGGCTGTGATGCAGTCTAGGAACGTGCTCCCTCCGGATCCACGCTAGAACACCATTAGGTATCTCGCGCCCGGTCTTGCCGCGGTGCATGTCGGTTTGAAGGACATATTCTTCGTAAAGGTTCCAACCAGTGAAGTCATCCGACTGTTCAAAGCGCTCCTGGTGTGGCTCGGACCTCGATAAGCCGTTCCAGCTACCACTTGTACACGCATGATTGTGACCGCGATTGCGATTTCTATTCCTCTTGCGAGTGCGGTTGGGCATTGTCAACTTAAAAGCTGCAGAATCTGATCTAGATCATCAGAATGAAATGATGTGAGTTCTAGAATCTCGACATGGTCCAATACCTCAAGCGAAGGTGCGCCGAACGAGCTTACCGTTCTCGAACATACTGCATGTAGTGGCATGGTGGTCTGCAGCGCGCTCTCGCAAACACTGCACTCGATGAAACAGTCGCTTCTTTTCTTCTCAGTTCACTGAGAGAACGCTGATTGACCTGGTGGGCAGATTTTCCAACGGACGCTGGTTCAATGGCCGGCATATTCAGTTGCGACAAACAACCTTCACAGGAGTGAGCTGGATGAAGCTGGAAGTCATCCAAACTGCTTCTCCAGTACAGCCAGTGTCAGCACGCACAAAGTTCAGAGTCAAGCAAAGTGGGCATTCGCAACCTATACATTGATGCCGTTTGAATTTTCCGCATTACAGAAATAGGGGATATCTACACAGAAGAGTAAAAAGTACACAAGCACGCACGCACCCCAGCGCCATCCGTCTACTTTTAATCCACATGATGCTTACAACGCAAAAAAGGTGTGTACAGCGTATCAAGATAGCGAAGCAGTCTACTCGCTGTCGTCGCCAGCAAGAAGCTTGGCGTAATCGTCTGCCGAAGCAAAGGTGGGGAGGTGCTTGAGCTTCCTCTTTTTGGCCTTCTTCTTGTCCTTTTCTTTAGACTTGGCTGCCGTCTCATCGACATCGGTCTCGTCATCCATGGCGATGTCGACGGGGATGTCGTCGTCGCTGTCGATAAAGGCCTCTTCGTCATCGAGGTCGAAGCCGTCCATGCCGTCGTCGGACTCATCCGCGCCGGCAGCAGTACCGTCCTCTTCATCATCGTCACTTCCAAGGTTGAGCTCGACGCCCTCGTCCATGCCGATGCCCCCTTCTTCGTCATCGTCGCTCATCATATCTTCCATATCGATGTCGCTGAAGCCTTCGTCGTCGTCCTGAGGACCTTCGACCTCCGGCCGGCTATTGACGAGCGCCTTCCAGATCTCTTCTTCGCCCGAGTCGTCGCTCTCCTCGCCGTCCTTCTTCCGCTTCTTCTTCTCCTTCTTGGTCGCCTGCTTGGCCTTGCCCGCCTTCTCGAAATAGGTGTGGAAGAAGACCTCGTCCTCGCGGACATCGTCGACCTTCTTCCGCCAAAACTGTTCCGAGTTGAGCGCGCCGTGCGATTTATCTCCATCGCGAGTAGCGATGAGGTAGTCAGTGGCTTTCGCAGTGCCTGCCATAGGCTGCATAATGGATGTTCCATGCGTAGCCGAGGCCTTGGCCTTCGCGTTTTTGAAGGCGAATTTGTCGAGGAAGTTCATGAGCGTGTAGATGGTCGGGTCCGGCTTCTCCTTGATCTGGTCTTGGTTGACAAGCTTGGTGGCGAGCACATGGACGGAAGGGTGGTAGTGAGCTTGCAGGGGAAGAAGCTCCCAGAGACAAGACAAGTCCGCATCTGCGTGCGAGGGATCGCGTTTCCTCGCGTCGTAATGCGCGCGCTTAGTCTCCGATTGCTTCTTCGGTGCCCCGGTCTCGCCATCTTCCGGTACATCGTCATAATGCTCTTCACCGCTATCATCCGCGTTGTCCTCGGGCGCCGTTACCATGGTTCTAATACTTGGGAATTGGATAATCAACTCGTTGATCAGGTAAAGAACACCGCAGATAAAGGGCGGCTCGTGTAGATGGATAATCTGCAAGAGACGCTTGATGAAAGCCTGCACACGCTTGATGCTTGTGTCGGCCTTGAGTGCGCGATATAGAAGGTTCAGGTACATGATGTGTTTCGAAGTCTCGATGAGGCGAGGGTCCAAGAGGGATTCGTAAAGTGTGCGGTAGAAACGGTCGGTAGAAAAGTGCTTTGTAGAAGAAATTTGTTGTATCAAACTCATAGCCTGGATGCTGGTGTTGAAGTTGGCCGAGTGGGTGATCTGGAAGATGGTGTCGATCTGTTCTCCGAACCTAAAGCATGTTAGACTCAACTTGCACACAGCAGGGTGGAGAGCTTACTTCTCGTCATCCGTCTTAGCGAAAGGAAACGCGCGGTTGACACCAGTCAAGATGGCAGAGATCAGTTTCTCACGGTTCTCGTCGTCGACCTTGAAAGCCTGGGTCGCCGCCTTCTCCTGCTTCTTGAGAGCCGCTTTTCCAGGCTTGCCTCCTCCGCCTTGAACGTGACCGTGCTTGTTGATCTTGAGCTTCTCTACAGCATCTCCCTTCTTGTCGTGTTCTTTCTGCTGCTTAAGGAGGCCGACGAAAAGACTGAAGTAAATCTCGAGCAACTTGTTGGCCACGTCTTGCTCACGACCACTCAGGACGGTCTGGTTCATGGTGATGACTCCGTAGTACTTGGCGGTGCCACTCTGGTTCGGGCGGAATAGAAGGTCGGACTCGATGGAGCTGATGATGACGCTCTTCATGGCAGGGTGGGTGATCTGCAGCTGCAGGAGCAGGTAGGAGGCGCGGGACGCCACCTTCTTTTCCTTGTCGCCCAGCTTGTTGATGAGCAGCCGGAGCAGGTTCTCTTCCTGTTCCGGCTTCTCCTTCAACAGTTCCCATACCATGGTGACGGCACGGTTGCGCGAGAATTCGACCTCATCGTTGGACCATCCTTCGATGATCTTGAGCATCTCGAAGTACTGCTTCTTCAACCAGTCCTCGTATGCCCACGCGACGAGATGGATCTTCTGGACCGCTCCCGGCAGCCGGTCGCCATAGTTCCAAGTCGCCGCCTTGCCCTGCAGCGCGGAGATCAGGCCGGGCTGGCGCGCAAAAGCCTTCAGCTTTCGGTCCGGAGGCAGCACCACGCCCTGGCCCATCAGATCCTTGAGCGCTGCAAGCGCCATCATTGCCGCGCTCCTGCTCTTCTTGCGCGACAAGCCCAGCAGCTGTTCAAAGGCCTTGGTGGTGTGCAGCGGCGACTCCTGCACCAGCAGCGTCAGGGCCGAGACCTTGTCTTCCATGGTGCCGGACGTCATGACGGTCGACATGAACTTGTGCGACGAGTCCTTGGACAGGTGCGAGGCGGCATACTCGTCGCCGTCGGCGAGCAGCAGCTCGTCGGCATACTGGTGCAGCTCGTCGAGGACGTGCCGGGCAGGAACGGCCGGGTGCTCGACAATGGGCAGTTGCGGCAGGGCGACGGCGTGCCATTCGGGCTGCGGGGTGAAGAGCTGGCGCGCACCGTCAGCATGCATCCATCAGTATCGCACCTGCGCGCCGCTCTTACCAAATTCGGGCGCGTCGTGGGCGTGCCATTCTTGCGCGCGTCCCTGCCGCCGTGTTTTGCGCTCACCCGGCTCTTGTCCGTGGGCGGCCGCGCAGGGCCGTCTTTGGTCTCGGCATGGGTCCGCTTCTTCCCCATCTGGCGCGGGCGGGCGATGTGAGGATGTTGCAAGGCCAGTCAGAGATGTCTCTCCGACCCGTCATGACCTTTGTGTGCGCGCCTTCTGGTCCACAATTTTCGGCCGCGACTGCTTCGGAGCTTGGAAGAACAGATCTTCCGGCGGCCGCGCTAGGCCGAACCGGGGCGAGGCAAAGGTGGGGCGGCCCGTTCATCGGAATTCAGTTCGCAACTGAGTCAACGTGGTTCCGACTCACGCCCTTTGCTGCACACGTCCCCGTGACGTCCCTTGACGAACACGGTTGGCTCGACACTGGAGGCATCCCCATGACGATTGGCCTGTTCGACTGGCTTACTGGAACCATCCTCCCCTCGTAGGGCCCATCAATTTTCACCATGTCGACCAACAATGATGAGGAACCCAAAACCTCAATAACACCATTGCTCAAGCGGCTCTGGCACGAGTCTGCCGCCACGGCGCCAGACGCCTCCGAGATCGCCGCCGCCATCTCTCTCATCTTCACCAACAGCCTGTCAGAGGTCCAGATGGGCGCTCTCCTGACATGTCTGCATTTCACGGAGCGCGACCGACGGGCAGATGTCTTGACCAAATGTGCGCAGTCAATGCGTGACTTCTCCACCCCCATGGATGTGGACAGTCTTGCCAAGTTGATTGCAGAAAGAGGTAGAAAAGAGGGCGACTACCACGGCGGCCTGTGCGACATAGTTGGCACCGGCGGCGACTCCCACAACACCTTCAACATCTCCACCACCTCGTCCATCCTTGCCAGCGCCCTCCTCATGATCGGCAAGCACGGCAACCGCGCCAGCACCTCTCGCTCGGGCTCCGCCGACCTGCTCTCCTGCGCCCAGCCCAGGGCGCCCCAGATCTCAGCCGTCACGCCCTCCACCATCCACGAGGTCTACTCCCAGTCCAACTACGCCTTCCTCTTCGCCCCCATTTTCCACCCCGGCGCCCGCCACGCGGCCTCCATCCGGAAACAGCTCGGCTGGAGAACCATTTTCAACCTGCTCGGTCCCCTAGCTAACCCTCTCCACCCGCTCATCGAGTCCCGCATGCTCGGTGTAGCACGCAAGGAAATTGGCCCTGACTTCGCCGAGTCCTTGCGGCAATCTGGCTGCGTGAAGGGCATGGTGATCTGCGGCGACGAAGAGCTGGACGAGATCTCCTGCGCAGGGCCCTCGCACTGCTGGCAACTCAAGCAGAACCCCGAGACTAACAAAGTCGACATCGAGTACTTCACCGTGTCGCCGTCAGACTTCGGGCTGCCGACGCACGCGCTGAGTGAAGTCTCGCCCGGTCAGTCGCCCGAGGCGAACGCTGAGATCCTGATGCGCATATTGAAGGGCGAGGTGCCTGAGGATGACCCGATTCTGCACTTTGTGTACATCAACACGGCAGCATTGTTTGTCGTCAGCGGCATCTGCGATGCCGATACGAGCGATATGGGCCATGGAGACGACGGGAAGGTGATTACAGAGAGGGGCCCTGGTGGTGGGCGCTGGAAGGAGGGCGTGCGGCGGGCGAAGTGGGCGGTCAAGAGCGGCGAGGCGTACCGACAGTGGCAGCACTTTGTGGAGGTGACTAACAAAGTCGCTCCCAGTACTGTAGGCTCTTAATTCATCTTCATCGCAATCGAACCAAGTTCTATTCCATCTCCGTGGCGATCGAGGCTGTTGCGTCGGCCATCTGTACCTTCTTTACACTTCTTTGTCCATGCTTTTTGATCTTACCACGCAATATTCAGCCCCTGGACCACAACCACGGCCTGAGAATTTTCCTCCGCCATTCCCTCCGCTTCTTGTCGTCCTTTTCCTGCTTGTACTTCTTCCATTGCAGAAATACCCCACAAGCCGCTACAGCAGCCGCAAAAACGCCGATGACAGCGCCGGTTATTGCAAAACCGAGGTCTGCACCAGTAAGGGGGTCAGTGTCGCGGGGTATGAGGTGCAGTGCAATTGGAGGCATCGCGGGTGTGTGGATGCGTGCTTGGGTCGGAGATGAGTTGGGGGAGAAGTGTGATGTGATGTAACGAATAAGTTTGCATGGGCTACAGCAGGTGGGGAGGTGTTCGGAGAAACAGATGTAGATTATGTATTAGATGGAAACTCCGATAAGCGACAGGGCTGAACAGGGGCTATGCGGTGTGCTGAGCGTCTCTCGATACAAGGCTGAGGCTATGACTGGGGCAAATGGTCAGCAGCCACTACGGCTTGGATGTCGACATCCCTAAGCTAACGTGAAGGTTGCACGCATGTCTTGTTTTGACGGGAGGCAGAGAAACTTCGCGAGCCTGAATATGCTGCAGATTAGAAAAAAGGAAATCGGCAAGCTAAGCGGGTTGGTTAATGGATGGTGGGCACGACTGAGGCTATGGTTGAGGCTGTGTGTGAGGCTCTGGTAAGCAGCCACTGCTGCTAGCGTTGCAGATCCATTGCCCTCGAGCTCAGCTGCGTGGAGATCAAATTGATCGTTTGCTTTGATAAGCAGGCAGAGAAAGTGTAGTGATGTTTGACATGTGGAAGTAGGTGGGGTCGCAATAGGGAGCGGTAACGAGTTAAAGCGGGGTGTTCAAGGATGGGAATGCAACGCTGAGGCTGTGCGCGAGTCGGTCGTCAATCAACTCTTCATATCTTTCTGCAACCTAAATTACTTTTGCTTGTGTTGAGATTCCAGATACTCTGAATGAATAATCTGATACGATGGTCTCAACACTGTTGCCCTTCTCGAGTCTGCGCACATTTTGAAGGAAGGCAGCCGGGAGGAGGAATTGCGATCTTGTTAGCCAATATGCTGGAGGCCTAACATTTCCAACAGTCGACATTATCAACCATACAGTCCAAGTCTTTCCGAGCCCGTGAGGCTTGAATTTGATGATGAGATTTGTTTCATTGTTGGGATCGTCTTTGTTTCTCTTGCCTGCATCATGTAGTAGCTGCTCTTGCGTACGAGCATAACAACTCCGGTAATCCTGATGCATGTCCAACCTTTCGGGCAACTGCGTGCGCAGCAAAGCTGTGTGAGCCTGAGCAGGTCGCTCCCGCCCTGCGAATAGCGAGCATCCACTAGGAACTATCTAGAGATTGGCATGTTCACTACCCTTCCCATCTTGAGCTAGACCCTCATGCGAAGTCACTCATGTCCGAAGTCCCTTCAACTCTACTAAAGAGCTATCTGAAGAACAAACCTATGGGTTAACGACGATTTTGATGTTGAACAGTACTCAGTACCGGAACGGTGGAGAAATCTGACCTTCGTGTTCATTAGTTTTTCTACCCCGGTGATACTTAGCAACTCCCTTCCCAGCCTCAGCTAACTTGTTCAATGAACTTGGGAAATTGCTTGTAGGAAACTTCGCTCACGCCTTTCTAGACCGCTCTAGACCTTCTTCTTCGGATGACATGTGTACTCTCAATCCTGTTGCGACCATGTGTCAATACGTACCAATGACCGGAAAAACACAGGTGGATTGACATCGATGTGCTCAGCTCGCCATGCATTTATGTTTCCATAATTGTGTGTATAACCGGTCCACAATATAAAGGAAATCAAACACTATTAGCTTGAGAACTTAAACAGGACCCTGTGTGCTGTTCGGCGCGTCCAAAGTTTCAGCTCCGAGGAGCTCTGTGTACTGGAATAGGAAGGGTGGCTGAGTCTTGAGGACGAAAGTGGGAGCAGGCTGGGCGCGGCTCTTCAGCTTCCTCGCAACGTCTTTACCTCACTACACCTTATACAATCGCTCGCTTTGGCTTGTTCAATTTTTCTTGTGGCTCGTTCGCTACTACATATATCGATACGCGATCTCGCTACTAGATGGACGCTGCCTTTTTCAACGCTCCCTCTGTTGGTGACAAGCGCGTTACGTCGTATCAGCATTCTGTCGCCGAGTAGTCAGGTGTTTCTTTTGCAATAGTGTTTATTCATACAAGGGTGGCGACTGAGAGTCGTAGGAAGGTGACACGTGCGATGAGAACGAAGAGTTGCTGGGGGCCTTGATCCTAAGATCGCAGCTGACCTCGCTACCGGTACAGGTACCTAATCTAGTGTGATGGGTCTTCAGTTAAGAAGCGATAATAATTTCGTTCAAAAGGAAACATCAAAATGACTAAGAAATAGCTGGTTTGCGTTTTCATGGAAGATCGAAAAATAATAGAGTGAGGAACAATTGTGTGCTTCAGAATCTAACGTGTGCATATGAATGTCGTATCATTGGTCGAGGCCCCTGCACAGAGTACGTAAGCAAGGCTGAACAATGCTGCAACATAACCACAATAGCCTGCTGCCTACCTCTCAGACGCCCACAACACGGGGGAAATCTTCTGCTGCTTAGTCTACGATCCCCCACTACACCATGGGTCTGTTCGACGACCGAACACGTGTGACACCTCATCAGCTTTGTCATTTGTGCCACCAAGTTGTTGCCAAATACTCTCAAGACATGTTCTGGGCCGACATGTTTGAGACCGACAATCCATACAGATGGCTCGAACGGGGGACAATACCTGATCTAGATGCTCCAGATCTAGGCGATATTGCACAGCCACTTGAGCATCACGACTGTCTGGCCAGCTTGGAGGAATCAGCTGCTGAAGGATGTCACCTTTGTGCGATATACTTTCGCCGCCAGCTTTCTTGCTCGGACAAGCCATGCGGTGGACTGCAGCTATACATTCGCCTGTTCAAACGTCAGAAATTCGGATGTCCATCTCTCCTCCTTGAGATGTACGAAGGGTTCCCACCTAACCCGGTTGAATTTAGTATAAGATGGACCGTTGAAATGCGTCACAACCGTTGCACCTCCCAACCTCAGAATTGTTACCGGTACATCGACATCCGTCCGATAGACTCGCACGAGGAAAAATATAAGTGGTGTACCAGCACTGATTGCAATGAATCTTACGCAATGATTCGTTATTGGTTACAGCAATGCGTCGACAATCATATAGAGTGTGGCCGGGGATTGGACAACGTTAAGCCCACGCGGTTACTAGATCTTGCCGCGCCCCTTGGCGATCAAGATATTCGTTTGGTGCTTACTGAAGACATCGGAGAGCAACCATATGCTACATTAAGTTACAGGTGGGGTACAGTTTCTGGCGTCAACCTCATGAAATCTAATTACGAAACGTTCCGCACGAGGATCGTCCTGGGAACACTGCCTCGATCAGTGCAAGAAGCAGTCAGAGTCTGCAGGGGCTTATCGGTTCGATATCTTTGGGTAGATGCTTTGTGCATCATTCAAGAGAGTGGAGCAGACCTAGCACGAGAGATAGCCCAGATGGGATCTATCTACGCAGGATCTCTTGTCACTGTGGCTGCGGCCAATTCGACCCACCACGAATCTGGCTTTATTCGAGAACGATACCCACTCCGAAGAGAGGATTGCATTATCAGTGGTACGGACCAAGAAATTATATTCTCACACGAGCTCCAATACGACAACTTGAACAAGCATTTAATGACTTTGCAGAAGAGTAAACTCAATGAAAGAGGCTGGGTATATCAGGAACGGATGTTATCACCGCGGACGGTACATTTTACAGCAGAGGAAGTTATCTGGGAATGTCGTGAGCTATGTCAATGTTACCAGTGTGCTGGAACATCTTCTGCACGTGTAGGCTCTTCAAGCTCACACGTGAAGAACGCATTTATACACTTGCACGGTCTCTCGAATCCCGCCACACGAGACGAGAAATTTCCCACTGTCTGGTCGTCCATCCTAAGCGCATATACCAGTACAATGTTAAGCAATGCGGATGATAGATTGAGCGCCCTGGCAGGCATCGCTCAATTTGCAATCGAGAAGCTTGATTACAACGCCTCGTATGGCCTTTGGTTGCACGGGTTCCTTGAGAACTTGCTCTGGTGGGTTAAACCCCGCCAGACAGCTGATTTGGCAAGCGAAGTTGAGGCGTTGGATCATGTACCAAGCTGGTCATGGGCAAGTATTCAACCTGGTCTTCGCATTCTTGATGAATCATCTCCGCGTCTCAGGATAGCGAGGTCGGTTCTGTATTCAGCCCTGATTACACGATTTCCGCCCGTTACACCTTTTGGCCCCATCAGACAACTTTCGGAGGGTTTGGAACGATGCTCAGTTCGGGTGCTCGGTAAGGTACGGCTCTGTCACGCTGTTCCATCTGGGACACAGAATGCTGAGCCTAGATCTTGGTCATTGGTACCTATAACAGGGAGTCCGAGAGAAATGGTCGAAAAATACATCACGACTGTCTGGGATGCCTATGGAATGCGGGATACCTCTTTTGAAGCACGAGCGCAATTACGATATATGGTTTTGGAGAGCACCGCTCTCAGCAACAAGACTTTGTCTTTCTCTCCCGATGAGATACCGACGCAAGGGAAGGATTTGTTCTGCATCCTTCTGAATCGCCATGTCAACCGCAAAAGCGATGTTGACCACGAAACAGTTGCTTTTAACGAGCCTCTTTTAAATTTCAATGTCGAAGACCATGGTATTGTTTGCGAATCAGTTGACCAATCCATCAGGCGTTTTCGCAGGGTTGGGTTTTTCAAGGAATACATGTCTGTGGACAATCGTTTCCTAAGAGCACTTTCCGGCGAGTATGAGGGGAAGGTGCCAATGTTCGATAAATCTCGGGCTGATGGCCGCATGTACTTCAAGTCGGATATTTTGAATCACCTGGGATTCCATCGCCACGGAGATGAGGCTCCGGTCAGCTCCTTATCTACAGTTGATGCAGAAACCGGAGTTCGTATGCTCGGTTTCAAATTGAGCGACTTTGGTGATCGAGAGCGCAGTTTAGAGAAGATTGTACCACAGGATCTAGTGAAGGTGGACGGGAAACTTTCCTTATTCAGGGATGGATATGAAGAAGTCGAGATGGAGATCATGTAGGGGACACAGTATGATCTCTAAGGACCTTACGGATTCAGAACTTTTGATCGTGGTATCCCACCTATGATGAACTTCGTCACAGCCAGAATTCATCAAAGCAGCCTGCCAAGCACGACCTTTCAGAAGGCAACTTTCTCTAACGACATATTCCACTCGGCCACAAACTCGGGCAAACGCATACCTTCGGCGTGTGAAGAGCAGCGGTAATATCTGTTATATGCACGTATACATACGCTTTGACGCAACAACGGCTGAAGCCTCAGCGTACAGTCGGCAATACGATCGAATGTCGCTTCGGCGCTCGGCGTGAGCAAATCCGATAGTGAAGGCTAATAAACAAAAGATGCCGGAATGACAGCAAACAGGACGAATACGGGCCTTTATCATCAAGGTTCTCAAATTAATATGTATCTCGACAGCACTCGTGCGGTCCTCAGCCAAGCCGAGTGCAATTGCTCCTTCCTCAATCTCACCTCAGATGAACGCGTACTGCACATTCGCGACCTCGGAGCGCTAGTTTCCCAAGGACCCCAAAGTGAAGGACTTCAAGGACCTCAATTGCCCCAATGATCTCGATGATTCCAAGAAGTAGAGCGCGTGAAGTTTGTTTACCCGCTATGGGTGTGGGGAAGATTCACTTGACAGCGACAACCGTCAAGGCAGTAGGTGCCGGAAATAGAAGAGTACAGCGTTGAAGCAATGATGCATTTCTTTGTGGATATGGACCAGAACGGGATGTCAGTCGTAGAACACAAGATGATTTAGCATCGGTGGCTATATTGCGAGCAGTCGCGAGCTCAAACTATGAGCGGTGTCTGATCTGGCTTCGATCCACCGAGGACGCCTGAAAAATTATGCTGCCTCATAGCAATGTGGCCTCCTTCCTGTCAGGTCACTGTTCTCAATCGTTACGTGGGCCATTTGGTTCTTGGTAACGGCGTCGTATCTTAATAGGGGGCATGAAGATGTCTTCCCATCCGAGTACTGTCAACCGACCTGGGGCCGTGAGTCGTGTAATAACATTATAGTAGCCAAGTATTACGAAAGAAGAAAAAAACCCAATTCCTGCCAACTGCATAAGTAATATCAATAATTGGCTCCTTCAGACGCGACTCGGGGCAACGATCGCACATCGATGCCTATGGTACCTATGGTATAGTGTGGCTGGGAGCATCCAGTTCCTAAAACTGATTAAATAGAATGAAAGTCGACATCATGTTTGCGGCGACCATCTACTCGAAACTATTCGATTCGCGAGTGTGCATTCGGTAGTCAGGGGCTGAGCATCTGCGCGTGCCAACCGATGTCGCGTGTCCATGTGACAATGATGCGAGCCCGGGTCGTCCATGACGTCAATGATCTTTCATCGAGTACCTGAAATACAACATCAACATCGCATCCACGTAACATCACAAATCGAATCGCAACGTACCATACATACCACATAGCCTTCCAATCCATCTTTACTCTATTTCCATTCACACAAGCTACAAACCTCGCCATGTCCTCCAACCAACAACAACCCGGCCTCGTAGCCTCCCACGCGCAGTACGTGAAGGGTGCGGCTGAAGTGAGTTTCCTCTTGTTCTTGCTCAAATTTTATAGACTACAGCAATGTCTTTTCCGTGGACTACGATTGTCATATCACTAACGATTCACCCTGCAGGAAATGGTCGGCCAAGTTACCGGTCTCCCGACCTGGAAGTCCTCGGGTCAAGAAGACAAGACTACCGCCGTCGACGCAATGAAGAAGGCCAGCGAGAACCGCGATCCCAGCCAGGGAATGGGTGGAATTGAGGAGAAGGCCGGAAACCTCGTCGGCTGCGAGGGTATGCAGAAGGAGGGCGCCGAGAGCAAGAACAAATAGACGGCTGACATGACATTGTACGAATAGAGGGATTGGACAACGGAGTAACGACATGAATCACACCAACCGCTGCGGCATGAAACGGAATGAATGATTGGATTGTGATATCGGAGTAGTAATCGTGAAGGTACCGGAGTTTGGCGGAGTGGCAATGATATTCATGACAAAACTTGCCGATGTGGTATCCACCGAAGAACTGATTAAGGATTACCAAAGACATTTAAGCAAGCAAAGAGTCTTTCAAAATATCACATTGCAGCTACAATGCGACATCCTACCCGTCCCTCGGAGCCAATTCTGCCGACCGCACATGACGACATGAGGTTCGTGTCGACAGTCTGACTTCCCACAATCTCAACACCTTCCAAGCCATACACGCTAAACTAAAAAATGGACGTCCAAGCACCCTTCAACCCGTCAGCTCTCTTTTCAGCCAAGGGCTTGGTCGTAGTGATCACCGGCGGAGGCAGTGGTACGTGTCTCAAGCTACCCCGCGCTGCCCCGCCACTGTCCCGCACAGCTTCATATCCTTCACCACGATGGTGACACAGCTCTCAGCCTTCCAATGCTGATGCGAAAACACAGGTCTTGGTCTCGCCTACGCATCAGCGCTCTACCAGAACGGCGCAGAGAAGATCTACATCCTCGGCCGCCGCCTCAACATCCTTGAAGATGCGATCAAAACCCTCGAAGCATCGCCTTCCGCACCTAAGAACGCCTCCTCGGTCCTCGCGGCCATAGCCTGCGACGTCACCGACCAAAAATCCGTCGGCGATGCAGTCGCCCAGGTACAGAAAGAAGTTGGCTACGTCGACGTGCTCATCAACAACGCGGGCGTGCTCGGCCCCACGAACGGCGCAGACTTGTACAAAGCCGAGTCAATCGACCAGCTGAAAGATGCGATGGTGCAGGACTACGCCGGGTGGGACCTCGCCTTCAAAATCAACACACAAGCCGTAATCGGCATGTCCGCGGCCTTCCTTCCCCTCCTCGAAGCCGCGAACACGCGCCGCGGCTGGGCCAAGGGCAAAGTCGAAGGCGAAGGCAACCCGCGCGCACAAGACACTTCCGTCTTATCCAAGATCGGGTGCGACGCCGACGACGACCGCATGGCACACATCATCACGACGGCGTCGGTGGCCTCGTTCATGCGATACTGCACCGCAGGGCTGGCATACAATGCGTCGAAAGCGGGCGCGGCGCATCTGAGCAAGATGCTAGCGTCGTTCCTGGCGCCATGGGGCATCCGCAGCAATGTGATTGCGCCGGGGCCGTATCCGAGCGAGATGACCAAGTCGCGGAGCGCGAAGTTCGGGACGGGCGCCGTACCGCAGGGGCGGATGGGGAGCGCGAACGATATCTCGGCGCTTTTGCTATTTCTGGTAGGGAAGGGCGGGGCGTATACAAATGGTACGGTGCAGGTTACAGATGGCGGGAGGATGGGGGTGTTTCCTGGGACGTATTAGGTTGGAGGCTGGCGTGAGCTGGGATAGATGAGCAGTGATGATAGACACAGAATAGAACCATGAAGATTATGCTATGGCTCTCAGTTGTTGCGTGATTACTCAGGTCAGGTTCAGAAGACGATGAAGTGTAAAACTCCATGCCATGGCCTTACATCGATCCACAATGGAAAGGAGACCGCTCCAAAGTATCTCCCTCTTCCACGGCCATAACAATGTACCGACATGGCTTTACAATTGAACAAGGCAATGTGCATCCTGGGGCTACACGCACATGATCAACTCAAGGCCAACACATTTCCATTCATGAGTAAGATTGCGTAGAGGTATATATAAACAAGCATCCTCCAGACACTCAAACACTACAGCCTAAGTGCATCCCTCACCCTCTATTCACCCCGAGCTTCTTCACCTGTTCCGCAAGCAGTTTCTCCACCTCCTCCGTATGCGTGCTGAAATTATCCACCAAATTATCCCACATCTTGGGCTCGTGCTCATGCAATTTCTCGCTTGACCATGCCCACTCGGTAATGGTGAACGGGCGGCTACTCTCCATCATAAACGCGACCGCACCTTCAGAAATCCTCATTTCCGGGGGAGGTGCAGCGGATGCTGCCTTGAACTCTTCGTACGCGACGCCGTGGGGCACGAAGCCGCACTCGAAGGAGACGCCGCCAGGTTGGAAGGAGTCACTGCGGCCGGCGTATTCGCCGTAGATGAGGCCCATGAGCTCGGAGGCAGCGTTGCGGTGGTAGTAGGGCGGGCGGTACTGTATGTGTTAATTTCTGCGTACTACTCCGGACCTCACGATTGAGCAAGGGGAACAATGGTACGTACAGTGTGGCTGGCGACGTCCCATCTGGGGCTAAAGATGAGGAAGTCCGCGAGCGGGGCGGACGGATCGCGGCTCGGCGCGGTCAAGACGCAGAAGATGCTGGGATCGATGTGGTCCACTGAAATCGAGCCCACGTTTACAAACTTGGTTAGGTCGTACTTGTAGGGCACGTAGTTGCCGTGCCAGGCGACGACATCGAAGGGGCTATGGTTCTGCGTGGATTTGAAGAACTTGCCGCCGAGTTTGTAAATGATTTCCCAGGGCTCTTTTTCGATTTCGTATTTGGCGACGGGGTGGAGGAAGTCGCGGGCGTTGGCGAGGCCGTTTGCGCCGAGAGGGCCTTGTTGAGATGTGTTAAAGTGGACAAGTAGCGAGGAGGGAGAGGTTGGTACCTAGCTCGGGGAGTTGGAAGTTGGAGCCCCAGATCTCGAGTATGTAGCCGCGGGTTGGGCCCTCGACGTTGACTTTGAAGCGTTGGCCGCGCTGGATCACGCAGATTTCGCCGGGCTGGACGTAGAGCATGCCGAACTCGGTTTGGATGTCCTGGGCTCCTGATCAGCAAATCTCTTCCGTTGATGCCGTCCAATTCAACAATCCCCCACACAGAACCAGAACAACATACCAAATTACCCTCTTGTGCCACAATTAAGTAATCTCCATCTGAGTTCACCGTCGCCCTCTTCTGCATACTCTTGTTGCACAGAAAGCTATGCACCGCCAGCCCCTCCCTCAGCGTCGGATCCCCGGACCCCGCAATCGTCTTCAACCCCCCGACAAAATCCACATCATTATCCTTCGGGATGTCGAATGGGAGCCATGCGAGCTGCGTGGGGGACACATGCACACGCGGGTTGAGCGGCAGGAAGCAGGACTCGGTGTCTTTGTTTTCAGGAAGATCGGTCTGGGGTTTGTTAGTGTTGTGGTCAGACACTGACTAGGTAATGGTGGGAATGCGTTTGGAGTGTGGGATGATAATCTTGGGATATCTCCTTCGGAGAACGCCGCGAGGGTTAGGGCACGACCGCCGGCCTGGTATGCGGCGTAGGAGGCCTCAATGCACATAGATCCCAGATGGGAAGCGTGAAGTCAGACGAGTGTAAGCTCCGAGCGTACGCCCCGCATGCTGACCGTCCACACTCTTCTCTTCCTCCTTGATCTCGTAGGGCTGACGAAAGATAATTTGGATTCCACTCACAAATCCCTGATGTGCGACAGCCGGCCTTGCTCTGTAAAGCCTGAAGCGGGTCGTCAGCATCCGATCGCGAAATCACGTTCTGTGCTACGCACCAAGCTTTCTTGTTCAGGTGTCTGGGCGCAACGAACGCCGTGGCGGTCATCTGCTCAGCGTAGAGCCCGAATCTCACGTTGCGTGGCGAGTTCTGGCCCTGGGGTATTGTGCCTACACCGATGGGCGTGGTCAGAGTCGTGTCGACCGAAGTGGAATCAATCTGGGATGGCAGGACGGCGGTTAATTACCCGGAACGGCCTCGCTCTCGAATATGTTGTCGAAGCCAGCTTGATACTATGGATGCGGTGTCAGCGTGGGCCGTCGCAATCAATCGGTCATGGTAAGCTCACCTCATAAGGATCATTTTTCCTTGTTCGGAACGACGGGACTGAGCCATCCTTTTGAGTATCCGCCCAGTGGAAGATCTTCTGGTATTCTGTAGGGTTTTCTAGAGGAGCCATGCTGAGTCGACGTGCGTTAGGCTCTGTAAGGCCGGATAACTCCAAGAGGGTTTATCGATGTAGAAAGAAATGCTGTCAATTGAAGGCGCATGTCATTAAGAAATTGGGGTTCATGGACCCCACATCAGGGAGCTCCATGAAGTGGGGCCAACTAACTGAGGGGCATTGAGGCTCTTGGTGTCTTGCTTCCAATCAAGAGCGGAAGACCTGAGCAAGAGGGTCTTCGAACGCGTCGATGCCGCCTAGGAGGGATCCTACCCCAACTGCCGATACTGTCCACGAAGTATCTCCTGGGAAGAAGGAGCGAATGGACGAATGAATGAGGGGTAGCTCGACGCAGCTACCGGTCGACAAGTTAGCCCGACCCATTACATTGCTGTTCTCATTCGATTATTCCCCGGCAGAACCGTCGGGCCGCTCGTACATGCTCCAACACGTGGAGACGCGGCGGGGTGAATGTCTTTCTAAGCTCTGTGTCAGCGGCTCCCCTCATCGTCGCAGGTAGCACAAGCCCCTCCATCTAACCTCGGCCGAAAGCAGCGCGCTCTCATCCATCTCACACCGATCGCGCTTCGCTCGCCCTTGCTGTGCCTTTGCAGTGCGTAAGCAGCAACGCGTGAAAGCCACAAGAACCTTCTTTCAGCCCTGCTAGACACAGTCTCACGCATCGTGTGGCACCGTCTAGCCGCGGAATTCGCCTACGTGCGACGTCAAGCTACAAGCAAGTCCAACCAAGGCCCTCGCGCATGCCCGCGCATCGCGGACGTCAAAGCCAATCTTCATGCGAGTGAGATGATGTTGCACCCGCGCTCTAGCACCACCGCGTACTGCCCGCTGCGGCAACGCGTTCTGTCTGCGGTCTCGAGCTCCTTGGGCTCGCCAGGCCGCCCGCTTTGACTTTATTGCACACTGCTATTTAAAGCGCTGCATTATATTGATCGATGGCGAGCGCAACGCGATGAGAGGCGAGGCCACCATCGCTATCGCATTCCAGTCCGACCTGCGCCCGCTTGCCGCAGGCTGAACGGCCCTGCTCACTGTCGTGACGTTCGCGTTCCCCTTTGAAGGTTCGTATATTATTGCTGCCGGAGCGCGCTTTCCGCGAACAGCACCGAGAATGCCATGCGATCTAGATCCTGATATCACAGGCAACAGGCATCTGGGTTGCCGTGACTACGACACCGCCATTCGCCCGCCTAGCTCGTCCATCAGCACTCCAACGTCCATGTCTATGCCCATGTCCACGCCATGCTCATCAAGCAACTGTGACGACAGCCGCGTGTTGCACGTTGTGGCGCGACCCCGCACTCGCATCCCCTCCATGCGATCGCAGGTGGTCCGAGCCCTCGCGCGTCACGGATATGCAATGCAATATGAAGATCCAGGGCCTCTAGCCCCATGCACAACACCATCTTCTTTCAACGTCGCTTAATTCGGAAAGTCACGGACCTCGACCACACACCCTCACGCACCGTACTCAGCTGGCGCTTGCGCGAAACCGTGAAGGTGGCATCGCTAGACTGGGCGTAGACTTCAAGTCACGCACGGTTCTTGCAGCCGGTCGATAACGCGCGCGCCGTACCAGAGCGGGGGCATGTCGGGATTGTTTGATTCATGGCGAGAGCGCTAGAGAAAGCCGTCCGCCCTCGAGCAGAAGTCGGTGAGGCCCATCATGCCATCATGCGCTCCTCGCGCGCGCAGCGTCCGGAGGCGCAACAGCAGTCCGACTGTTTTCTGATCGGTGTGCTGCTCTTCTTCAGAGCTCGAAACCGTGATTGGAAATACGCAGTAACCATCTAGCCCAAGTCCGAGGCTGCACTGGCCCGAGCAGCCACGAGGCAAAGAGGGTAGAGATCTCCCAGAACTCGTCCAAACAAGGTGGGAGCCAAGCTGAATCTAAGACAAGCCATATGACTCGTCCGCTTCAGCGCCCGCCTGTGAACGTGATGCTGTGGCAAGGTATAGCATCCCTGCCAACGACTGCCGGAAGATCCGTTGCAACTGTTGGCGCTAGGGTACACGGACAGGCCTACGGTCGCTGTGGATCGTGTCGAGGCCATGGCAAGGGTGCAAGATGGTAGAGCTTTGGAGTGGTGCACTGGAGTGAGGTTGATTGCGAAAGCGCCCGGTAGACGAGTCAATCAGAGCGCGAAAGCACGCAGCGTGCAACCGCGACCGTGTGTAACATTGATGAATTCTACTTGACCGGTTTGATGCCCCGGAAAGGTGTGTTTGCTTCGTAACAAAGACGCGACGCACGACGCGTCGCTCCGCCCAGACACCGCGCCACCCAGACACGACATACTCGGTGCCAGTTGCGCTGCCTGGGCTCAGTCATTCATCCAGGCGGCGACGCGGTTTCCCCCAAAGCGTGCAGCAAATCGCAGGCCCGTGGAGCCCATGGGGAAGTATGATACCGTGTAGAAGGCGAGGGCTACCAGCTGTGCAACGGTAGCAATGAATGTGAGGATGAACATTTGGAGCTGTGTGATCAGGTGGCTAGACGTCAGTAAACATCCAGACGACCATATCGATAAGCTAGCGTGGGGGAGAGAGGCAGGACAGAGATGCGCGCAGGGTTCAATGACAGGGGCAGGGATGGCGAACTGCCGTGACCTACCACCAGACTAAAGTAGAGTGTGAGGGCAATGGTGCCAAAGTAAGCCGCCGTAAAGGGTAGTCGAGGCCCAGACACAAGATGTTGGACTAGGGCTGGTCAGCAGCAGCTTGAAGGGCGACAGTCAGGCTTTCTTACTGTAAGTCAAAGGACCCATCAAGACGCCCCAGGCGCATAGGAAGAGTAAACTAGCCATCGACCACTTGAGTCAGGGAACACAGGTTAGCTCCACAATGTCCATGTAATGCCTGCCAAATGCACATGGACGAGATGTTGGATTTAGGTATGCCCTTCTGCAGTGCGCCGGTGCTAGCACCCGCATGATCGATGCAAAGGGTCCAATGCAGATCGCACGGTGGCTAGAGGGGTCATGAGTGGCACACCCCCCGAAACAACAGACGCCATTCGCCAGAGGCAGTCCTTTGTAATCGGCGAGTGGAGCTCAAAAGCCATAGCGGAGGTGCTATTACCCTTGATGGGAGATGCACCACAGTTCGCAGCTGGACCAGGGTAAGACACACTAAGTGCCAGTGCTTCACCACAGATGATTTCACCACTCTCGGGGCGGCCATGCGATGATAGATTTGGAAGCAAGCAAACCGGTTTCAACTTACAAGTATGGCAAATTTGCTTGGCCGAGCGATGAAGATGGGTGTGAACATAAGTCCAATGCAGGTAGCAAACAACGCTACCGACGCAAGCAGCAACCCGCCTAGTGCAATCAGTCGTTGTGCAAGATCAACCCATGCAGCAAGTACCCACCAAAGATCAGCATGCGGTCCCATCGACTCACTGTGGAACGCAGTTAGCAAAGTTCAAAAACAACGGCCGCGGATATGCAAGCCTACTGCACCCAGGAGGGTTTACGCAGGAACTCCCTTCTGTCACGCCGGCCGGTCGCTGCACGATCAGACCAGGTGACGTACTAAGGACCCAAAAGATTAACTGTTGAATGAAACAAGATAGGGGTGCGCTGCATCCATGATTCTTGTCGAGCTTCGGTATGGGATTTTGGAAAGTGCATCTGAGACTACGGCCTCATGCAGAGCGCTGCGGGTCCGTCACGAGGACAACCGGCAAGACCCAAAAGCGCCGAACATAAGTAGATCGAGATCTGAACCTTTGCATGCCTAATAGGCATTGTATGGGAAGTGAATGTCCCCGGCGCAGGCAGTGAAGTTGGGAGGAAGGGATGGACGTTGCCACCGTCCAAATAGAGAAACAGGGTCAACTTACGGGCAAAGAACCCTTCTTCTTCCTCTCTCCTCGTTGGTGCGGGTAGAGGTGCTCCGGGTCCATCATTCGAGGTCGGCAGCCTGACATAGCCCCCCGACCCGAAGGGGTTCAAGTTCTGAAGCCGTCCCATCAGGGTGGGCGGCGCGGTGTTCACGGGAACATCGGGATCTCTTCTGGTCCATCCTAGAGAGTTCATCGAGTCGCGGAACGAGGCAGACGCCATGCTGCGTGGTGGTGCTGTTCTCGGTCGGGTCGCGGCCAAGATGTGGATGCTGGCGCAGGAAGAAGCCTGTTTTGGACTGGAACACACAGCGATGGTGGAGAGGATGGGCTGCAGTTGCACCGAAGCCTTTCGAGGAGCCGCAGCAGGCGACGCACGATAGCCGGGCCCTGATACGCACTAGGCAGCGACCCGAGGAGGGCTGTCCCTGCTCAGCAGCCTGAGTCGTCGGCCTGGGAGCGAGTGGGTGCTGCTGTGGCTTGGCTGGCCGGCGGGGGCACGACAATGGCAGCGGCCGTTGTGTTGCGGCAGAAGGACAGAGAGCTACACCTGCACCGCGGCTCGGGGGATTATGTGCAGATGATCTTCGCCGCGTCGTCTGCAGTTGTGCGGATAGGCCGTCCAATGGCAGCTGCCAGACAGAGGTCTCAGACAGGGCGCCCGGTGCGTGAGGCTTGTGACGAGAAGGCAGCTGCTGGGAGGACGCTGGCAGAGGAGCCCGTGGCGGAGGCTATTGGACGGGAGCGTGCGGCGGGAGGCCGGGCTGGGGGGAGGGTCGCAGCAGCAGCGGCGGGGGGCAGGCCAGGGCAGAGGGAGGGTCGCAGCGCGAGCGTGTGGGCTGGTGGGGGGTGTGCTAGGTGTGTGCACTGTATGCGGCACTGGGATGGCGCTCAGCGCTGAGGCGTGACGGGCGATGCTCGAGCTCTGGCGGAGGCGCGCGCGCTAGCGGCGCCCGGAGGCCTGGGGAACGGCGACCAGGATGTATATCAACTTGTCACCAGCGCCGCAACCACAGCGCGCGGCCAAGGCGAACTACCCTCTGCTGAGCTCGCCTGCCTCGCAAACGGTGGGCGGCGCGCCAGGTCGCCCGTCCGGATCGAGCTGGCGCCAGAGTGCAGAGCGTGGGCGTCGCCATGGCTGGGAGGTGAGACACCCGTCCCCTCCGTCGTCGACGTCCATGGCAAATGCCCACTACTGCCCGCGGGTGACCTTTTGAGGCCGCCGGGAACAAGCCCGCGCGCAGGCAGGCATGATGATGGAGGGCCCACGGCCCACGCTTCCATGCTGGCCGTAATCGATCGGGCTGATGAGCCACACTGGCGACGAGGGCGTCCGTCTGGTGAGATTGCATATGCTCACCGTGGGAGCGAGAGCCGCGCTGGCTGCGGGTATAATAGTCTGGCTGCCGTCCCGCATCGCTCCGGCCAACCACGCCGCCCTCGTCTGCATCTACCTACACACATTTACATACACATGCACTGCTGTTCGCCGCCTCCCTCTGCTCCACCCCGTGTACCAAGATCCTGCATCCCGCTCACACGCGCTACACACGCTCGCCGCCGCACCCCGAACCGCAAGACGTCATACGCCTCGCGGTGCCGTGCAGCGATACACCAGCCAGATCGCCCCCAGCACGCCGCCCGACGCACAACAGAGTGCGTTTCTTTTGCCGAACCCCGCGACGAGCAGCGCTGCACCCGGCGCGCTGATTGATTGAGTGCGTGAGTCGTGGGCCGCCGACGCCGACCTTCGCTTGGCACCGCCCGCATACCCTAGTCGTCGCTCGCCCGTGGGCTGGCCCTGGCGTGCAGACCGCCTTCTGTGCCCTCTCCCGGCGCGGCCACCACCTCGATTCTCACCGGGCTCGAAACACCAACATCTCTCTCTCGCGCTGCGCGACCCTCTGCCTGCAAACGCCGGCCCCCATTGTCCCGCCGCGCATTGTCCCGCCGCCTGCTAGCGCGCGACTGCGAGAGCGGATCCCGCCCAATTCCCCCCACCTCCAGGCCCTCTCCGCTACCCACATATCCAGTATTCCACCTGAGCGAGTTACACAGAGCCCGCCGACAACACCCCCTCTTCTGCAGTTACGCCTTTGGACGAGCGCCGTCCTCCTGCGCCGCCGTCCGCTCCCCGGTCCATCTGTCCCGCACTTTGTCATCTAGGCCCACCAGCCTTCAAAGAGACAAACGTGTGCCACCAGCCTGCTCCCCACGACCGCAAGTTTGCTCCTCTGTGCGCGGCGCCCTCCCGCGCCAACGCCTGCTCCGACCTCTCGTCGAGGCCACCTCCAGCCCTTCGAGTCGCGGCCCGAGTCGCGATTGCCACTTCCTCGACCGCGAGGCGAGGTGAGTCAAACGCCCCGTCGCTCCTTCCTCCCCTCTCCCCACCTGCATATCGCGGCCTGGCGCACACACACAGTATCCCACACGGCAGAATTGGCGCCGTGCGACCGGCCTGCCGACTGTTTCTCTGCTTTCGGCTCCCCGTACCACAGTCCCCACTACGCCCAGAGTGCAGACGCCTGTCGTCCACCGCCGCTCGCCTCTGCCTGTGCGCCACACCTCTGCAACCTCAGAGCTCGTCGTCGGACTCGGTATCTGTGAGAGCCTGCCGCTGACATAGTACTCCAGATCGGCCCGAGACCACAGCCACGAGTTTCGACGCGCCCGATCATCGTCCCATCCTCCCGCGCATACACACCTCTGCGCCGCCCACCACACCGCAGGGAGTAGCCAGGAAATCACCTTCCCCCTGTGCGAGCATCGCAATCTAGCTCGCCGTGTCCGGTGAGCCATCTCCTCCCCCCCACCAGCGACCTGCAGCTGCTTCTGCGTCCCCCAGTGCGCGACTAACGCTTCTTATGCAGAACAAACATCCTCTTGTCTCGAGTGTCTATCTACCACGCAAGCGAGTGCCCCGAGCTTTGCCTTTCTGATCGTGTGGCCGTTCTAGCAATCGGCACCCCAGGCTTTTTATAGGGTCACCGGCTGTCTCGTGCTGCCAGTTCCCTGCAAACCTTTGACTGCATTCCGTAGTCATTCGCTTGGACAAAGTAAGAGCGTTTCAGGTCATTGAGACTCGGGACCATTACCGGCTCGGCCTTAACATCGCATTCCACAACCCACTGTAACCTTCAGTAATGCCACAGCCTAGTAAGTACGCCCCCGTCACATCCCCACCCCTTGGTTGTCATGAGAACATCCTGGGCCGCACCCCTGTTGCCCTGCCTCTCTCTATTACCATATATTGCTTTCCTCTTCTATCTCCATTCCATTTCCAGTCAATCAACCTCTGCTGTCGCCATCATGCTCTATGAAAGCATACTAACTGTCCCTCAAGCGGACGCCCTTTTCACTCCTCCATCTTCCTACTCTCCTCAAAAGACCCTTTCGAGGTTGGACTTTCGCCCGGATCCTTTCTCTGACGACACACTAGACCCAGACATCTTTAACATGGCCGGTAGTGGCTCGCCGACCCCTTACATCAAAGAGGAGCACGACGACTTCACGCACAACAATTTCATCTCCCAAAGCGGTTTCAGCATGAACTCGTTTGGTAATCAGCAATTCAGCGCACCCCACGAGAGTGGAAACGGTATCAATCCATCTGACCTCACCATGAGTGGGAGCATGAACATGAACAACCACTTCGGTGGCTCCAACGGCTACATCGCCGGCGGTGCGGGCATTGCAGATGACGAGCTCGCAGATTCGCTGGGCAACTTTGAACAGCACCAAGGATTCGATGCATTTGGACAGAACGAACGTTCTCACCAGCAAGACTTCTTCCAGCCGAGTGGCAGCCATGTCATCGGCAGCCACCAAAACATCAACCACCAGCTGTACTCCAACACCCCTGACGACGCTCCCATTCAGAGTCCCTTTGTCAACCCCAACGGGTTCGACTTTAACCAATATCACAACCGACATCCCATGGGTTTCTCCGGTAGCATGCAGGGCAGTCAGGCACGGCCACGCATCTCCATGAGCCGCCTTCCGTCCGACAACAGGAGCCCAATGTCACCCAAGACTCCAGCCATCAGCAATCTGCACTTGGGCACGCCAGACTCAGGCAACTTTGGTTCTCAGCCCATCATGGCTTCCCGCATACATGGGCACAAGCCTAGTATGTCGTCCACTCAATGGGATGGTACTCCAGGAAGCGGCCACTCCAACAGTTGGGTCGACTCGCCGAGCTCACCCCACGGCGGTAACCTACAGCATCATCAAATCTCCGAGGTCATGCACTCTGCCAAGCATGCATCTCTGCCCGCCAAAGTTGACATCGGTCAGACGCAGGATGCAAAAAAGCGTCGCCGTCGTGAATCTCACAACCTTGTCGAGCGCCGTCGTCGCGACAACATCAACGAGCGCATCCACGATCTTTCTCGACTTGTACCGCAGCATCGTCTGGAGGATGAGAAGATCCGCAAGCACATCAACAACAACGGCCCGCTCTCACCTACCTTGGGCGCCAGTGGCATGTCGCCCCCACAAGCGACCTCGTTGTTGGCTGGCGGTGCCGGCAGACGAGCAGCTGGCAACATCACGCAAGGACTGCCACTTGAAGAGAAAGACAAGGGCCCTAACAAGGGCGACATCCTCAACGGCGCTGTCAGCTGGACCCGCGACCTGATGTGGTTGCTCTACAAGATGACCCAGGAGCGAGATGAGATGCAAGCTCGCCTGCAGCAGCTTTCGCCCGGAGAGAACTGGGAACCCGACCAGACTGAAGAAGTACGCCGTATGCGCACGGAACTAGTGGACGCTGTGGAGAAGAACGGCTTCTCCACCTTCAAGTACTCCCGCGGCCCAGGGTCAGGACTCCGCGTTCCCAAGCACACCAACCTCGCCGGCGAGCCTCTCAATCACACGCCGCAGAGCCTCAGCCCGGACATGCAGAGCAACGGCAGCGGTTCGAACATCAACGCGAACAACACGTCACATCAATACTGGACGAACCAGAGTCTGAAAGAAGAAGATGAAAACTTCATGGAACTCAACTAAGTCCAAGGAGTTGGCACCATCTGTCCTCGGCATCCTTCTGCATCGTCCGCTTTCCTATTGATGATACCCCCCGCGATACCCCCAGCACGTGCGGCATGTGCACTTTCTTTATCGACGTTGCTCCAGACTGCCATCTAAGGTCTTAGACGTGGCTCCTATATCACCGAGATCTTCCATGCATGTCGAAGCGACCGCGCCGTCCTCCTGTGCTGGCCATCAGAGGAACGCCTCCGTTATCTCCGACAGCATCGGCTTATCACGTCCTTCACATATATGATCTTCGATCTCATGTTTCCTACGGCGTAGTTGATTATCGGTGTGCATACTTTATCGGCGTACAACTCCCAGCCTGGCCAGGCTCCGAGCTCCGCTTTCTCGTTTATCTGCTTTTCCTATTTCGCTGTCTATTCTCGCTATAGACAAACACGCTTTTGTCTGTCATTCACTTCACCCCGTTTTCGAATCTATGATCGTCTGTTCTTGATTTTAGGTTGCATGGGCGGGGTCGATTTGGGCATATTGATGGTTTAGTTCCTACACATGTTCATGTTTTCACGGATGAATCTACATTCGGCATCGGAACTCAACGCACTACATCGCGGATGATGTCTTGCTGGGCTCTGGTACGGGTCTGTTTTTCGTTGCTCTATTCATGTTATCATTTCCTTGTTGCCGATGGCTTGAGCTATTTCATTCATGTAGTATCCGAATCCCCCTAATACATCTCTATTACCTATTGTCAAACGTGCTCGCTCGTGCCTTTGTGTGTGCCTGTTTGACTTGACCAAACATGATGGGTGCCTAAGATGCCCGTAGGATCAAGTGAGGCTGCCTGGCTTGCTCGGCCGGCCGAGTCATCCGCTTCCCCACCCGCCTGGTCCCGGTGGATATCGCTGAGCAAAGCAATATTTGCACAGCCTCCTTGGAGTGGTGGGTGGGTACGTAGACCTCCAAAAGGAGGGTGGGCGCACGGCCCACAGGAGGCTCTGAGGGATGGGACATCGCCACCACAGCCTTGTCACTTCACTGAAGCAAGACAATCATATCAGTCCGCGGAAATAAGCTGCCTCGTAAGTACATGAGTCATTCTACGGAAAGGCAGATATTGTGCAGTTTCAACGACCATGTGGCTTGCTTGAATCATGATGTCCTGTGAAGGTGTGTGTTAGATGCCTAGATACCGCCATTAAGCCGCTCAGTGACCTGAACGAGCTACCGAACGAGGCAGTCTTGTGAAGCAAACTTTATTCAGGCCTCGATGTCTTAGTACTGTCTTTGTTTGTGTCTTGCTTTGTCTCCGAGGCAGCACCCACACGTACACCTTCTTCATCACAGCGAAAAGTGGGCCATTTTGATTCGAAGTGGGACGGGTTCACGAGTGCATAATGGAGGATGAAGGATGGAGGGTGCAGTATGGCGACGGACAAAGACGGCTTGCTTGCCTTGCTTTGGCCAGCCTCGTAGTGTCTGTAGATTCGTATCGCACATGCGCGTACACCCGCAAGCCATCGCACCCCATCACAAATGACTGAATCTTACGCATCACTCTTCCATTTCACAGCCCAGACCCCGTCTTTCCTCCTCCACCTCGTCCTACATCCAACTCCACTCTAGCACCGGCGCCGCCACGCCGCTCTACCCAGATGCTGCACATGAAAACAGAAAAGGCGTGACAGCTACGCCGTCCGGATCCCTTCTCCCACTGCGGCACCCGGCGCCTCGCTTGCACGCGCCGCCTCTACCGTCCCGCGGGGAGACAGCGGTCCTGGTCAGACGAGCGTTTTGCGCATGCCGAGCATCTGGTTGCTTTTCGTAGATAGATTGATGGAGGGATGCTGATAAGTGCTCGTGCCCCGCCCATGTCCGCCTGCTATGCTCCAGTGCACTCGGCGGCCATGACAAAGGCCCGCAGGTGAGTCTGTCTGAAACACCACACTGCGGTGAAGCCAGCGGGCATCCAGGAATCCGGAAAGGTCGTCCTGAGCAAGTTTATTCCACCCGACGCAACGCCTCCGTGGTACAAACCTCCATACCTTTCTCGACACTGCACTCTTCATCTGTCTCCAGCATCGGCAAGCCAGCCCGGACGTGCTCCCCCACAGAAACACAAGATACAGAGTGCAGACGCTGTACTCTCTCAACACTGCGTGCCTGCGCACGACCTCACTGACACCGAGTAACAAGGATCTTGACATGTGGAGACGTTCTGCGCCTGCGGTCCTGCGGTGGCGAACCAAGCATGCAGCGTAACCAGCTGCTGCTGCCGCTGCCGACGCCGGCGTTTGAGACTGAGCGCAGGCCGCTTCTTAATACAACGCAATATCGCCAGATGTGAACGTGTACCATGACAGAATGCAGCCGGCTTCGCTTCTGAGGCGAGTGGAATGCAGCATTCGCATCTACGGTCTACTTACCACTGCTTGCTACTCTTGGTCGTCAAACGACGCCGTCATCGGTCTGTAGTCCTGCACTGCATCCCGCACACCCACACGCCCACTGCAAGAGTCTCATGGCGAACCGAATCACCTGCCCCGCTGCACGACGCGCGGACCCGGAGCCCCGGCGCAGAGCCGTCGCTGCCACCGCCGCCGCCGCCCACCGCAGCTAAGCACTCCATCTTGCCGCGCGCACCGCCTGAGGTGCGGGCGTGCAGAGGACAGTCAGATCTTGGGGGGACCAAAGGCGGTGGTCAGTGAGCTCGGTTGCGCGCAGGCTAGTGCAGGCATCCCGTCCGCAGTGCGACGTTGCACCCCGCGTCCGACGATCGGTGGTTCTGCCGATCGATCCCGCTTCTGGCGAGTGTGGATGACGGATGTCTTAGGTGGTGCGGAAGACGGCCTGCGGGAGGAGCAGGGTGCGGAGGCAGGTGCGAGATCATGATTCACGGGGTGGGAGCTGTGCGAAGGGCAATAGTGAAGTCGAATAAAGGTTTATTGATACCTCGTATGTCGTAGCTTCGGTGGCTGAACGTTGGGACGTGTCGCATGTGGTGCTTGCTGCTGTGGCGAAGCATTACACCAGCGGTTGTCCTCCCAATAGTCTAATACACCTTTCCCCGCTCTTCATGCATTGCATTGTCGTTCCCGGTACACTGTCTCGTCGACTCCATCTTGTGTTCAGCCCTTGGATTGTCTCAAAGTAAGACATGGAGATAGCGCAAGGCGAGATGTGATGTAACCTGTCAAAGCTGTCGTCTATCCCCAGAGCGTTGCCGCGAGACCTGGGCAGAGCGTTGGCCCTGAGTGGTCCAGACGAAGAGCAGGGATGGACTCGGCTATTCGGATACTGCCGAGCCGCAGAGTGGGAGCCGCAGGTCCCTTCATTCCTCTCGATACGGCGCCTTATCTAGGAGGCGCGGGGCTTACCGTCGGTTTGCGACTGCGGTTGCTGCTGGGACGGGGTTGCAGTCGCAGCCTTGGGCGCTTGCGCTGGGCCATCACTGTCATCGCCGAAACCAAGGTTCTTGAACGAGTCAGGCGCCATGAGATTCCTGTCGCAGCAGACACGGTCAGCAAAGTTCTAGGGCAAAGCTATTTTAGGCAGTCGTAGCCCGTTCGGATGCTGCCGAGGCAGTGTGACAGAAGCAAGTGGGGATGAAGGCGTTGCTGGAGGCGCTGCAAAGTGTGGAGAAGAGTGGAGCAGTCGAGGGTGTCGAGCCAGAATCGCGACGAATGGAGCAGTGTGTTTGCCCATCTGACAGCTCCGACAGCTGCGGTTGGTAGCTACGGCTTTGCTCCTGGCTGAAACAGAGGAATGGGGAGTACAGCCGGTCTCCCTTGCTGCAAGAGAAGAGCCCCTATGCGCAGTCTATTCCACGAGTCCCAGGAGCCCGGTCAAGTCACTTTGACAGATCGGTACCACAAGATCCACTGCCTCCCTTGCTTCGGACTCAGAATGGCCATGGCTTGCTTCGGTGACAAACATAGCTGCGCCGCAGTGCGCGAGGCTGGAGAATCGGGACGTTTCGATAAAAAGGGATCGCTGGTACGTACCGATCCATACGGCAAGTCAGGTATTGTTTCGACAGTTCGCGACACGCCGGATCGTTGGTCCCACGGTGGGATCGGATGCAGCTCAGATAGCGCGAGATGATGTGCTTGCACTCGCCTGGAATGCTCAGTCAGCGGTGGCCAGAGTGCTCCGGAGGGCGATGCGAGGCAGAGGGAGGATTGGGTGTCCAGAGCGTGGGATATGGGGTACGGACCGTCATGGTCGAGGGGGAATGAGCCGCGCTCCGGGCTGCCCGCAGCATCTGTTAGCGACTTCCATCTAGGGCGTGTGTTGCCGGCGCAATGGGACGGCAGCTTGGGTTAGGGACGCGTAGAGCGGTAGCCAGGTTGCAACGTACGGTGTCGGTCGGCCAGCCTTCACTTGGCCGCCGGGACTGCCAAAGGTACTCATGACGTCGAGACTTGTCTTGAAGCCGCGCTCTGCGCAAGAGAGGGTTGCAGGCCGTATGCGGTGGCGTCAATGGTTGCGAAGGTAGGTCGATTGCTTTTGCGCAGCTCCAAATAAAGATGGCGCGGTTCATGGCCCGTGCGCAGGCCCTTCACCATCCCTGCCGCTTCGGGATGACGCGCTTCCACAGCCCCACCAGACCTGTCCGCGGAGCCATGTCCCGCTGCAAGTGATACGTGCGCACACAAAACGCGCACATATTCCCAGATGAATCGATCCCGTTTCACCAAGGGCTTACCACGGTCGCGAAACTAGCGCTGGTGCTGGGTATGACAGGCTGTCAACCGGTAGTGCACAAGTGCCTGAGACCTCAGCGCAATGAGAGATCGGGACTTCATATGCTTAGGAGATGGGCTGCATTATTAAGCCGGGTGATCTACCTTCTTTCCACGCTGACAGCCCAGCCGTACCGCGGATCATCCAACGAAAGACGTCTGCACCACGAATAATCCTGATGATCTGACAGGGTTGTTCAGGTGTCAATGTCTACGCATGCATGGGTGTTGAACCTGCCCAGCGCTGTCGCGGCGGTTCGACAGTGAACTAGAAACTGTCTGGTGCAATGACATGTGGCTAGCAACGAACTACAGCTGTCCGGCGCCCTGATAGCGGGTCGGCAGTGAACGACGCCCAGCCTGCCCCTGGACGTGTCAAGGTAATCTCAGTGTCCGTTGTTTTGCGCGGTCCTTGAATCGACAGCAAGCTGCTTCGTGCAGGGATCTCCAGAAGCATATTGTCCACCCACGGTCTTCTTCTTTGTATTTGAAGTCGGGTGAGTGTTGTAGGCCTCTACACTTACAACCCCGCTCAAGTCCACGTCTAGTTAACACAAGTTAAAAGGTCTAGCAGATGAGGTCGCACCATTCGCTACTGTCTGATGCATTGCATCGACAACCTCCAGTGAAATGATCAATATTGCACACCTCCTTGTATGCGAAGAGACTTCCACACAGCCGGCACGTGCAAGCTGACGCGCCTTTCCCAGTAGTGAACAGGACGGACACTCAACACATGCAGACGGCCATTCCGCTGTATAACAGCGATATCTCATCTCATTTCATACGCATCTCTGTCCAATCCCGTCTCAATCTCCCATTTCCAGGCTCCCATATGAAGTTCTCCCATCTCAAATCCTTGTCCGGCCTCACCACCACTTCTATGCAAGTTGCCATGATTGCCACCGGTACTCCTCGAGACCAAGCAATCGACGTCACAGCCTTCAAATCCGACATTGCCCTCAACGCGCTCTTCACCGACCTCGGCGCCGCCCTCAACAAGCCCGCGGCGGACATCCAGCAGCACACGATCGACGCCCTGTCGACTCCTGGGGTGAATACCCTCATCAACAAGTTAAAAGTTGGGTATAGCACCAAGTCTGATGCCGAGGCGCAGGATGTGCTTGATATGGTGTTTATGGCTGCCGTGGATGCTAGGTTGAAGAAGGCCGGGGAGAAGGGGCAATCTAGAACTGGCGATGGGAAGGGAAGGGGAGTCCGAACGGAACGAAGAAGGGCAAGAGGGGCGCGGCGGAGGATTGTTTGGTGGACTGTGTGAATAACAAGACGCAGAACTGTGAGTTGCTGAAGGGGACGCATTTGAGCGAGAAGAGCTGTGCGAAGAATACGGTTGCGAAGGATTGTAAGGAGAGTTGCAAGGCTTGGGGGATGGTAGCTGTGGTGTGGTGTTGTGGCTCGGTTGTAGCTGGGGTCGTATATTAGCGATTCATCAGGGTTCATGTCTGTCACTCTCTACCAATAACTTCAAGCACTACATAATATTATCAACACAAATTATCTCTATTCTTAATAAGACACCTGCCCAGCAGGGTCAGTAATACTACTTGAGAAGAATAAAAGGAACCCCGGAAGAGCGCCGGTTCGAGCCTTTCAGGGGTGAGATTGAGCCAAAGGAAGTGAGATCGAACCAGGTCAACGCTGGCGCGAGCCGGGTTTTCTTTGTGCAACGTGCTATCGGGAAAGTTGCAATCAATCTGCCCATCTTTTTCGCCTGGATCCCACCTTGCAGTTGCTTGCAGTCCCTTCCCTGTATGGTCATGCTTACCCAAGCTCAGCTTGAAAAGATACAGTAAATGCCACCAGCTGCACCGCATGTCTATGAGGAAGCGATAGCCTTGATATTTCTGTCCTATGACTCTTACGAATCACATCATCCTTATGTCTCATGTCTCATGGAGAAAGCTTCTCGTGGAAATTAAACACCATAGCCCCTTCCCATCGCCACCTTTCTCTTTTCATCAGCTATGCTCCTTCTCTTACGGCTACCTAACCACGTCCTTACAACTATAAGCAATGGCAGCCGCGACAACTGCTCCCGTCAACAATGATTCCGCCCCGCCCGGCTCCTTTCACCCTCCAGAATCACCATTCTGTCACATTTGAATTCATCGTTAGCGCACCCGCGCTGTATTTCAAGATGCATTCCTCCGCCATCATCTTTTCCATTCTACCAGCTGTTGTCCTCGCGGTGCTGCCGACGAACATCACATACCCACGCCGCGTCCTCCACACAGCGAGCTTTATGCGGCCGTTTCCATCCGTAGGACCGTCCGAGCCGTTCATCTTATACGATTACGACCCTGTTGTGATTAATGGATCCAAGGCGGTATGCACGCAGCCTATTGTCACTGTCACGACAACGGTGACGTCTGCGACTTCGTGTGGCAAGGACCAGCCATCTCACACCAATTTTCCTTTGACCGACTGCAGATACGATCTTCCGAGGCTCAGGGCATGCATTTTTCAGAATCAGCCCACGGATTGGCCTCATGTCCCGACGACGCAGGACTTGAAAACTGCTTCTCTTTGGACCAGACCCTCGAAGACTGCTACTATTTCTGCGAAGCTTTCCAAGACTGCTACTGTTACGTGGTGGGACGCGAGTACCACCATCACTGGAGGTGGGCCTTGGCCAGTTGTCCCGACACTGACAAACAAAGTCTTCACCACAATCAATGGCACCAGTAGGATACTCAAAACACATCACACCACCACCAATGTATGGGCGGAAACGTACAGTGCTTCCACAGCGACTGTCCACCTGAACACGACTTCAATCTCAGGCATTTTCATCAAGCCCGCCTTTCACACCCGGACCCATCACGCCGACAAGACGAAGACGTCGACCGTCGTTGACTTCCAGACCAAGACAAAGGTCCATGCCCATACCACCGTTCCTGATCCCTCCGAGACGGATGAAGAATCCTCGGATAGTGATGATGAAGATAACTATCCCAGCGAGAACAGGCTTCCGGGGCATCCAAGTAGACCGGCCCCCATCAGTATCGCAGATGGCAGCCGGACCTCCCATTTCGTCTGGAAGACAAATAGTCCTACACAGCATCCGACTGCCACGGTATATCTACAGGAAGGCTCGTTTGACAAGGTATGTCCAATGGTGTCCTCCAAGGATCTCGGCTTACTGGATGCAGGACAAGCCTGAGGACGACGAGGACGACGAAGATGAGGACGAGAGCCACGAGTCAAACCACAAGAAGCCGAGCTTCTACAACGGCGATGACGGTGACGACGAAGACGAAGAGGAGGACTTGGATAAGGAGACTGCTTTCAAGGAGTCTCACGGTACCACATCAACGTCTGCTACCGCGACCTCGACGCGACCACCGAAGGTAAACTCCACGAAGACGGCCGACCAGGGGAAACAGACCTCTTCGTCGACTAGGAAGCCTGCCGCTAAGCCCAAGCCTACCGGGGTGGAGATCCAGAGCTCAACGAAGAAGCACACCGCTCTCACGTTGTTCGCTTCGGCCACCTCCGCTCTGCCATCGAAGGGATCACTGACCACGAAGTCGACAAGTCCATTTGGAGAACCCACGACTTTTCCCAAGCACCCTGCATGGTCAACGAGTCATGTGGAGTTGCAGCTAGAAGATCTTTTCACGGAGATCCCTATTCCAAGTCCACCATATAACAAGACGTACGAAGCGCATTTCCCGCTCTCGTCCGTTACTCTTTCTTACAAACCGGCGCATCACGAACATCTCGCTACAGGATCACTTTCAAAATCAACTAAGACAGACGATCGGTTGGAAACTCCTAGTGCCACGGTAACATGGCATCCTGTGGTAGTGAGCACAATTAAAACTTCCCCGCATATGAGCAACGAACAGAGTGAGTACGTCGTCTGCTGTGACTTGATTGTGTCTCGCTGACTAGATGTAGAGAATGGGATCTGCGAAGGGCACTGTCCGGGCGGTCAAAGCAAAGCACATTGCGTTGCTATGTGTCGGTACTATTACTTCAAGGAGGACGGCACGCAGGACGACGTGCCGTTTGATTACGACGAAGATGACGACGACGCGCTGATGCCAAGAAGTAAGGAACATCGCCCGCTGATGGGAGTGGAGGGACATGCGAGCCGTGACGGCCATCACCCACGAAGGCTGTTGACGTGACGTCGATATGGGACGTTGTAGTCTTTGTCCTCGTTTAGTCTCGCTAACGAAGTGGTATCTGTATCTAGTGGCGCCTTGATAGCAACCTCCCTTTTCACGCACGGATTCCGGTTCTAGAAATCAGTCGAGACTACATGTGTTGTAATGCAAGATCAATTGGAACGGCAAAGGATCGTGCTGGCGTGTGAACACATGGGACAATGCCAAAATGACAGAAACATCTCTGTCGATAATGCGTCGAGAATGTACGAAGCAAAGGGTATCATGCCCATCCGACCGACCAAATCTCCAAAAGAACGCCGTGTATATGCTGCCCGCGACGGTCAACGCACGCTAGCTCATGCCTCCAACAATCTTCAACCCGTGCGCATCTGCCGAATACGCCAGCACGTAGCGACTCGGATGCCACGCGACCTGTAGTGCGGGGGTGGGGATTTCGACGCTCACGACCGTCTCCCCGCTCTCGACATGGGCGATATTCAGGCGCTTCTCCTCGGCGCCCTCCCCGCCAGCCGCAATGTAGCTTCCGTCGAAGCTGAAATCAATGCTCTTGACCGCCGAGCCCGTGAGGTCCAGCGTGCGCACGCAGATCCACTCGGAGGTGTCCCAGAGAGACACCAAGGCGTCGCCGCCGCCTGCAGCCACGTACTCGCCACTCGGAGAGTAGGCAACCGCCATGCAGCTCGCCGTGTGCGCATTGAGCGCGAGCGCAGGCTCGAAGGACGGATAGCGCAGGATCTTGACGCTGCCGTCGCCCGTCGTCGTGTACACGCACGCGCCCTCCCAGTCGAAGACGCACTGGTTCGTCTGCAGGGGCTCCTGGTGCGTCTGCCGCACGGTGCCCGTCGCTCGATCAATCACGCACAGCAGGTTGTCCTTGCGGCCGGCGAGGAGCGACGTGCCGTCCGGGGTCCAGGCGAGCGTGAAGGGCGATTCGTCGCGCTCGCCTTTCGCGAGCGGGGCGCCGACGCGGACGGTCGAGGTGAGAGCGCGGCTGCGGACGTCCCAGAGGCGCACGAGGCCGTCGGTCGACGAGGAGGCGAGCTCGTGCTCGTTGAGCGGGTGGAAGGCGACGCGCTCGAGGGCGGTGGGCGGGGTGTTGGGGGCGGGCTTGGTGGTGGGGAGGGGCAGGCGGAGCTCGGTGGAGTTTTTGACCTGAACACGTTGGCATCAGCGTCGGCCTTCGTCTGCTTGTCCCGGGACTGTATGCATGCAGTCTTCCCGTCGCAGCGAGTGCTCGACTCCAGCTCAGGCTGCCCGGCATGTGCGAAACGGAAATGTGCATGGATGCGTACGCACATTGGGCCTCTCCGGGTTCCAGATCCGCAGCGTCCGGTCCGCCGCGCCCGTCGCGATGAACCCGCCCGTCGCATTCCACGAGAGCGTGCGGATGTAGTGCGACGGCGCGACGCCGGGGCGGACGTTGTCTGTGTAGGTCGAGGTCTTGAGCTTGCGGAACATGGGCGCGAACGCCTCTTTCGCGAGGGAGCGCCCGCGCTGGTTGGGCGCCATGGTGGGTAGGCGGAAGGGAGAGAGCGAGGAGGAAGAAAGCAATGGGGAGTTGGAGAAAACGTGGGGTGCGGCTTGAGATGGAGCTTGCGGGAGCTTGGACGCGCATCCGATGTGTTTGCCAAGCGCTTCAGAGCCTCATTCAGCACAACGATCACCGGAGCATGCATTCGACATGTAGACCAAGGCATTGTCTCAGAGAAACACAGATCCTGATGTGGTACTTCCGAACTGAAAGCTTCGCCCGCACCTGTAGCAGAGATGTACCATAGGCATGGCTACACCAAATCAATGCATACGACGTTGACATGTAGCCATTGGAAATGAACGCTTCGGCCCTTCCCATAACAGCCACGCGCACACCCACGCATACCCCGTAAGCCTCTCGAGTATCTCCAAGATCCGTACAGAGAGATATCGAGATGCTAGATGCCGGCATCTACTCTTCACCCACACAAATTGCACCAGTCCTTCCATAACAAACGCAGCAGGCTGCAAAAGCCAGTACCACAAATTTCTCCCCCAAGCACAAGTCCGTCCAAGCCTCGTGTCCACCATAGCATGCATGACCGCGCTCAGCCCGAACACCAGAAACGACACCAGGATCCTCGAGAACGGCGTCCGGCTTCCGACTCGAAAGAATCTCAGAACGAGTGCAGCGTGGCTACTAGCCGATTTGTAAAACAGGCGGTGCCAATACAGAGACCAGAAGCGTCGGACGGTGTATGCATCGGAAATCCGACCATATAAAGGAGGCCATTCCCATGACTCGTCCAGACCGATGGACAGCCAGAAGATTGCAAAGGCATCGTGATACAAAGAAAGCAGCAGAAAATCGTGTGCCACCTTGTCGATGGCGAAGACGGCGCGAATATGGAACTCGCGGCTGGTGACCGGCGTTGCAGGTGTGTTGCCCATGGTAGTCTGGATCAGGCGTCGCACAATGCCCTCCTTGTCGCGCGTCCAGTCGCTAGGCCTCGGCGGAACAGTGAAAAGACGCTGCGGCTCCATGAACTCATAGTAGAGACAAAGGGCCAGGAAGTTCAGCAGTAGATAGCCACAGCGAACACCGATTCCAGCCCACTTGCTTCGCGCCGTGAGGTTGTGAGGTGCGCTAAGGAGTCTAGGACTGGAGTTTCTGGGATCTGGGGCTGAGGTCGGCTTCCGCGCCATCGACGTGTGCTTGATGCCGGGCCAGAGGTAGGGCGCTTCCCATTGCGTCCCGATGCCTCGGGCATTGAACACAGTTTTCCATCCTCTGTAGAGAGGATTCCATGTCGGCTGTACACAAGTCGGTTCAAGCTGCTAACTCGTCAGCGTGTCATACCTCAACGACAGTAGCCGAGCAGAGGCTCCTGAAGGGAATGTGCCACGAAACTGTAAGTGGCGTAGCTCGAGCATACGTACAGAGTTTGGTATGGCCTTTGTGCCGGGATTCTTGTACACCATCGCGAGAATATGTGACGCACAGATCAAGATATAGCGCACGTAGATTTCGTTGAAAATCATGTCAGGAGATAGGTCTGTTGCAGTTTGCCATGCACCATACCCGGCAGCGAAGACCATCATCACGCCCGTCCGCCTGCTGATTGATTCGGGGAAAGAAACGACGACGAGGCAGGTGAATGCCCAGACGAAGGACCAAAGTATAGGCTTCGCAGCCATTGAAAGTGTCCATTCGCCCTCATGGTCGCCCATATCTGACGGGCTGACGCAAACTCGAACCAGGAAGAGAGGGAGAAGGAGCCAAAGATTATGTGCCCAAAACTTCAGTAGGAAATAATCAAGACAGGCGTCAGAGAACCAGAAAGACAAAACTAGTTACCATATACCAACATCCATGTCACGTCCTCCCAGACACAGTGTAGGCCCGGCTTACGCATTGGCCTGACCGACCGGCTACTCCGCCAGAGCTCAGAGCTTAGTCTCGTACTGGATTCTGGTTCCCACTCCGTTGAAACCAAGCCAAGAGAGCTCTGCGTGTATACTGGCGCGGGTTCCATTGGTATCCACCATACACTCGCGCGAGACTGCACGACTCACGCATACACTCGCACAATTCGACAGTATACGCCGAGGTAGAGTAGTTCTGGACACCCTGCCAGCACAGTCGACACGAAAAAACCCAATCCTTTTCTCTTCCAAGACTATAGTGAATCTCTCCTGCAGGATTCATAGTCAGTGCAAGAAATCCTGCACGGTCTTGGCGGGCGGTGTCCCCCCAGTTTTTCCATCCACCCACGGTGGCTCATATGAAGCAGTTATGAGGCAGAATATAGTACATCGCCTGATACTTCTCGCACTGCATGCTCCGACTGGCAAGTTGAGCGAGTAGAGGCGCCTTGAAACTAGATCCAATTCACCGCATTGGGCGCCAAGAACAACTACACTGCTCGAAAACCACGTTCACGATGTGGCTGCAGCATTGCTCTTTTGCAGCAAGTCCTCCGCGGTGGAGCGTAGTGTAATAAGCAAAGGCCTGGTAAAAGAGTCAATAACTGGCCCAACGAGCAAGACTTAGGCTTCTTTCAGAGTATCAAAACGCTCCCGCACGGTTGTTGCTGGCGGGCTACGTGCGAGACACGTGGGCCAGAAGCACGCTCTTGATGACTGCTTCTCGATGCGTCTGCTGGGCCAAGGAGTCTCCACCGCGAGATATCAGGGCTGCCACCAGAGTACATATAAAGGGTACTCTGTCCCCCCCATCCCCATCCACAATCACTTCGCGCAGTCTCCCCAACCCGACCTCGATCCCTCCGCAAAAATGAAGTTCTTCACCCCCATCCTCCTCTGCGCCTTCGCCGCCATCGCCACAGCTAGGTCCTGCGTGCCAGGCTCTTTCAATCCCGAATGCCCACCGTACAGTCCATCTCTTACCTGACTCGTCGGCACTGCCACTAATGACAGCAGTCTCACGGGCGCGAAGCGGTCCCTCGGCCTCACCACCAAGGCGCGCGAATTCCTCCACATCCGTGCGGCTGAGCTGCCCCAGGCCAAGGAATAGATGTGACGCGGATTTGGCCGGCCTGGGAGCTGGAGGCGTGAGACACGCGTGAGGCACGCCTCGGTGTCGAAAACTAAGCATAGCATCGAAGATAAAAATAACCCAAGGAAGAATCGAGGGTAGAGACGGGTAGAAAAAGGTTAACAAACACACTTTTTGTTATCGAGCCACCGAGTTGTTCCCGTGATGTGATGAATATGTCAGCATTACCACTTACGCCTGCTCACTACACCCATACCAGGACAGAGGTTGGTCTGCACTGTTTCGTGCATGAGCAGTGTTCTGAGTGGTCCTTCTTCGCGAAGATATGCAGTTCTCTATGCTGTAGAGTTGGGATAGGATATTTGGAGCTGAGAAGATAATTCTCGTGCGCATATCCTCCATACGTCCAATCTCCCTTTTTCAAGCACTGCTTTCCCAAACCATTTCCTGCCGTAATCCGTTCAACGCCGCGCAATGCACACGCTACCCACATCAAGCCTCCACTTCCCCACCCATTCCCAACCAGAGATCCACCCGCCGTGACACTGGAAGGCCCCGAGGACGTCGTCACTTACCACCCCACCTGTACGATGCAAGCTTTAGCAACGGGCACGCAAATAATTTGCAAGAGGGCAGTATGTGCTTCTCGGCATCTCACCGCATCCTCCCTAGCACACCCCTCACGCTTCCATCGAGCACGACGCCGCCCTTGACACTGAGTTCGTGGATCCCCGTCTCCCCCCCAGACCCCTCGTTCAGCCATCGCTGTAGCAAGTCGTTGCTCTCCTTGGGCTTGATATCTGCGCTCGCCGTGCCAACCGTAACATGCGCAACGGGATTCACGGTCTCGAATGCCACCTCCTCGCCCCCCACCGCCGCTGCCCCGTTCAACCGCACAACGAAGCACATGATGCGGTCGTCGAAGACGAGACGCTCCATCTGCACGCCGCACTTGCCGAGTTCGGGTTCCCAGTTGCTAGCGTCGGCCTGCGCGACGGACGAGTGCAGCTGGGTCAGCTTGTCCCAGTACGCCTGGTTATCCGCCGCAGACGCGCGGTGCATCAGGGTGACATGGAACTCGCCCTGCACACGGCGGGTCTGCTGGAGGTGGCGGTATAGCCGCGCCGTCTGGGGGTCTGCGTTGTGGAAGAGGGCATCAAGGATGGAGTTGATGCGCTGGGTGGGAAGACGCACGGAGAAGTACTCCATCTTGGGCTGCTTCTTTGCGGCCACTGGCTGCTGTTTCTGGGATTTCTGATTCTGGTTCTGGTTGCGGTTGTTGTTGTTGGCGTTGCCGCCGCCGCGGGAGAGGTCCATCTTGAAGTCCGGCTGGTACTCGTGCATCGCCCAATGTATCGCGTCGTCCATGTCCGCGTTGGTAGGCATATTTCGGCCTTCGAAAAGGGCGGGATACGTCTCATATAGCTGGCTGATAATGACCTCGAGATTCTCGCGCGAATCGACCACGGGGTCGAGGTTGATGATGAGGTCGAAGTTCTCGTCGGGAGCCTCGGAAGGGTCAGCAGGCTGGAAGCGGTGCATAAAGCCCTCCATGATCTCGATGATTTCGTCCTGCCCCTTGGAGCCCGCCTGGATGGTCTGGTGGTTGTCACCGCGGGCGAGAACGCGACCCCGCGTTGCTCTCCGGATGTCATCGTAGTTGCTGCGGTCGTGTACGTAGTGCAGTGCGACGAAGCGAGCATCCTTTGCAGTCTTGAGGACGTCGTTGATGAGCTGGTCACGCTCGCGTTTTTGGTGGTTGTTGCGATCGGCGATGACAACCGGGCTGGTAACGAGCATGGAGGAAATGGTATCAGCAAAGACCTGACCACGACCCTTCTTCGCCTTCACGTTGTCGTTCTGGAAGTGGCCCCAGCCGAAAAGCTTCACCAGAGCCAACGCTAGTGTCGTCTTTCCACATCCGATGGTAGCAATAGGAACGAGTACAACACTGTTCTTGACCTGCTGGTTCTCAACATGCCCATTTTGAAGCTCCTGGCGAATAATCTCGGCCCCCGTCGTGCCCCGCTCGCGCAGGAAGTCGTCGCGCAATTTTATGATTCCGTGGTTCATGTTGTACCGCTTGGCCAGACCGGGATTCTGAAGAAACTGCTTGCGGGCGTATTCGAGGTACTCCTTGGTGATGGCCTGGTGTTTCTTGTAGCGCGGGGGCTTGCCAGCAATGATGGCTCTGGTGCACTCCCTCCACTGGCGGTACATCAGATACGGCTCCTCGAACTTGTACTTGAAAAACCAGTCTTCCCAGGGCGCGTTGTCAGAGTCTCGCGACTGGCACCGGATGACGAAGCCTTCGGTATCACGCCCGTTGTAGTTGCCCGTCTCGGCGATCTTGTCCAGAAACTTCTGAACCTTGGCTATGTCATCCTCCATGACATACTGGACCTTCTTCATGCCCCACTCGTCTGCGAACCTGTCGACCAGCGGGCCTGGGTAGGTGACAAAGTGCGGGAGGTTGAGGTTGATGCCGTGGACGTACAGGCCAGCCTGCTCGGGGGTATATGCCAGGACATGCTCTTCAAAGTCGTCATCGCAGAGCTCGGCGACCAGCGTGGCGTTCATCTCGCGCAGCTTCAGTGCCAGATCCTTCTTCGTCTTGCCGACCGTCGCCAGGTGCTTCTCGGCCCACCGCTCGCCAGCGCAGGCATGGCTGAGCTCGACGTCGCCGCGTGCACCGGTCGAGTGCTTGCTGCATACCAGCAGCGTGCCGTCGTCGAGCCCCGAGATGAAGATGATGCAGCCGTTCTCCTTGACGCTGAGCTCGTAGGGCCCGCGCGTCTGCTGCTCGACATTCCTCCACTCCGTCTTGCGCACTTCGCCGTGGTTGAAGAACTTGTCGTATCCGCGCACGGCAATCTCATCCCTTCCGTCCAGTGTTTTGTACGTGAAGAGGCCGCGTGCATACGTGGGCAGGTGCTCCTTCTTGTAGTCCCAGTCGTTCATCTTCCACGAGTCGACGGAGCGGCCATTGGGCAGGGGAAACGTGTGTTTCCGCACCGAAAAGCCGCTCTGTTTCGACGTCCTGCCCTTGTGGCCCTCGAGCGCGTGGATCAGCTGCGTGACCTCCTTGTGGTCCTGCGGCACGTAGGGCGCCGTCTCGCGGTGCGCCATGATGGCGGTGGTGAGGACTGGGGAGCGCACTCGGGCCGGCCACAGATTTGTTATGGCGGTGGTGAGGCGCTGGGCTAGCTGTGGGGTTGCGAGTAAGCGGGCTGCGGGCGGGCGTGAACAAACAGAAAAGAGTTCGCCGAGTTTAAAGCAAGCCGCCATTCAGGCAGCAACGAGGCACACCAGGGGACGGAAGGCGTGTGGGGTGACTCATGCAGCAAACACGACAAACAAGGGCGCCTCTTACCGGGGTTCCAGCGATTGATGAAGAAAGGGCGGAAGCGCGTATTTCAGAGTCAGCGCGCAGTTGCACTTTTTGGAAAGAGGTACAACGTCACAGTCAGTGCGGCGGCGGTGCTTCAGCCACACGGCGGGGTCCAAGTCCTGACCCCGCCACGCCACGCTAAACCTGGGCATCACAACATGCACACCTCTAATGGATTTTGGCAATATGCCTGTTATCGAATCATTGTCCAAAGATTGCGTCGAGGTAGTTTTCCACTAAAGAGCACCGTCAGCACGGCCGCAGCATCCGCGACGAACCTTCCACTACTTGCTCCACGCCGCCCTGCACTGATCAGGCCGATCAGCAGGTGTCGAAGGCATCAATTGATTTAGCTTTCTGTCTCTGCAGTAGAAGAACTTTGCAAGTTCTGCTTCTCGGCACGCCTTCCCTTCCCCCTTCCTCTCTCCGCCTCCTCCCACAGCATCATCGCATTTCTTCTCCTAACCTCCGCCATGTACGCCGCCTGTTCAGCGCTCAAAGGTCGCGGCGCAGGCACTTCTCGGCCTCGGAACCCAGTCATGCGGTCCATGCCGTAGAGCATCGCAATGACGAAGCCCGTGCCCAGGAGCACGAGGAGCACGATGGCGTTGGGCGGGATCGCATAGCCCATGTTGTCCGCTCGGTCGCGTTTGGATATGGGACTGAGGATGGTGTGGGGTTCGGTCGGAGAAGGCATTGTGGTTGTTCTGGGGCAGAGTCAGCTGGGTGGATTGTCATGTGCTGGTGCGAGAAGAAGACACCTCTGGACAACAGTATGGGGAGAGGATCGAGGATGTATTTGATGTTTGACAACAACAGCCAATTCCTGATCTAGTTTGAGATAGTTTCCGGAATCGCTCGAGTATTCAAATGGTTGAATCCATTCAACATTCGTCTTGAGAGGAGAACAGAAGGCGGCATTCTATGTGCAGTAATACACTGATGCGTTGGAATGTTGCCATTTTTTGGGCTCATCGTTCACAAGTACGCTTCCGCCCCTGGGAAGCTGGTTCACCCAGGTACAGCCTGCTCGAAACGGCTAGCTAATTCGCACATTTCTACATGTGTAATCCCTAGCTGAATGACAGTAGTCGTACATTTCTGCATCTAGCCTAGCTTACAAGTTGTAAAACCTCATTACCAGATGTCTCCTTACTTTGCTCACAAAGCGGGAAAGATAGTATTCCCTAGCCGCCACACGCGAATCCGAAACAGGAAATGTACGAAGGCCCTTGGAGGATTCTACGCTAATCTCCAGCAAATCAGCTTCGCCAAAACCCCATATTCTCGACACGTCAATGGCCAGAATTTTGCGCACGTAATGTCTAGCCCAAATACGGATTAGCTGCTCAACGAGCTCAAGGAGAGCAGTGTTTCCCTGCGAAAACATCGTACTCCTCAGTCCCAAGCACCCTCCTGCATCCAGTATCATACGAAGTTCACGGAATCTAACCGGTCTGAGAATACCGATTGGCCTATCACTGTGCTGTAGTTCCCACCAAGGCAACACCCTACTGCGTAGAAGCGTCTCTACGTTCGTTGCCATAGCGCCGGTTCTCGTGGATCCACATCTTCCGGGAGCGGTCTGAAGACGATGCCGCCCCAGACTCTGATCCTAGAATTCCAAAGCTTGAAGAGGACCCGGAGGTATGGGTCCAAAGTCAAGACTGGTTGCTTGACCTGCAAGTATGTTGACAATGCTGCTCTTTTGGCTGAACTCATGGGTCTGAGGATGACTAACTTGGAATAGATCTCGGCGCATCAAGTGCGATGAGAAAAAGCCGGCGTGTCTCAGGTAGACGATTGTTCGTTATGTTCGGGCTGTGCTTCCATCGGCCTTTTCGATAAGCGAGAGCTTCCTCGATGCTGCACGGTGCTGTGAACCCTGACTGACTTTGGAAGGTGTACTAGCACCAAACGTGTGTGCGATGGCTATGTAGAAAGTGGAGCAAAGCAGCCGAAACGCTTGCCGCCTGGCGTAGCTTCCCCTCTCCAAGATGCTGTAAGTTTTCATCTTGTTCTTGATACGTGTCGCTCACGACACGCAGCGGGTGACTCAATCGTGGCCCGAAGAAGGTCTACCATACCTTGATTTCTACTATCACTGTGCCATAAGAACCCTTTCCAATCGCTTTGACAATGGCTTCTGGTCTCGAACGGTGCTTCAAATGGCTCGCTCAGAACCATGCATTCGTCACGCGCTGGTTGCCCTGAGCTATCTTGCGAAAACGGAGCCAGGAAACTTAAAACATGCTCACGCGAGACTGAAGCAACAAGACCAAACCTTACATCGGTACTACGGCAAGGCTGTTGGGTCGCTCGTTGCACGATTGGCCGAAAAGTCATGCACCATAGAGGTCGGTCTTGTGGCGTGTTTAATGTTCGTCTGCATCGAGTTCATCCGAGGAAACTTCTTGCCTGCGTTCACTCATCTCCACAGCGGGCTTAGAATACTGTCCGAGCTACCTACCATACGCACTCACGGTACGTAATTGCAGAACGACCCCTCCAGAAAGCTGACTATCTGCACAAGGTCTCCGTCCACGTACACCACCACCAACTCCATCAAAGTCCGACACAGTCAGTATCGCTGCCTCAAACGGCCTTCTCCATGACACCCTCATACCCATGTTCATGCGCAACATCACTCCCGCAATGCTCTTCGGCGCTCCGATCGAAGATCTCTTCGAAATCCCCACTCCCGACCCGTCTGCCTACGACGTCCCCTTCTCCACCTTCCACGAACTGCAAATGTCCAGCTTCCAGCTCCGCAACGCCTCCGCCCTCTTCGCCCGCAAAATGGCCACCAGAATCTTCATCAAGGCGCCGCTCACCGCCGAAGATTTCGCGCGGCAGTCGCAGCTGCTCGACGCGCACCACGCGTGGTTCAGAGCACTGCAGAAGCTGGAGCAGGCCGCGTTCTTGACGCATGAGGAGGAGATCATGGCCGCGTCGCTGAAGCTGGGGTACTATTCTACGTATATTCTGATTGACTGCTCGATGAGTCTGCGGCAGTCGAACTTCGACGCGCACATCGACTACTTCAAGGCGATCAACCACAACGCGAAAATCGTGCTGGACTCGATGGGCATTGCGACGCCGCCTCTGCCCGTGTCTTCAGGCACGCGACGGGGCCTGTCGAGGAAGTTTGCGAGCGCAGCGAAAGCCGCCGGCGCGAGGGACACGAAGGCTGGTAAGTTGATCTTACACAGGCAGAGCGTGAACGCATGCTAAATCCCTTCAAGGCGCACACTTCACCTTCGAAATCTCCGTCGTCCCGCCCCTGCACTACGTCGCTACCCGCTGCCGCCACCCCCTGATTCGCCGCGAAGCCGTCGCCCTTCTCAAGACGAACCCCCCACGCGAAGGCCTTTGGGATGTTGACACGCACATCGCAGTGGCGGAGCGCGTCATCGCGATTGAAGAGAGCGTGCTGGACCCCGTGACGGGGTGGCCTGTCGAGTCGGCGCGGCTGTGGTGCTCGGTGCACGACGGCAAAGGGTACTCCGAGGGGAAAATCCTGGTGACGTTTGCGTTTGCGGAGTGGGCAGAGCAGAGGGTGCCGCGGGTGGATGACTTGCGGCGGCCGGATGGGGGAGATAGGGCGGATGCGCAGTGGACGGAGAAGATAGGGTGACTCGGGGCGGGGAAATGGTGGACGGAGGAGGAGATGCACTTGTATATATCTCGGGGGCATTGGTCCGAGTATCTCGTGTGAGCGGGCGGTGAAGTTGTGGTTGCAGTATGTGAGGAAGTTGGATTGCGTGGGCCCTGCTTTTGGCAGTGTGCACATGGTACGTAAAGCTTGTTTTCTGGGTCTAGGGTGTATCTGACGAGCCGTGAGACTACACGATGCCTTCGGATCGACAAAAGATCCGACGCAATCGAACTGTTGCTACTATGGGTATAGGGCAGAGCGGTCGCTCACGTGGCGAACTACTCACTGGCCCAGCTTCTCGCATCTCCCGCTTCTGCTTGTGGGATGCTCTGAATTAAGCTCTTACAAGCACACTCGCAACTGATTCTCTAATAAGAGACGGTGTACGAAGCTTCGGAGTGTTCTTATCGGCGAGAGATGTGGTCTGGAGGGATGATGATGTTTTTGATATTGTAGATTGGGTCATGAGATGAGATGAGATGAGATGAGGGAACGCAAGGAAAAGCGGTGGTGAGCTAGGAGCTGAGGAGGGGCAGATTCGCCTGCGCCGAAGCTCCATGTACAGAGCTGGTTGTCGTATTTCCAGCTGCGGTCGCTATTCTGACCGTGTACGCGTCGTCATCTTTCTTTTCAACGGACAGCGTCAGACTCCAGTCGATGACCGCCAGTTCGCTTCCTACGCCCAGCGTGCCATTGTGCAATACCCGTATCGGCCCTTGCAGTGTCTCTACCATTGTGTCGATAGTGTACACCACAACGCCAGGCTCTGCGCCCTTATTGTCGACACCACCACTCGACCGGACCTCCAGAACCATTGCTTGTGTCTCGTTCCTCTTCAACACTACTAATTTGATCTCCGTGCCTTGTGTTTCAACCGGGTAGATCGTGTGGAACGATGTACTCGCCCTCTCGTACGTCAGACATTCGATCTGCGCATTCTCCAACCACCCAAGCCGCCACTTGTCCCACGCAAAGTACTCGGGATACACAGCGTTGATGTTCCCCATGATGCTGAAGCCACCCACGTACAACCCTACCGCGCCAGACGCGGGGTACAGATCTGCGAGACACATTACGTGTCCCGTCTCATGGTTGATGAGTTTGAAGCCCCATGTCTTGTACGCGTCATAGCCTACGGTAACTGCTTTCTTCGCGACAAACGCACCGTCGCGCGTCGTCACGTTTCCCATGAAAGTCGGAGAGTACGTGATATTCGGCGCATTGCGTGTCGCGACAACGTACAAAACATCGACCGGCGCCGGATCTTCGCCTGTAGCATCCACATACGATGCGAGCGCGTCCTGGATGTAGGCCTCGTGCTGCTCGTAGGTGATGCCGCGGTTCCAGGCGTAGTCGCTTGTGGTCCGGGGCATGCGGTGGAACTGCGAGGTGTCGGCTTTGGCGTCGATGGAGAGCTTGCCGAACGAAGAGGTTCCGTACCAGGTGCTCGCGTTTGGGAAGAAAAAGTCATAGAGGCCGGCAGTGGTGTCGTTGCCGGCGGGCTGGTCAGCGAAGTCGACGAAGATCATAAATGCGCGCATGGTTCCGGTGCTGGAGACGCAGCTCAGGTATTCTGGGAAGCCGTGGCCGATGCTGAGATAGACATCTGGGGTCGAGGGGAGACGACATGCGGAGGAGTCGCGCCTGAGGTGGGAGATGGTTGCTGGGTTGCAGGATACTTGGGAGATCGTCGCAAATGAGGCGATGATAGCATATAGTTGTGCAGTGAGTGAAGCTAAGCCCGTCATTATGAGTGGGTTACCGAGGTCAGCAACTGGATCGCGTCGACACAGTCTATCTGTGAGACAGTCTTCGGGATATATACCGATGACGTTCAAGGTATACCGAAGCTCGGAATGGCTTTACCCCGCTGTTCCTTCGCTCAATCTTAGTCGCTTGCTATATCAACAACATATTCTTCTAAAATCAAGGTATACCACGATGATCGTTCGCAGAAGAGGAAACTAGATAGTGCTAGACTTGGCGATGTTAGCATAGTCGAAGCTACGGTTGCAATCTGCCTGCAGTGTCAATCTATCCACCCCTGTTGACTGCTTATCTTCTTATCGTTGAGCTGCTCGATTGTCAAACGTAGGAGGAATCTTGAATCAATATCGTACGAGTTCAATGCCGGTCAATAAGTGTCAAGTACGAAGAGTATCTCAAGACTAGACAATTCTAAAAAGAAAGTAAAGGCATCTGGGAAAGTGCTGTCGTCCAGCAAATATCGTATATCTGTTTCAACAGAGGTCCGAAGAGCTGGTTACTCAGCGATTTTTGTGGATACGGAGTCCTCTCAATATTGAAGATCTATAAATCATGTAGCAACTTGTGCGGAGATAGATGGTTAACCAGGATCATGTGGAGTCTCAACGGCACCAAGATAATACTCAGGTGCTGTGAAAGGCACCTGGCCTGGACTACAAGTGCGGTGAGAGATATACGAGGAAAATACTTCGAAAAACAACGCATCATTTTATGGCTGCAGTCAGTGACAGAGATGATGAGAATGATGAGTGGTGTGGTGAGGGGTGAGTGCGAGTGTTCGACGCCTGCAAGTACACGATTACCCCGCTCCATGAACCTAACGCTACCTAGGTAAGTTCGGCTGTACCTGCCGCAAACGGTAACACCTGTAAGTGGGGGCTCTTCCCCGATAAATACTCTACTTCAATCCATGAGCATTGCACTCCATCTCTTTAAAATTCCCTGTATTTCCAGCAATCTTTAAAAACACTATAGGTTCTTTTCCAGTGGATTTCCAGGTCAATAGCATGCCACTATCTCCAGAACTCACCGCATCCATAACTGATGCAGTCGCAAAGAACTTCGATAAGGAGCTCGCGTTCATCCAAAAAGTAATTCAATATGGCGGCCAGCGTGGAGAGGAATCAGCCATCCAAGACGAGATCTATAACCAGTATACTTCTCGGGGCTACGCGACTACCAAGCTCAACATGGACCCAGATTCGTTATCAAAACAGCCAGGAGCCGGAAAGGTCAGCGCAAAACATTCAAAGGCACCAGTCGTAATCGGCGTGCTAGAGCCAAAGTCATCAACAAGCGGCGGAAAGAGCTTGATATTGAATGGACATATCGATGTCGTGCCAACAGGGCCGGAAGAACTCTGGACGCACGACCCGTACTCTGGTATCGTGGAGGGAGACTGGCTCTATGGGCGTGGCGGCGCTGATATGCGTGCCGGAAATGTTGCTAATATGTTTGCGTTGGATGCGCTGCGCAGTATCGGGAAGCGACCGGCCTCGAAAGTCATCATTGAGTCCGTTCCAGAGGAAGAATCGACTGGAAACGGTACAATGGCTACTCACATCGCGGGCTACACAGCGGATGCGGTTCTGATCCCCGAGCCGACAAATGAACAACTGGTACGCGCTAACGTGGGCGTCATCTGGTTCCAGATCGCGGTGGCTGGTCGGCCAGTGCACGTTCTCAAAGCGACTGAAGGATCGAATGCGATCGAGTCAATATGGAAGATTGTGGGAGGTTTGAAAGAGCTCGAGAAAGAGATGAACGAGCAAAAGAAGGGGCGGTTGCATTTTGAAGAGCTCGACCATCCAATCAACCTTAATGTAGCAATGATCGAGGGTGGCGACTGGGCGAGTTCGGTCCCAGCCTGGTGCAAGATCGACTGCCGCGTTGCGCTGTTCCCAGGTGTTCGAGCTGAAGACGTCGCAGTCCAGATCGAAGAATCGATACAAAAGGTTGCTGCTACAGACTCCTTCCTCCGTGATGCACCGCCCAAAATCACGTGGAATGGTTTCTTTGCAGAGGGTTATGTCCTGGAACCTGGAAGCCTGGCCGAGGATGTCTTGAGATCCGCACACAAACAAGCAACAGGTTCCAATCTCGGAAGCATCACCATGCCAGCATACCTCGATACAAGAATCTTCTCGCTGTTCCAGAAGATACCTGCGCTTTGCTACGGACCGATTGGTGAAAGCTTACATGGCTTTGACGAGCGAGTGAGTGTGAGTAGCATTCAACGGGTTACCACGGCTATTGCTTTGTTCATTGCAGAGTGGTGCGGATTAGAAGATGCCGATCTTGCTAAGTGAGGCGGGACCTATTTCGTTATATTTAGGGCCCTCTGTAACTGTAACAATTCCAGATTCTCTTCGCTCAACCGTATAATTACTTCATGATATGAGAGATGATGATGACAAGAATCGCGGGCGATAACGAAGTTACTTTCAATCGTAATTTGGGTAGCGCAATTGTTGCGTCTGAAACCCGTTTCATTAATAACTCACAGACCATTCGAATACCATGCGAACGAGAAGTCCGTAAACAGTTGACCAAGTTTTAACTTATAACTTCGCTCAAGGTCCGTCTATCCTGCCGGTGTTGTCTCAGCTCGTCACCTTACGCTTGGCAAACGCCAGTGACGCGATAATACCTCCACCATGGTTGGACGTGTTAGGAAACTTCACTATAGACTGTATTTAATTCGAATTCCATAAGTCACTAGGTATACGTCATGTTTGTAATATAAATGTTAAGATCGAGGTGGTATTGAGTGCAATTGCGAGATAAGAGTAAACACCTGTTATATAAAGAATGAGCAACCAGAAAGATAAAGCGCAGTATACACCCCAAGGCCAAATTTAGAATGAGTGAAACGTTTTCCAAGAATGGTTGAGGTAATTCGCGCAGAGCCCGGATTTTATGATCAACATCTATGCCGTAACGATATTTGATTCTAGGCTAACGTGTTTTTTTTTCGTCGCGTCGAGCCATCTAGTGACGCGAGCAGTCGACAGCTTGTTCGCAATTTGGCTCGCCAATTACCTCGGAGCGAAGGACTTCAGCGACAGCGACGATCAACTTTCTCCAGGAACAATTCCTTATACGAGTCCCTGTCGGAGCGCAGCAATCCGTAGAATTTCGCCGATTCCTTTTGACCGCGTGGATCTCTGACGTTCAATTCGTACCGGACGTCGGAGAATGCATCAACAAGGGCTGCCACTAATATACCAATCATTCTAGGACCAAAATCAGGCTTCGCTGGACAGAGGAATGGCGAGCTACCAAATGGCATCCAAGCATTGAAAGGCTCTGGTTCGTGCCTCATGTTTGCCCAGCGCGACGGTCTGAAGCAGTCTGCATCAAAGCCCCAGATTGCTGTGTCCCGATGGAGTCCTTCGATGTCGGCGATAGCAAGAATTGAAGAGCCGCTCGCAAATCGAAAATGGCGATGGATATGGCGAGTAGGTGGATATAGTCGAAGTGCTTCACGAACGATTGAGATCGCCTTTTCGATCTCCGATGCCCCCTCATGAGAATCTTCCAGCCGCACGGTAGGGTTCTCCAAAAATAACTTCAACGCAGCTATCCACTCTTCTGTTTCTTCTGCGCCTCTGTACCGAACTTCTATGAAGCAGCGAAGTACTATCCGCCACATTGTTTCGAATGCCGGGAGGATAAAATTCATAGCGTTCCTCTGCGGGTCTAGTGGATCCCGGTTTGGAACCAAGAGACGCAGGGCATCGTGGAGTCTGTCCTGCTTGGACCAGGGCACGATATGGCGGGGTAATTTTGAGCCGATCCAGATATCGTTGATTTCGGAGGCGACTAACGATATGGATTCGTCGTCCAGTGAAGGAAAATCATGTCGAAATAGGACATTGATGGTCATCTTTAATACGAAAGACTGTACCAAATTGACAAGGTTTTTAGGGCATTCATTCTTAGCTAGCCTTTTCGCGGCACTTGCAACCATATTCCAATCCGGCCTCAGCATTGTGCCGACCTTGTTCCGGTATTCTTTGTGTCGTTCGCTGTGATCCGTCGTGAAAGCGTTATCGATCCCAAAGGCAGGACGCAAACGTTGATTGGGTTGTGCCCTAGCCTCATATTTTGATAGGAGATTGGTATCACCCTTCAAGATGCTGCCCGAAATAATTTGTGCGCATTCAGATGGGTTCTTCGTGGTATGGATAGTCTGCCTTCTTTGTAGAATCATCCGGTGCATTCTCGATACAAACATGAGGCTTAGCAGGAAGATTGCGCAATATAGGACTCCATATTCTAGGGGCAAGTAACTCGACGGCTGGGAACGCATAGCTCAGGATAGTAGATTCAGGAGTAGCAAGCGTCAGTGAGTGGAGAATAGTGCTTCTAGAAGACGCTGACTCCATAGAAGACTTCACCGGATAATCATACTCGCATCCCGTGTTACAGTGCCGATGTAAGAGTGAGGTCACTTTTTGCTTTGTACAACAGAGATGTCGAATGGAACACGTCTCTGATTATTAATGTTGTACAATTATCTCTCTAAAGAATATGAGTCAACCCCGCATATTCCGAGACTTTGAAGATTCGACCATTGCTCCTGTAGGGTTGACTATCAAGGGGCGGAAGGACGCCCACGGACAAAGGGTCTATATGGGCTTGTCTTGCATTGCTTGCCACCAACGTGGTGTTCCTGAAATTGAAGTTATCAGAACCTTTCGGTAATTTCATAGCTATTGGATAAGGCTTGAGCACAAACACGCGTATCTATCTTATCGTCCACTGATCTTGATGCAAGCGCTGTCCCGCATGCCAAGAGATGCGCCCTTCAGGGCCCCGCGCAGCCAGCCAATGATGGAACAAAGCGTGGTCAACAAATCCGGCGGACGCATCGAAAGTCTAGAGGGTAACGTTGGCGTTGTGTCCAGGAGTACAGCGGCAATATCCATTAGCTCTGTCATTGTTCGAGTAAAAACTATGCAATTCTTCTAAGGCTATCAATTTGCGGGGTCAACACAGGTTATGAGACCCGATCATAACGACGGATCTGAGTCCCACAAAGCTCTCTTAGAGTCATTATATGCTCGAAAGTAGTCACAGAAAGAACGCTCGGCACAAAGGCTCAGATCTTAGCGTGCTGTCCTATATACCACCCACTGTATCTGTTATTAACTTTGCTATAACGACCCTATTCTCAGTAACATGATATCCTCCATGGTCTGGTTTACGGTCTCAAGACCGATCCTTTGCTCGAACGTATTCATCAAAGAAAACTAGGGTTGGAGTCCCTTTCAATGCTACACATATTGGACCTTCCTCTGAGGCGCTTCTTTCCTTCCCCTATGTTTGCAGCGATACGGCATGGAGGACCTCATTATCAACAGCGGGATACTACGCATTATTATTGGGCATCGCAATGTCCAGAGCGTCGCTTTGCAGCTTCGCTTACGCAAATTCGCAATAATGAATATTCCAACGATTACAAGGCGTGATTTTGATGTTGCACTTCCAAGCCGCACATCAGGGTCACATTCAATAATCATCGGATCCGTCATTGAGAACTATCACTATGTCTAATTCACTAGCCTCCATCTATTCGATCCAGTTCCGTGACTGTCAGACGTGCAGAGCTCTTGACAGAGCGTCTGAGAGGATTTGTGGAACACATCTAGGCCGTGTGTTATGGGTTTTGCTTGATTATCGCGGACCGCGGTGAATTTGTTATAGTAATGCGCAAAAGGCCCGCACAACGACACGACGGAAAGTTCTGGCGCGAATAATGAGCGCGGCGATCGTAGACCGAGCGGCTGTAATACATGCTTGATATTTTATGATTCAGGGTAGCATTTGGATGAATTGGTAACTTAATTGACTGTATAACGGCACGCACCTGCTCTGATACTGCCGCGTCTCCGCAGCCGCAGGATTACGTGCTGTCTACAAACGATCCTCGACGACGTCTTCCACAGCGGAGCGACCATGAACAGCGCTCGGCGAGAATTGGATCAGATTGCATTAAACGCCCATATGTCACACTCTTAATTGGCTGTTCTAGGTTGAACACGGAATGCAATATTATCGCCACATACGGCCAAGTCACAAAACTAGCTCGTCAATCACCATTTCTTTTTGCTCTACTTGACATATACGGCTGATTTTCTTGAGTCTCTCCGTTTTCACCTTGTAGCCAATCCCGCTATTTGTAATTTCCTTTTCCTTCACTGCTTAACAGCACTGCTTCCTTTTTTTTTTTTTTTCTTACGATGCCAGTTCCTGATCTCGTATACAGGCAACACTAACGGCAGCTAGTTGTATTCTTTAAGAAAAGTACCAGGGATTGGCGGAGGCCTAGTCGCCATTGGAATGGTCAGAGTTCCTGGAAGCAGTGCCCAGCAAACTTGGTAAAGCGTACATCAGAACTTCGAGTAGCTCCCATGATTCCAGCTTCGATATTAACCAATCTAGGGTTTCCATGGCTCTTGGAGCTGATCCTGCTGGTAATGGTATCGTTGGTGTCACCAAAATACTATGTATTACAGCCTGGAAACAAGCAAGGCATATGTCCAAGTTCTCATCAATAAGCTGACCCTACACCTGAACCGTAGAGCGAACAAATATTCACCTAGCTGTGAGCAGGCGCTACACATCTCGGCTATCCTAACAACAAAGGTAATGGCTTGAACATGGTTACATATGCTAAAGTAGCTCCAGAAGGTAAAGCGCTCGAGCTCGCCCACAGGCTCATCTAGAATGGCCCTAGTATTTATAGAATCGGCCTTAAGTGCAAGCTTGCGTTGGCTCAAGATACAGTGTCATTGACGGTTCAGACGACCTTTCGGTTAACGAAAATTTCTGTATAAACTCCTCCTGGTCCTTCTTTGAAGCTCGTTCATGACCACGTTAGCTGAGGTAGTAGAGCAGACCGGACATTGAAAAAGATGTATATGTATAATCTGGCAATTGTATGAATGCGAATTCCGGATCGTAGTGGCCTTCTACGAGCGGGACTTCGTCATCAAGGTCTCGCATCTACAACGTTCTAGCGATGGGTATCACAATGTCGGACCGGTCAGTATCTTGGACCAAGAGATCGAGGGCGCGTCAATGTTTCCTGTAGGGCACTTTGAGGGTCTGCTGCGAATTCAAAGGATGTAATTGTGGTCCAGAACGGATATCTACACTACATCAGAATCAACCTAGTTTTTCCTGTGCGATATATCATCTGCATATCTTCGAAAGCATCGCAGAGTAATTTCCACCAATATAGCTCACAGATGCATACCCTACAGCCTACCTCCTTAGTCGCATCCGCAAAGATCCTTCTCAAGGTTATTTGCCCTACTGCAACATCTAAGCAGCAGGCAGGCGAGAAATAAACCTACTCTCCCTCTTCCTGCTCTCCCTCTTCGTAGTCGCCGGCCGATGCCGATTGACAAAGTCCTCGGCGCTCTCCCCGGTATGATCCCCATCCTCATCCGCACACGCCGTCTGCGCTTGGCCAAACATAGTCTGCTTCCTCTCACCCCTCTCCCTAAAGTCGAACGTCTTCCCGTTCTTCAGCGTGATGTGCACATTCGCATCGTAGCCCATGTCGAATTCGCCATACTCGACGTAGCCAATGCACATGGTGGTCTTTCCTGGCAGAGCGGGCTGCGAGACCTTGAAGGTGAGCGTCGTGGACTGGGTCTCGGTCCATTCCTTCCTAAAGTCCTGGCCGACCTCGAAGGAGACGCTGAAGCTGGATTTGGGACCGACGCCCGCGACCTGGCCGCTGATTTCAAGGGAATAGCCCATGCCGAAGTTGTAATGAACGCTCTGGCTGTAGGAGTACGAGTTGGCGACGGTGTCGGTGATGTCGAAAGCGATGGTGGTGGCGTTGGAGGCTGAGTTGTACTGGCCTTGGGACGCCTTTACGGCTCTCTTGATTCCTCTGTACAATAGTCAGTACTTTCTGATGGGTAGGCGAGATTAAGTGTACACACGCTTGCGATTTGGCAAATTCTTCCTGGTCCTGGTCCCATCTGAAGTCTCCGATCTGGATCTTGTCGACTTTGTCTTCGAGGAACATCCAGCCCCAGGCTGTGATGTGGTCGTCTGCTCGTCCCCACCCACCCAGCATGATACCACTGCCGACGTCCGGACTGAATGTCTTGCCACTGAGTTTGTCGATCTTCATTTCGAGGCTTTCACCATTGGATAGCTCGATGCGCAAGCCACCAAGCTGCGTAGCATCCCGGTCAGACCAGAGCACAGTCCGCGACACCTGGACAGTAAAGGGATCCCAGTCCAGTTTCTGGTGGTAGTCTCCTGCGCGTGCTCCGATGAGATGGCTGTGGTCCTGGTTGGAGTACGTCAAGGAGATTCCGCTGATACGGTCCTTGCTGCCCCAGACTTCGACACCACGAACAACAGTACCGTAGGTCCATTGCGTTTCGCAGATTTCGACATCGTATTGGCTGGCGTCGTGCTTGTCACCGACAGCCATGAGTGCTGCGAACGGGCCGCTGTCACAGTCGCCAATGGCGGCGACACCGGTGACGAACGCGGTCGAGAGACCGAGGAGGGTGTTCAGGAGCTTCATTGGAAACAACAAAACTCGAAAGCAATGATATAGCAGGTGTGGTCAACTATTAACAATTGTATGGATGCAAGAAACGAATGACAAAGTTGGTAATCAAAATCGATGGAGGTGACAGTTTTCCAAAAGAGTGACAGAACTGAAAGCAGACCAAAAGGACTCTCAACTGGGAGAGATGAACAAAGATACTGACTCTGCAAAGACACCTCACCAAGCAATATATATAGTCACTCCAAAAAGAATTCAAACGGAAATGACCCGGAATAGCTGCGCCGCCACCGCGAGGCTATTAGGGCTTGGATTTCTCGTCGACGAAGCTGCAACTTCCGCATTGAAATCTTACGACGCTATATCCCGGGCGGAACAACAACGTCCAGTAGAACATGCAACGAATCGAGGTATATGCCAAGGCTTATACTGCCATGTTGCTGGTATGCGGACGTCGCGTATCTCAGGATAAAGTCCCGCCAAGGTCCGTGTCGGGCGATACACTGATGTCGCGCGAGACACCACACTCCGCAGCCTTTCTCCCCGCGAAACATGAAACATGAACTACATGTTTCAAGAAATTCGAGGTGATTATGAACAGCACATGAGGTTGACAGAAGTTGGGAGCATGAAACATATATCGTGAACATTCGTCTGTAGATGCACACTGCTTTCAGGTACGCCTCAGCATCGTATCATGCCTTTATCCCGCGATTTTTCTCGCGCTTAGAACCAACTGGAACGGCGCTTTGAGTTCCCAGAATGCCCTGTATTCCGGGCTTCAAGGCTTGGAGGCCGCCGGTGAGGGATCGCATGCAGCACGTCGGGTGTACCGCAGTGTGGCTTCACTGGAGTTGAAGTCCGCGATACCAAAGTCCACCCCTTTTTTCTTCTGCCATTTGATGTGACATAGACGCCCAGTCACGGCTTTCTTCCAGTTGACTTGAGTGCCTTCGCGTGCCCGTAAAAGCCATGCGCTAGCGAGCACAGGTCTTGCCAATATGTGACCGATTAATCATCAATCGAAAAGAATGATCGGAACTTCATTCGAAACTCTTTGTTTAACAAAAATAATTTGATGCAACCCAGTCAGTGCAGAGAACACGCATTGTAGCTAACATTCACGCAGTCACCAACTGCACCATCATGAACACCCAACTAAGCCCCCGCATCCCTCCCCCAAGCCTTCTCCACAACCTCCTCCACACTCATAGGCTTGATATGCGGAAACGCTCCATTCCTGATCCCAGCATCACTGACATCCAACACACCCCTGACAGCCATAAGCCCAAACTCACTAACCATCTCGCGCATGCCGGGATAATCCTCTTCGGTCGGCGCGCCCGGCGGCTGCGGCAACATCGTCGCCTCCCCTTTCTCCAGGACCTCGACAGAGTCATACGTGACATCCCACTTCGCGCCTGTGCCGCGTCAGCCCGCCTCTCCAGAATATAGCAACGACGAGAAGAACACGAGCTCGGGACGGAACATACCAGTCACGCGCTCCGCGATCCGCACAAACTCCCCCCAGCTGGCCACACCCCCCACGAACGCGCTGACCTCGGGCCACTCCCCCTCGTCCTCCAACAGCGCAGCCACATAGCGCGCCAAATCCGTCGTGTGCAGGAAACTCACCTTCTGCGTGCCATCCCCCGGCACCGCGGCGCGCCTCGCGTCAAAGTCGAGCACGTACTTGAACGGCTTCATGTAGCTGTGCACACGCGGGATGCCGTAGTGGTCGAGTGTCCAGCCGAAGACGACGCGCGTGAAGCGCAGGGCGGAGGCGCGCAGGGCGGCGGCGGCGTCGAGCCAGTAGCGGGCAGCGGGGTGGAAGGAGAGGGTTTCAGGGGTGTAGTGGATGCCGTATTCGCTGGGGAGGAAGCTGGTGACTGTTCCGGATTGCGTGGCCGCCGTGATGAGGTTGAGTTGGGCCTGGCTGTTTTCGGGGGAGGAGAGGATGAGGGCGGATATGACGACGTCGATTTTGTGTTCTTGGAGGGTGGATATCATGCTGGGTATGGAGGTGTAGTCTGTTGCTATGGTGGAGATGGAGGCGGAGTCGACTTCCAGGGTAGATGACTGTGATGGGTTCAGGTTGTGGATACTTCCGGGAAGGAAAGTGAGGTGCCACATACCTTCCGGCTCAAGATCAAGACTTTATGCTTTCCTTGCTGTACAAGCCCATTAACAAGAGCGCGACCAATTCCACCGGTGCCGCCAGCGACAGCTACTGTGAAGGCTGGCATTGTGGACGTGTAATCCGGATATGTTGTTGATTGAAATGGTTGGGACCGATGGGAAGCAATTCAGAATCCTGTGATGCCCTTTGAGTCGTTCAACTGCGGCTTTTATACCATCCCCCCTGGCCTACAAGCAACGTTCTCCACTCGACTTAGCTTACGTTTGTACAACGACTATACGTAAGCACACTGTCCCAGATGCTTCCCTCACCTTCATCCCTCTGCACGCCAAGCTCTTCGTATACCCTGCGCGCTAAAGAAAAGGGCGTTCCGCCCCGCCTACTCTTGGCAGTATGGAGGCATTTGAGCACAAAGGCCTGCACCAAGAACTCTTACCATCGCCCGTTCTGGGTTGGCTGGTAGACAGCTGTCTTGGCAGACGCAGGCTTTTGTAATCACCAATAGATCGCGTTGTCAGCAGTCCTTGGCGCTTCCATCCCATACGACTTCGCAGTCCTCGCACTCCGTGAAGAAGTGGTAGACAGGCAGAGAAGTATTGTGCTGGAAATGCGCATAGGAATCGGGAGATTGAAGGACAGGATGTTCGTTGTAGACTAGGCGTCGACCAATCACATTCGGGTTTTTAGTCTCTTTGACAGGACGGCTGTGCGATCTTTTGCACCTCTCTACTCGCGATCTATACTAGTCTTGCAACTTGAAATCTCCGTTCTTATTTCTCTCGTTTCATCATATTCGGAGATGGATGTAGTTGTCGCTGCTGAATAGTTGATCCATAGCTGACCACCGACAACGCGCCACGAGACCGCGTCTTACTGCGCTCAGGGAGTTGGCTATGGAAGAAAAACTGCAGAACTCGAAATCTTTCTCTATTTTTAATCACACGCTCATAGCAATGGGGTATTCCTATCGTCAAACTGCTCATCCCATCCCATCCGTCTACCATGAACGCCTGCCCTGGTGGTCAACGGAACCTAAATCTCCAATACCCTACCGTACTGTACCCTCCTAAACGCCTAAAAAACTTTTCAGGTTGCATAACTAGCAGTCCGCTTCTGTTCTAGAGCTTCGTATCCTGCCTCGTCGAGTCGCTCAGCCTCCTCAGCGGCCCATTCGGAAACCCGCCACTCGGGCCCGGCCTCGCACCCGCGCCCTGCGCCGCGCCCCCCGTACTACTGCTCCCCGCAGTGCTGCTCGCCGCCGACGTCCGCGCCGAGTTGCGCTGCTGCAGCGTCGCGCTCATCAGCCAGTGCAGCTGCATGCGCATGCCGTTGATGGCGGCGTTGGTGTGCAGCATCTCGTCTTTGGTGCGCTGGCTCTCGTTGATGACCATCATGTTTGTGCGGCCGTCAAGCTCGGTCAGCGCGTTGGCGATGCGGTTGACTTCGTCGCGGAGGGACTCGTGGAGGGTGAGGAGGTGGTGCACTTGTGAGTCGAAGGGGGGCTGGCTGGGGTGCGATTCGTTTTGGGGCACGGGCGGGAAGGAGGCGGGTGGGAGGCGGAAGTCTGGGGTAGGGACTAGGTTGTTGGGTGGGAAGGAGTAGGAGATGTTGGGATCGAGGGGGTTGGTCACGGGGAATGTGGTGGAGGAGTCGTTGGCTGGGTAGAGCATGTTTGTGATGTTGGAGAGGCCGTCTTCTAGGATGCTGACTTTGCGGGTCAGGGGCTCGAGGCGGGCCTCGTTGCGCTCGATGCGGGTTTGCTGGTCGCGGAAGTGAGGGGCCATGGTGGCCATTGGGCACGACTTCTCGTGGAGGATGGTCTGCGCGCGCTCGGCGGTGAAGGTGCAGCCGACTACGGCGCCCTGGCACGGGGTGATGACCTTGCCGCAGGCATCTTGGATGTGCGCATCAAGATCGAGCCGCAGGAGGCTGGTGTCGCAGTGGGGACAGTTGGTGGAGCGGTTGGCGCAAGCAGTCCTCTGGTGGTCCTATAGCCATGTCAACAAGCGTCCGCGAAGCATCACAACCACGGCATGTACCTCGAGGTCCTTCTTCATCATGGACGTGTGGCAGTCGTTGCAGCGCACAGTGTAGTGCAGGCAGCCCTTGTGGAAGTCCCTCTGCGAGATGTGCAGGCGGCAGTCGTGCTGGGCGCATTCGACCAGCGTGTACTCGCAGTACAGCATGACGTGGTCGTACAGATTGACGCGCTGCTCGGCCCAGGCGCAGCCGGCCTTTGCATTCGGGCACTTGACGAGCAGCTCGTCCAGCATCGTCTCGACGATCTTGGGCACGGGGCGTAGGTCCTTGTCCGGGTCGGCCCTGCTGCGGCACGTGGGGCACGTCGTGCGGCCGTCGTGCTGGGCTCGCCAGGCATGCTCGAGGCAATCTTTGCAGAAGAAGTGGCCGCAGAAGAGCTGGACGGGGCGGTCGAAGGGCGTGTGGCAGATGAGGCACACGAGGTTGCTGTCGGGCTCGTGGACGTACTCGACGAGGTGCAGGTCGGGGGGCTGCTTCGCGAGAGGCGCGCGGCGGTTCTTCGAGTTCAATGAGTTTGATGCGCGGATTTGGAGGGGCGAGGGGCTGCTGGGAGGGCCACCGACCGGGACGAGGCCGTCTGCCGCGTCCACGCCCGCCGACGACGCCCGGCTGCTGCGCCGGTCGTTGGGCGGGGGGATGGGCGCGGGCGACGACATGCTGGCAACGAGGCTGGGCCGTGTTCAGCGCAGCCCAGCAGTGGAGGGCACCAGCAAACAAGCAGCCGCGAGCCGCACGATATCAGCGCTGGGCGAGGCTGAGGCGGTCAAGCCGTGGCATGTACGGTCGGTCGGCGCGGGGGTGGTGGGCTGCCCTCGCATCCAGCAGGTGTCTGCGGGCGAGGGCTCAGACAGTCATATAAGAAGCGGGAGGCGGTGTGTGACGGTCAGCAAGGAATGCACAGGCGTCCATGCCTCTCGTCGTGTGGTTGCGCAGAAGCGAGACACGCATGTGGACACACAGGTCACTGTCCCCCATTCCAGCGTGCCCGCGGGACAGTCCGGGCGCCGAGGCTGGGGCACCGCACGCCACGGGACGGGACCTTGCAAGAGGCGCCGGGCGCGCGTCACAGTGGAGCCCTCGCCATTCGCGCATGCTCGGCCCTGTGCACTGCAGCAACAACGCTGCTCCAAGCCCTCCACCTGCCGCCCATCGCGAGTTGCGCTTCGATCCCGCGTTCGGGCACCCGCATTCGGCTCCGCATTGCCTCCGCCCGCTCCAACTCCAGCCCGCCCTCGCACCCGCTGCCTGCGCACCTCAGCCATCCCCCCTCCCAGCGCCATGTCGACCACGAACCCGCCGCAGCTCTTCCTCCTCGCCGACCACATCAAGCTCTCCCTCCTCGAGCGCCAGCGCGCAATCTCCCTCAACCTCTCCCCCAGCTCGCAGGACGGCCAGATCTCGCGGTCGCTGGAGCAACTCCGCTCCGGCATCGAAGCCCTCGAATCTCAGATCCACGATGTGTCTGATGAGTGCGTTCCCGTCCCCTCCCCCAATCCAATGTGATCCAGTCTGACACGGTGCCTCGCAGATCCATATCCTCCCAGCTCCCCCGCCTACGTGCCCAACTCGCCGACCTGACAGCGCAATTCACACCCTCCACCTCCACCTCGGACCCTTCCACCACAACCCTCACACCCAACGACCCCAGCCTAGCCTCCGACTTCGCCGCCGCAACCTCAAAACCCGCACGCTCCACCTCGGCGTCCCGCGCCAAGTCAAAATCCGTGCGCTTCCGCGACGACGCCGCCGCCGCCGACGATGACGACCCCAACCGCGCCTCCCTCTTTCCCTACCGCGACGACCCCTCCCCCACTGATGGACCAAACCACGACGCCCTAAGCAACCAGCAAATCCACGAGTACCACGCCCGTGTCATCGACGAGCAAGACGCACAGCTCGACCAGCTCGGCGCCTCCATCGGCCGTCAGCGCGAGCTCTCCATGCAGATCGGCGACGAGCTCGACGGGCAGGTCATGCTGCTCGACGACGTCGAGGAGGGCGTGGACCGCCATGCGGCGCAGTTCCGGCGGGCGAGGGGGCGCCTGGATCGATTCGGCCGCAAGGCAAAGGAGAACTGGAGTTTGAGCGTCATTGTCGTGCTGATTGTGGTGCTGGTGCTGTTGATTGTCATTACGAAATAATCGAGTTGGGTGGGCGGTGGGGGAAATTGGTTGCGGGGGGATATAGACAGAGGACGGGGTGTGCGATGTTGGATATGGAAATGGATGCATGCATAGACGGCGTTCGGTGTACATGGGCTTGGCCTGGCTGGTTGACTTCGGTCCCCTGGAGGTCTCTTCTTGCTTTACGTACTGCGAATCTGAGCCATTGTCCCTTTGTCTCAAACCACAACATTGCCATCGGTGCACAACTCCAGATTTGCGCCCTTGTCTTTATTGTTGCTTTACTGTTCCATTCCGTTCCATGCGATGCCATAATACACTCACTACCTATCGTACCCGTCACCTAATTCCCTCGCTACTTTCCTCTCCCCGATTCCAACCCAGCACTCAATTCACTAGATCTATCGTGACCTAAACGCCTGCGCTCCACGCCACCTCCCATGCAATAAAGACCAATGAAACTGAATCGAACGGAATACAGCTAAACGACGTGCGTGCAATGCGAATCGGCGGTCCATGCACCCCCACCGTGGGAGGTGAGCACGGCCGTGAGGGTATCTCTGGGGGATGCAAAGAAAAAGCTTCGAGGGTGGGGGAGGCCGACTCAGTCAGGGTTCGGGCGATAGGTTTCGTGAACCGTAGGATTGTGTATGCGCGTGAGGATGCCAGACAACGTGACAGAGATAGTTCAGGTACGAACATCAGTTCTTGTACCCAGGTGGAGTGTCCGCATCGTGGCCCTGTACTGTATGATTTGGTTTGTTTGGTGGCAATGTCCTTGAAACGTGCATTCTCTCAATGCAGACCCAGTGCAGCCTTGGACTTGTCGTAGACGACATATGTAATGGACACAGCCGGAACGACCTTGAGCAGGTTTGGCGTGAGACCCTTGAACAAACCTCTCATGCCTTCGCCCTTAATCGTCTGTCGCGTAACGTCCACGATGCCGGTGTACGTTCGAGGATGGAGGACCGTTCCTTGACTTTGTAATCGTGTGCGGAGGAGGTTTATAGGGTAAACCATACTGGCGCCAAACGCTCCAGAGAAACCTCCGATGGCCGCAGTCATGAAGCCGCCCGGTGCTGCGTCTTCTTCGTGGCACCCGCGTTTCCGGGCATTACGAGCTGTGATGGCGCGCTTGAGGTATTCAAAGGTTCCCAGGTCCAATGCTGCGTATGGGAAGATACCGACAAGACCCATACCAATACCGCGATAGTAAGCAGGAATTCCGCCTTGGCGCCACATTTTCTTCGCCGTAGCGATGATCAGACGGTTGCCGTGTAGCCCTCCGGAAACGGTCTCGCACTGCATCCGGAATTTCAGGGTATCAATAGGGTATACCGCGAACTGTGAGACCATTCCTGCCATGCCACCTGCCACAAACTTGGACCATGAGTGGATGACAGCAGGGTCGTTGTGGCCTTCGAGGGTAGCAAAAGCACGCTTTGCAGCCTAAGACTGTTAGATCGCCGAGAGTCAACGTGTATGGACATACATACTTCGTAGGCACCAAACTTGATGGCTGATTCTGGCATGACCTTGACGACGTTTAATCCGTTGCCTGTGGCAAGTCAGGGAAAGCAATTACCACAGCTCGAACACAACTTACCCGCGTACAGACTGCGCATGCCGCCAGCCTGCCAGAGCTCTTTCGTAGCTCCAGCAAGGGGACGCCATGCATTCATAAACGCCCGGACGACATTGCCGGACTTGGCAGCGTCTACAGCTTCTTTGGTGACGCTGGTCTGCGCGATGAGGTAGACTTTGAGGCGATCGAGAGGTGCGGTCGAGGTACGCGAGACTGCAAGTAAGCGCACGATAAGCTTTTGCATTGCATGCATCATTCAGGGACAACTTACCGATTCCAGCGATCCCTCCCGCCACGAAGTACTCTATATCAGGAAAACAACCAATCAGCACAGATGCTACACTTTGAACGACCGCCTTCTGCTCCGCACTGGCGGAAGGAGAATGGAGGCCTCCAACATCGTAACGTGGCGGGAGGGTCTGTGAAGCCGTAAAGGCATCCCCGGCTGGCGCAGCCATGTCGAGCGCGTCGAAAGGTTCGGCGTACGCAGCAGCCGAGAGGGGCGGTGTTCTTGCGACGAGGAAGATGGAGCCAAAAAGAGAATGAAGAAAGTGTATACCTAGTCCGTATATGGTATCGTCACTGAGCAGGACGTCGCCTTCTGGGTTGATGTGGTGGGTTTCCTGGTAATAGCTCATCACCTGGTGCAGATTTGGCGCGACGACCGGCATGAACAACAGAAAGTCGCTATTGATGTCAGCGTATGCGCTTCAAAACGGGGCGGTGAAAGTGAAGGCCCAACCCAGGGCGCGTTGAGTGCGCGGGTGGGTGTTGCGCCTCGCTACCGGTGACGACGTACCGCCATTCCTCGAAGGTGATGGCCCCGTCGTTGTTGGCGTCGACCTCGGAGAAAAATACGTCCAACTTGCTATTTGGGACGGCCAGCCCCGCGCGACTGAACGCGGCTTGGAGCTCTTCCCTAGATATCTTCCCATTGCGGTCGCTGTCGATGCTCTTGAAGAGCGCCAGGAGCTCCCTTTCTGTCTCCTGTACAAAACTGCGGAACTCTTCACCAAGACAGTCAGCATAGGCCACAGCAATGCAGCTCCGGTGTCTAACCATGATATGATATGCGTCCGTCGCCGTTCGTGTCCACCGACTTCATCACGTCCGCCAGGATCTGATCCGCGTTTTTCAGCGCTGCTGCCGGTTAGCGAAGCTCGCTCGGGCAGGCAGGGCAGGTGCATACGGTGGTCCAGCTTCCGCAGGCCCTTTTTGAGCGCTGCGAGGTCCAGTTGCCCCTGATTCCGCGTGTCGAGCGTCGCCCATAATGCGTCCACCCGTGCATCCTGTGCATTCGCGGTCTCGGTGTCCATCGTGCCGTTATCTGTGGTCTATCATGGCTATGGGCTGCGAATCGCGGTAGAAGGTGCTGCTCGGTCGGGCGAGGGCAGGCTGGCAAAGGAGCGAGGGCCAGGCTGCGCGCATAGGTCGTGGAGGATGGAATACAGGCGGGGTGCTGCTATGATGTCGAGCTTGAGGATCCGGCTAGGAAGGAAGCGTGCCCACCTCGGAAGGAGCCCGGAGCTAGGGCGCCCATGTTCAACACCAACAACCTCGATCACCACCGCCTCGTTTGCAGCTTAGTCAATCGCCGCTCGTTTCGTTCGTCGCATTGCAGCTTCAGTTCAATAGCGCCGCTATATCGTCGTTGCGTTTGTGCATTCTTTTGCATACTGAATCACCTGCTTCTCCCGCCTCGGGCTTACCCACATACCTCGATAATCCTCAAGGGATATTCCGCAACATTCATCCTGACTCGGTGCTTCCCCATATCGGTAGCGGTGACAATAACTTCAAACTGATTCGACTTTTTTCGCAACCTTGGCCCACTCTCAGTGCAGCCTTGTTATAGGGGGCCGTAGGCACCATCAACTCGCACCTTAATTCATAGTCACAACAACATGGCGTCTAGCTACTGGGAATCGACACAGAAGAAGTTCTGGACCTTTACAAAGCCGCAGCTAGCTCTTGAGCGGAAACGGCTGGAGGACTCGGAACGAAATGTGGTCAATATGTACCCCGTGCCGGACAGACGGCATCTGAGCATATATTTCTATCATCGTAGGCCGCATACTCTTTTCAAAGGCTCAACTAAGTTGTGATAGAACTATCAAAAATGGCACGACCGCTGGGGATCCGTCAACAGGCACTAGCAACCGCACAAGTTTATGTCCGACGCTTCTACGTAAAAGTAGAGATCCGTCGGACCAACCCGGCACTCGTCCTGGCCACAGCTCTATACTTGGCGTGCAAGATGGAGGAGTGTCCGCAGCACATCAGGATGGTGCTAGCAGAAGCTCGCCACTGTTGGGGTATGGATCTTCTGGATTTACCAGCTCCCACCTAACCAGTAGACAGATACCTCCTTCAACGACATCTCTAAAATTGGCGAATGCGAATTCACCTTGATCTCGGAAATGAACTCTCAACTCATCATTCACCACCCGTACCGCAGCCTAGCTGAACTACAAAGCCAATTCCAACTCACGCAGGAGGAAAACTCACTGGCATGGTCAATCATCAACGACCACTATCTGACAGACCTTCCGCTTCTACATGCTCCTCACGTAATCGCCATTACTGCAATGTTCCTGGCGGTTGTCCTCAAGCCTACCCAAGGAGGACTCCAAGTACACGCTGCAGGCGTTGCGAGTGCACTGCAAGCACTAGGCAACGCTCGCGGCGGCACAGGACAAGGCATGCAAAACCGAGTCCAGAAGCTGGTCGACTGGCTGGCCGAAAGCACCGTCGACATCGAGGCTGTCGTGGAGTGCACGCAAGAGCTCATATCGCTGTACGAAATCTGGGATTCATACGCGGAGAAAACCTGCAAGGATCAGATTGCGAAATTCGTAAAGGCCAGAGGACTGGACAAGTGATGTCAAGTTGTGGTCGTGTTCCGATAAGCTCGGGCTTCGGAGGTTTGGGCAATGGGCCCGCCGCACGATGATGAAATCTGACGGGGATGCGGTGCTGCGGTCTGCTCAATAAGCAGCGGAGGACTGCGAGACAGAAGTCGGAGCGGAGGACCCATTTGTGACTTGGACCCTGGTTCCAATGTCCTGCGCACAAGTTGAGCGCTACCATGGGCGACTCGAGGATCGCTAACATGGCCTAACCATCCGGACACTCAGTACCCTCATGTTGGCTCTACGCGGTGTCTCGATACCCCCAATTACAAACGAGGATAGACGCGAAAATACAAATCGAGAACACACACCGCCATATCCTATTGATGGCACGCCTACAATCACCGATCCCACTTGTCGTCAATACTGGGTTGCCATGCCACCGCTGTGCAGTCAACTAGGTGCTGACAAGTTAGGCGCGGCTGACCACCAAATGCGTTCTGGGACAGGGCTCAGGCTCGCTAGCGCAGCAGGTACAACATCAGCACCGCACGCTCCCGGAAGCAGCATCAGTACAAAATTCGGGTCACATGAACAGCCTTTGTAAGAGGCGAAACAGCCATCAGCATACGAGGGCTTCAGCAAAACGCAACACTCTACTTGGCGACTTGTGGAGAGGCAAGGCAGAAAACCTACATCTCTTGGCATGCTGTTCTCAACACCATACCTGGATAGGTGAGCCACGACCACATCATTCCATCAATCCAACAACGAGAATTTCACGGGCGTTACAAGATTGAGGCAAAACTTTAGACTGGCCAGCATGGCAACCCACTGTAGGCTCAAATGGAGTCATGCACTGAGAAGGAAGACAATTGTCCTGCTCAGTAAGCGATTCCAATGGTTCTCATTCCCAAGTAAGGAGTGCTGAGGTCAGTAATGATCAAGCGAAGTCACTCCCAGCTGACTCTTTGGCCTCAAGTGGAAGACAACAAACGCCATAGTTGGACAGTGGTGAGCCCTAGATCCATATTGAGCAATCTGCCACGCCACAGCGTCCAACCAGAAGGCATGTAGCTCTGGAAGAGAGCCTTCCGCCCGGAATCAAAAAGAGATGGCTTCTCCAACACCCGCAATTCCTCGGACGGCATTACTTACGTGTCAATCATGCCGCTAGCAATGATGAAATTAGGCTTTGCACTTAGTCTTGTCAGCCTCGCCAACAGTGCTTGCTTAAGCACCGGTAACCAAGACAGCATCAACCAGCTGCTACAGCAAGGCGGCGCAAACACCATTGTATCTCTCTGTCCTGGGTCTACCATCTCCATCACCGATTCCATCGTCTTCACCGCCCCCGGCCAGGAAATTTCCACCCAAGGCTACCCCACAGACACCGCCAGAGCCACCATCATCATCCTACCCGGCAGCTCCGTCTCAGCCGCCATCCGCGGCAACTGGCAAGACGGTGTCAAAGTCCTGAACGTCCAGATCGACGGCAACCGTCCCAATGCCGGACTCTATACGGGCCCGGGTGCAGACGCCCTGCTCGAAATGGGTGGCGGGACGACAGACCAGACGGTCTCTCACGTCGTAGCTAAAAACACAAGGAGCTGGAGCTGCATGCACTTCATCGGGTCCGGGCAGGAAGACAATCCGTGCCGCAATGCGAATATCACGTTCAACACCGTCGGGCCGTGTGGTGACGAGGGGCACGATGCAGATGGTAATGCGCTGTGGGCTGATGGGATGAGCATCGAGTGCGTGACGTCCACTGTCACAGACAACACCGTAAGCCCCTTCCAGCTCAGCCTGTCACCCGCAAACTCGCTCCATTCCAGTACTGACCGGCTGATACACAGATCACCGCGCCCACCGACGGCGGCATCGTAATCTTCGGCGCGCCGGGCTCCCACTTCCTCCGCAACACCATCACCTCTCCTTCCACCGCCCTCGGCTTCGGCGCCATCAACATGGTGGACCCTACCTACGGCGGCAACTACTCCAACGTGGTCGTCGCCGACAACACCATCGTGGGCGTTGCACCTGGGTTCTTCAACCTCGGCATCGGCATCGGGTCCCAGATCTGGTCGAACCCGCACTACGAGCCCACGAACTTTGGGCCCACGACGGTAAGCAACAATGTCTTCCGCGGCGCCATCGGGTTCAGTGTGGTGGTGAACGGGTGGGAGGGGGGCTTGACGGCACAGGGGAACGACGTGGGAGGAGTGCATGCGCCGAGCAGCGACACAGCGGATGCGTCGGGCTGCGGCGCGCAGCAGCAGGCCTCGTTCGCTGCGAGCGAGCAGCTCATCGTGTATGCACCGGGTGTCCGCGGCCCGTCGAGCATCCAGGAAGAGTTTGTGCGCATCCCGAATAACGGGAGCAACTGGCTGTGCTTGGCACACCCTCTCCCCTCACAGCGCTCCTTCGCTCCGCAGAGCCTGTTCGTCACAGCGCAGCAGTCGACGGTCGTCGACCTCGGCGGTTTCCACGTGCAGTTTCAGGGCGATGGGAATCTCGTTGGGCTCGATACTACAGGGGCAGCGTGGACGCCGCGGTGGGCGACGAGCACGTCGTCTGCTGCTTGTGGGGAGGAGGGGGAGGACTGTCTGCTTGCGTGGGGCGCAGATGGGAATTTCGTGCTGTATGATGCGAATGGGCCGTTCTATGACAGTGGGACGAGCGGGAGGGGTGCGGAGTTGACGTTCTATAACAGGGCGCCTTGGGTTGCGATTACGGATGCCGCAGGGAAGCAGATATGGAAGGTTGGCGGTTGAGGGGGGATGTACGCCCTGCTACCATCGTCCATGGATCCAGGAAGACGGGTCCGGGGATGGAGTGGGTGAGCGGGACTTCGGACTGCAGAGGGCGGTTCATTGTTGTCGTGTGGCTTCTTTCATACGGTAGCCGACATAAGAACTGGACTCTGGCGCGCAACTGACCCTGTTCCAACTCACTCTACAATACCTATATGCAATTGTAAGCTAACAATCCACCGTGGGTGTCCACATGTAGCCCGTTGCCAGAATCCTGATTCTCAAAATACCCGCAGCAGTAGGTAGGTACATGGTCGGCGTTTGGCGTTTGAGATCGATACGAGGCATGTCCATCTCTCTTAGTCCTCCAAAGAGACTTGCATGCAATGTCTCCTGTATACATGCTCCGGGGTAGCCCTGGAGTCTGAGGGGCGCTGGCGACCAGAGCTAAGCGCGGCTGACCACCGCCTGCGCCAGGCATGCATGTCGCTGCTCAACAAAATCGCCTATCGACCAGACAAGACACATTGTCCTCCGTGCACATCAGCACCTTGGGTTCCCCACGGTGCCGTCAATGCATGGTGGCTCAGGTCAACAAGCGATTGCCAAGGTCCATGCGCGCGAGCTTGGCCCGGGGCAGTGGTGGCTCGCAGAGCGGGAGGACCGAGGACACTGGCGAGCGCGAGCACCACCGACGCACGATCGGGGTGCTAAATATGGCGCAGGCAGGGCGCTTGCGCGATTGGGCGGGCGCTGGTGTCCTGCATTCTCCTGCCCCTCATGTGTGGCATGTGGCAGGTTCCGGGCGGTCGCACGCAGCGTCGTTGCGCACCCACGGGCACAGAGGGCTGGGGAGAGGCCGGCAGCGTCTCGAAGGCTCCAGGCGCGGGCTGACTGCGTCCAACCACAGCGGCAGGCCAGGCGGGTGCAAGTCGAGGGCCCTCGCCCCGCCATCTGTCGCCCGCCACTGGGGGCCGCAGCGGCTGCGTGACCTCATGGGCCAGTGGAGCGGCGCAACAGCCAGCGCAGCGCGGCATTCCAGAACAGTCGGGTGCCTGCTGCAACGAGGAACGATGCGCAATCGCCAGGGACGCCGGCAGCCCCAGAGCCAGCCAACGAGGCACTGCTGCGCTACGGGTAGCGCTCGCGGAGCAGCGCTGCAGCCGAGCGGCCGGACATGTGCGACGGACTCGAGCAGAGCGGGCGTCGCGGTGCAGCGCTCTGTCGATTGATGCGAGGGCAGTGGGATGCGCTGTCGGTGGGGTGCTCTGCGCGTGAGCGAGCCCCTGCAGCGGGCCACTGAGGGCGTGCCGTGGGAGAGGCGGTCAGGGCGATCGTGTGGTCACGATGCCCGCCCTCGTCCTGGCACGCCGAGCAGCCGCTACAACCTGCTAGCTTCGCGGCCTGCATGAAGTGTTTGGCAGCTTGCGCCTCCTTTGAGACACGAGGCTGGCAGGGGTCCGTCCGCTGCGCTGCTCGCCGTGCGCTCTCCCGATGCGGCGCGGCGTCGTGGAGGGCTCGCGGCAGAAGCGCAGCCGCCGCGCAGGCTAGGTCGTGGTGTCGTCCGCACTGTGCGCTCACGCTGAGGACAGGCGCCGGCGGAGAGTGCAGCAGCGTGGACACGGAGTCCTGCTGGTGGTGCGTTCCGTGCGTTCCTAGCCACGGCGCTCAGGGCAGCCCGCGGTCGAGGTGCAGCCGAGCCAGCCCGCTGTGGCATGGCGCGGATGGTGGGTCGCTCATCTTGCCACCGCCGGCCTGCCCAATGGCTGCCCTCTGCCGCCCATCCACAAAAGCGCAAGAGCGTCCGGCCGCTCCTGCCCTCCTCTTTCGCCCGCCGCCTTTCAGCTCTCCATATCGCATCGCTTCTCTGCACACTCTGCCCGACTTCGCTCTCCATCCGCACTCCTCCTACAACGTGTGCGCTCGCATCCCTCTCGCAACCCGACCCGCCTGCCGACCGCCGCTGCTTACCGCTGCATCCGACCAGCCGACGCCCCTTCTTTGTTTTGGGCGGCATTCTCAGCGTCCCTCCTCACCGACAATCGGCCCTCATCGCTCGTCCACCACGCACCCTCTCCCATCGCAACCATGTTTAGCTACGGAGCGCAACACCATCAACCACACCTCAACGCCCACAACAACCACAGCCACCATGGTGGCCGGTCGCGGAGGGCGCCCCGGATCTCGGCGGCGCAGCACAACAAGCAGTTCCGCCAAGTGCGGACCCCAAAAGAGTTTGTTGTAGAGCCCCCGACCCTGCTCGCCTTCCGCCGCGACTTCGAGGCCGCACGGTCGTTCGATCTCGAGGACGACGAGCTCTTCTGCCCGTTCCACCTGCTCACCGAGGATGATGTAAGTGCCATGACGCTTCCGGTCGGCCATCTTCGCCACCCTATGTCATCGGTCGAGCTCGCGCTGACGCTGGACGAACAGCTCCAGTCCATCCACTCCTCTGGCTCCGACCGCTCGTCGCTGTCGAGCGGCTCGCCCGAACAGTCGCCGCTGCAGCACCAGCTCCAGCCCACCCCGTCCTTTGTCCTATCTTCTGCGCCTAATCCCTACACCCCGGCTTCCTTCCAGTCGAGTAATTCTTCCCAAACCAAGCTCCACCAGCCACTAGCTCAGCGCACCCGCAATGCCATCCCCATCGTCGACCCCTCCACGCGTGCTGTTGCTAGCCCACCGCCGTCTGTCTCGCCAAACCGACAGATGCAGCAGCAGTTCCGCCGCTGGTAGTGGCCCGGCTGGCACGAGGCCAGACGCATTATTCGGAGTGCATTGCGCCGTGCGTTCGTTGCTGGACTAGTGGCTAATCCCGCATGCTTGCCCCTCAAGCTTGCCCATTGGAATCTAATTCTCTTCTCCCGATATCCTCCGGAGGATCACCCGTCTATACTATCGGCTCTCCTTGTACAAATCTACGATATCTCCTTCGACATATTGGGTATACCACTCGGCACGGTCGACGGCGTTGCAACTAGCGAAAACGCATCATTTCGGATAGAGCGCTTCTGGCATTTTGTGTCTCCTGCGCTACGCATTATGGCGGAATTGCACTAACATAACCACGGTGTTCTGGATCGCATTTTTTTGGTTTCTAAAGACTTTACCCTTTTTAAAGAGAAAAATTTCGAGTTACAGATATAGGTGTTCTGTAGCGTTTCGCTTCCTGCTCACGGCGGGTAGATTTCCTATGTGTGGGTTTCGGATGCTATGCTGGGAATACCACGGAGAAAGCTGGGTGTTATTGTGCGGTGCGTGCGTTGCGTGGTTCGGTGCTGGTGCGTTGGTGTCGCTTCTGGTCTGGTCATTTGGGTCGGCGAAGTTCTCAAGGTCTGGTGCATATGTCCACATGTTTGCGGGTCTGGTCTGTCTCTTGATACTACTGTACGGCAAGGCACACGGCTGGGATGATTCACGTCAATCGCGTGTTGGTGTTTTCTTGTTTCCTACTTTCACTCTTGTCGTCTTTCACTTTTCTGTATGAAGAGCCGATACACTGCGGAGTTTTAGTTGAGCGTCGGGAGCGATGTTTTCGGCGCACTTTGGCTCTTGCGGAGCAGGCATACTTTACACGCCTCGTCCAGTCTTCGGTTGAAGCTAGGCGGGGGCAGTGAATTGGTTAGAGAATCGCAACTTCTTCGTGTTCAACACTGCCCTCCTGCATGTCTGCGTGGCAAGCAAGTTCACCACTGCGCCGAACAACAACACCATCACCAACAACAAAACACCCCTCACCGCGCCAGTCCTGTACGGACTGCGCTTGCGACGCCCTACCCCGCCCTGTGTGCACTCGTTTCGTCGCAGAGGCAGGGGGGGTTTCAGCTCGTTTCGTGGCGCGCCAGTCGCACTCGCCCACACCCACCACTGCGAGCACCGTCTTGGCGTTTGTATTTCTTTCAATACATACGCTTGGGGAAATACAATACCTGGCTGTGCGTGTTTGACGGGGCTCAGGCGGGTGAGGTAAGAAGGGTTTCTGTTGGACTTGGGGAAGGCGGAGGGACGTTGGACGGGCGTTGGAAAGCGTGGGATGTGCGTATGTAGGTGCGACGTTGTGGCGTGTGGAGAGCGTGGAGTAGCCATGTGGAGGTAGAGCGGAGGTTGAGTAGGCTGTCGTCATGGCAGGATTGGGATTTGTTGTGGGAGGTGGTTGAGTCTACTGGCGCTCCAAGGGGTGCTACGGTGCGTTCGTTGCACACGTCTGCTGGCATGGGTAGTCTAGTTTCTACCGACTATTGGGCTTTTGGGGCTACGTTCTGGTGGTGCGTTTGCAAATCACAGCGTGGACTAGATGAGGTCGGTGGTTAGTGTTTACCAGCAGTGACCAGCGGTGGCCGAAGTATGCATCTATTACTGGCGTGTGGTTCACCATGCCACCGTCATTCCCAACGCACTGTACACCACCCTGTACCCATTTTCTGTGCCCGAGTTAGCAATCCTCGTGCCATCACTCGCCGCTACCTCGGACGATCCCATGCTTGCAATTGCCGCGTTGTGAATGGCTCACCTCGCTCGGGAGCTTGGGCGCACCAAAGCATCATTGACGTCATTCTCGCAAAGCTCCATCATCACCACACCTCGGTTCTACCTACCCATTGAGCGTGCCCATTGCGTCCTTTCCCTTCCTCCACCAGCTCCATCACAAAGTCATCTTCCAATTGCAATTTATCCCGCAAAGTAATCAAGAAAGCCCTCGCATACATCCCCCGGCGAATATACTGAGTCCTTCCCGCCCCGCGAAAACCTCCGAGCCACCTTTCGAACACCGAAGTTTAGAAGACGCAAAGCAAGAAAATGTCCGCTTTCCGAGCCCTAGCCGCGCGCCGCGCTCCCTTCGCTCTCGCTCAGCGCGCGCCCTTCCACGCCTCTGCTATGCGCGCTGCGGGCAAGGAGTCGCATCTCCGTACGTCCGGGCGTTCCGCCTCCCAGTCCCTCTGTTGCGCTCTCAGCTAGGAGAGAAGCGCAATCCGTGATGTGATTCCGGATTCAATGGATAGATCAGCCACGCTAACATACGTACAGACGACGAGAGTCGCGCTGCGGAGGTGCAGAGTCACAAGGAGGAGCAGCAGCAGAAGCGGAAGGAGGGCAAGGGCCACTGGGAGGAGAGTCTTGCGAGTGACTCGGAGAGCATTGTACGTCTACCTTCCTTGTGGCTTGGGCGCATTGAGAAGCGCTGCCGACTTTGATTGATATACATGCTAATCAGAGAGCAGGTCAAGGCGGATCGCGGCGAGGTGGAGACGAGCCCCGAGTCGATTAAGAAGCTGCAGGAGGAGACGGCCAAGGTTGCGGGGGACAAGTCGCGCTCATAAATGTCGATTAGATGTTAGCACTGTGAAAATAGGTTGATTGTGTGCGAGGGGGGAAATTTGCATGGCTGGGTAGAGGTATTGCGTTGTGTATCACCATGTTCAATTCAAAAGTCCAAAGTTGTTTCGTTGATTTGATGTTTGTCGCATGCGAAGAGGGGCCTGTGGTCTTTGTGTTCGTAATGGTGGATGGCTGATAGCCTGCAGGCACATGTGCCATACCGCTACACAAGAAGTCCCGGGAGGCTGCAAGACGCCCTTGATCGCCTTTCCACCAGATGTCCACATCCACGCCGGCTAAAAGTGGAACCCAACAGACTTTCCGATTAGCAGCCTCGAAAACTTGTTGAGCCCTTGGTCACAGCGCCCGGTCATCCGTAGAGATAAGCGCGGCCGGTATGCGACCTGTTCAATATATCGGGCGGCTTCCTCGGCGCGATACCAGACCTCGGCATTGGGTGGAGCCTCACGTCACGTGGTCTCATCTCTGTCCACATGCTCAACAAATCTCTCCCTTGCTCCATCGCAGAGCATATCCTTTGTATCTCATCTTTGCGTAGGTCTTGATTCAGAAGTCGTGTAGGGCTACGGTGTATCGCGTATTTTCCGGCGGTTTTGAGCTTAGCTGTAAGAGCAAGGACGAGAGCGCAGATTTACGTCGACGACAGCAGTGGGCACGGTGATTCTGTCTCTATATAGACACCCACGGCTTTGAGTCTTGTCGGATCGACCAGCGCGCCATCACTCCCAGGCTCGGCTCTTGACCCCTTCTCCATAATGGCCGTCCACAAAAACACTCCGCGGCAGTCCCTCACGGTCGTCGACAACCGCACCGGAAAGTCCTACGAGCTGCCCATCACGCACAACTCCGTCCTGGCCACCGACATCAAGAAGATAAAAGCTGAGCCCTCGCCCACGGACACTGCCGAAGATGAGACCAAACAGGGCCTCCGCGTGTACGACCCCGCCTACATGAACACGGCGGTCGTCCAGAGCAAAATTACGTACATTAATGGTTTGGAGGGGATCCTGAGATACCGTGGGTACCCTATCGAACAGCTGGTTCAGAAGAGCAATTTTCTGGAGACGGCGTATTTGCTTATCTACGGGGAGTTGCCTACGGAGCCGCAGTACGCAGATTGGCAGAGCGAAGTCGGCCAGCACACATTCGTGCACACAGACATCGAGGGCCTGCTGAAGAGCTTCCGCTATGATTCCCACCCCATGAGCATGCTGACCGCGGGCTTTGCCGCCTTGGGTGCCTTCGCTCCAGAAGCCAACCCCTCGCTCCGCGGGCAGAAGCTATACACAGCTGCTGCGAGCGGCGACATGGAGAGCCTCAAGGTCCTCGACAAGCAGATCCTGCGGATTCTCGGAAAAGCGCCCACCCTCGCCGCAGCCTCGTACCGCATGCGCCAGGGCCGCCCGTTCAATCGCCCCGCCCAGGGACTCTCCTACACGGGCAACTTTCTCCACCTGCTGGACACGCTGAGCGACGCCGGGAAGCCGTACACGCCGCACCCCGTCCTCGAGAAAGCCCTCGACGCCCTCTTCATCATCCACGCCGACCACGAAGTAAACTGCTCCACGGCCACGGTTCTGCAAGTCGGCTCCTCGCTGGTCGACCCCTACTCCGTCGTCGCGGCCGGGTGCGCAGCGCTCTACGGCCCCTCCCACGGCGGCGCCTCGGAGAGCGCAATCCGCATGCTCATGGAGATCGGCTCCCCGGAAAACGTCCCCGCCTTCATGAAAGACGTCGAGGCCCGCAAGCGCGTGCTCGTCGGATTCGGGCACCGCGTGTACAAGAACGTGGACCCCCGCTCCACCGCGATCCGGCAGCTGGCCGAGGACGTGTTCAAAGTCACCGGCCGCAACAAGCTGCTCGACACGGCGCTGGAGCTCGCGCGGTACGCGCGCGAGAGCGACTTCATGCGTTCCCGGAACTTGTATCCCAACGTCGACTTCTACTCCGGCCTGATCTACCAGGCGATGGGCTTCCCGCTCGACTTTTACCCCGTGCTGTTTGCCGTGCCGCGGTGTGTGGGGTGGCTCGCGCATTGGCGGCAGCAGATGCTTACGCCGTCGGGTGTCAAGATCTGGCGGCCGCGACAGCTGTATGTGGGGTCTGGAGAGAGGGAGTATGTTGAGGCGAGGGAGAGAGAGAGGAAGGAGGGCGCCACGGTGTTTGATGCTCCGGTGCAGGTTCACCATGGGGGAGATAGCAAGAGGAATTTGCTTGCGGTTGGGAGGGTAAGAGCGAGGTTGTAGAGGGTGGAACTGTGTGGTTGTGTTGTGTTGATATTTGACGTGAGAGCTTTTTGAGTGGCGTGATGAGTGCGTTTGTAGGTTTTGTCGTGTATTTCCTATCTGGATTAGAAAATGGCATTATAGACCGAATAGCTGATTAGTTGGCATGGCCAGGAGAAGGATGAAATCACATGCAGTTCGTCCGTGTGGCATGGCGTGGCCCTGCTTCTCTAAGAGCAAGCATTCCGAAGCGCAGTATTCGTTGTCGAACAGCTCGTGATATGCCTGTTCCTGCACTCTATCCCGGGAGTACAAGACGGACGCCAAATTTGCACAAGGCATGGAACGAGTTTTGACTATAGTCTCACTAACAACCTCATACTCTGGACCACAATGCTATACCCCTGTTACTTCACTTGATTGCCTTCCACTACAGAACCAAAAGAAAAGACTACGTCGTGGGAAACGAGTCTAGAATCCAAGGCAAAAGATTTCGCAAAAAAGAACGGGTCTTACCGCGATTCGAACGCGGGGCCTCTCGCAAATGTGCTCAGGTGTTGATCACGTGATCCCTAAGCGAGAATCATACCACTAGACCATAAGACCGGATCTCTTATTATTTGATGTCAAAATTAAGAAAAATTATTTTATATAGGCTTAAAAACGAGTCAAAGATCACTTCACATAGGTTTGAAAACGAGAAGACGGGGGCGGGGGCAACCCCTGGGCTAGCCAAAAAAAAAAAACCCGAATCCCAGACCGTTAGAAATTTTCAAGACGACGAATGAGAGCTAAACCATCAAAAAAAAGCCGTGAAAGTAACATTAAGGAGCTATAAACTATAAAGATGGAATCCTGTAATGTCGAGTAGAGTAATAGAGCAGAGAAGAGAAGAAGAAAAAAAAAAAAAGGGTATCCCACCAGTACACCACCTCGCAGTCAAAGGATCTCAAACCCTCCCGCCCTTTCCTTCGCCGCGCTCCCCCTTCCTCCTTGGAGCCGGCCCGCCCCCATCTGCTACTCTCCCATCTTGCCCTGAAATCGTTCATCCGACAGTCCTCCCCCCATTCGCCGCAATGAAGTCATACACCGTGAACCGCGTCAAGCACCTAAACATCCTCTTGCCCCCGACACTCCACAGCCCCCTGCTGCACTGGATATCGTGGTTGGGGAAGGGGATGCAGTTCCCGTACACGTTCCCGTCGAGGCCAATCATATCCCAGTTCCTGTTCTTATAGATTGCTGGAAGCGTGTCAGCGTCAGCGGATCCAACGTCAGTACCGCACACGTTCACTTGGTCGGATGCAGTACGTCTTGCCGGATGCGGAGAAACAGGGTAAGAGGGGAAGACACCAAGGGTTTGACTTACTCCAGTGGAACCTTGCGCGATCCGCGGCGAGAAAGTTCATCTCCAGCCTGTTCACATTGCTGGGGTTGTTCCAGTAGTAGCACTGGTCCGGGGGCTCGCAGACAACGCCGGAGTCGTGGGACACATCTTCGCTGTCCAGAACGCGGTACATGTCTGTTTTGGTCACACAACCCGTCAGTGCGTGCTTGGAGGGATGGAGGAGGGAAGAGGGATGGTTACCATGGCTGTCCATGACCTGTCCACAATCGGGGTCGTTCTCGAACATCATCCACTGGAAGGATGCCTGAGAGTCCCAAGACTGGTTGTCCTGGACTTGGTAGATGTCGAAATTGGCATGCACCAGGCCTGCGAGAACAGCCATCCCCATGGTGACAAGACCGGCCTTCATCGTTGCGGTTGGTGGTGGGTGCGGAGTAGACGGGTGCGGAGTAGATGATTGCGGATGGGGAAGTGAAGTGCTGCGGATCCGAGGTGCACCGAGTTGTCGAACTGAAGTGAAGTGTCGTTCTCGCTGCTGGTGTCTCTACCTCCATTCCAACCCGCCTCTTTATACCTCTCCTCGCACACTTCCAATCCCCATTTTGCTACTCATTTCCACCGCCTCGCTCTTCTTCCCACCCCAGACTTCCTCCCACCATCTCGCTACACACGCAGCGATCACATTGCCCGTATCCACCTCCACCATGTTGAAGCATTGATACTATCATCCTCCTCCACCGCCCTATCGCGCGTGACGGCACCTACCGCCCCTGTATCGACCAAATCCTCAGAGTATACGAGCATACGCATTGATGCTCTGGCAGTACACAGACAGGCGCAACGTCGGTCTCATTCACGCCAAGGCTCTCCAACATCTCCACAACGTCGAAGCATTGATACGCCCCAGCCCACGCCCCAGAGTCCCCGTGCACTCGAGCTCCCCCCGCAGCGTCTTACTCTCCTTGGCGCCGTAGTCAACCGGCGTCTCGTTGTCTCCAAGCACCGCTTCCACTGCAGAGCCTGGGCACGACTAATCCTTCGTCAATTCACCCTACTCCAATGGAGCGTCGTTCCGGGCACGAGTCCAGATCCGGCCGCTGGCTTCCAGAACACGAACTGGTACTTCGCGTCAACGATGTGAAAACTCACCGTGACATCACGTTGTGGCACCGTTGTAGGTGCAACGGCATGTCCCGCCGCCGGTGCATGCCCCAGCATCTCAGTCAAGACTCGTCCAAGGTAAGCAAAATGTTAAGAGATCAATGCGCCTGCTCGTGTACATCTTACGTCGCTTGGCAGGGTCGTGACTGTAGCTGACATGTCTTGGCGGGGCGTCGAACCGCGCGAGAAGGCTTGCCAAGTCTCACCATCACACAACCACAGACGTTCCACATCTACAAACACGAGGCACTCTTTAGATTTACGGTGAGACTGACGGGCACATGATCTGGACTCGAGGCAGACACGCCACCTCGACAATATCATACAGCAAGGCGAGCAGAAGTACAGTTTTTGATGGTCATTACAAATTACCCAACCCATTAATGCGGCGCAATTACCACTATCAGCCAGCTATTACCCGGTCTCCCATAACAAAAAGATCAAAACAATAACAGAGGGGTATCTCAAACCCAGTTCAAACCCAACCTTCGCCAAAAACACGCCGCAAACTCAAACGAAAGAAATAGAGAAACAGGGCAACCACACGAACCGCTATGCAAGCCTAAGACCGACAGACTTCCCGAACAGATAACACTGCCAAAGGGCATTCGCGTCGTGGAATCCGAAATCCCAAGGAGAAAGATAAGTGGAGCGGTACGTCGTTGTGAGTATATTTTCCCCGGACCCATCCCTCTCGACGAGAGCCGGCGCCATCCACTGAAACTCCGTCATGAGCCCACGGTCGACGTTGATATCCTCCACCCACTACGGAGGGGACCACATCGCCGTGGAGGAATCCGAGGTGTTTGAGAACTCACTCAGATCTGTCTGGACTCGCAGCCCAGTCGGGAGCCGCGCTCGTCGTGCAGCTTGTGGTAACAGAAGCTCCAGTTGCTGCTCAGCCGGCGCCGCGTTCGCATTTTCTGGCCTGGGATGAGCGGACTGCCGGGAGGGAGGCGAGATCTGGATCTTTGGAGCACGTGGTCGGCGTGCCTGCTTGAAAAGCGACTTGTACCAGGGACTGTTTACATGGCCACCCCGTAGCCCTATGACTTGGTGTTCAGTTAGTCGAGTTGAACAGACGCAGCCATCTTCACATGTGCACCGTGACGATGGTGGAGGAGGTGGGACGGAGGAAGTACGAAAACGGTCTCTTCTTGTGATTGGCAGAGGGAAGGTGCCAGACCGAGGCCGAGGACTTGTCCATGCATAATCGCATTGTGGTGGATCGACACGCGAATCTCCAGCAGTTGACCCTGATGCTCTATGCAGAATGGCAGTTGCCGGTGGCGAAAGCGACTGAGGTGTCCGCGTTGCTGGACGTTGGGCAGGTTCGAATACTGGTTCGCATAAAATGGGCGGATTAGCATTCGTTGGTAATATGGATCGCTGATGTAACTGTGAGATGGATCGCGGATCACATTGTATTTGCGACCTGTAACGCTGTGCATAGGGACTTGGTATGAGCCCAACTTCGCTTGCGTCTGCAGTGCGCCGCTGACCAGGCAATTGACGTAGCAGTGGACTAGGCGTATGTGGCAGCGATTGCAGAGCAGAAGGTTGTGGTATGTTTAGCGGTTCAGGCATCCATATCTGTTGAGAAGAGGTTGGTATCGCGGATTGCCTAAAGTACGGATATAAAGTCAGTGTGAGTCAAGACAGGATGCCATCTGTCTCGATTTGAATGCGAAAAGCAAGACACATTGAGCTTGTCCCGGTGGTTTACTTACTGCACAGCTGTTGCCGGTCGTTGCGGAGAAGCCTGAACAATCGGCCTTGTTGGCCGAAAATATTCTAGTGGTAACAGACCAACGCCCTCAGAGAGACGGGCGGCATTTCGTACTTTCATCTCCTCTAGAATCTTGATCGATTCCATCAGAGAACCGGGGTTGTGTTGGAATTCGTCCAGTTCCCATCCCATCGCTTGTTTCTGTGCAGGGTGAATGAACTTTCCGGCCTTCTCCTTCGCAGTAACCCAATCCATGGGAGCTCTCGACATCTGATCATTTTCGAATATGGTAGCCCAACCCAACGGTGCTCGCCTTGGAGGGTCACTCCCCTGGTTTGTCGGTACTTTTGGCAGATCTATGTCTAGTGGTCTTGGTGGAGGCAGGGTGCACTCGACGGAGGGACCAGCCTCGGATGCCCGGCCAGCAACACCTTTACCTTTATCAACCTGTTGTTGATTTGGACTTGAGGGGAGCGTGGGTACATCTGGGGGCAACGAGCCAGCGTCTGACCGCGGAGGGAAATAATGAGTTGGACCTCCAATAGTTCTCAGTTTACCTCGACAATAAGGTTCACGCGGAGGTGGTGAAGGAGTTGGCTCCCTGGACGCGACTGGAGATGGTTCCGGGTGTTGTCCACGGCGGCACAAATTCCGGGTGATCCAAGGCAAGCAGTAGCTCTGTAGCGAATAGTTACTGCGATAACCTACTTCATCTGGGCGGCGGAATTTCTAATCGAGCAACCAGATGACATCCTCGCCAGTCTTGGTGGGATCGCGAAAGGTTCGCAGTGGTTCAATGAGGGACTACTCAAACACCATTGCAACCAGTACATGTTTGGCGTCGTAGTTCCAGAAGGGGTGCGACTCAAGAGGTTGGTGTTCGTCGATGATCTTGCCGCCGTAGACAACGCGGATAGTGATGAATGGATTGAGCTGTGCAAAACATTAGCGCGAGTTGCGTGGTTCTGCGCTCCTCCCATGCGCGTAGTGATTGATGGACGACTCACCCCAGCTTTAGCTTTCAGCTTCGTGACCAGACTTCCGACACGTTCTCCCTTCTTGATGACGATCCTGTAATCCTTGCCGGTGGAGCTCAGTCTGCACAGGACCTTGACCTCTTCCCCCAGTTCCTCAACCTCAACCTCTTTGTCGTCCTCCTCGCCGACACTGCCAGCCTCATCTTTGAGATCCTCTTCTTCCACGAGGCCATCAGGCTCAATTACAATCCATTCAGGCACCCTATACCATTCACCGCGTTTGTCAAATATCCCCCGCCACAGCATGCCATTCGGACAGGTGCACTCAGTCACGTCTAGGAGCACCTGAGCTTCCCGCAAGTCGCCAGCTTGCAGAGACTGCACCATACTCCGCAGTGCAGCCCAGATCTCAGTGGACCCTGTGGTGCGCGTATCCCACCAGTCGTTCCGCTCTTTTTCAAGCCGTTGGCGAGTCCATTGTCCACTCATACTCTGGCTGAGTGGCGGGACATGGTTTCTGTGACTGCCCACGGTGGGCGAAGCGAGCGTCTTAGGCAGCTTGGAGCGATGCGCAGGGTCGATGGGCTTTATGGGTATGTTCGGCCTGTTCTCAGCGACAGGATGCGAGGCCGAGCCTCGAGGTGAAGTTACGGCGGAGGCATTAGGCGGCGTGGGGTTGTTTATGTTGCGCTGAGAAGCACTGGGTTGGTTGGCGAGCGCGTCGCCGCTGTCGGGTCGGGAGAAGCAGCAACCCTATGAAAGTATTAGCATGAGCTTGCAGCGACGCGCATGGTGTATCGCGTGTCCACGGTAGCACAAGCGCGTGCGCGCGAACACGTCCAAGTGGTCGTCAATGTCTCGGGAACAAGGCCTGCGTACAGCAGCAGGTCCACTCGCGCTCCTGCGTCATTCCACGCTCTTGTCACGGTCACGCCTCGCAGTGCGAGACACGCCCATGCACCATAGACACTCCAGGGTGGCGATGCTCACTCACCATGGTTTCACCTCCTCGTCCGCAACAGAATGCGCGCACACGACGCAAACGAAAGGCTCTATGACGGCCAATGAATACACATTAAGAGCGATGTAGGAACGAGCGCGCGCGCAAATGCAAGAACAGCGATGGCACCCGAAGAGCGTGAGGAAGAAGAGGCGAGGCTGTGCAGCGGCTGCGGGGAAGTTGCAGCTTCTGAGGGCAAGTCTCGAGATGGGAACGGCAGGCGCGACCAGTTGACCAGGATAGTACGCGTGGCACCACACCACCAGCCAGAGCGGGAAGCCGCACCCCTCTTGTACCTCTCACACGAGCAGCCACGGCAAACTCTGGCCCTCGATCGAGACGCCCGCTAACGCATCGCCCGCCCCAATCGAGTGGCGCGACGTTGCGTGACGAGATGTCAAATGCGCTGTCCGCTGGTCGTGACTTGCTGGGCGCGCCCCACTGAGTCGCCGTCCGCTACCTGCACCACCCCATGACCGTCGGATTCCGTGATTTCATGTCTGCACTCTCGCAAAAATCACGCACCGTCCAAACCCGCCAGACTTCTCTGCAACAAAAAAGCATCCATTTTCTATTAGAGATTATTAGGTGCAGGGTGCCCTAGTGGCCGCTCGTGCTCGCCTCATAAGACTGCACGCAGGGTATCAGGGGTATTGCGCGATAAACGACCATAGTAAACGACAGCCAGAACCAAACAGACATTGGTATCAAAAGGAGATAAAACAAGTGCAGAGTGGTATCAATCTAGACAAAAAGCCGTGGACATAAGCACCGCATAGGCAACACACACATGATCCTTCCAACCAAACATGTCAATGCCGCAGGCAGATCTTGTTCCACAAAGAGAACGAGTGAACATGAGTTGGTCGAACGGGAGCCGGGTATATAGGAAAAGAAACGTGCAGGGGAGCGCGGTCCCAGACTGGCACCAAGGTGGAGTCCGGGGGGTATTTTGGGGGGTAGGCGTGCGGTCAAACAAGCGAGGAACGCTTGACTTGCTTTTCCGTCATTCCATCATGGCTGTCGTGGACGTATGAGGGATCTTCCCACCATACTTTATGCAGTGGCAGAGACCTGTGGCGTGCTTTTGGAGTCCTGCCCTACTGCGACAGCCTCCGGAGCGACGTCGCCAATGGTGGCGGGCTCGGTGGCAGTGGCAGCAGGGACATCGGTGGTAGCCTTGGTCTCCTCGGCGATGGGAGCGACCTCGGTCTTCTCCTCCTTGGGCTCGGTGGCCTCCTCAACCTTGGCGGCCGGGGTGGTCTCCTTCTCCTTCTTGGGCTTGCCGGCCTTGCTGGCGGCGCGGAAAAGACCGCCGAAGCCGCCCTTGCCCTCACCCTCCTTCTTGCTGCCGAGGGCACCGAAGATGGAGCCACGCTTCTTCTCCTTGGTGGCAGGCGCGGCAGTAGCAGCCTCAGTGGTAGGCTCAGCAACAGCAGCCTCCTCCTTGGGAGCCTCGGTGGTGGGCTCAACAGCGGCGGGAGCACCAACAGCGGGGGTCTCCTCGATCTTGGGGGCCTCCTCAGTCTTGGGAAGCTCGGGGGCCTTCTCCGTGGCGGGGGACTTGGCCTTCTCCTTGTTGCTGAGGAACTTGCCGAAAGAGAACGACTTACTCTCCTTGTGGGGAGTGGTGGCAGCAGGCTTGGTCTCCTTGGGCTCCTCAAGCTTGAGGGCCTCGGTGGTGCTCTCGAGAGGAGCGGTCTCAACGGGAGCGACCGGAGGGAGGACAGGAGCAGTCTCAGTAGTCGCAGGCTCGTCGACCTTGGGGGCTTCGGCAGCAGCCTCAGGCTCCTTGGCGGGGACAGCGGGGACGAGATCAGCCTCCTTCTTCTCGTGGGTAGGGCTCTTCAACTTCTCAACGAAGTTGCCGAAGATGGAGCCACGCTTGGTGGGCTTGGGCTTCTCCTCAACCTTCTTCTCCTCGACGGGAACGACGGGAGCAGTCTCCTCGGTCTTCTTCTCCTCGACAGGGGGGATCTCAGAGGTGATGACAGGAGCAGTTACGGGAGCAACGGCGGCTTTTCATATTAGCATTGGATGCGCAATAGCTGGAGAAAAAAACTTACCCTCAGTGGCGGGCTCAGCAACAGCAGGAGTAGCCTCCTCTGCCTTCTCCTCCTTCTTCTCCTCTTTCTCGATCTTCTTCTCCTCCTTCTTTTCTTCGACCTTCTCCTCGGCCTTGTCCTTCTTTCCAAGGAGACCACCGAAGATGGAGGCACGCTTTCCGCGGGAGACGGAGCGGCTCTTGCTCTTGGCGGCCTTCTTGCGCTTCTTCTCCTCATCGGAAGAGCTAGAGGAAGAAGATCCGGCGCGGGCAGTAGCAGCAGTCTCCTCGGCAACGGCTGCGGTAGAAGCCTCACCCTCCGCGGGCTTAGGTGTGACCTCGGTGCTCTTCTTGGGGGTGGAGCCGGCGGCAACGGTAGGAGCTAGCGTAGCGGGCTTGCCTGTGGGGCGTGTCAGTGCGCTGCATTGCGGGAACAAGCGAATGCAACCCCTTTCACATCGCGACGCGATGCGACGCGTCGAGAGTTGGAAGGAAAATGAAATTTGCACAACTTACCGAGCTTGGAGAGCTCCTCCTTGTAGGACTCGTTGGCGACAATAGTGTCCTTGGACGCCTTGGCCTCCTCAATGGCCTTCTCAACGGCGACGAACCAGCCATTGCGCTCAGCGACAGTGTGAGCCTCGAAAGTGTGCTTGCCGCCGTGGAGCTTGAAGTGGAAAGCGACGGCGCCGTCCTTGGCGAGCTCGGTAGCATCGGCCTTTGCAGGTTAGCTGATGATGACCAGATCCCTTTTGGAATGCTTACCAGCTTCAAGGCACCAGCGGGGTTGGACTTCTCGTCGGCATGCTTGACGAAGAAGAGCAGTCCCTTGCCGGTGACGCTGGACCAGGCGGCAGTAGGGTGCGCAACCTCGGCCTTCTCGCCCCGCAGGTAGGCGCTCAGGCTGGAGATGGGAACAGCGGCCTCCTCGCCGAACCAGAAGTACTTCTTGGAGAAGCGGAACGCGCTATCAACTGTCAGCTGCCGTGGCACTATGTCAGCGCAATCGCACTCACTTCTTGAGGCCAGGGGCCTTGTAGCCGAGAGCACCGCTGTAGATGGGCTCAACGGGCTTCTCCTCCTTCTTCTCCTCGACGGGGGCGGCAGCAGCAGCCTCACCCTCGGTCTTGGGAGTCTCCTCTACGGGCGCCGCAGCCTCGACAGGCTTCTCCTCGGTCGCGGGGGCAGCAGTGGAGGCGGCGGTCTCGGAAGCAGTAGCCTCCTGGAGGGGAGCAGACTGCTGGGGCTCAACGAGCGGGTGCTGAACAGCGGCGGACATGTTTGCAGATACGGCGCGTTGCTGTGGAATTGTGGGTAGGGCGACGGTGGCACACGAGATGAGATAGCAACGACGTGGGGGTGAGACAAGCTCGGGTGAATTACAAAGGTATACGGAAAGAAGATTGCTCTGTGCCGGCAGGTGGCAGCTTCGGCGGAGAAGGCTCGAATGTGAGGCGAGCAAACGTGGAGAGTAGAGAATGAGGAAGGAACAGCACGCCACGAAAGGGCTGGGAGAGTTTTAAGGTGCGAGGGTTGGTTGCTAGGGGCGCTGCAGGGATGTACCGAAATTTGTCTTTCGCAGCACGTCCATTGCAGCCGCCGCAGACCCGCTCGCTGTATCACGCCTGGCCCTCGCGCCGTCGAATGAACGCGACTCAACTGCGTTATGCACTGCGCGGGCCCGCTGAAACATGCATAGCGGCCTTTGTTACGAGTGCGCGCCCTTCACCGTGGGCTGCTCGCAAGCCTTGTTGACTGTCTGTTGACTTGGATGCGGAGCCGGCAGCGGCGGGCTCGAACACGACAAGAACAGGACGCAGCCTGCATCCACCGCGGCGCCGGTGCTGATAATGCTGCCTCGCATCCCGCCGCACTTGATCGCCTGACCTTCCCCTCCGCGCCCATCCAACGGTTCAACCTCTCGTCACCAAGGTTTGTCCCCTCACGAGACATGGAAAACGGCGGCCACTGCCGCTCTTCCACCGCATTCGATGCCGATATCTTGTTTGCTTGCGGCGGAGCCCCTGCCATTGGTGGTGTGCTGCCCCCCGCAGCACATTGTATCATTCTGCAGAAACCCTCGCCATCCCATACGTACTCTGCCTGGCTGGGCGCAGCTCTCTATCTGCGCATCGAGCAGCACAGGAACGAGGGGCGCGCTGCCTGCCTCTCTCTGTCTCCAGGTCCTAGCCCACCCCGACAGCGTCCCTTCTCTTCGGCGGGCTCTTCTGCCGGCGTGCAACACCAAAGCTCTTTATCCCAACCATCGCCAGCCTTTGCACAACTCCAGCCTGCCTCGTCGTCGACCATGTCAGGCGGCCCAAGCTCGCTGCTAGACCCGCCTAGCGCTGCCTCGACGGCGAATTGCGGGCTTTGGTGGGCGCCGATCCCCGTTTAGGGCTCGAGACCCTTGCGCGCCCAGCATGGCATGAGCATGGGTCCAGTCGTGCCAAACTGCCCGCCATCACGAGAGCGGCCTCCGTCTGGTCTAGCTGACGCCTGCGGACCCATTGCCGGCCATATTTCCGCCCACAGTCTCAAACTTTGCATTGTGAGCGCCTTGGAGTCGCACACACGCATGGCGGGGGCAGCAGAGCGCTCTGTCAAGCTGCGTAGCACGGCGTTGCTGGTGAACGCTGGCCACACGCACGGCCTGCACAACACAGCATGGGTGCAGAACCGTCTGAGCATCGAGCCCGCCATGCCTAATAGAGGTACTTCAGTAACGCATGGACGCGGATGCTCATGAACCTTGGCCGATGCCTTCGGCTGATCTAGCGCTATGTACCATGCGAGGCGCCTCACGTGAAAAGGGGGCGGTCAACCGTACCTACCTTCAGATTCTTCATGTTGGACGGACGGGCCAGAGCCCTGGCTCAGCTTGCCACAACTTTGATGACACGGGCGTGTCAGATCCACTCGCCACCTCCACGCCCAACAGAAGATCAAACACCAAGTTCTTCCTCGTTTTGTGTCTTCATCTCCTCACGCGCTTCGCACGGCTCCCCATCGATAACAGCCGCTGAAGATCCCCCTAGAATCTCCAGCTAGCCAATCTCCGCGCGCGGTCACCGCGGTGCACACCGCCACAGATCAGACCCCCGACGAAAACTCGAGCCCTGTCGACGTTACGGGTCGGCGCATTGGATGGCGAACATCATTGTAACTCTTCCCACCTGAGCTTATGCACATGATGAGCGCGATCGGCCTCAACGTCTGAATCCCTCACGCGTGGCCGTCTAATGCCTGCGACAAATTTTCTTCCAAAATGCTACTAACGAGGAACTCGGCTGTTTACATCCAGTACGAGATGATTAACAGCAATCAGGGATCGCTTGCCGAGCCTTTAGGTCGGAAGTGTGTACTAATGCTCGGTTCTAATCGCTTTAATAGTAAGCCTCTTCAATAGATCTTCGTAACTGTGAGTCAAGAAGAACTGCGGGGCAAGTTGCGATGTGTCTGTATCGCCGAGTGCGGACCAGGTGCTACTGGGGAACGGAGTGCAGCAATCGTTCATCATACGCGGATGCTGCATTCAAAATTCTGCTCGCCACAATCCATCTCGCAGACTGTTTCTCCGTATGCTGATAGTGTTATACGCGTTCGCCCAATGAACCCCAAACAGAGCGTCCCAGTGATTAACGTTTCATCGTGCCCGCGGACATTGGTGGCTTCGGTGGCTGCGCTACCTTACCAAAACCCTCCACCAATTACCACAGCAAAGCAAGCAATCGACGCGATGAAACAGCGGCGTCCATCGCTCCATCTCCGAGCACTTCCCTTGGCAGATCCGCCGATTCTGCTGTCGTCGAAATAAGCTCAAGCCTCGCGGCTGCGAGATGGGAGCGATGGTTGCTTCCTTCCTCTTCTGGCACAGCGTGACAACGTCACTCTTACTATCCCGCCTCGTCCACTGTGGGTTCGAAACATGATAGCATAGCAATGTCTCTGCACTCTTCTCAACTGCGTTTGGCATGGTTGAAACTGAGAAGTTGATGTTCATGCGGCCCCGTCAGAGACGGACGGCCCGTTTCGCCTTCCTCCAACACGCCGCGCTCGCAGCCAAGGCAGGAACGACACCCAGCACATGGTTCTTCCCCAACTTTTTCTTTGCTGCCGGTCCTTGTAATATTCTCCAACCTATAACAATACATTCCGTCCTCGCTCGCTTGGGCATCGTGGGTGGACGAGGGTACCCGCTCTTACCTTCACCGCAGCGTCGTAACTCGGTCTCCACCTTATCGACAAGATGCCGCTGTTGGTGCTGGCAGCGAAGCAACAGTGCATAGGGGGAATGGATGCAGATGGGACCTCGCACTCTTGATATCTGCATACGTCATATCATTCGCGTCTCAGGGTCAATGGTCAGTATTTTTAGGTGTCATGAGTACGAATAGATTGTAGAAATACACTTGCTAAAGAACAACCATTGCACAGCCACTTAGCACAACGCTGCAATGATATTCTAAGACTAAGAGAAAAGACATGCATACCAAATCATCTATTCATCAAGAAGATGAAGTCCTCACTGCCTGAACCGCTCCGACCAATGGAATAATCGTTCCTCACTCGCTTCTCCTAATAATCTCAAAGGCTCCTCCCACCATCTCATGCTCTTCTTCTCGCTGACTCTCTTTTCGCCGATCCGCAGCCATCTGCAGCAGCTGTGGTCGGACCGCTGGACCGCTTTCAGTCCAGCTCCACAGGTCGATTGCTCGCTCTTTGACTGTCAAGCCATCGTTTCTCGTTCGGGCTTCCAAACTAGCGCCAGCGAGTATGAGTTTCATAGCAAGCTCCGTATTACCTTCGTGCACCGCCATATGGAGTGGCGTCCATCCTTTCTCGTCGGCATGATTCACGTTAGCTCCGGCCTTGACAAGTATGTGGATGATTGCAAGGTTCTGCGTACAGCAGAGGGGCGTCCAGTTCTTCTCGTCTACGGCCTCGATCGTGGAGCAGTTGGTCAACGTGAGCAAAGCGTCTGCTGCGCGAGCGAGACCGTAGTTGGCGGCTATGTGTAGCGGTGTTCGCTTCTTTGACGCAATGGCTGCGGAGTCGGCACCTCGCTCGAGCAACACGAGTGAAATATCCTCTTTCCCGTTGACAAGAGCGCAGTGCAGGGGTCGATCCCCATTTGGCAGAGGGCGCTCGATATCGGCGGTCGAGTCCAGAAGAAGAGCAACCACAGCCGTGTTGCCCGTTGCGCAAGCCTCGTGCAAGCAGGTCCATCCTCTCGTGTCCACGGCGTTGACATCGACGTCTCCCACAATCAGCTCTATTATGCGTTGCATTCCGTTACGGGCAGCGAAATGCAATGCCGTGTGGCCCTGATCGGTCTTCCAGTCTACGTGCGCGCCTTTCTCAATCAGCATGAGTGCGACCGCCTCGTGTCCTCTGCTCAGCGCACACGCGAGAGGCGTAAAGCCATTAACCGACTGCTCATTGATGTCTAATCCCATCTCGAGCAAGACAGTAAAAGAGGTTTGGCCCTGGCCAGCCATTGCATGGAGAGCGCTGGTGTTGACTTTTACCTTGGCCTTTGGATTGGCTCCTCGCTCGATCAGCTGCATAGCGACCTCTATGCTTCCTTGGCATGCCAGAAGGAATGGTGTCGTTCCGTCGTTGGAAGCGTTCTCGATGTCTGCTCCGCGACTCAGTAGAAGACTAATCATCCAGAGATTTTCGTGCTGCGCCGCTTTGTGGAGGAGCGTGAATCCATTGTCATCACGGTCCCCGTCCACGTCTTGTATTGACAAGACCATCCGTTCGGCGAGATCAGCCGCGGCTTTCCTGGTGTTGGCTTCGTCGATCTGTTTGAGGACGAAAGAGAAAGCAGTCGCGTTTGGGCCAGCTCCTCGATTGATGTGACAGCGCCCAGAGTTGAGCAGTGAGTTGACGATCTGCTCATCGATCTTCTCTCGCCTGTTGCGGATCGCGTACTCAAACGGCGTCAAAGCCCGTCCTCCACGCTTCCCTGACCCGCGCATAGGTTGATCCGGATCAGCCCCAGCGTCGAGAAGGGCCTGCACGATGTCGAGGTGGCGGCGGGTCACCGCAAATCCTAACGGCGTCGTCGCAGAAGTCATTCCGCGATTCACATCGCAGCCCTGCCCAACCAGAGTCTGTACCAAGCCGACGTCGGGCTCTTGCATCGCTGCATACAGCATCTTCGTCATAGCCAGCGGCTTCACCAAATCTCCGCCTTGCTTAAGCACCCAGCCAACCCAGGAATACTTGTCATCCTTGCTAACCTGCGGCTCGATATGTGCGTGCATGACCGAAGCAGTAGCCATCAACGCCCTGACCGTCGCACGCTCTCTAGCCATTGCGAACTGCACCGCCACGCTCTCTTTCGGATATTCTTTACCCCCAACCGCTTCAAGCAGTACCTCCACCGCCCTCGAACACCGATGCTTCAGCGCCACCTCAAGCACACTATTTCCATCCTCCGCTCGAGTATGCCGGTCAGCACCGTGCTTTACCAACCTCTTCACCACCTCCGCCTCATCCGCACACGCAGCCCACATAAGCGGCGTCACGCCCCTTGGTTCGTCACTGCACGCGTTGACATCTGCCCCTGCCTCAACTAACACGTCAACAACCTCCCCGTTTCCGAAATGACTCGCCATCGCGAGCGAAGTGTTGCCCTGACCATCCCTCCCGTCAACTTCAACGCCCTTCCCTAACCCCACCCCAAGCAAAAACTTCACCACCCCCATACCAGCCCCTCCGCTCGCCCAATGCAGTGGGCTTCCGCCATTCGCCGTCGTAACACCCAAATTCGCACCCGCATCCCACAATGCTCTTACAACATCCTCACGCCCAGCCTCGCACGCAAGTGTAAGCGCCGTGTGACCTCCCGCACACCTATTCTCAACATCTCCGTCTGGCTGCTTGACTAGAAACACCACTGATTCGAGCATGCCCCGGGAGGCGGCTTCGTGCAACGCCGTCCTGCCCTCCGGGCCAGAAACACTGTTCACCACTGCCCCAGCGTCCAGCAACAGCGCCATAAGCTCTACATTGTTTGTGGGAGCCAGCACAGCATGCACCAGCGCCGTCCGCCGCTGCGGTCCAGTGCGGTGGTTCGGATCTGCGCCAGCCGCGAGGAGCAGCGTCGTTGCTTGGACATGGGCTTCTAGGACAGCGAGAGACAGGGGCGTGAAGCCTTCTCCAGTCTCGTTTTGGAGGTCTAGGGCGGGTTGGAGGGAGAGCAGGCTTGTGAGGGCGGGAATGTCATCTTTGCGGACCGCTTCGACAATAGCGGCGGCATTCAGACGTGGGGACCTTGGGATGCTGTCATTGTTATGGCGGGGCGCGGACGGCGGGTCTTCATTGTCTGTTGTTGGCGGATGCACGATGGCGCGGGGTTGGTAGGGGAAGCGGATGGTGTATGCGTCGTCCTGTGCGTCTACGATGGCCATTCCCACCTTTCCATCGCGGCGCATCTGCTCGATTCCCTCCATATATCTCTTCTGTATCTTGCTTCCCACAAACTCCAAAGCCAAAACGTCCGTCGACGCTCCACCACTTCGATCGTTCAATCAGACAAAACTCGGGGGAACAAAGTATTCAAACAAATCAGTACAGCTCCTGGACTGAAAGCACGGCAACGCAGTGCACACCATCTCTTATACCCTCCCTCCCAGAGAGACCGCTCGCTGACACTCGTGCGCGCGCCCAAGCGAAACTCGCTCCAGGCCCAGACACAGCCCCCGCACCTCACTCCTCGAATGAGCAACGCCAGAACGACAACATAGCTCAGCGCAACACGCAGCAGTAGCATTGCCGCCAGCAGCAGCCGCTCGAAATCATACCCGACTTGTCCATTCCTCGTGGTGACATCCTTTTGTCCCGCACCGTGGGCCTGTTTATGATCTGACTATCGTAAAGTCCGGAAATTCATCCTGTACTCAGCGCATAGGCAGTCGCATATTCTTTTTCCTAGAGAATCTTTCCGCAGACCGATCGCGAACTCCTGCCGACATGCGCAATTCGTTGTCTTGGGTCTCCTCCTTTCTTCTACCCTACCAGAAAGTCGGCCTTCAAGGAACCGGTATTGCATTGTGCGTCTTGCCCGATATAGCACCGCAAGTCGCAAGCATCCCATCCATATCACAATGCGTATCAGAGCTCGATTCAGCTCAAACTATCAAAATCCGCGTATACGCATTTCACTGCCTACCCGCACCACCCCAAACGCCCCTACAAACCCACTGTCCTGCCCCTCACGGAGCCCTCCCACCCACAATCCCTTCTCCTGCAAAGAAATCCCCATCCTCAGCTTCCTCAACGCGTCTCCCCAAACTAACAGATCCATCCCTGGCACTATGTACCCCACCGACCCTCATTGCCATGCGCATCATTCAATAGCACCCCACCATTCGCGCTCCCACGCCCAATCCCCTCAGACAGAGCATCCGCTCTCCTCCTCCTCATCCGGATCCGCGACGATGACAACACATCGGTGTCAAAGCTAATCGGCATCTCGCTATCAAGCCTGGTCTGCCGACGCCCTCGTTCGCTCCCATCTGCCTCCCCGAGGTCTGTAATCCTCATCTCGGGATAAAGTGAGGCGCTCATCGTGGAGTCGCCATCAGCGACATCAACCACCCGTGGCCGTCTCGCATCCGGTTGAGATCCGATCGACCTGTTCCTGCGCCTTCTCCTGCAAGCAGAAAGATAATTGCCCGACACGACGTGCAGAGGCGGAACAGTAAAGTACCCGTAGCTCGGGCCGGCAAAGGAGTTAGGGATCTGCGACGGACCTGCAGTTTTTCTCAGAGGCACGGCTTCACCGGACAGTGACATAAGCTCTTGAATGAATGCCCTCATATCTGTCCAATGAGCCCGCCAGTCCTTTACAACGTGCATAGGGCCGTCCTGTGTCCCGAAATTGTACTCATATACGTCCCTCGGATGATCCTCGAAGCTCACATCGAACCAGTAGGTCAGACCAAAATATACCATGATGAAACGGTCTGTTGGGTCTGCCGGATCAAGCTCGCGTCCTTGTAGAATAGGTATCTCAAAGACATCGGTAGGTGTGTCATCTAGTGAGGGGACAGAGTACGAGCTGTAGGAGATACTTCGCACGCTTCGCACATGGAGCTGCTGGCCATGTGGATCTGGATAGATATTATGAACTGGGGACGGGTATGCTGGAAGCGGCTGTACTAGATGCGACTGTGCTGAGAGTGACTGTGCTGAGAAGGGCTGTCCTGGTACCTGCGCGTGCGGATTATATCCTGGATATCCGATAGATCTGCTGCAACGTGAGTAAAAGCTACAAATCCCAAAATGTACCAGGTGACTAACAGAACCGGAAAGTCGTGACTCGGTAAAAATGGGCTTAATCCAGCCATTGAACCTGATGCGACAGGCTGTGGCACGTATTGACTTGGGTTCACGATTCCCAGGGCGCGAGGATGGAATGGGTCGTAATTTGGCCCTTGTTGTTGACGCATAGGCCATGGATTCTGTACATGACCAAAGGGGTACGCTGTGTTGATTGGCGCTTGTAGTTGCGGATTCGAGCCCGGAACATGGTACAGCTGAAGTTGAGAGGGATGTTGCGGAGGGAGATGGTGATATGGTGGTACCTGGGGTGGGTGGTTTGCGACATTTGAAGGTTCACTAGCATAAGCGTGCGCGTTGCCGATTTGTGTATACGGATCACTGCTATTATTTGCCTGTGGATAAGTGTGTTGATATCGTTGAATGAGCGACCGGCGACGATTCTCAGAGTATCTCAGACTATTCTCCGCAACAGATCGTTCACCCCGGCCCAAACGTTGTTCTTGTAGATATCGTAATGCTTGCTGTTCCTGGCGGCTTGCGCTTTCGATTTGTCGCAACAACTCACGTTGATCTGGATCAGTGTTTGGTTGCCATTGTAAAATTTCGCATCGAGCCAGATCCGTATGTCGGGGTATTGCTTCTTGGCTCGGGTCAACGCTTTGCTGTTGAGACTGTTGGTAATGCGAGACAGTATGCTGACCACTCGGACCTGGAAGACGACGTCGGACCGGGGGTTGGCTCGCGTTTGGATCAGGAGCCATATGGGTAGGCTGACTCGAGATCGGATCTTGAACCGCACCGATAATTGCATTGATCAGACCCGCACCCTGAAGCGTTGGCTGATGCAGAGTGAGGGGAGTATCCGTCCTTGGGTCATGTTCCGGTGGAAATTCGCCATTAAGACGACTGGACGCAACATCAAGCACGGCATTGATAGGCATATGACGCGTGTTTCCTTCCAGCGATATTTGATATTCCCTGGAATTGTACTCGTTGTCAGGACGGCTGTTACTTGCGCCCCCTCGTAGAGACGGTCTTAGTTCTGGAGCACTTCCTGAAAGCCTCAAAAGTGATCCAAGACGTTCTAGTGAAGGTGACCGCGGAGCTACACGAGGCTCCGTTCCCAAATGATGAAGCGGCGTATCAAAGCGTGTGTCGGTTGGTGCTAAATTGTCGATCCATCCTGCTCTGACAGGACGCTGAGGTTGAGGTGCAAAAATTCTACGTGCAGATGGTGGGTGAGCACCCCTTATCGTTGATCGATGAACGTGTGCCTGCGGGATTGGACTGTCTCCTCGTAGAGCCGAAGATGAAGTCGACGTTCGCTGGCGTCCCCTTGGATTCGGCATGTCTAGTCGTCTATACTCTTCGAGATACCGTCTGTATAGCGGGACTGGTGGACCCAAATGTGGAGACGCAGGAAGTTTGTCCGTTTGCAAGCGTAACGCCTCCGGACGAGGCGCCGATCGCGGTGGCTCGGGCGGAAGGGGTATAGTTTTCGGGGGCGGTGTTAAAAAGCGTTTCTTGTTCTCACCGGACGACCAGACACGTCTACGTAGCTCTGGACATGGACTTCGTAGAGTTGATATCATCTTGGACGATACCTTGGACACCTTTGACCTGCGGCTCCTTCGCGTATTTTGCGTGCTGCCAGCGTACTCAGGATCTGTGTTTCGAGGTGTTTCCACGTTCCAGCTTTTAGTTCGTCTCTCCAATGATGCCCGACGTATATAATGGCCATCTTGCAGCAAGGACGCTGTATAGGCAGCAACACTCCAATGTTCACCGTTGGACGTTGGCGCACGGTCGAAGTCGTCGAAGTGGTTTATAATCACTCGCTGCAGGTTCGTCACATCTGCCATTGTATAGCTTTTGTACTGAGGGTTGACGTCGTCTGTAAGTGATCGTGGTGGATCACCGGCCTCAACCGACTGGCCGGAAAGACGTTCATGCTGTGACATTGACTCGATGTCATCGTGTGCTGGATCACCATACTTAACGTACGCGTCAGGAGGAGGAATATGATGTTGGAACACTGGGCCTAGGTCGATCTTGCTCTCCCTCGACCGTGCACGACTCGTCTCTCCCCCTGCGAGCACTGCGCGACCTTGCTCATGGATGCTGCCCCGATACGGCCCAGGCCCGCGCGCATAGTATGGGCTCCTATTCGTCTCCCGGAACGGGTGCTGGATGCCGCCCATAGCCTGCCTTACAGCTTGGGCAGGCGGACTGCGAGTCAGGTTCTTCATCGTCGTGAGAGCAGAGCGACTGTGATGCTAATCGTGCGAGACGAATCGATGCATAGAAATTGATGTCTGAGTGAATGAAAATGCTATGGTCAGTGATGTTAACGAAGTCGAAGTCGGAGGGGAGTGGTAGAGATGAGACCGGCGGCATTGTTATCAACTAGCGCGGGAGGATCGTCACTGCTTCTATGGGGATAATGGACGAGGTGAGATAGGAGGGTAGGTGCGAGAGGAAGGTGACCAAGAAGGAAAGAGTGGAAAGCGAACCAGTCAACCCAGTACGAAGAATTAGACATTTGGCATAAAGAAGCGCCACAATTACAGGGCATGTATGATTTGCAAAGACCGTATACAAGATACGCAGATACGCTTACAATGCTCGTAGGCAGTTATCCAAACACCAGTGCTCATGATGCAGTAACAAGTACATATCTGCTCGTTCGTTAGTCTCGGTTTTAGGTTGTCCAGAAATGCGGGGGCAGGAGCATACGAAGTGATAGCGTCCATCCTTTCCTTTGTCAGCTTCAGTCCCACTTTCAGAAGCTCTGAAGCGACATCGCGGTTCTTCCGCTCGAGCTCCTTGTACCGCTCTCGTGTCAAGAGCCAAGCCACGGAATCCTCTTCGGCTGCGACAGTCTATCATTGTTAGGAGTGTGTCCAAAATGATTGCATGATGAATGGAGCGCTTACCCCAGTCCTGTCCGTCTCTGAGAAGAATGGCAGCTCTCCACACGTGGTACCCGGCATAATGTTCTCACTAAAATTGCCCTGCTCGAACTCGTAGTCGGCGCGAAGGCGGCCCTTTTCGACGACGTAGAACCCATCGGGATCATCACCGCGCGAGTATAGCACGGTCCCTCGTGCATATTCTCGTCGTTCGAAGTAGGGTGCAAGAACGTGCCAGAAGTCCTCATTCTTGGAAGACACATCTTCGAAGGTCTGTAGGATAATTTTGGTAGGTTGCGAGAAGTTTTTCCACTTGGATGGTATGCTTAAAGCACCCTCCTGTTCGCCGGAAGATGCCGCAGGTCTACCTTGTTCACGGAAGGTGGTCGTCGCTGCGAGATACTGCGCGCCACGACGAGGAGATGAGAATTCAGGAAGAAGAGGGCTCGCACCGAAAGATGGCGAAGACGATGCATCCACAGCATCACTACTGTCAGTAGAGCCGTCGATCGACTTCGGAGGAGTCATTTGGCGTGTGGGCTGAGGCGAGTTGCAGTGCTGGTAGAAAATTTCGAGAAGTTCATTCTCACAGCTCTCCAATGCGGTGTTGAGATCTTCGAAGACCTGCGGCGGGGGACATTCGTCGTTGGCTGTTTCTGTGTCCAGCAACCCGACGTTCTGCAAGGCCTGCCCGACTCTGCTAGCAAAAGATACGCCTGAGATGATCATCTTGACTCCCCTCCCGTTCAGGATGCGGTTGAGTCTCTGGAAACCCTCGGAACTGGAGAAGTCGACGTCGTTGACGTGAGAGAAGTCCACCACGATGAAGCTCAATGGTTGCTGTTCGAAGCTCTTGTCCTCAATCAGTGATCGCATATACTCCTCTACAGAGACGATGGTTCCAAAGAATAGGAAGCCCGTAAGCTTGATTACGCGAATCTGCCCACGAACTTGACTGAGATACCGCACATCGCTTCGAGGACGGCGAACAGTGGAAGCTGCAACTTCTCCGGAGTAGGTTGCTCGGATCGCTGGGACACGCGAGGAAAGGACAACGTAGCTTAGGCAAGCTAAGACGATACCAGTGAAGATGCCAATAACGAAGTCGTAGACGCCCATGATGAGCACAATTGCCAGTACCGTGAAGTACTCCAGCCGCTGCAATCGGCCCAGCGTGTCCCAGACGGCTTCTTTCATAAGCTGAATGCCGAGGAGGAAGATCAAGGCGCCAACAAGGCACACAGGAATGAACCCTATCATGGCTGGCCCTGCCATCCACACCGCAGTGGTCGCAGCCGCTAGAAGTACGCCAGCTGCTCGACTGTCACCTCCATTGTTCATGAACATGATGCTGTTAGCATAGACCAGGTAATTCTGAATGCTGCCAACGCATCCGGAAATCGTGTTCGAGATGCCATGGGCAATTAGTTCGCGATTGACATCAATAGCATCTTCTTTGACGGCAGCGCCCAAGGCTGGAACATTGATCGGGACGTGGATGATGCCGAAGAAAGATAGCGCAAACATGGTCGGGATCGTACTTGCGAGAGCTGCTCCGTCGATCTGGCTGAACTCTAGTCGTTGGGTTAGCACAGTACGAAGCTAGCTTTTGTCGACTTACTGAAGTATGAGTAAAACCGATAAAATGGCACACCCGCCTCTGGTGCTTCAAAGATCCAGCCTGCGTTCCTGAGAACTTCGAGATCAATTCGAAGTATAGCTTTAGCAATGATGTAGAAAATGGCGAAAACCAGTATAAAGAATCCGGGAAGGAGGAACGGGCTTTTAAACCTCCGTTCCAATCCCATGATGATGAGCGAAAGAGCAAGCGGCAAAACCCAAAGGTATATTGTGTCGCTCGAAAAGAGCTTATGCAGAGTGTGCAAATCATAATTCAAGTTCCCCTCAAGTCTGGCTGACACCTCAATGCCAGTCATCACCAGGAAGAAGCCGACTCCTCCGATGCACCCGATAAGGATGTGCTGCGGAAAGAAGCTTACAAGATTACCAAGCTTGAACGTCCCGAGTGCGAGAAAGATCATGCCGGTGATGATGGAGCTAAGGCAGTAGGCTGTGATTGTGGTGGCTATAACTGCGTCAGGACTCTCACCCTCCATCCTCTCCATGATGGAATAAGCCATTCGGTGGAAGAAGGGCACCACCTCAATCATCTCTGAACCAACACCGCCACGGAAGATGGACAGGCCGAGAGAATAACAGAGCTGCGAGACTATGCAACTAACAAAGAAGATGGAAATGCCGTCAGGCCCAGTCTGACTGAAGATAGGACTCCCCAATGGAAACAGGATATAGCCGTATGACAGAGCGTCCAGAATGTTAAGAAGGAGACCGAGGAACACTGCTGAGCTCATCTGCAAACTGGCAGTAACTCCCGCGTATATTGCATCTTTGGTGTAGTTTTTGGGGTTCGTAACAGAACGTCCAACCTGAGTCAAGTGTTCCCGTCCAGTACCGAGCGAGCTTGTGACGCGTCTCTTGAGACCACCCAAGCCAGTGTCTCTGGAGACGGAGGTAGATCCTTTCCTCTGCGGTTGCGAGTCGACCCGCGAGAGCCTGGTCTTGGGCAGTAGCGGGGTTTCCTCGGTATCCTGTACGACGACGTCCGGCACTGCGGCGCTGGACCGTCTCTCGCGTGCGTCTGTATCCTTGCGGGCATAGAGGCCTGGTGAGCTGATGCGGTCGCTCGGGAAGCGCGCAATCACAGTTTCGGGCGACGCGGGGCCGCTCTCCCTCTCCTCCGCTATGACATCAGAGCCCGTGGAGTCCAATGATGGTCTCCCTTCAATGTCTATTGGGAAGGCTGGTCTGCTAGCAATTGATTCAGTAGCCGCACTGCTTGCCCTCCTCCGTGGCTGCGAATAGGCCGCAGAGTCGAGCGCATAGGAGGCTAGTTCCTGTGTCCGTTCGCGAACGCCTTGCGACGAGTATTGGGGGTGGTCCGATATCGAATGCGACGTTTGGTGGGCGAACGAGCGAATCGGGTTGTTGCGCTGATTGAACGAGCTGTACGAGCTGGACAACACGTTCTGCGGATTGGAAGGAGCGCCCATGGGACGTGAGCGAGGGATGGTATGCGAGCCATGGTGGCTCGTCTGGTCATCGGCTGCGAGTTCGGCGTCGCTCACGTAGTCGTTGGTGAAGGGAAGCTGCTGTTGGGACGAATCCGAACCCCTCCGCCAGGGCAAAAGACGCGACGGCATGTTGCCGGTGAACTATGGGCTCCGAGAAAATCAAGTAGGCATTCCAATGGGGCAATTACAAGTTGCAGAGCTCCCACTTAAGGGAATGCAGAGCGCGACTGATAACGGGTAATAGGCACGTTATGGCTTCGATAATAATAGCGGGTCTGAAGAGGTCGAGAAGCGGCACCCAATTGATGCAGGAAGACCCTTCTGTAGCTGCAGCTGCCCCCGCGGCAGAGCGGCGCGTCTCAGGATAAGGCGGGTCTGTTGGGTGGAGGCCATGTCATGAAATTTTTACTCCAGAGTTTACGTTCCGGACGCGCTTCACAGACACTAACGTCATTGCCAAGCCTCGTATCCAGCCTTACACGATGGACTGGCGAGGCCAATTCGTCTATATGGTGCCTGTTGTAGCACACTCAGCTGAGTGCATGAATTGCGAGCAATTGCATCACCCAGAAGGGTTATGAGCAAAGCATGTGCGCCGGAGAGCTTCCCCCACACGTTCTGATTCTTGACGGGCGTTGATTTGCTGAGTGCTTTAGCCGCAGATGCAGTCGGCGCGTTCTTGCAGGAGGCCGGTTCGCGGATGCTGCCGCTGTCCAAGTGGACTGACGGGGCCATGACGAGACATGTGCTGATCTGGACCGGACTCACTGGAGTCGTGGTCCACGCAGCCACAAGAAACTTTGCACTTCTTCACTTTCTTGGCAACGCACGTATGTAGGCACAAGACGATACGAATTTTCAACTATCCCTGCCAGCTTGCCATTTGAGCATCGTGATTTTCAAACATTGTCGGGGCACTGTGACAGGCTTGGAGTATCCTTCCGTTCTGTCCACTCGTGTATAGAGCATCCGCGATGCGACACAGTGCCAGTGCGACCCTGGCCCAGCGGATCTCTTCTCCACGAACGCCGTGCAACGTCGCATGCTCCTACGACGCTCTGCTACCCCTGCATGCATGCCTCTCACCCCCACGGCGGTAAGACTGCCCGATCAATCCGGTGATCGGTCTTGCTCCAGGTTCTCCCCCAATATCGGCTCTCTGGCTCGCAAGTCGATGTGCGCGGAAAGCTCTGCACGCGGCTTACTCATGTATTACGCGCGCGTAAAGTGCGGGACGTTGGAATGCATATGCAACCGCGCGTGAGGTGATGAATGCGGAATGCTGGCGTGTCTACAAGCGCGCTGCGCGCAACGAGCCGAATGCGGATCGCTTGCGCTTCTCCGTGCGCATACGTCGACATAGACTGACTGTTTCGGGACATGGCGTTTTTGATGCCGCTGTAGACGCAGCCGCGATCAACTGAGCCTTTGGAGGTACCCCTGCTGGATGAGTCGCTCGACGTCTCCCTGCCTCACGAAGAATTGACTGTTCTTGGTCAAAGTGATGGCCCTGCATCAGTCAGCTTGGAGATCCAACCCAGACGTCAACTTGACCTACCCGTATTCAGTTTGTATCTCCCCAGCGTCCTTCAGCACCCTGACATCTATGAATAAGTCTTTGGGCGGCTCCAGGCTCCCAGTGAGATCGATGTCGGTCCACTGTCCCTTGTAGCTTGCTAACAGGTCACTGTACTGCCTCACGTACTCCTCTTCCTCGGGGCTCAAGCTGCTGCCTGCCCCATCCGTGCCCATCTGTGCGCCCGCTCCGTCGGCCCCTCCTTTCTGCGACAGCTGCTGTTGCCGTTCGAGCACATCAATGCCACTCCAGCACATTTCCTCGAGTTTGTCGGTCCGTGTACGGTGATAAGCGAGCAGGCAGCGCTTGTCTCTCCTCATGCACAGGTGGTTTACGAGGAGGGCGCATGCGGTTGCGGGCTCAGTGGAGGGGTTAAAGGAGCCGGCGAATGGCTCGAGGATCGTGGCCACGTCCTTGTCGAGGTCGCGTACTTCGCGAGTGACGGCTCGCACCAGCTCGGTCTGGTACGGCGGCAGGTGTGCCAGCGACTGAGTGCGTTTGGCGTGCTGTACCTTGTGCGTGTTAGTTGTCGTAGCGGGCCGCGCGAAGCCTTCGAGAGAATACCAATTTGTTGCCGATCTCGCCGTACATGATGGTCCTCGAGCGCAACTTTCTCTCAAACAAGATACTAGCGACTGTATTGCTGTAGAAATAGAAGGGCTGCGCAACTCGCGTCGTGGATCATCGGGCGGGAAAGCGCGTTTGGCCGCGTCAACCCCGCCTGCTCTCTGGCCAGGGTCTGTGCGACTTCACCACCTTGACACAACCATAGCATAGCCTAACAACGTCGCATTGAACGGTCAAGAATTGAGATTGTTTCACCATCGACCACGGTATTTGCATAGTTGGTGATACTCATATCGGAGTTCGTGCCTCTCTTCAATTCCGATCAGCAGCCATGGCACCACAAGTCAATACTAAAACCCCTCTATTTCTGGGCAGCTTACTCTACACACTCACATTCACATTAACGGGATAATCAAGGCAAAATGGCGACAGTGTAAGTGTACTTGGGAACTATATGAGGTAAATCACTTAACAAAAGCAGAGATTTCAGGTTCCCGGGTTTGGCAGAGGTCACCCTTCGGCCTGGGACAGAAGCTGATGTACCCGTGATGCTGCGGCTGATGGATGAGCGCACCGAGTGGCTTGTCGCACAGGGCCTGACTGGGCAATGGGGAAGAGAACGGCAGTCCGATCAACCTCGTCGCGTAGAGGGAGCGACCAAGATGGCGAAATCAGGTGGTACTTGGGTTGCGATTGAGAAGGGTCCCTTGGAAGACAGTGAGCAGGTTTTGGGCGTTGTGACTGTAGGCGATGCGGCGTCATATGTCAACCCTGGAACCGAGCCCGAACTATACATAAACTATCTAATCACTGACCCCAAACGAGGGGGAGGCAGAGGTCTTGGGGGTTTGCTGGTGGAAAAGGCGAAGGCTTTGGCAAAAGAGAAGGGCGTGCATATCCTACGGTTGGATTGTTATGCCGGTGGGGACGGGAAGCTTGTGCGCTGGTACGAGTCGCAAGGTTTCCAGAAGCAAGAGGCATTCGAGGAGAAGGGGTGGCCTGGGCAAGTGTTGTCGATGCGGTTGTAAGGAGACGAAGTATTGAGTTGTATCGTATTTAGGCGGGAAGGCGCGTTCTGTCGAGTCGCATGCGCCCCACCTGCCCAGCCCACGGTGCTTTGAATCCGAACCTGCCCGAAACGAACGTGGTCCGCTCGACTTCATTGCACATCACTTCCCTTCACTTCTCCTTTCCCACATCTTCCTTGCTATGCGCACGCTCCGGAATGAAGCGTGTATTTGCTGTCGCTCTTATGCCTGCGCGACGCACTCTGTCTGCTTTAAGGTCCCTCGCCCACAGGATGTTGGTTCACAAACAGATGGCTAAGATTCGGCAGGAGCAAGATTGTTGACGAACAAACTGATCTACAAATGGTCTATATAATGACTGGTGATATGATGAGTTAAAAATAAAACGACCGACAAAACCTGAATTATCGTCTATTCAAACACTTGGGTATACCCTTTGCCGCCAAACGCCATAGCCCGAATGCACCGGTATATGCCCAATGGCGCCACTCACAAAAACCGCACCCATGTATGCAACTCTTGGAAACATGTCATCGATCGCCCAACCACTTGTCGAACTCTGACTCCGGAGACTCCATGGACCCCATGTTCGAATACTGTTGCCAAGCCTCGGTGCGGTATTCTTCATGGGTGGCTTCTGCTCCGATGAAGCTGTCCACGCTGTGTCCGTCAAGTTCACCCTCCATCATAGCCATGTGTCCATTTCGAAATTCCGGATGAGATGCTGGGACGCCAAGGTCGTGGTGTCCCCCATCAAGACTCATGAGCAGTGGATCGACATGTGGTTCAGCGGGAAGAGAATTGTTTGAATGGGAGTGCATCTGCTGCATCAAGTCGTTTGCATTGCCTCCTGGTAACCCGAGAAGTGCAGTGTCCTGCGACAGCTGCATCGTGGAGATCGGGGTGTCAGCGCGTCGCATCCTCATGTCTTCCACCATGCCTTGATGCATACCCATGCCTGGGTGTACAGAGGTCTGGTAGTATTGGCCGTATGGATCCTCCATAGGCATCGGCATCGGTCGCCATTCGTTGGTCATTTCCCAGCCCGGCCTGTTCATGCCGACAATATTGGGCCCGAAGCGCTGGTCGAAGAACTCAGGGCTCATACCGTTCATTGGGTATCCTGGACCTTGGCTCATGCGTTTGGACGAGCGAGACCTGGAGCGATCGGAGCTTGGGTTCCATTCGGCATCCTCAAGATCACTAGGTTCTTCGTCGGAGAACTCGCGCTTCCTCTTGCGTGCCGGGGCGGCTGCCTTGCTCGGGGAGAACTTGTACGTTGGGTGCGCGTTCTGGTGGTTTATTCTTTCGATCTTCGCATATTCGTTGAATAACTCGCGCACCTCGGGCGGTTCCATGGGCCAGCTTTCCCCCGACACCGACGACACGACTTGATGATTGTTTTGCAGACACCACTGCTTTGTTCTTTCAGCGTACGCGGACCGGTAGAGCATGAATGAGTTCATGGGCCTCGTCACGTAGCCGTTCCGTTTCTCGACTTCCTTCTTCCGGGTTTCAGCAGATCTATTCACCCACTCCTCCATGTTCCGAACAGGTATGCCAGCCATATCTTTGGTCAATATGCTCAAAGGTGCTGTTAACTTTGGTGTCTTCGGCTTCTCGCCCTTTCCTGTCTTGGCCTTCTTGGACTTCGGCGCGGGCTTCGGTCGCGGCTTCTCTTCCTCCATCGGTGAGCTGGACGGCATTGCAGTTCGACCACTTCGTGTTCGGCGGGTGGTATCTTCGATATCTGTTGAAGATCGCGGCGTGGGTGGCGACCTGGAGAACTTCGTGGGCTCATTCTGCTAATTATCAGAATTCATCACGTTTTAGTGGACGTTCCGGTCTTACGTGGAACCCATTGTAGTGGAGGCCTCGACCATAGCCTGAACCGTGACCGTAGTCGTCCTGGGGTATTGTCAGTTCATCTTGGTGCGGGCTAGAGGATGACTTACGTATTGAAGAGCTACGCCATACTCCACCATGCCGTGCGGAAGGCCATTGTGCATGGCGGGATCGGGCGAGGAATACACAGCACCTTGAGAAGGTGAGTCGTCGTAATGACAGCCTCGGTCTGCATTATATTGCGCGACCTGATGTAGACTCGAATGAAGGTCGGGGTGGACGTGGTCGTCAGGCGGCGTAGGAGGATGGTGATGAACAAGTGTTTCAGCCTTCATGTTGACCAAGGACAGCATCAAGTGTTGGTGGCAAGCACAATGCCTCTCGATGACCCTCCAAGAAGATGAAACAGTCGATGCGTGAGGCTCTTTGTCTTAGAAGGTTGATCGCGCCGCAAAACGTACGATTGGTTGGTCGGAAACGGCAAAGTTCACGTTGGATCATGGGACAGACCCACACGGATTCGCGATGTCTTCGATTGCACTTCCAGAGAGGTCTTGATTCCAAGTCCGGATGGATTCTGCGATATCATGTCAGTATTGCGCCCAACGCGCTGCCATGCATGTGGTGTTTGCTCCTGTGGTAATTGCGCATGGCTTACCAAGGAAACATGGGCAACGAACCTATCGCAAATAACTGCCCGCTGCCGACGCAAGTAAACGTCTTGCGTTCAATCGATTGAGATAACAAGTCGAATTGGTACCTCAGACAGACGCGGTGTCTTGAGTATCGATGGTCTTGCGCGCTTCTTTATCGGGAAAGAAAGCCACTCGGGAACTTGCGAGAGGCAAATAAACAGGCAGCGGTTCTTTGTCTACCGCTGAGCGTTGTGAAGAGGTATATTTGTAGCGGCCAGCTGAGGCTCGAGTACTTCTGCTCTCGTAGGCAGTGTAGCGCGTACCCTCTGGCTGGGAACGGACAAAGAAGACCGGTTGCGTGTGGGCTCCTGAGGCTTCACCGCGACTGGCATCTGACGCTGCTTTTGGCAAGAACACGTCCTCTAAGTTATCGAGATGCGTCTAAGTGATCGGAGTCTAATGCGTTGCGTCCCTCCGTGTTGCTGGGTCCGAGGGAGTGGTTGTTGTGTCGACTAGATGATCGCAAACGGCCACTCACCCCTACGCAAGAGAAGCAATGGCCGACGAACGCCACCCGATTTTCTTCGTCACGCGCATTTTCTACAGTAGCCACTGGAAACTGTTTGCCTACAGCCGCCTGTGGATCTTGATAGGGTCGACCAACCCTAGTTTTCATGTGGGATCCTAAGGACACACCACCAAGGTGCATCTTGCGGACCAGGCGAATGTACGCGGTCGCACAAATTCCCCTAATTTTCCACCGATCTCATTGGGGACGGCTAGGCACTAACACTATCGTTGTCTTACTCTAGTCGAACGCGGCATACGTTCGACCAAGCCGTGGATCTCAGGGTCGGTCCAAGCGTCACCGCGATGAACAGCCGCATCATACACGGGTCGCCACCCTTGTTCATGATGGCGTAGTTATTCTCCCACGCATATGAGGGCCTGCTTGGCCCTCGCTTTCGGTTTACTTGTGGCTTCCTGGGAATAGCACATGGGACGCGCAGCGAGTTGGATCGCAGTCAGAGATCTAATCCAGGAACTCGCCCAACCCGACGATGTGGTCTCTACCCCTCCTGTGGCGGCAGCCTGATCTCATTGCACCGCACGCTCATACGATGCGGCCCCACGGCACATGCTTTCCAGTCGAATTCACGATTACTATCTTGGCGATACAGGTGCTACAACTGGTACTTTCGGTCTCTCCGCTTTGGCAGACTAGACGCGCCAGGCAAACGGCTGCTATCCCGTTGAAGCCACCACTTTTTCGCAAGACTCGCTGCAGGTTGCTGCAGGTTGAATGCAGCCAAAGTCGGTTGCTTCCGGGATTCCTATGCGGCGCGAACGTCAGGAATGCACGCTAGCCTGCAAGAAGACTTGACATCCAAACACTACCCCCTGCTGTGTAACACGGGTTTTGGCCAAACAGCAGCGATCGGGTACAGTAAGCGAGCGCCCCGTTTGGTGTCGTGTTTGATCAGGGGCACTGTTCTTCGGCGTGAAGAAATCAGATCTGTTGAAGCTAGAACGATGCCTTTGAAGCTCGAGACAACCCATGAGAGCTGTGGCGCAAGATCTAACGCACCCCCAGGATCTAGTGAAGAAGCAGCGTACCTGGCATTGTCGTTGAGATGTGCGCCAAGTGCATGGGGTCTACGAGAACACGAGCTCACGAGCGCTTCTGGCGCTACGGCTGTGCAGGTCGCCTCGTCTGCACATCGCCAAGAGCAGCATGCATGCGCAGCCTCAGCAGCTTTGTGCTTTCAGTGGTCAGCCCTACCGCTAAAGCACATACCGGCGCTTAACTTCCTGACCATCTACGGTATCGGTGCCTCTTGGAAGCACTGCCGCACATTAAGGTTTTTCCCCACGCTCAACTTCACTCCGCCTCGCCTAATTTAGACGCGGTTCAATCTGATTCCGTGGATCACGAAGTTACACATCGAGCCTCGGTCGTCAAGATTGTTAAGCTAACTGCCTTGCGATGCCGCAAATCCGGTAGCCCGACGGTCACGTGTCAAGCCACATTCATGTGATTCGCTCGAAATTCAACTAGCCAGAACACAGACGAATGCCGTGATGCGTGTGCTACTCCCTATCTTGCTCCGCGCGGCGATTACCATTATCACCGACTCTCGGCCATCGTTCGTCTCCACTACGGAAACTCCGCGCGGAGGAAGCGTGCTCGACCTCCGATACATCCAGAGATTCGCGATCAGCCTCAATGTGGCCCACCGGTTCGCGTCCCACGCCCCATGCATTGTTAAGCGCGAGCCAAGCATACACGGGCCACCTGCCTGTAGCCCCATGGAGGATAGGGATGTCTGCAGCGTCAGGCGATATCCTTCGTATCCTAGGCTAGACCAGGTTGATCGCTCTGCCGAGATGTGCTCCATGCATGAGTGTCAACGACAGTGCATGGATGTGCGGCGTGCGAGATACTGGTGTGCGCGCTCGCTGACCGGGAAATACGATGCAACCTGGCTGTTCGGCGATCAAAGGCTTCTGGAGTTAAGCTACGATCGAGGGAAATCTTCTGATGAAGCATTCGGTAGACTAGGACAGGCTCTGGTGCCCCGCAAGGTATGCTAAGGGTATGCTAATGGCATGCAGATAAAGGGGCGTCATCTTGATACCGCCTTCCGCGGAGCGGTACAAAGTGTAAGACCGCAAGTTTCCCTACGGAAAAAACCAAAATCACGATTCAGTTGGTAGGCTGGGGGCGGCCACATCGTGACGTTGGTCCCCCACTTGGATAATTCATCCACGTTTGAGGCTCTTGTGTACTTGCATGAGCCTCATACGCATCTCGACGAATTTGGAAGAGTCTTCCTGAAAATCCGCTTTGTTTGGAAGCGCAATTCCACTCGGAATTTTGTATCTGTGCGACAGAGTGCCTCCTTGGATGGTCAGTGTGTTCTGCATTGTAGATCCCCGCATGTTCCGCAATCGAAACGCCAAAAACGCGCAGTACAGGACCCACTTTTAGAAACTCGACACACGTCAATGATGCGGATGCCATCAACAGCTTAGGTCACACCCAACCTCACGAGTCTCACTGCTCTGAGGCAGTATGAGTTGACCTCTCGACCCAACCCTCAACCAGGTCTATTCTAGTACTACCAGTAACCTGGCATCAACGAAAGAGATCAAAGACTGCTTGTTACCTGCTTCCTCTTTTGGGATCGTACGTGAACGCTATATAAAAGCGGCGGCCTAGAGGGACACAAAGAGGCTAAGTTGAGGGGAGGGGACGTCACGTGGAATCGGGCCGAAATGATACCAGCACATTCCTCGCTGGGACTGGCTTCGGCGTTCGTGTGCGGCTTGCTTTCAACCATTCATTGTGGGAGCTGACTAAAGACTCAGATGCTTTACGCTGGGTTTACTCAGAGGGCGTGAGGGGCGTGCCTGAGTCAGGGTCAAGGGGGCTCCCACGTGCCGGACTTGTCCTCCGTAGTGATCGACGCTTAGGAACGGGCGCTGTCTTGCAATAAAGAGAGATTTGTGGTATCGTGGGAGCTGGTTTGTTGCCATTGTTCAATTGTGGGCAGACAAGGACGTTGGGAGCTAAGAATAGAGTCAATAACATTTTCTTGTCTAGTCAAGAGCGAGACAGTAGATGGCTGACCATGACGCCTGTGAGCCAATACAATATCTTTTGTCTATTAAAGTATGCTGTTCAAATATTTGACGGCCAGAGTTTCAATTTTAAAGGTCAATTTTCATACTTTCGAACAGCAACTCTTCTCGTGCATGTTCTAACATCCATACCACACACGTAGACCACCTAGTCAAATACCAGTACCAGCGCTTCCCAAGACCATTTCACCATGCCGCCAAAATTCCTCGGAGAGCGGCCCTCACTGAGAAGAATACCAAGCCGATCGAGCAAGTACGCCCACGTCGGACCCAAAGTCGACTCAAGATTACCATCAGAATTCATGCCCAGCGAGAGCCAGTTCCAACTCTCGAAACACAAGAGGAGCGAACTCCACATTGGGGAGGAAGGTCCCATACAGGAAGAAACCGAGAATCTCGACGGAGATGAGAATGACTACCAGTTCTCAGAAACCGACGGATTTCCACTTCCCAACCGCGCGATAGACTCACAGCACAGTTCTACTTCGCGTTATGCCTCACCAGCCGCTTCGTCCACATACAGCGCCGAAATTTACGCCCAGTTCGGCGGCGAAGCGATCTCTTCCCCAACGTACCACAGCGATACGGATGCAGAGCCAGGGCAGAATTCCCGCGCCTCGAGCCGTCGCCACAGTCTCGTCCTCGCGCAGCCGACGAGCAATCGGGCGCAGTATGCGCGGAATACGGATAGCTATCGGGTGAAGATGAGGGAGGGCGTGGAGCGGCAGCCCCTTTCCAGCGAGCTGTTCACACAACCTCGTGTAACCACACCAGAGTGGGAGCGCAAAGTCCGCTTCGACGAGCCCGTGAAACCTCCTTCACGACCAAGGCCAAGAGGTGGATATGATAGGGTGCGTTCGCACAGTATGTTTACGACACCGTCGATGGGAGATGGTATTGCGAGGTCGTTCCAGGACGCGCTGGATAGGACTTGCCAGGATCTACTGAGTCTGCGGGATGAATTATACAATCAGCGCAGGACGCTGGATGTGCATAGCGTGTTGGGGAAGAGGGGCAATATGCCGGTGGGTGTTAATGGGGTGAGGGAGAAAATTGTGCAGGTGGTTGAGCGCTATGAGACGGAGACGAATCAACACCGTGAGCTGATTATGAAGAATGAGAAGAGGATTGATGAGAAGGAAAGGAGGATTAGGCAGTTGGAAGAGGCGTTGAAGGGGAAGAGTGAGGAGCTGAAGATGAGTCAGCGTGACGGTAAGAGCAGGGAGGAAAAGCAGGAGGCGAGGATTAAGGAGTTGGAGGATGCACTACATAGGAGTGTGGAGAAGACAGAGCGGCAAAGAACGTCTCATGTTCACGGACACGAGGCTCAGAGAAAGCTTGAGGAGACGGCTTCGTGGGCGGCAGACCTACAATCTTCGCTGACGCAGAAGACCAAGGAGTTTGAGGAAGTAGTAAAGAGCCACGCCCTTGAAGTCGAACGGTTGCAGAAAGAACTGCAAGACAGGCCCAAACACGCAGTATCTATAAGTGACATGCAAACAGCGTTCCTCGCCCACCAGGAACAAGAACAGAAGATCCGCGAGCTGGAAGAAGCCCTCCAGAAAAAGACCATAAACGACGCCCTTGAAGCCGGCACAGACACACCAGAATGGCACTCCCTTTTCAAACGCGAGCGCAAAGTAAAAGCCGCACAAGACACCGAAATCACCCACCTCAAAGCCTCCATCACCAACTTAAACACCTACCACATTGAGCTCGAGTCCGAGCGCAACGAGCTCAGAGAGTACGTCGCCGCCCACCGCGACACAGTCCAAACACTGCAAGAACAACTCGCCACCTCAACCCGCGAAGCAGAGCAGTGGCACGAGGAGTACAATCAGCAAAAAGAAATGCTCGACGGCCGCGCCTTCGCCGAACAGACCGAACTCGAGGCCCTCAGGCAGGAAATGCAGCACACGATATCGACGTACCATTCCCTCCTCCCAAGCCCCTCGCACCCCGACGCCCTCCAAATCACCGGCCTCCTGCGCACCCTCGCTGCCACAGAAAAGACGCTCGAGGAGACTACCTCCCGCCTCAACGTTCTCAAGGAAGAGCAACTTGCCCTGGAGAAAGGCATCGAGAAAGTAATGGACGAGAAAAACGAGGTCCTCGCTGAGAACGACCGCCTGCTCAACGGCCCACCACCTCTCACCCGCATCGTATACGACTCGGACACAGGCCAGCAAGTGCGTTTGCCACCCTGGCACACGGCCGATCGTCTCTTCGCTCGACAAGCCGCCAGGTCCCTCTTCCTCACCTCCCAGACGGCCGCGCGCCGCAAGATCCAGCTTTCAGAGCAGATAGTGGAAAAGGCAAGGGCATGGAAGATGGGGAAGCACTATCCGCCATCAAGGTTGCAGGAGACGTATAAACAGGCGGTGAAGAAGAGCGAGTGGGAGCGGTGGGAGGTGCAGCGGTGGGTTCAGGAGCATGGGAGCGATGGTGAGTATAGTGAGGCGCTTGAGCTGGGGTTGTTGGGGTCGCAGAAGGCGAGGGGGAGGGGGACGAATGAGTGGAGAGGGAGGAGGTTGGAGAGTATGGGGTTGAGGAGTTGGGATCCTTGAGGATCCCGACTGAGGATATTGTATGATAGATTTTGCGAATAGCACACTTCGTACTCTCTTATCCTTTGAGACGACTGGAATTTTGACAAGGCCTTTCAAATATAGAGCAGTGTGGCTCTGAAAGGGAAATGACAAAGGTTGAATTGGGCAAACCGTAACATGAAGTATCAAGGTTCAGCCATACGACCTAACGTACCCGGCAAGCGAGCTGCGCAGGCAAGCGAGCTGCGCACCCCACCGACTTTTCGCGTCACGTCACCTTTCAATTACAATGGCTCAACCAACTACTTTACAATCGCCCTATAACGAAGGCGATATATCTCTAGCTATCTTAGCAATCAATCAAAACCAGGTTCAAAGTGGAAGACGCGCTACAACAATATATAAAGTCCCTAAAAGTACGCTCCGTGGCCGACGCGCTAAAGTACTCCCACGACGCAATTCTAAGCCCAATTCAAAGAAGCTTAATAAGCTAGAAGAGGAGGTGATTACTAGGCATATCCTTAACCTAGATTCGCGAGGGTTTTCGCCAACCCTAGGTGCTATTTGAGATATAGCGAATAGACTACTCGCTAAGCGCGGCGCTGGCTAGGTAGGCGAGAAGTGGCCACGCAACTTTATTAAGCGGACAGAAAGCCTTACCACACGTTTTAATTAACCATATAATCGACAGAGAGCTCTATGTGAGGATCCTAAGGCAATTAGGGCATAGTTCAACCTTATAGCGCGCACAAAAACTACCTATAGGATCTATAATAAAGATACCTACAACTTCAATAAGACTAGCTTTATGATGGGTAGGATATTAGCTTAGCTCATTATTATAGGCTTAGAACGATGAGGTAGGCCAAAAGCAATATAGCTAGGTGATCATAAGTGGGTTACTATAATTCATAGAATTAACGCCACTAGCTGGGCTATCCCACCCTTTATCATCTTTGCTGGCCAGTATCACCTCTCTACCTGGTACAAGGATAACGAGATACTATATAACTAGGCTTTCGCTGTCAGCAATAATGGCTAGACAATAAATAAGCTTAGAGTAGAGTGGCTAAGGCACTTTATTAAGCATATAGTAGAGCGTAGAGTAGGTGTACGCCAGCTACTTATACTTAATAGCTATAAGAGTTATAACTCACTCAAATTTTAAGCGCTTTACAAGGAGAACAACATCTATACTCTCTATATACCATCACATTCATTACACCTCCTACAGCCACTTAATATTAGCTACTTCTCGCCGTTAAAGCGCGCATACAGCCGCTAGATCAAGGGCCTAATTCGTGATTACATTAACTATATCACGAAGCTAGAGTTCCTGCCAGCCTTCTACGCAGCCTATAAGTAGTCTATTATAAAGGAGAATATCTACGCAAGCTTTTAAGGCGCTGGCCTAGTACCACATGATCCTAATAGGGTGATAGCAAAGCTTAATGTAAAGCTTCGTACGCCAACGCCACCTACACTAGAGACTACCCTCTAGGAAGCGCAAACACCAAGTAACGCGCGTAAGCTAGAGGCTCAATCAATATTAATACGCGATAGGATATAGAGGCATAGAAGCTCATCACCTATATCTATTATTGAGAGACTTAATCAGCTTAAGAAAGGCTCTACAATAGTAATGCACGAAATAGCATTAATACGCGATTAGATTAAGAGCCTTAAGAAAGCAAATGAGACTACTATAACGCGTAGAAGGCGCAAAAAGAAGCGTATCCAGTAGTGAGGCACCCTATCAAAGGCAGAGGCAGAGGAAATCATAGCTCAAAATGAGGTTGAGAGCAGCTTGAGGGGGAAACGCGTCAAGGTAGGGCGCGATTAGGTACGAGTCGGCAGGCTTCAGCGCGCTGTAGGCGCTGTAGGGAGACTGGCCATAACTCGCGAACATGTAAGAAGGACACTAGAGATGCCACTTAATTTAGCATAGTAATTATATTCCATTGTCTTATTGTGTTGTTGAGATATACCACTATAGAGGCATGAAAGTCGAGTGGGGTGCGCAGCTCGCTTGCCTGCGCAGCTCGCTTGCCGGGTACGTTAGCGGATATGCCGTCATCCGCCGTACTCAAGGTCGGAGGTGCAGAGATGCGCAAAAAAAAAAAAAAAAAGAACACTGTACACGTATCGCAAACATGACTACGCATCGTGTCTGTCTAATACTCAAAGTCATCGTCCACACTCGGGCCCTTGTTCTTGCTCACACTCTCCTGCCTCGAATACATCTCCGCAATCATACGGCTCGTACTCGCCATATCGGGCTTCTTATCCTCCCTCTCTTTGATAAACCGCGGGAACCTCAAACTAACACCCTTGCCACCGCCCGCAACCTCGTCAGCCGCAGCCTTGTACCTCGGACTCAGCGTCAAATCCGCAGTCTTGACCTCCCACACATAGCGCGGCTCAAACCACACGTCCGGCTGGTCCTTGTTGCCGGAGCTGTGCGTATAGAACGGCTTTGGGCGCGCAATAACGATCTCGGATAATTGCTTGTGCAGCGTTTCTAGGATAGCTTCGGAGAAGCCTGTGCCGATGTTGCAGACGGTTTCGTACTTCTCGGTTCCTGGGTTGTAGCATGCGAGCAGGAAGGCTCCGTACCAGCTTGTGCGCTTGCCTTTGCCGTAGTATGCGCCCAGCACGACGAGGTCGAGAGAGTCGCCGACGCCAGCGAGGTAGTCTTTCTTGACCTTGAGCCAATTTTGAGACCGTTTGCTGGGCTCGTAGGAGGATTCTTGCCCGTCCAACATCTTCACCATCAGGCCTTCGCATCCCGATTTTACGGACTCTTCCAGAAGGACCTGGATTTCTTCAAGCTCGTTGGTATTGCCAAATTTAGCGAAGGCAAATTCGCCTTCTACGGTCTTGAACGCACTAAGCAGATGTTCTCGGCGTTCCCGGAGAGACTTGTTCACGAGCGCCTGACGTTGTTAGTATTAAAATAATGGGAAGGGTTATCTTTACATACCTCACCGTTCAGATAGAGAATATCAAAGGCAAATACGCAAACTTTGACAGTAATGTCTTCAGCTTTGACATCCTTTCTCTTACGTGTCTGCAATTGCTGGAAAGGCAAGACCTTCTTCTCGTTGATGTCCCAAGCCACCGTTTCACAATCCAGCACGAAGCTCTTCGTGCCTTCCTTGACCCATGTCGGAAGCTTGGCAAGGATATCTGGATACTTCTTCGACAGGTCTTCAGAATTTCTAGAGAAGATGTTCGATACGCCTTTGTCACTCTTTCCAGCAGCAGGAGCAGCTGTTGCCATCTCCATTGCAGCGTCGTGCGCAACAAAATGTATCTGTGCGCGCTCGCCGTCGTATTTGTATTCGCAGGTGAAGTCTTTGCCTTCGAAGCGATCAAGAACCTCCGTGATGGATTTTGTCGGCTTTGCCAACATGGGCTTGAGAGGAACACCAGGTTGCAGTTGGCATTTGTCTTTAAGCTTGCTTAACCCATGCTCAAGCATCGCGGGAATGATGACCTCGTAACTTGGGAGCTCACTGAGTAGCTATTAGCATGATCCTTACTGAAAGTCTTAGCTGTGCACTTACCTGTAGACAGACTTGAGTATGGTCTCGGCTGAAGCAAGGTCTGTCGTGGATGGGATTTTGTCGTCCTGTGACATCTCGTGGAACTTCATTGCTTGGGAAAGGGCAACTACTACCGTCCTTTCGGCAAGACCAAGTCGAAGCTTACCCTCGAGTGTCCGTACGATGAACTTGGCCTCACTGGCTCCGCCTTTGTTCTCTTCGATGTCAATAGCCTTACCTGCGTTGTGGGCATCTGCAGCAGACAGCAGCTTTTTGATCCCATCAACTTTTCGGCCCTGAGCACCTTGTCCTTCTATGGTCGCAATTGCCATCAAGCCCTTGTGCACGCCTGCAACAGTCAGAGCCTTCGGCTTGAACATGGTAGGCTGCTTCGACCGACTCTTCGCTGCCACAAGACCCAAGTCGCCAATCTCATTTTGTTCATTCTTGATATGCTGTAAACTTCGTCCTGTGCTTTCGGAGATGGCCTTCATGATGAGCGACTCGCCAATGCCTAGTTCAATACCAGCGTAGTCTGCTGCGAGTTTGTTGATCATGAGGAGAATTGTCGGCAGCAGATCCTGCGGCGTGAGGCGAAGAACCTGTCGCAGGAACAACGAGCAGTGTGCCATAATTTCCAATCGCTTTGTTGTCATCTCAATCTTTGAGAAAGTGGTGCAGAGCGCTGCGTACGGGACTGGCTCTCCGGGTTTCCAGTCAGGATACGCGTCCTTGGTCGCGCCTTTTGAAGCACCTTTCAGCGCGCTCTGGACCTTCTCTCGCGCTTTCTTTGCAACCTCTGGAGGCTCTTCGTCCGAGCTCACCACGTCCTCGTCGGATGCGCTTGAAGCCGGTTCTTCTTTCGGCGGCGTCTTCTCCAGCTCGTTTTTCTTGTCTTTGACAACCTTAGCAGGCGCGGCTATCTCCTCTTCTTCCTCGTTCTCCTCGGGATCTACAACCTTCGTCTTCTTGGTGGCCTTCGCAGTAGGCTTCTCCGCCTTCTTTGGGCCTTCCTTTCCCTTCTTTGCTGGTGCAGCCTTGGCCGGTCTTCCACGCGCCCTCTTTGTGGGCGGTGCATCGTCTGAATCCTCCTCTTCCTCTTCGACATGTCTCTTCTTGCCTGCCTCAGCTGGAGGGCTGCTATCAACCTCCATAACGTCTCCATTAGCCTCTTCCTTCTCTTCTGCTCCAGCAGCGGTGTCGCCGTTTTCCTTCACCGTATCTGCCGACGACTCTGGCTCTTCCTTGGGCTCGACTTCCTTCTTCACCTCCTCCGATGAGGAATCTGGTTCGTCTTTCGACTCAACATCATTCTTCTCCGGCTTCGCCTTTGTCGCAAACGAAAGCTTCGACTGCTGCGTCTTGGGCGCGGTCCCGTTCTTCCCAAAGAACTTTCTGCAATCGCAAACACGTCAGTTCAGTCGCAACACCGTGACAATTCGAGATGCCCACATTAACGTAGTCTGAGAAGGCCGCACATACCCAAGGGTAGCCTGCTTGGACGGCATGGCTACGAGTCGACAAAAAGCACGCTCGCGGCGCTGCAAGAAGATGTAAGACGATGGACAACGTCCGGACAGATGCAAAGGTCTTGTAAGTATTGAAGACGGGATTGCTAAAGCATTGAAGCGGGAAAGCATCAGCAGAGAGGTGTTGCGATAGATCGGATGCGGGACTCGATAATAGGCAGCTACGCGCCTGAGCGCGCCTTCGCAGACGCGTAAAGTCGCGCGCACGTGAGGACGTGCTGACATCATGTTGCAGGGATGTGTCTGCAACAATTCGCCCGCGTTCATCATCGATTCATCCATACATAGATCTGCGACTGGCGGTCATATTCGTGTCTCTGCTACAAATTATTCCTCACACCCAAGCAGCTGTACTTCCAGACGGAAGCTCATCGAGCCTGCCTATTGTTCTCACCATCCACGCCACTCTGCATAACCACAGCAACACATCGTTCGACCTGGCGCATCTCTTCTGGCAGCAAGCTCACCCCGAGCCCTCCCCTTCCCCCTCCCAGCCCGCAATGTCCCAGCCCTCCCACCTCCCAGGTCTAACCCCGCAATTCTGCTTCAACCAGACCGCTCTCCGAGGTACCTTGTCCCCATTCCGCCTAACCACCAGCTAACTAATCAGCCATTCCGCGAACATAGACTTCCTCCGCATATCCCGCAGCGCAATCGACGACTCCATATCGCAGAACCTCAACGCGCTCCTGGTCCCCGGCCAACGCAGCTTCGACCCCGCCTCGACCTCCTCGCGCAGCCTCTCAGCGCCAGACCGCTCGATTCCGCCCCAGACATGCGACACCTTCAAGCAGCGCATCCTATTCCCCTCATGGAAAGTCCGCTCAGACGTGCTGGATTACTGCGCGGGCGTCGCTACAGCGCCGGATCCAGACGACCCGGACTCTGTCCTTCGGCAGATCGAGGACGACAAGATGCGCGAGAGGGTTGTCGACGAGCGGCTGGATCCGTACAGCGCGCGGTACTTTCCGAAGGAGGCGCGGACGGAGAGTTTGGCGATGCTGATGCGGAATGAGCGCGCGGTGGAGAAGATAATACGGAGCAGGACGTGGAGCGTGGTTGGGGAGCGGTGTGGGATGGAGAGTGACAGTGCGGAGGAGGCGTTTGGGAAGTGGAGAGAGGGATCGAAGCAGAGGAGGGCGTGAATGGGTTGAGAAGGTGGGTGGAGTGTACGATTATAGTGTTGGGTTGGTAGATGAGCATGCAATAGAGGGTAGAAGAGCGTGCAGGCAGGGCGCGAGGCTATTCCACTCTATTGGGCGCGATGCGGAGCGGACACGGCAAACATGTATGCATAGCATTTTCGGAGTAATAAAAGGAGCCATCCATACGGCTGTATTGATCACTATTGTATCTCATACATAAAGCCTCAAGAACCACGTGCGCGAATTGCAAAACGCTCCACATACTTGACAGAACATGCGCATTTTTAGTAAAATATCTGTGACTTGCGCATTTTCCGAATCAACTACTTGATCAATAACGCCCCTGCGTAGCATTGCACCCATCGCGGCGTGGTAGTGTCTCTCGCGCATCCCAACGCGCCAGCTTCCCTGCCAAAAACCCAGCAACAAGCCCTGCGCATGCTTACACCACACCGCGCCCAACCAACGCAGCCTTGCACACTCAGACGCACCGCGTCCTTTGCATTCAAAGCGCAAAACGATTCTCATTTCCGCCAACCCATCCCTCGAGCCTAAGCTCAAGAGAAGGTAATGTCCCACCCATCCCACAACTCCCCTCCATCTTTTCACGGAGCTGACGGTAGTTGATTAGGAAGAACGGTTGGAGATTGCTCTACGGGGCCGGGAACGGAAGACTATCCATCGCATGGGATAACCCTCAGCAAGTCGCCGTAGCGAAGCCACGAGTATTAGGTATGTAGATTACCAACTGATGATGGAGAAGGGAAGAGGGGACGGGGTGGAACGAGTTTTTATAGGGTGCGTGGGGCCGCTAGGGTGATTAAGTAAGCTGAGGGGCTTGGCACTGGTTTTTGCAACGAGGCTGGAAGTGGCGGGAGGGAAAGCTGGCGCGGACGTGCGTGCGACCGATTCTAGGCGATAGGACTTTATGAAAGGATACACACGGACTCGAGGGATAGGATATGAGGTTTGACGTGAGGCAGAGTGCCTGAGGAAGACAAGATCCTTTTCAGCACAAAGTCAATTTTGCACGCATACAGGCATAAGACAGCTATTGAAAATCACGGCATGTGGATAATATGTGTCATGAACTTCATGTCTCATTGATTGCTACACTAGTGTCCATGCTCTGTCCAGACGACGTTCGGTTTCCTTCAGGATGACCACGGCCAGACACAGCTAAGTGTCCCGCCGCTTATCCTCGAGCAGACCAGACATACCCTCTAGTACAGACGCTTGGGGGGGCTCATGGTAGCCTTAATGGTCAGGCTACCAACGTTCTGCCAGCCCTTCTTGAGTAGGGAGACGAGGTAGTTGATGGACAACATGATGTTGGAGATGAGCTCGTCCTCGGTCATGCCGACGTTGCCAACGGCAACACCCATGCAGAGCACCTTCTTCAGCTGGAACTTGATGGTGGACTTGACCTCGGTGATCTTGTTGGCGAGGTCCTCAGCGTGGGAGACGGGCGTGGGGAACTTTCCGGCCTTGGAGAGACCGGGGCCGAGGAGACGAGGGATCTGCTTGATGAGAGCGTCGGAGGAGACGAACGCATCGTACTTGCGCGCGAGCTTCTTGATGAGCTTCTTGTTCTTGTTAAGCTTCTTCAAGTCGTCCGCGGACATGGCGTCGACGCCGTGGTGCTTGGCACGATCGATGTCGTGCTGGTCACCGAGGACACAGATGGCCTGTGCAAGTCAGTGTATGGTTCGAACGACTGGAGATCCGGCTGACTGACCATGTTGGGGCGCGGGACGGTCGGGAGCTTGATGGTTCCGGAGAAACGCTTGTCACGCTGGGGGTCGTAGTTCTTGAGGCCGATCTGGAGCTCGACGGTCTCGAGGAAGTTCCTCTTCTTGGTCTCATTGGAGTACTCAAGGAGCTCCTTGACGTTGGAACGAACGCCGGCAACGCTGAGTCCTGTCAGTTTTCATGCCACACTCGTCTCTCCGTTCTCGCTTCTCAAGGTCGCTGCCACGTGGGGCAACACCGTCGATGGCGGCTATCCGGATAACATGGCAACGTACGAGATTTTCGACATTTTTGCTGTCTCCCAAGGGTTATCTGGTGATTTCCTTTGGTTGGCTCTGTTGCGATGTGATTGAAGAAAAGTTCGCAGTCAGAGTGGCGGCGTTTAGTGGGAGAGCCAAAATCGCTTCGCTTGATGACATAAGCGTCTTGGCGCTGTTGACCAACGGGAGCGAAGCGTGTTCGACAAGATGGCGACTTTGAGAGAAGCCTGCCCCCGAAGAAGATCGGAAAAAGGGCGGCGTGTTGTTGAACAATGCGTGGACGAGTTTACAAAGAGTAAGCAACAGGAGTGTTCCTGACCGCAATGTCCCACAGATAAGAGTAGTAGCCCAGTAGAAACCGTACAAACAGTGCATTCAGTACTCCTACATCGCTTCAAGACCATGCGCATATCGCTATTGTACACTTCGCAGAGAAATCCGACTTTTCCCCATCCCAGCCGATAGCATTCATGTAGATATCCGGCCACCCATCCGTTGCACCATCCCATGCAGAGAAACCCAGACTCCACGCCATGATCAAAGAGAAACAAGACCGATACGTAGTCACATGTCGTCTCATGCAACCAGAATAGAAGAAAGAGGAAGAAACATCCCAGAATACAGTTGCAACGGGTATCGCATCATATGTGCCCAACGCCGTGCCGGTGCACCAGTCCTACGAGGACCAATTCAAGAAAGGAAAGGGTATTCGAAATGCAGACCGCCGGGCTGAAAAGGCCTATGGATGAAAGCCGACAGACAAACTCTGCCGAAGCAGGAACATAAATTCAGGGAGCCAAGGACACCTTACCGTCCACTTGGTGTGTGGTTGTGGAGTCGACAGCTGAAGCGTCCAATTCCGAGACCTCATTCAAGCCTGTTTTCGCAAGGAGCGCAGGCTGGAACGCATTACTCGGTCATGGAACGCCTTATATCAATGTTCCCAACGTATTCGTAGAAACGGTGCTCGAATTTGGCGTGGCTGGGGTTTCGGCTGGAGTTTCTTGTTATAAGTGTGAGCCGTTCTCCAAGCCTAATGGAGGTTCAGCTGGTTGCCTCCAACTTCGGCAACGTTGTCCGAGAGATTGATGAGCAGCTGGGCCAGGCAGCGTTTAGTTGCGGCATCGTCGCGGAGCACAGAGGAGAAGGTGGCATCGCGGAGGGGCTCAGGAAGACATTGACGTAGAGCTTCGCGGGCGCGGGCGTTGTCGCTCAGGCTGGTTCTATCAGTGGACTTGATCATACAGTGAATGAGGAAAACTATGCTGGAGAGGCTTACCGGAGGAAGCAACGGACGACGTGCTTCAGTAGGCGCACGGTCTGCTGCTCGACGAGCTGGTTCACCATGTTACTCAGCACCGTGCCCACGGCATAGAAGCGCTCATAAGTCTGGCAGATGTAGGCAAGACCGGTGTCATCGAGAAGAATCTTCTGTACAATGAAGATAGCGACGGTCTTGCTAAGCTCGGAGCCCGTCTCCATGATGCGCAGGCACAGCGGGATAATCTCTGTAGTAAGAAGGAAGTTGATGACTTCTGAAGAGTCGTTCTTAACGAGGGCGCCAATGACTCCAAGCGATGTGAGGCGAAGATACTCGAACGGTCTGCTCTTTGACGTCGTGTTCAGAAACGGGTAGAGGAATAGTGGAATGTGCGCTTCTCGGGTCAGCATAATCCACATGCGCCTGCAGCCTTCACAACTCACCTCCCAGGAAGAGTCCACGGGTTTCAGTATGGGAGGCGACGCATTGGAGCAACGCAAGTGCATTGCAGACGCGGTTGCTGGCTGCGGCGGTCAATTGCGACGGGTTCAGCAGTGGGTACACGGAGATGATCTCTTGAAGCAGCGACGCCATGACACCTATGCGCCATCAGTCAGCATGTTCAACGGGCTGTATACTGACGACATACCAAATGAATGCCACAGGATCAAGGCAAGCTCTGGCACTTGCTCGCGCTTCTTGCTCAACTCGAGGAGGGCGGTCTCGCGTGTGTTGGGCTTCATAAGCTGGGCGATCCACTCCAAGACGCGCTGGTTCTCCTCAGACATGACAGCCTGGCTGTTGCCCTGGACGTCGTTCGCCGGTCCACGTGGAATGATGCCGCCGCCAGGTACAGAGTTGCCGTTGTTGCCAGCCATGCGCGCGAAGTGCTGTTGCTGTGCGGCAGCCGCGGCGACCGCAGCAGCCTGAGCCTGCGCCTGATGCGCCTGGAGCTGGCCTTGCTGCTGGTGGGCTACATGGTGGGTTGGGTGCTGCTGGTGGTGCTGCGACCACTCGCCAGGGTACTGCTGCTGGTGCGGGTAGACGTGCTGCATTTGCAAGCAATTGTGCTCCGATGTCGCGGCGGTAGGTGTGCTGTGCTAGGTAGGATAGAACAGAAGCTGTAGGTGAGGTTCAAGGCGAAAGGATAGCGGCTCGAAAGGCGGTATGTAAGGCGCGGGGCACGGGTTGGTGGGCAAGTAAAGGTGTAACGCTGCCCTTCGCACTTGAGCACACAGGTGAGTTGGAGACGACTAGACGCGGCCCCGCGGGCACGTGCGCGCTCTTGGCAGCCGGGCGGCTCGAGCCCCAGGATCGCCTTGCGCAAGAAACGGGGAAGTGAGATTATACGGTAATGGATAATTACGCTGCTAAGTTTTACAGATATCGAACGCTTGACACGGTACCACTGTAGGGATCTGCTTTCTTTTCCATGATTGCCTTCCAAAATAATCAATTACAAGTAACAGGCACCACGTTACCCGTACTCAAAGATCCCCACATTACAACACAAGTCTTGTTTCTCCGACTGAATGGTCCCCCAAAGCCAGGCCCGTCTGAAGGAATAGTACAAATGAGAATCGTTTGTCATGTTTGTGTCCTGCACACCTCTCACTGCCCAGACTGACTACAAGCCAAACAGAACCGAAGAAGAGTGCTGTCGCTAAAAATTACCGCTTCATCCATCAATATAATGACAGGTCCCTGAAACGCCTCGCTCGTTCCCTGTTCCCCTGCTACGTAGCTTACAGTCGCAGCTCGGAAAGTATTGTCTGCGCCATCGTCTTGTACTGCCAAGTCCCTCCATCAACCTTCTTGAACTGAATGCCATGCAACTGCAAAAGAGGGACCTTGACGATAAGAATCTCAAAGACAAGAATCATGCTCCCGCCATAGTCATTTTGTACATGCGTCGAGGTCTCGCCTGGGGGGTACGCGCGTCCAGATCGAGGTTGGCGATCTTCCTTATCCTCGCCGCTAGCATCGGATTCGTCAGTATTGGTGTAGCTGCGATCTGCCATTGAAGGTCGACCTCGCGCGGACTTCGGGGTTTGTGGTGTCCTCTGCTGTTCTCTAAACTCTTCCCGGTCACGGTCTCGATTAAACATCCCTCCTGCGAAGCTGGTCCTCCTACGATGCCCAGCACTTGAAGGAGGGTTGGCTGAGGATGGCGAATCAACGCCTTTTTTGGGTTCAATGCTCGGAACGTGACGACACTTGAAACCGCCTTTGATCTCTGTGAAGGTGACACCAAGCTGGTCGAGGACACGGATGATGTCAGCTTGAATGAACGAAAGAGGCTTGCTGCTGGTCGTTGAAACGCTAAACAAGCCCTTCAGGAACACAGGTTTGACCTCAGGGTTGCGGTTCGTCTCCGGTTTGTCTTCGGCCAGTTCTGCATCAGTCTCCTCGGGAACATTTGCTTCCCTAGCCTGCTCGCGTCGTGCCCGTCGAGCTTGGATACTTTCTCGACGAGCGTGGCCAAGGCTCTTGGTTCGAGATGCTGCGGTGCGCCGTGGGCTTCCAGACAAATCTTCTGAAGCGGCATCGTTCGTCGGCTTTTGCTGTGTGTTGATGCTTGAACGATCCGACCCGCTGGTAGGTGGAGGGTTGCCGGGATCCTCAGAAGATCGTCCCCTACGACTCAATCTCCTACGAAGGTCGGCGCCGTTCACACTCGTAGAGCGGCCAAGAGCCTTGAACTTCTTAGTGGTGCTACTAGAGGTGTTCGGGGGAGGCGGAGAAAGGAGTTCCGGCTGGTTCGCGTCGCTCGGATGCAAATGCGAGGCCGACTGGTTGTCTCTGTCTCGAGTGCGCCTAACACTGAAGCCTCTCTTGGGTACGCTAGCAGCAGAATCTCCGGGCCCAGATACGGCGACAGCCGGTGTCGGTGGGGCCTCTGTGCGGTCACGGTCGGGGTTTCGATACTTCCTAGTACTAAAGCGACGCAGAAGCCCAACAGCGGCGCTTTCCTTTCTAGGATGCTCTGGGGGCGGAGATATGACTGCCGGCGAGGCATTTGTTGGCTGGTTCAGATTGAGCTTTTGCAAAGTGTCCGTGACTTCGTCTTCTCCATGTGTTCGTGCTCTGGGCCGAGATCTGCCGCCAGTCTTCTCGCCTTGCATCTCGTACGTTGAACTGTTTGTGTAGGCAGCTTCCGGTGCGGGAAGATCTGGGATCTTCAACGGCTTCTCTCCAGGACTTTGGGGCACAGCTATTGCACCCGGGTTGGCTTCCAACTGCTCGCGGTCTCTCTTCTCTCGCACAAGATAATAAACAGATATGAGAGGATTGTACGCATTGACGGGGTCGAGACCACGCTGAAGGTCTTCTGAGGATGACATTGGCAATTGCTCCCTGCTCGAGATTGAGTTTCGGCGCTTGTAGAAGTCGAACATTCCTCTCTTCTTCTCCATCTCCGGCGTCTGCGCTGTCGTCTTCCGGGCAGCAAGGCGCACTGCGCGGTTGTACTCGTCAGAGGACAAGACTTGAGTAAGCTGTGTCTTGATATACTCAGCGGAGCCGAAATCGAAACCAGTCATCCTTTCGATTATGTCATCGTCAAGTGGGAGTTGCAAAGGCTCGCGGTGGGGCAGATAGTTCTCGGGCGGGGTGTTGAATCCTTTCGTCAACCAGGGGTGGGTCATGATTTCTGACAAGGTAATCCGTTGAGCAGGATCGGTTTGCAGCATCCGATGGATCAAGTTTCGACATTCTAGAGAAGTCAGTGACATCCACAAAGATACAGTGCGCACACTTACCGGTGGAAAGCCAAGGAGGATAATCGACATGGCCCTTCTTAATCTTGGCATGTAGCTGTGGCATGCTCTGGTCGTCAAAGGGGACTTTTCCACACACCAACACATAGAGGACGATTCCAAAGCTCCAAATGTCGACCTCTGGGCCGGTGTATTGCTTAGCCTGCAACAGCTCTGGAGCCGCAAAATACAGACTACCGCAGAAAGTCTTCAGCAAGCTTTTCGGCGAGAAGAGGTTGCTCAGCCCGAAGTCGATGATCTTAATATCACCGGTTTTGCTGATCAGTATGTTCTCAATCTTCAGATCCCTGTGCACGATACTGTTTCGGTGGCAGTAGTCCAGGGCACTCGCGATCTGGCGAGCGAATTTGCGGGCCTGCTTCTCCTTGAGGCGGCCGTGCGAAATGATGTAGTCCAGCATCTGTCCGCCATTTACGTATTCGAACAACATGTACCAATGGTAGTTTGTCCGAACGACATCGCGCATGCCGCAGATGTAAGGGTGGTTCAGTAGGCTGACGATAGCAGCCTCACGTGCTGTCCTCACTTCCTTCGAATGGTCGGCGCGCTCCCGGTCGGCTTGACTGCTGTGCTGATCTGTCGACTGCCTAGGTACGATCTTCACAGCGACCTGCGACAATTAGCATCGTAATCTATGGGCATGATAAAACCCCTAATGACACCACGCCAGGCAGGCAGAATGTAACGTACGGATTCTCCAGACTCGGCCTGCTTCGCGAGCTTGACCTTGCCCATGCTGCCTGCTCCAATTGTCTTCCCGAGAATCCATTGTCCGGTGTTGGGTGCAGTGATGCTTGTCCGGCGCCTGGGTTGGGAGGTCTGTGTCCCAGACCTCGACGCATCAGTCGCTACGCCGTTGATGGGCATGGCAGAAGCTGTTGATGCGTCCGACGCATAGCGTTGATGACCTCTGCGTGTGGACTCGGCGCGCGTTGGTGTCGGGGCTGTCCTGTCCCTAGACTCGCTGCGGCGGGGAGCTGGACCGTTCGCCAGATTGGACTGCTCAAAGTCACGACGGCCGACGTTGGCGAGGTTGGCCTGCTGGGGCGGGGCGCGAGTGTGCGAATGCGGCACGGAGTGACCACTCGAGCGTGTGGTCGTCGACTGCGAGCGGTGCGGGCGGTCCGAGGGGCTGTTTGCTGCTTGAGGACGGCGGGCAGAGGACTGGGAGCGCACCACGGCGGGCGACGAAGGTGCAGCCGCTGACATCGTTGTTGGCTAGGCTGGTGCGCAGGGAGCAGCGGGAGATCAGGTTGCAATTTGGCGCGCTGAGCGCCGCGTGTATAGCGAGGGGCAGCCAAAGGATAACGATTCGACTGCTCGAAAGATGCGACGGGTGTAATCGCAGTGTGGGAGAGCTCCAGGACCTGCGCGTTCGCTGCCGGTAACCTTGGCACTGCGACTGAGCTGGCGGAGTTCGAGGGGGCAGGGCGCTCAGACGCGCTGCATGACGGCAGGGAGCCTCTTAGGCAGCGCCAGCAGAGCTCCGGTCAGTGGCAGCGGCGCGACGGCGGGCGCGCAGCAAGGCAAGCAATGTCGGGGTGCAGAGTACGAGGCAGAGGCAGGAGGAGAGGCCAGATGCGATGTTGGGTTGATACGAGATCACAACAGCGGTCGTCGCTTCCCTCGCTGACTACCAAGCCGATGGCGCCTCTAGCCAGCCGCTCCATTCAGTATACCCGCCTGGTGGGGTCGCTACGATACGACGAGCCCGATCTGTGCCTTGATTCCAACATGGAGACGCGCAGCTGTCAGGCTGTTTGCATGCCTATTTTATACCACAGCCTGCAAGCTGGCTGCTTGCTGTGCTTCCAGTGCATGCAGCCGCTCTGCACTCGACTCGCACGCTCAGGGTCTCTGCACCTCGAGCGCAACCCGGGTGCTGCAAGTCGCTCTCAGGCTAATCCAGGTACGGCGTCCGGGATATTGGCATACATCATCGCGGCCTGGGGCCAATACAGACCTGCGCGACTTTCGTGAGACGCGTCGGTCGCACCGCCGCATCTAAACTCCAGCTACGAGGCTCAGTGTGTCGCTGCTAGTATCTTCGTGCTAGTCTTGCATGTGTGACCATGTGTGTCCGTTCACTCCCTCGCCTACTGCTGATTCGGAAGACAGAGCCATGGACCTGGTGTGAACAGACCGCGATATCGTCGTCATGTACTTTGAGCAATTCCAATGATGCTTGCTTGATTACCGCTTGAACACACTCAGTTCCTCATTGTTCGTTGTTTTCCGAGCTACGGTTCGCTTACGTAACACCCAAAGTTCACAGGCGCGACTGGACATCATGCCAAGCCAATATGTCGAAACTCCATCAATGATACTCCAAGACGCCAACTCTACGATATGATCGTGCCATAGATCACTGTGTCTCCATTCACGAATCTTCGCAGCTGTCATGTCCTACAAACGCCCGAGAGCGACCTCGCCCTCTGGCGCCCAGAAGCGCCCTCGTGGTGCAGGCGCAACCCCAAGCACCATCACATTAGGCACGGAACTGCCCCCGGACGAAGATGGCGATGACGGAACTTTCGTGCCAGTCTGGAAGCAGACCGTGACCGACGAGCGCGGCCGCAGAAGGCTGCACGGTGCATTTACGGGTGGCTTCAGTGCAGGGTAAGCTACAGAGCCACTTTGGCCACGAACGTTTGACTTCTTGACTCTGCTAAGATACTTCAACACAGTTGGATCTAAAGAAGGATGGACACCCAAAGCCTTTGTCTCTTCGCGATCGAATCGCAACAAGGACACCACCCAACGCGCCGAAGATTTCATGGATGAAGAGGACAAAGCTGCAGCTGCAGAATCTCGTGAGCTCGAGACAGCTCAGTCTTTCGCAACGATTGGACGCGTTGGAGACAGTCAGAATGACGCCCTGTTCGGTCTTTTTGTGACGGAGGAGGAGACAATGGGTGTGAAGATTGCTCAAAAGATGGGTTGGCGGCGAGATCAAGGTGTAGGCCGAAAGGTCCGCAGGCCTGCTTGCTCGGATGATGCCGCGGGAGCAACAGCTCATACATTCGCCCCCAAAGACTCTCGCATGATGTCTGCCGCTCGGGAAGAAGTCAATCGCAAGGGCCTAGGGTACCAATCCGAGGCACGTCTAGGAGCGACAGAAGAGAGGGAGCCTGAGGACCGACCGATGCTCGCACTGCCATGGCTGGAAGGGCCATCCAAGACGAAAGCGCCTAAGAAGGCTGCACCGAAGAAGTCCTCGTTTGGAGTCGGCGTTCTGAACGACACAGGCTCGGACGATGAAGATCCGTATGAGCTCGGACCCAGGATCAAGTTCAACAAGTCACTGGGAAAGGACAAGAAACCCAAGAAACCAAGCAAATTCGCCAAAGCTGGAGTAGAGGGGATTGTGTTCAAGCCGAAGAAAGCGTCTGGAGAGACATCCGCACGCCCCCAGCTCTCACACGATGGCAAGCCTCCTTTGCCAGGCTTCGTCCTGGCCACACATATCATCGAATTGACGATCAAGAAGAGATACCCGCCTCCCAAGATACCCTCTGGATGGATATCGTCGAAATCTAGTGCCGAGCCAGCAAACACCAAAAGCCGACAGTCCATTTCTGATGCCGCGAGATCTTCCACTCTGGACGCGAAGGCCCGAGCATCCCTCTTAGGCGAGAAACTGCTCCCTGGGAAATCCGTGTTCGACTTCATCCCAAAAGATGTTCGAGATCGACTTGCAACCATGACTGGCAAGGTCAATCTCCCTCAAGGGCGTGGAGAAGGTGCCCCCGAGGGCTTTCAAGACCCTAACAGCACGAAGCCAAAAGACCTGTGGACGTTCGTCCCCATCCTTGACAAGGGCACCGCAGCTGCCGCTTTGGCAAAAGGCGCGACAGGCTGGATGCCCTACGCAGAAGACCCCAACAAAAGAGCCCGCTATGTCAGCTTCCTCGAACTCCGCGCCGGGCTGAAAGCCGACCTCCCAGAGCGCGCGGAGAAAGCATCCGTATCCGAGTGGGCCAAGGAGTTGCAAGAATTCGCTCACGCCGCGGAGGTCTTCAAGCCCACGACCGGTCTCATGGCCTCGCGCTTCACATCCTCGACATCAACCAGCCTGCCCGGCAGCGGCAGCGGCAGCTCCACGCCCAACGAGAACCTCCTCCGCAAACCGGCACCCAGGCCGCAAGACCCCGCAGAGCAGGCCGCAAAGTTGGGAATGTACGGCCCCATGACGCGCAGCACGTTCCCGTTTTACCCCTCGCGGCTCCTCTGCAAGCGCTTCAACGTTAAGCCCCCGCCAGACATGCCTCCCGCTGATGCTGATGTCGACGGCGCAAGCTTCGGAGGCAGAACAGAGGAAGCCGTGTCGAAGTCTGCGATGGATAAGATGGTACACGAGGTGCTGTCCAAGGGGGCGCCGGCACTGCAGAGGCCTGCGTGGATGGGCGCGACGCCAGAGGAGTCCCCGAAGGCTTCTGGGGCGAGTCCGGTAGCGCCAGAAGGAGGACATGCAACTGTGGATGTGGAGAGGAACGATGCTTTGACGCAGGAGCGGGCGCCTGAGGATGTGTTTAAAGCCATCTTCGGCGATGACGACGGCGATGACGACTGAGTGCTATGTGCTGAGGGGGAAAAGGAACAGTATGCGTATTTAATAAAAGATGTCTATCATCCCATGCCCACCCTTCGAGATTTACAGGGCAAATAGGTGGAATTAAATCAACCCTGATACCATTTCCAGTACCGACTGTCATGTGCCCTCTCCATTCCAGTCACCATCCCATCATCTAGCAAACCGTCTGTTCTACTCTCCAACACGTACCCCGCCCCCCACACCAACACTACGCTTTCCTGGACCCATCCACAGACACAATGGCACCTCTGGGCCCGGCCGCTTTTCTACCCTATATCATCTGCACGGCTATATTAGCGCTTATTAATCATCCACGACGGGCGAGGTTTGTCTTTCCTCTGCGCTCGGTATAGGATATTGCGAATACTTAGAATGGTAGTCTGAACCACCTCCGAGCAAGACGAAGTCCACTCCATATGACAACGTGCAATCAAGTGTGTATGTTGAGAGCCGATTTAAGATTTTTCGAGCAGGAGCAAGAGCCGAGCAAGGAGAGCGAGTAGAGACCGCTTCTAATTCTTGTTCTGGAGATATCGTGTGTTTCTGACCTCATGCTGGAAGCCGCTGTTTCGTTCCACCGTATAGCAAAGCAAATCAAATTGCTTGCTCCCCTTCCAACCACACATGCATCACCCTAGCCCAATGCATCTGCCCTTTCTCCCTCTCCACCCACAGACACCATGACCACGCCCTCTTTCTCCACCGCCGCTACCGTAGCCCTCATCGCCATCACACTCATGTAGATCCTGCTATACCACAGAAGTGTGGCGGTCATGTTTCGTCTGCGCTGGGAATGGAAGGGAAGGTGCTTGGCTCATAGTACGCTACAAGAGCAGTATGACTGATTCTTTGTCCGGAAGATGCAGTTAATCATTTACATCCGACGCATTTTACAAAGTGTAGGATGTAGAACAGCAGCACATATGCATCGGGTCGAAGAAACCTCTCGATCTGAGTAGAGCTACATATGTATTCCAGACACTGGTACCAGATGACGGTAGATGTCATATCTCGTGTCCTCCAAGGGCACCCAAATCCGAGATAGCGACGGACATGTATCAGGAGCCAAATAGTCTTCGGCCATCTTCCAAAGTTTGATTCGGCACGATGTATCAAGTTACTTTGCGACGCGGCAGCACCCAATAACCAATTATCTGACGGCCAGCTGCACTTGCGGCGTGCCTTGTTTGGCCGCACACTATCTTTGCAGAGACATCACACTCTGCAGCAGCTACTCCCACACCTCTATCCCCATCCGGCCCAGAAGCAGAAAACCACTCATTCCCATCCGCCAACTTCCGGAATACCACTATCAGCTCCTGTTCTCCGTCCCCTCACCCACACATCCCGTGGTCCATTTCAGACTCTTGTATTCAGTCAGCACGCGACCAAGTCAAGCATTCTCTTTCGTGCATGTGGCGCTTGGAATTCTCATTCGACCAGCCAAAGGCAGTGCCTAAAATTACACGTTTCAATTCAACTAACTTATGTTTAACTTCACAAGCATAGATAGAGAGAGATCAAGCCAAGGCAATCAGCTTGCTACATATACAACTGCTCTTGATACAAAGTGGCATTAATGGACGGGACGCTAAAGACTTTCTGCCTACGAAACCACTGCGTGGTTTTTTTACTAGTCTTGCCGGAAACTCCACGTCCAAAGCAAGCCACCGGCTCCAATGGCTTCGGGTTCGAAGAAGCAAGACTCGAAACTCTGCTGAAAAATTCCAGGGAGGGAGGGATTCGATATGCATCTCTCTCTCATACTCTGGTAGTCGAAAAACGCGGGCCACAACGTGCAATGCATTCGATGACATGCATGCGTTCTAACGAGCGTGAAATACGAGGACTAGTTTTTTTTTCTTTCTTTACCTTTCTCCTCGTGTCATCATATGAGCCGCATTCTAGGATTTGAGATAAACATGATATGCGAAAGGCGGAGGGTTTCTGCACGGAGGCAGGGTGCGTGTGTTCGGGCATGCGTGTTTCAGGCATGGACAGAACGTGGGTACGGGTTTTGGCAGACATTCGTGCCGAGGAAGTTGGCTTGATGTAAACGTAGCTAGGAGGGGGAAGGTTTGGCCATGGGACTGCGAGGGTGGGAGTTCACACGGTAGCTTTGCTGGGTGTGAATGTAGCACACCTGAGCCAAGTGCTGCAGCGCATCCGGCGCATGTCATCTTGAACTTTGAAACGTTGATATTTGTTTGCGCTCGAATACTCGCCAACTCTGACTCAGTCACGATGCCCACAGGCCAAATGGCCTTACACAAGCACATTTGCCTCGACTTCACACATATCTGGTATTGCACCCCTAAAGGGTCCCCCATCACGAGCTTCACCTCGTCCAGCGTTTATTTATGGGCTACCACAAATTAGCTATCACAGAGAACAGCGTAGATCGAACAACATCGAAGTACGTACGGATTCCTTCCTCGGGCTTTGGCTCGATGCCGACGACCTCCGCTGCTGTCTTCTTCTGCTCTTCCACATCTGGCCAATGTTAGCGGGATCTTCATGGGAATAATATGTGTCTTACCCTTCATGAACGGGAAGGTAAGAACCTCCTTGATCGAGTAGTGATCAGTAAGGAACATGACCAGCCGGTCAATACCCATTCCCCAACCACCGGTAGGCGGCAAACCGTACTCGAGCGCCTGGCAGAACGTCTCATCAATGAGCTGCGCCTCGTCATCGCCCTGCGCCTTCTGGCTGGCCTGCTCCTCGAACCGCATGCGCTGGTCGAAGGGGTCGTTCAACTCAGTGTATGCGTTGCAGATCTCCTTCTTGCAGACGAAAGCCTCGAAACGCTCGCAGAGACCGGGGATCGAGCGATGGTACTTGGCGAGCGGGGACATGATTTCAGGGTGGCCCATGATGAAGGTGGGGCTGATGGCGGTCTCTTCGATGAATTCGCCGACGAGCTTGTCAATCATGCGGCTGGCGGTCAGAGGGGGTGAACACTCAACGTTCATCTTCTTCAGCACGTTGCGTAGGAATTGGTTTGCCTCGTCGGTGTCTAGTACAATTAGGTCGATTCTCGATTGGATCTGCAAGGGCTTCACTTACGAAGAGTGTCTGCAGGAGGGAACTTCTCTCCCGTCGCCTTCTCCAACTCGGGTATCATCTCGACACGACGCCATGGCCTCTCCCAGTTGACCTCGAACACCTCACCGCTCTGAGTGTGATACTGCGTCTTGTATGATCCCTTGATCGAGTATACGAGCTCACTGACTAGCTCTTCGGTCATGTCCATCGTGTCGTACATGTCTGCGAACGCCTGGTAGAACTCGCATGTAGTGAACTCGGGGTTGTGGGTCAGGTCGATGCCCTCGTTTCGGAACTGACGGCCGATCTCGTAGACCCGCTCCAAGCCTGCGAGGAAATCAGTAAACTCCCTTCAGACGGACGGTTTGCGATCTCACCTCCTACCACAAGCTCCTTCAGGTACAACTCCGGCGCGATTCTCATGTAAAGTTCCATTCCGAGTTCGTTGTGGAAGGTCTTGAAGGGTCTCGCAGTAGCGCCACCCGCGATCTTGTTCATCATAGGAGTCTGGACTTCCAAGAAATCCCTTGTATCGAAGTAATTCCTGATGTACTTGACGATCTTAGTCCTCGTGATCAGCGTCTCCCGGGTAGCGTCGTTCATGGCAAGGTCAAGGAACCGCTGTCGGTACCGCTGCTCCTGGTCCTTGAATCCGTAGTATTCGGTCGGCAGCTGGCGCAGGCAGGGCGACAGGAGGAGGATTTCCTTTGCGAAGATACTGAGCTCTCCGTCGCCGCCCTTCTTGGGTGCTGTTCGGCCCGGGAAACCCACCACGCCGACCCAGTCGCCGCGGCGCAACAGTTCATGGGGCTGCTGGTCCCATGGTGCAGACTCGCTGGCATTCTCCTTCTGGCACATGATTTGAAGCGTGACGCCTTCGGCCTTGCAGACGTAGAAGCGCAGGGAGGTGGACGAGACTCGCATTGACATGATTCTGACACCGACGCGGATCTCCTTATCCTCTTCAACCTGGCCCCTGGTCAAGTGCTTGAAATCCTCGACATACTGCGGAAGCTTGTAGTTGACGTGGAACTTGTGCGGGTACGGGTTGGGCTGCTTCGTCTGGCGCAATTGGTTCACGGCTCGGCTGCGGATCTCGAAGTATTGGTTGGGGTTCAGCTCCTCCTCTCCGGCTCCGGCAGCGGCTGCCTTCTCCTTCTTCGGCTGCACTGGCAGCGTCGCCTGCTTCGCGGCCTTGGCCTTCTTCTTCTCCTCTGTCTCGCGCTGTTGATCGCTTTAGCATTCTTGTTTGGGGGGCGTGTTGCAGCAACGGACCTGCTTCTGGCGGCGCTTGACTGGGACGGATTAGCGAGATCTGGGTCAATTGGGACCATCCTCTTACGCTCAGACTTGGAGATCATCTCGCCGGTGACAGGGTCCTTGTGCAAGTTCTCGGCGGCGCTCTGAGCCGCAGGCGCAGCGGCGGACTGCTCGGCGGGCTGTTGGTCAGCCATGGTTGCGACGACTGGAATTGTGTTGCGGTCGTGTGCCTTCTCTTTGACTCTTTGGGCGAAATAAATTTGGTGGGGGAGTCAGTCACACCCCGCCAACGCCAAGCCCGGCAAAACCGATGTTCCGTCCATTCCCTGGACTCTTGACTCCGTCTTGCGCGGTGAGTCAAGCTCAGCAATACGCAATTCATATCGGAGAATCACTTCGAGTCTGGGCAGCCAAGCTCAGAACAACGAATCAAAGCGTGTAGAACTTGAATTGACTCAACCACGGCATGTGTCGCAGATGGTCAAAGCCCCATGCCAATGGAGAATCCGCAGCCTGCCCATCAAGAGCAATCACGAGCGACGAGTTGAGCTGCGGTCACCTCTAAAATCTAATACGATCTGCCTTGCTCACTGGCCACAGTGGCGTCTTTTTGAGGCCTAATAGGTCCAGATGTCACCTAAGGTACGGATACAAAGTCAGTGTGAGTTAAGACAGGGTGGTGTATGTCTCAACGTGCTTTTCCAAATTTTATTCACTTTGTACACGCTGGTTTGCTCAACGGAGCGGATCCAGAGACTCGGTTCTCACGACTTCTTCCAGCATATCTGATCTTTCTCTTGACTCAACCAGGGCAATCATTAGCAACAGCACCCGTAATAGCAGGCGCATGTACACAGTTTGAGCGCTGGCCTATAACCTAATGACTCTCCCCCCGCTATTTGCGAGGAAGACCGAGAACCCTGAGTCGAATAGCTCCATCAAGATGGCGATGTGATCGAACCTTGAACTTCGCCATCATAGAGGAATGGCTTACATGACAATGGCTTTCTCGCGTCTATCAACTGATTTGTTGTTGCACTCCGGTTATAGTTTGCCAGATCGAATGCCTGTTCATCGGTGTGCCTCACAATCGCTTTCCACAGTAGCGAGCGGACGATCTGTTGTGTCGCCTTCGCGGTCTTGACGTTACTGTAGACGTGGCCGTATGTTTGGATCAGTGTCTTGAGGGTACAATCGTTGTGCAGTCGGACGCATTTCTTGCTGTCAACACTGCATATGATGTCCGGTAATCTAGTTCCTCCCGGATCTACATCCTGTGACCAGTCAATATCCATCACCCTAATGACCATGGTGTCTACCCAGTCACCCATCCATGGTTCGTACCAGTCTTTTCCGAAAGGCGAACGACGCCTAAAGGTTCCAGGCAAGCGAATCGTGAAGACGTGCAAATCATGCGACGGCACGGGCACCCAGCTCTAGAGTAAGGTCGTCTGAATGAGGTCATTGACGCAGAGGACGGATACGAAGAACGGGGGAGAAAGCAAGGACCGGAGACTGCGACCCTGGAGGCTTGCAATGATTTCGCCACTACCACAAATCTGGACGAGTGGTGCCGAAAGAAGGAAGTCGCAGACAGGAAATTTGAAAGCATGCGACGGATCATATGAGCCCCGCCTGCGCTCGAATCTCCCGCACGCCCTTCAACGAGGGAGCGCGGCGTGTTCTTTTTGCACTGCGTTCCAGCCACGGCTGGTGCACCTGCGCAATCTTGCGTTCGATACCCGTGAACAGACCCCCGGAACCAACGGCCCGGCTCGTGCTGCATCATGTCACTCTTCTTTTCTTATGGTGGCAGCTCCATATGAGGCGTTCTTGCCAGTTCTCGGTGCAGGACACATACGCTAGTCGATTGATTGGATTTCCTTTCATGGGCTCCATCGGCAAATTGTGGTTTACGTGATACCCAGCTACCTACCAAGTAGTCAATGGCGCCCTGCTGAAGCTTATGACAGGCTATCATGCCAGGAAGCCGAAGCGCAAACCAAAAGAAAAGATATCCACACAAATCTAAATTTCATTCGTCAATCTCCATGTACTCACTACTACTCAATCCTTGCCCAGATCACCTGCAGCATGCAAGCGTGGGAAGTAAACTAGAGCGAAACTGACGTACGGGTGCCACGGTACCTGAGATGTTGCAGGAATCTTCCCACTATATCATCTCAACATTTCCTTTGGATAAGAAACCCCCCTCCCCTAACCAGAGTTTCGTGTAGTGTGGACTTCTCGATTGATGTACCTTTGCCGGTCGCTTCCTCGCACATGTGTTAAATGCGCAGTGGTCGCAGTATAGTGTACGGGTTCCGGTTCCCTGCCAGGTCAACCGTGCTATCAGCGAGCATCCGATAGCTACTTAGTGGTACATATGTGCATGTACGGATGGCGCTGTAGAATTGACGCTCCTTGCAGCGGACCTTACTATGAATACTCACGTAGGATTATCGCACCATAGGTATACAATGGTAAAATGGATTGAGTTACTACAGGGTTAGATTTGCCTAGTTCTGTATAGTAAAAGAATACTTTTGGGGGGACCACTATCGAGAGGGGACTGCAATGAGTGGCATGCTGTTCCGAATGCTCGTGGACCATCTTGCCTTTCCACCCTCGAGCTTCCTGATTGCATCTGAATGCCATTGATGGATCGCATGTCTGAGCGTATTCTTGATCCAGTATTGTTTCAGGCGTACAGTCGATTCTTGTGGCACATCGCAACAAAAATGCCTTGATATGTAGGGAATCTCAAATCATCAGTCACGTGAGTCGATGTCGTTTCGTGTCATAGCCACGCTATCCCTGCTTCCAACCCAAGCTTTTCCCAATCTTCACATCAATTTCTTTCAACCAGCTCACGTCTGCCCCAGCAGAATCTTCAATGTCTCCACCCCCAGCCCAAGCACAACCTGACTCCTACTTTCCTTAAGCAGCGCCTTGAGCGCGCCCTCGCCGCCCTTCGCCTTCACAGCATCAATACCCTTGGGCCCGATATCGACGACCTCGCGCACGCAGGTGACGCCACGGTGGCGGATGTCTTCGCTTTCGTCGCGGCAGAGGCCTGTGAGGAGTATCAGTACAAACATAACCGGAAAGAAAGAGCAGGGGATAGTGGAAAGGAAAACCTACCAAGCAAGAAATCCACCCCTCTCTCCAACTTAAGGAGCTCCAACACCGCCAGATCAATCGATAGCAGCATCGCCAGTGCACCGCCCGCCGCACTCCGCGTCGGCGCATCTTCGACATCCGTTAGCGCACACAGCAAATGCAACCTCTTTCCGGCGCGAGGGCTCCCGTCAGCGAATTTCTCCGCGCACACCGGGCTCGCCATGAGATTGCACAGCAGCTCTGTGCTAGCTCTACGCAGCATCGCGTTTGGGCTCAGTAGGAGGTCGTCGACGACAGTGTCGAAGGCGGCGCGGATGATGGCGTCCTGGGTGGGTGTATCCATGGAAGCGAGGTTCGTGAGCGCGAGGAGGGACTCGAAGGCGTGGAGTTGCCAGGTTGAGGACTCGCTTTGAGAGAGGAGAGATATGAGGGGACGGAGGACGGAGTGGGAGGGGAAGGCTTGGGTGAAGGTGTGGAGGGGGTTCGTGGAGATCAGGATGCGGGAGAGGGCTTGCGCGGCTTGGGGCGCGGCGGTTGGGGGGTATTTGTCGGAGTGGGGAGAGGAGGTGATGGTGTCGTAGATCTGGACGAGCAGCTTTATGGCGCCCTGTTGGGCGAGGGTTGGACGCGATTTGGCGTCTTTGGAGAGGGAGAGGAGGATGGAGGTTGTGTGTGAGAGGGCGGCTGGTGAAGCTTTCTTAGAGATGCCAACGAGCAGGGGGACGATGCCGGCTTCAAGGAGGCGTTTACAGCGTACGGTAGTGTGGGCTTCGTCCAGTAATGGATCTGGTGCACTAGGCTTCTGCACGTTTGCATATGCTTTGAGTTGTGCCATGCGCTTCTCTTCTTCAGATTGGATGGGCGGGTACGCGGTCAGGTTTACGAAGATGTTAAGTCCGCCAAAGACAATGTTCGGAGACGTAGAGGCGTCCTTCATGCTGTCGATGAGGCGCTTGAGGAACTTTGGGGATCTGGAGAGGTCCTCGCGGACTTTGGGTTGTAGAGACGCATACGCAAGGCCTTCGATACTATCTTGCTTGCCAGCTGCGTCGGAGGAAATGACCATGCTCTTGAAGCTCGCTATGAGGTCCTCTTGGTCCACCTTCCCAGGCGTCACAATTTGGGGACCGTCGGCAGTCACCTGTTCTTCGCCGAGCTTGACGAGGACGAGAGCGGCGAGGTTGGCCCGCTTCTTGTCAGGGCAGCTAGCGACGTGATCCTCGAGCCATGACCTGCAATGCCGATTGATGGCTTCGCGGCAGTTCTTGTCAATGCACGCCGCACTGATGAGTTCCAGCGCCGACTGTTCGAGCTTGGTACTATTCTTGCCTTCGACAAGAGGGACGAGTGTACTGACAAAACCTTCTGACAGGAACAATTGTGCCGCGGCCTGCACGGTGATGGGAAATATGGCGGCTGCAGCTGAGAATGCGATGACCAGCTCATCAGCAATTGACTTCTGGACCCGGTTGATGACGAACTTGGAGACGAGATCCTGGGCTGTGGTAGGTGCCAATTCGAAAAGCTTGATCGTAGCCAGCGTCGCCTGGCTGCGCAAGCTATTCGGAAGCCGGATGTCAAGGCTCGCGAGGATAACATCGAAGCTGTCCGCATCGATGATTCCATGCAAGTCCTGTGCATGATGGGCCAACAGCTGCGCAACGCCTTTCATAGCGCGTTCCGGATGTTCGAGGGCTTCCTCCATCATCATAGCCAGACTGAGCATGAAGACATCCCGGTGGCCCTGCACAAAGGCCTCGTCGCTTTCCCAAATGGCGCGGTTGAGAAGCACCTTGAGCAAGCCATCGATACTGTCGTCTCCGCGCTCGAATAACTCATAGTACGCCTGCGTGGGATGCTCCTTCACGAAGGCCGCGAGCCACCGCTGCGCTCCCACATGCATCAGCAGCTCCCCGGTGACCTGGTCCAAGAGATCTTCCTCGCCCTTGAAATTGTACAGAATCTCCATCGCCTGCTCCGCCTCTTTCTCACCCAGGCCCTTGGCTCTGATGAGCTTCAACGCCTCGTCGCCATCCGCTTCATCCCTACTCTTGACCCACGCTTTACACACACCTAGCAACTCGCTCTTCTCTTCTTCTTCCTTGAGCGCAACCCAGGTCTGTTTGACTAGCGGATGTTCCGGCGCGATGGTCGTGGCTTCCCGCAATTGACGCGCCGCGTCTGACAATTTACCTGAATTGATGCACGCTCTAGCTAGCTGTGCGAGCTGTATAGCCCGGTCTGCCTCGGAAGACGAGGACATGGTGGGTGAATGGGTGGTGTGGTGACATGTTAAGAGAGGAGAGGAGACACGACGTTGTTCCAATGCCAATGGATGCTCGAAGTGGACCCGCACGTGGAGAGTGCGGAAGCGCACGGGCCCCGCCTAGAAGCCCACTAGAACGTTGGACGTTTTACGATGCCGCAATCGTACGTCTTCGAGACTGATGATTTCACTGGTGGCAGTCGCAGTTGGACAAGAAATCCTGTGAGCGTGCAATGTCTTTTGTCATTATTAATACAAGTCGTGAAGGTATCCTCGCGTCTAACGCCCGCCCCACGCTTAGAAGCGCTCTAAAATGTACACCTAAAATGCTCACGTACCCGATACTCCACGCTACCCATGTTCGGAAAGCAAGCAACGCAAAACGCAAAATGTCCAAGCCACGATTGGCGTTCGCACCATGCAGAGCGCATCTCTCCTCCGCGAAACACGCCCCGCGCGGCACACTCTGTCTTTCCCCAGCGCTGCTGGATCTCTCAAAAGTAATCTCATTATCATCATTAGTCGGTAATTTCGTCAGTGGTGTCCGGCTGCTTCCGCTGAATAACTCCAAGGTAAAGTAGCCGCTCCCAGACATCGTCTTTCACGAGGACACGGGCTTTTTCGAAGGGAAGCCCATCCAGATCGCGTAGATTTCTGCAGAAGTTTGCGAGCATCATCTCCGTTACACGTCGCCTAATACGTGTCTCATAGTCCAATCGCGATAGGTATTGATCGTCTTCTTTTACGTCGCCCGAGGGAAGCACAAAACGGTCGGTGGTTTGTTCGTCCGAGGGCTTTCGTCGCAACGACATGATGCGGTTCTCAGAAGCCGGGGCGTAGAAGCGAACAGTGAGAGGGTTGTCGCGCCAGTCCAGCTTTGTCAAGGTAGTTAGTTTTCCTAGAACCATCGCATTCGTTCGCAGACGCGCCAGTTTGTTGCCAGCCACTAAAAGCTCATTCAGCCTCTTGATGTTCAACAATGGTCGAAGGTCTTTGATGGAATTGAAGTTGAGATTGACGGATCGAAGATTCGGCGTTAACTGTCCAAAATCGTCTGGCAATTCTTTGAGGCCCATCGAAGCTAGTTCTAGCCGCTGGAGGTTGAGCAGATGTTGCGAAAGTCCGAAACCTTGGGTCATGTTGAGCGAAATGTATAGGTTGCGAACGTCAGGGTTCCTCAGAAAGTTGCCAACACAGGTTACCGCGTTCGGATCGGCCCGTGGAGATTGGTCGCGCGCTGAAAATGTCCGCAAATGGTGTAGATCCTCTAAACCATCCACGTTCGTAAGCGAGTTGCGATCGGCATAGAGCGACTCCAACCTAGGAAAGTAATTGTTCACATCAAGCAAGGTCATTCCGTTGCCGCAAATGCGAAGCGAGCGTAGCGCCTTGCAGCATTCATATGTCTCATCGAAAATTGGAAACTCTGCAATAGAGTTGTCATCTATACTTTGTTAGCCAGTGCCAGCGAGTCTTGATTTTGGGTACCCTACCTAGATCGAGATGCTGCAACTGGGGCAAGCGGTGCACGTTCCGTACTTCCTCTAGCTTGTTTCCACGTAAATTGAGGTCTGTCAGAGATTTACTGATAATGAATTAGTACAAATTTGGGTTTCTTCGCATTATAGAAACTTACAGATTCGCCTGCGCAAAGTCCACGAATTTGATCTCGTTTCTCGCCACACTCAGCTCCATCAGGCCGTCGAGATAGCTGATGCCGTGGAGCGATTGTATCTTATTGTCATCGACCTTGAGGGTCCGAAGATGGACCAGGTCGCTAAGGCCATCTAGACTGTCGATATCGTTGCCTGAGATGTCTAAATGCTGCAGGTTCGAAAGGTCCACCCACGATGTCAATCCAGTAAGACTATTGTTCTGTGCCCAAAGCCTACGCATTGTATACGGGATACCTTTGACTTGGTTGATCTTGTTGTCCGACACGTTCAGCTCCTCGAGTCGGTAGCAGAAATCGTCCAGGCGATGGAGGTTCTCGAGACGCTTTCCATGTAGGTCGACCTCCCGAAGGTCCTCCCAGTACGGTTCATTTGGTTCGACATCTTGCAATGCCTTGACCAAATCTGCGGTGCCGAGTGCATATCGATCTTCGAGTGCTTTGGAGAATTTATAGCCGTCATGTTTGATCACGACCCTATCTGGTATCTCACACTCGTCAACCTGGTTGAGCGTGAACTCAGGTAGGTCGCTGAGCATGAATGTTACGTCTCCTTTCATCGGAGATGACGGTGCAGGCATAAGCGCATCGTTCTTGCTCAACACTGGGGCTGACACGCTCATCGATAGTTGCATGCGGTAATTCTTTGCCGGCCGCTCATCAAGAATGGGGAATTCATCTGCGTCTTCAAAGATAGCATTTGGAGTGGGACGATGGGGGAGTGTATGTACGCCCTTGCTGCGCCAGAACGTCTTTGGTGGGGAAGATTGTTGACGGTGATTGACTGCGCTCCATGTACGAGCAGACTGCTTTGGCGGACTAGCAGTGTTGTCCGCATGTCTACGCAGATCGTTGAAGTTTTGCTCTGCGATCGAGATGGTGACATTCCGAACTCGAGCATCCCGTGCAGACGACTGTGCTGCGCGACCTTCGAAGTATTTGATCTCGTGCTCTATATCGTCTTCGTCAGATTCGGGAATCGTGTAGGTCATTGGAGGGAGTTGATGAATCTTCTGCGTGCCGCCTTTCACTGTCTCTTGATCACTGTAAGATGTGGCGCGCGTTTCGGTCTTGGGGAAGCTCCATTGGAAGTTGGAAACCTTGGACGGGGCCGAGCTGCTATCAGTCATGACAGTGGCCGCGCCATCTCGGGTGACTGGGCGCGCCTTGTCGTCGAATGCCCGTGGTGTCTCTTCTGTATCCTCGAGGAAAGTCTCTGCTGTAGCTTGTGGTCGTACCGGCGAGGGTTTGTCCATCATCCGCTCCGCAGTCTCATCCACAGTGAGGTCCGGAATATTGCCAAAGGGGTCATCCTCGCTCTCGTTGGTCCCACTATGCTCCTCCACGAAGGGGTGCTCTCGGGAGGGACTCTTCTGGCGGACCCATATGTTCTTTTCTGGATCGAAACTCATGCCTGCTACCTCTTGTGGGATCAAGTGTGCTACAGCTTGAGGTGCCAAGGTGTTCACATGGTCAGATTTTCGCGAAGTGCTCGTGGCAACGGTATTTCCCATTGATGACATCATGGTATGGTTCGTCCTGCCCTGAGAGTTGGCGTGGTTGCTTTCCGGAGTCGGGTCCATATTCCTGTTGAGGTTGTCGGTGATACGAATGCCGTCTTGCTCCACAATAACACTATTTTCTTCCTGTCCCGAAACACCTCGCATGCGTGAGACCCTGAAAGAACGGAATGAAGAACCAGCAAACTCATCGGACTCCTTTTCTTGATATTTGCGAAGATGGCTCATCTTCTGAGAGTCGAGCTCAGGCTTGTTCGGATCCTTCCAAGCTGACTCGCGTCCTTCTCGGCTAGGGGGTCTGTCGAATGTAAACGAGCTTGACGGGTAGTCGGGCTTATCGAAGGCTGCGGGGTTCTCGGATTCGGATTCTTCAAGGCTACCCAATCCATTTGCGGGCTTTCCTTTTGCGCGTATGAAATCCATGATCTTCACGGCTTCCGCTAGAAAATCCTGCGTTGTGACGGAACGCTTCCGGCTCTCATCCCGCATCCCTTGCTGCCTTTCGAGGCTGAAAGCGGCCACTTCTTCGGCGACAATGGCTGCACGATCCTCATCCGCCAGTGAGTCCTCTTCGTTCATAGGCTCTATATGCTCCCGAATGGTATTCATCTTAGGCGACGAGTGTATGAAAGCTTCGGTGGCCTCAAGGATATCGGCTTGAAGTTCGTCCAGTCGCCGCTGACTAGGAGTCGGATTTCGAGGCCTCAGGATGTGTCGACGTGCAAGGATTTCTGGATCTGCGACATTGTTCGAGGTGTCGTGGCGAGCGTCTTTGCGTTTCCGGCCACTGAGTGACGGTGTGGCGGCGCGAGAATCAGGCTTGGGCTGAAGGCCAATAGCCGGAATGAAGTCCTCGTCATCCTTTTGAATCGTTCTCCGGCGTTTGGGAGTAGGATTCTTGAACGGCGATGTAGGGCCTCGTTTACCTTCAGCATACTCGTGAGACACTTCCTCGAAGTCCTCCGGGCTGGTAGAGCTTGATGTCTGGCGAACGATCTGGGGTATTGAACGACTCGGTACTCGATAGTGGCTCGCCACACGGGTCGATACAGGTCTTCGTGCCTGGGATGGCGCTCGCGAGATGGGAGAGGCGTTGTATTCGAATCTGAGCGCCGGCCGACTACCTGGAGGTGCCACGTCCATAGAGGGAGACTCATCGGGTGCACTGTCTTCACCATCATTCGACGACATAATTGAGAAGTCACCAGAGAACTGGTACTGGTTCAGGTCACCTTCGCCGAACGTACTGACCTGGCGTCGTTGCGGATAGGCCGGGCTTGTGCCGTCATTTTGCATGCTGACTTCTTCTACTGATGTTAAGCGCACCTCCTTGTGAACCTTGGTGACCTCGATCTTGTTAGTCCGCACGCTGCTGGTGACAGATCCGTCAAGCTTGTCAGGCTTGTACTCTAGTTGACTCAGCCGTCTTTGTAGGCGATTGCTTGTGAAGGTATCGTGGGCGTCGAAGAGCTTTAAAGGACTGCCAGAACCTTTTGCTCGTTCTGGGCTTAAGTTGTTGGACTGAGCGTTGCGCCGTGGTGTTTTTGGAGACACAGCGTCTTCTTCAATGGCGCACTCGGGCGCTGCGGTCGCGCTCACACTCACTGTCGGTATTGTTTCAGTGCGTAGCCCACTTTGTTTCTTGGTCCTCTCCGGAGAAGGGCTCAAGGGCCGTCTGCGGAATGAACCGTCTCTTGAATAACCCCCGCGTTTCATCTCAACAAAACGCCCCACGCCGTCTGTTATATCCGCGATACTAGGCGTCCCAGCTGGCAGGTCTTCGGGGAGCGAGTCGTCTTGGATTCGCGAAAGAGATGAATCTTGATGGCTTTGCATGATAGACTCCTCCTCAGGCACCGACAAATTGTGCTGCTCAGGCGGTGAGCCAAGGTGTCGCAACCGATTGGCAAGCTCTGATCCTCTAAAGTTGGGGATAGGGTCCCGTGGAGCGCTAACTCCGAAATGTTGGCTCAAATAGACTGGACTGAAGTTCTCGTTTTCGTATTCGATCTGGCCGCTTACGGTGCGAGGCGGGCCCTGCTCAAATTGGAGCGAGTCCGCCGACAGCTCAATACCCTTCAAGTCCGAGTCTTCAACGATGGAATCAGAACGCTCCTGTGCGGGTGCTTCACACGCACCGTTTCGAGCTGGGCCAGCGTGCTGGATGACAGAGCCGTCCTGCGCCGAGCTGTCCTGCACTGAGTCTTCCTCTTGCGCAGACCATGGCGGTGGACTTGAGGGCATAGCACTGAGACCTTTGAGCATACCGCCTCTTCGCTTGGGCATCTTCTCCTCTGATGCCGGCCCATTGGGTTTTTGGAAGATGTTTTCAAGCCCCATAGGACTGAACAGATCCTTCTGGTCGCCGTATCCAATCTTGCCCTCCAGCAGCCTCCGCCTCCATTCCGGTGTATCGTTGGAGGACTTGTCGTTGGACGATGATTTCAATACCGGCTTCTGTGCGACTGTTCCCTCGCAGGCGAAGGAATCGAGCGAGGCGGCGGAGAAGGAACGCGACGCGCCGCGGACGGAGGCAATGTAGGACGCGTCGGCGGATGGGATGTTGTTGTCGCTGAGGCTCCGCTCGACCAGCGCGCTCCTTCGTTTCGGCGGGCGCAGATCATTGGCGACATTTCGGACGCGAATCTCGGAGAAGGAGCCGGACGATGATCGCATGCGGGGAAGTCGACTCTGTAGCTTCGCGGACACGCGTTGTGATGTTTGTGGGGAGGGTCCGTCGTGCGCTTCGGGCGCGCTGGACGGTATGGGCTGCGCGATCCACTCCTCAGAGAGATCTTCGAGCCACGGCTGGCTCATGTTTGCGGTCGGCGGTGTACCACTTGGCGGGGAAGATGCGCGTGTGGTTGTTGACGATTGTGTTGATGTGGAAAAGACGCGTGGGAGGACGAATTACGCGAGCGCATGCATCTTCATGTGCGCATTGGAGCCCGAATGGCAGTGTTGAGCGAGCAACGCGAGGTCAGCTCAAAATACTTGGTTGTATCAATACACAAGGATGCGACCAGGTTCCCCGTTAGTGATGTCCGATTAGAGGTCACGTGGTGCTATCGATGCTATCGATTTCTCCGATGGCTCGTCGCCAGAGCAACGAGACGATAGCTCTGCGCAGGCACGGTTCACAGACGACCACGGGCCAAACCTTCCCCACCACTAGAGCCGTCACCAAACGCTTTCACGCGAGCCATCTAGGGGTCTGAGCAAAATTGAACGGCTTCTGCTTCACTGGGCCACAACTCCTCGCCGTGCGTGGAAGCTGCCACTGTCGAGCGCGATGCAAGACCAACACCAACGTCCAGGTTCCCCTCACACGACCCCACTGCCGCCGATGCGCTCGCAGGAATCCTCCTGACTTTGCTCAGAGGGCTTGCCAGCCTTCTATTCAATCTAGAAAAAACACTTGCGCTGCCTCGCGCGCGTACACGACCGACGGCAGCGGCACACGAGCACGCACGATGCCCAGAGTCCATGCCCAGCTCAGACATGTGACTGACACCGACCCAGTATCCATACAACCCGAAGATATCGTGGAACCAGAAATAGAAGAGGATGAAGATGCTGGACGCAGAGCCCGGAAACGTCGGCGGATTGAGACCATTGCCAATCAGTACATCAAGCTCGGGAGAGTGCCGCTGATTGTGTCCGCGGGCTTGCGCGGTCCCTTCGACAATGGGTGGAAGAATCCTTGGGTGACGGCGCCATCAAGGCCGACCAACGAAACTGTGCAATCGGATGCGCAAAGGACAAATGCACAGGAAGACAAATCTGCGAATCCCGCTCGCACAAGGACAAGACGTGCCAAATCGAACAACCTCCCACCGGTGTCGTCTGTTCCGTCTCCAGAGGCCTCGCGTGCTCCCGATGTCGCCCAGGACAGCGTTTTGCCCCCAGAAGACCTTCCAGATGCATACTATGGTCCACCAGATGCGTTGGCGGCTCAGCAAGATGATGCAGGTGCTACGGAATTCTTCAGCGCTGACCCAGATCCTTCCGTCACTTTTGATAATATCGCAAACAATCCCTTTTGGTTGAAACGCCCACAATTCAAACCGGCAGCCTTTCGCGAATCGATCAATGGCGGCCACGATCCTTCACCGACACGTGCTCGTTTGGGGCACAGGCCAGTAGATCGGAATGGACGACTGCTACTCGTCACACCAAGACAGCCCGTCAGCATGCTGCAGTCTGACCCTGGAGCAAACCCGAGCCCGGAGCCAGATTGGATGTCGGCCGCTTCCGCCTCGATGATTATAACGTCGCCTGCAAACCTTACCAATATCATACAAGAAAACATGTCTTCTGTGCCTTCGACGAGGAGGAAGCGGACCTACTCCAAATTTGAAAGAAACAATACCAAGGGAGACCAAAGTGCAACCCGCGCAGCTGCGGACATGTCACCTCCAAAACAGATCACCAGACGAAACGCATCAATGGAACCTTCTCCACAAGGTTATGGGGACGCCGGGGGCCGCAGCGCACCCGACACTAATGGTAGTATGGCACATGACACCTCGGGAGTTACTCCACCCAATGGACCATTGCAAGGTGCCAAGTCTTCTCAGGCCAGAGCGAAAACGTTACGTGCATCCCAGGGGCAGAAGGGTAACGCTCAACAAACGTCCTTGTCGGCTCCGAGGACCGAGAAGCGCAATCCGAACAACGATGTTCACGATTCTGTGGAACCACAACTTCCAACGTCTTCTCGGCGTTCAGCACGCACCAGCCTTAAGAAGAAGAAACATGTCGAAGGAGCCACGCCTTCTTTACGCCACGATCATATCACGTCACCAACATTGGCCGCTTCGACTGGCTTCAAGTACAGGAAAGTCGGAGAGGTGAAACGAGCTAAGACTACTGACAAGCGGAAACCACGACCTGGATCATTGAGCTCGCCGGCTGCCGTCAGCCAACTGCCTGCAGAAACTGTGGAACACGAGACCGAGCCCCTTGACGAAGCTACTGAACAAGAAGCTGTCGCTACAGCAGAAAGTCGAACGTCACGACCAGACATTTGGGAGGTGCCAGGGAGCCCACCGCAACAGGAGCAACAAAGCTACAGATCGAGTCGTACTTCAGGCTTCTCAACGCAGGCTGCGTTGATGATGGCTCAGATGGAATTCCAGGACGGCACGATGCCAACTATAACTGAAGACGCCCCAACGCCATGGCTCGCTAGCACGGCGAACGAAGACCCGATTGTACCCAGTCCGGCATTCACTCCATTTCATAAGTTCAATGCAACACTAGAGGAGCACTACGCACCCGAACCTACCATGCCGAACATGCCCATCAGTACTCAGGATCTTTTCGAGACGATGTCCCCATTCGCTAACAGCACAGTCAAGAAGCCTGCGAGGGCACCGGCAAGTAACTTGAGGTTCTCAGTTTTCGCGAACAGGGAGCAAGACAGTCCCAGCCACGGTGATGCTCGAAACCGCGATCGGAGCCCTACTTCTCAGCAGCGGAAGCCACTCCGAGAGAAGAATAGCCGGGTTTCGTTCCTGGGCTCGCAGTCGGACAAGGGCTCACAGAGCGAGAGAGCATCTCAGGAGTCTGTCACGCCCCGGCCGTCCAAGGCTCCCGTGGTACAAGCTGTGGGGCTCCCGCAGTTGGACTTTTGCACTTCCAATGGTGAGCTCGATTTCACAGATCGCTTCTTGATCAACATGAACGAGATGACCTGACGATCCGGGCCGCGACTACACACTTAGCTAGCAGTGTGCCGTTTAGTGGCCACGAAACTGGCACGGCATGCACACGTGGTCTTGTGCCATTCTCTGGATCTACAAGTCTCTCTGGGTGACGATATGGATAAGGGTAGCAGGACCGGCAAGCCCAGGCTCCTTGCATGGCATTGTGGCTCCTGTTCGGGTTGGGGGAGCCCACGTTTCAGGATGATTGGACGATAAGAGGTCGACGGGCACCGGGTATTCTGCAGCTGCAAAGGGCAAACGTGCCTGAGTTCAGACAGGATCGCAGATGGGCAGAGGAGGCAGAGAGGTGTTCCAGGGCAGGTTGGGCCGGGACTAGGAAGCAGAGGCGGTGACCCGACGGGAGGCCTGCCTGAGTCGGGGCAGGGCCAAGGACCCTCTGCAATCGCACAGGCAACGGCGGAGGAGCAAGGACGCTGCGAGGCGTGACGGCGACGAAGCCAATCAACGGCGGTGCATGGTCACGTTGGCGGAGGCATTCCAGCCTCACCATCCACCTGTGCTCCTGCACGGCGCGCGCCACGTACACGGCGAGTTGCGATGTGCCTCTACCGCGCGCGCACGGACGCGCCTGCTCGCAGAACACGCTTGGCAAGAGCACCCGCTGGCCAGCAGCGGCTTCCCTGCGCACAGTAGATATCCCAGCCGAGACAATAAAAGCCACTCAGACACTGCACGTTGGTGAGAAACAAGCTGCTCTGCGTGTCGCCGTGCCCTTCTGCGACCACGGCTGTCCTCGCAAACGGCCCGTTGCGTTGCAAGTGCTGGCGACGCAGACGTCATCGGCGAGGCTCGCTTGGTGCAGGCTCAGCGCCACGGCTGCGAGGCCTTGCCTGGTCCACACATTCGGAACGTGGGCTTCGCACGCACCGCCGCTCGCTGGCCCTCCTCGCACTCGCACGCTGTGTCGCCGTCGACAGCGCACCGCCGTCCCGAGTCCGTCCACCCCGGCTCGCACACGCCAGTACCTCTCCTCAGCCGCCGCGGCACTCGTCCCGCCGTGCGCCCAGTCCGCGCGCCCAACGACCGCTTTGCTGGCCGCCGCTCCCCTGCCCAAGCCTCGCACGTTATCTGCCAAACATTCCACCACGCACCAGTTTCCGTGCCCGCGCAGCGGCTTGACCAATGTCGTCTCCATGTCACCGCCCTTGCCCGCACCGAGACATGGTACCTCACCCCCCGCATCGGTGAGGTCAAATGCGCCACGGACCCCCGGCCGCCATGAAGACCCAACGCGCTCTTCGCCTACCCGCGACGAGGTGACCCCCAAGAGCCTCGCGCAGACGGGGCGTTCCAAAACAGCGCCCCTGGACCTGAACCATCTGTGGACCCCATCCATCGATCAACCCCAGCTGTCGGAGCGCGACAGCATCTTCGCTACCACGTACCTGCCATCCGACAGCCCCGCTCCCTCTCCACGCACGCCCGCCCGCACAGAACACGCAAACTACAATGGCCTTGACCCAGGCCCTTCAAACACGGCAGTCAATGCTCCGGCGCCGCCACCATTGACAGCTGCTCCCGCCGCCCGCCAGCACCAACCCCACCAGACCCCATCCACCCTCGAAGAGCCCCAGAGCCTCCTTTCCGCACGCTTCAGTTCGAGCAAGAAACATAGATCAGACATGGCCCCCGACGGCACGGGCGAGAGCCCACCCCCCTTCATGAGTCCGGTCGATTCACCTGTGCATCGGCCTGCCACCCCTCCCGGTACTGTCCAGACCACGGGCTCGTTGGACGACGCGCTTGCCGAATCGGGATACACTGCGGAGCGGTTGAAGAACCGAATATGGCGTGTTGGCAATGTCGAACCCTACCTACCGCATGGAGGACATGTGCACAGAAGGGAGGGTCACGTCGAAAAGAAAATTGAAGCTACACTAGCAAAGACCGAAGTGCCAGCAGCTGCACGGAGTCGGAAGGCGAGCCACTACCTACGGGTCTTCAAAGAGAACGATGCTGCAGAAGAGCAGAAGAAGCGCGAGGGTCGCGGGAAGGACCGCCGACAGGCTGAGAAGCTTCCTCCGACCGTTCAAGAGGAGGATGTTGCCCGAACACCTGCTAGTGCATTGACAGAGCAGATCCAGAGGGCGTCCCGTGCCTCGTCTACAGCCCAATCGCCATACAATGGCCCTACAAAGTCGTACTTTAACTCTACCACCTATGATAGCCACGACGATGGGAGCATACAGTTCAGCGTCGATGGAGCAGGACAGGCGCAGGAGCTCCCCACACGGCTGCTCGAAGAGATCAGAAATTTCCACAATCTTACCCCGGGGGGTCCGCGTGGCTCGTCATTCTCGAAAAGTCTTCCCACAGCTGCAGCTGAAAAGCTACGTTCTCATGTGGCCAAAGCTCGTACGCCCCACCCGCGAGAGCCTTCGGATTATTTCCAGACATCGCGCGAAGGAAGCCCGGACCGCTCTCCTGGTTCAGAGGAAGACGAGTCTGAGAAAGAACATATTTCATCAGCTCTGTACTTTCCTCATCGTCAACTGAAGTCGCCTGAACCTATTCCACAAGAAGAGGAGACGCGGAAAGCGGAAGTACATTCCACTCGGAGGCTAAGCACTGTCAATGCAGGCAAAGGGCCCATGGGAGGGACCACGGAGGAGGCTGTAAAGACCCCCCAAGAGGTAGAAATCTCTTTACAGTCACAAGATACAAATGAATGCCTGCATGGTGACATCCGAACGACTTCTTCCCAACGGCAGGATGACAGTACCTCGCTGGCTTCTGCAACTACTGACGCGACTACGTCGGCTGAGTCCGAGTACGATTCGCTAGCGGAATCGTCTCATTCACTCAATGACTATGATTCCAGTGCGACTGATGACCTAGGCACAACTCCCACCGCAACACCGCGCAAGCACAAACAAGAGCCCGTTGCACCCGCACAGCCACCTGCGCCGCTTGGCGCGGTCGAGCTGAAACCATTTAACCACCAAGTTGGCGGTCACACGACGGTATATCGCTTTTCAAGGCGAGCCGTGTGTAAGCAACTAAACAACCGAGAAAACGAATTTTATGAGACGGTTGAGCGACAGCATCCGGAGCTGTTGGACTTTCTTCCAAGGTACGATTACTACCAACTTCTGAGTTGTTTGTAGCTGAGACCTCAGCAAAGCCTTCTCCGCCCCCGTTTTGCGTGCCCATATCTTCAGATCATTTTGCTAACGTTGTGCTGCCAAATTTAGATATATTGGTGTTCTCAATGTCACCTATCGCAAAGCGCCGAAACGGAAGAAGACCAAAGACAAGACGAAGGGGGATGCGGTCGCTCAAGCCAACGCCGATGTGTCAGCGAAGCAGGACTCGGGAGAGCACGGCCTTCCCAAGCCAAAGGAAGATCAACCTAGGATCGTCAGTCACTCTCAGCAGACGACTGCGGTCCCTCAGGTTGTGTTCGAGAATAATCGTCACATTATCCCTGAGAACCTTTTCCGCTTGCCACCACGTCGCTCCGCAACACCTGATCCTTGGATTGGCAGTTCGTATTCGCAGTACCACCGAAGAAACCAAAGCGATATTGGCTTTTCGGCGGTGGATGATAGTCCCAACCGCCCTCCTCTACGACAGCAGAGCAGCTGGGGTGTCACCACTATCAACCGAAAACTGCAAGAAGAGGTTCTGCGACAAGTGTTTGCGCCGCCCCCAATCCATCACCGCCACCGCCATCATCATCACAACAGTCTGCCTCATCGATCAAGAGTGGATCCGCACGCCATGATGAACTCGGTACCTTCATTGCGCAGGAACAGCGCAGACATCTCGGAGATTTCTATGCACGAGGAGTCGACCCGCAAGCAGGTTCTCAAGGCAGAAGCCCATCGTCACATGGCAAGACCAGCCAGTGGCAGTCTGCCCCGTGACTCTCCTTATCCATCCCATGAGTCACTTGAGACACCCCCGACACCAACAAGCTCCCGCCGTCGCCATTCGGGCGGTGGCCTCACACGTAGACCGTGTGGTGTGGACACGGATCACAGAGCCCCTTTGGAATATTATGAAGAAGACGGATATGGCGGCGATGGAGAGGAGGAAGTTTTTGCTATGGATGAAGATGCTCGGTTGCAGCAAGCCAAAGCAAAGTATGAGCAGATGCACATAGGTGACGCCTCGGCACACCAGGGCACTGCCCCGGAAGCCACGATGCTACCAGCCCCAGTGTTGAAGGAAAGGGCTCCACTTGCTTTGGAAGAACCCCCCGCAAATCCCAAAGCGGCCCAGCAGCAACCTGACGAGCGCGTCCAACATTTCTTGCTGCTCGAAGACCTGACTGCCGGCATGTCGAAGCCGTGTGTTTTGGACCTGAAGATGGGCACGCGGCAGTACGGTATCGAAGCCGATGACAAGAAGCAACGTTCACAACGACGCAAATGTCAGATGACCACGAGCCGAGAGCTGGGTGTTCGTGTCTGTGGCATGCAGATATGGAATGTCAAAACCCAGAGCTACGTGTTTGAAGACAAGTACTACGGCCGCGATTTGAAGGCTGGTAAAGAATTTCAGGATGCGCTCAAGCGCTTCTTCTGGGACGGCAGCGGTCACAAAGCGGCCCTGAAACAGATTCCCATTATTCTAGAAAAGATCAGCGCCTTGGAGAGGATCATACGCGGCCTACCCGGGTACCGCTTTTATGCTAGCAGCCTCCTCATGCTCTACGATCGGGGCGAGGGCGAGCAGAAAGAAAAGGAGCCGCCGTCACTTCCCAACGGACTCTCAAGCTCCAGTAACGAGGACGTCACAGCAATCTCCCCGAACCCCGCACCAACATCCAATCCGTCTTCGAGGTCCACCTCAGACATCAAGCTGAAGATCGTGGACTTCGCGAACTGCGTCACTGCCGAAGACTCGCTGCCCGACACCGTGCCCTGCCCACCTCATGACCCGGAAGGCGTGGACAGAGGATATCTCCGTGGACTGCGGTCGCTGCGCTTGTACTTCCAGCGTATATGGCGCGATGTCAACGAGAAGGATTGGGTGGAGAGGGGCGAGGGCGAGGGTATGGCGAGAGATGATCACCACGATGGCCCGGGGATGGGAGTATCGGGCCCCGGGTGGCTAGATGAGGCAGTTAACCATGATACGGGGTATGTCAGCTTTTGAAGCATCTCTTGCACTAACATAGAAGAGGGGGAGGTCTTTTCGAGGGGGTTTTGGTTGCATGGCGTTTGCATCTCGATGGGTGGGTGGTTGGTCCACTTTCCTTTCGCTTTTCCAGTTCCGCACCGGCGTTTTGCGAAGACAAATTTTCCTTTTGCTGTTACTCCTGGGACGGTCAGATTGTGGGCATCAGCTTGGGTCTGGGCATGGGAATGGCGTTTGTTCTTTCCTCCTGTGGTTCTTCCCGGCTGCAACTTCTATTCTCAAGGGGAATTTGGCGTGAGGGGAGGTCAATTCGTGGCTAGATGGTTTTGCCTGCGTGGGTTGTGGGATCGGGAGGTGTACATGTATGTTTTGCCTGGTGGGGAATTGGAGGGGGGTGGGGGTAGGACGTAGTAGTGCACGTTATAATACACTATGTTAATTGAATGAATGGACTGTGCTATCTGGTATTACTAAACACCGGCCTTGATATGAGTTGTTGAGGGAGAAACCACAGTCTTGTATGGAGGCTACGATGTGTTCCGTGAGCTTTATGGCGTCGCTGGACATGGGCTGGGCCCCCTCCTCTGACTTGACTAGGGGCACAACGCTATGCAGCTGTTGGATGTTTACCCTTGTCGAAGCACGCATCCCATTTTTCGTAAACGCAGCCGCAGCTCGAGATACTAGCCCACCTCTCGCGCAACCGTGGACACCGGCGATACAGCGCCGTGAGTAGTACCCAAATCCGTATAGTAGCCAAAGTCACTTCGGGACTAACTCCCATATCATTATCTAACCGCCGAAAGCCTCGGCATGTATCTGGTCTTCTATTCCCGTAGATGAGAGCCAAAGTCGCGGATGTGCGGTTGGCTGGTCGGGGCAGGCAAATCTGCGGCTCCTCGCTGCAACTCATATCAAAGCCGGTTTGCAAAGTCAAGAGATCTCTCATCCAATGTGATTTCGGCTCCTGTTTCAGGACGCCAAGCTTCAATACCCCTACCTCGAGGGCATCGAGAGCCCGGGAAATTATAGCTCATACGTTAGACGAATTGTACAATGTTGTGGCCGTGGCCGTGGTGGTAGCCGGTGAAGAGCCTACTGGGTCAAGCGGCGAGCGCCTGCGACTGAGTGTTGCGGTGTAGCCGCCACCTCTCGTTCGACAGAGTATCTATCAGTAGTCAAGAAATTGGTAAGAGGCTGACATGTTTGCGCGTCAGCTGCCTTCACTGTTGGGACTTGAGGCTCTCGCCCGACGTGGGAGCTTTGGCTGCTTCAATTTATTTAGCACCGTGGCCGTGGTCAAACTCTCCAGCAGAGACGAGGTCAACGAACGGGGAAGGCATGTGTCCATCATAGACTCTAATAAGTCGATACTCGTGACTTTGGTCTGGCTCTCGAGCTGCACCCGGTCTACGAGCAATGCATACATATTCCGATTATGGTAGATGTTGAACAGTGCTAAATCTTGTATGGCGCTGTGGCTCCTGTTTCGGTGGGAGAGTCCACGTTCCAGACGATTGGACATGTTCAGGAAACCAATGCAGGCAGATGCTAAGACATGTGGATGCAGCGCTTTGAGACGCGGGCCACTGAGGCAAGTTTAGCCGAGAAGAGTCATGTCATAGCTCCAAACTTTCTTACCTCGATTCCTCCGCCGAACAGTCCCACCACGACGCATTGAGACGCGCACCCCGCCTTCCACCATGGACGAAGATGAAGACCTGTCGCACCTGCGCAATCCGAACCCCGACCCGGCCGCCGACGAAGACCCTGAAGAAGAAACGCTCGACTATGGCGCCGCTTTTGCGAAAATAGCGTATGCATCTTTCTCTGACTTTCCTTGCGGCGCAAAGCGCACGGTAGCACACTTCTCGCAGTGGTACTGACGCGCTTGTAGAAACAGCGATAATGCGCTCCACCTTCCCAAGCGCGGCGAAAAAGACTTCGAATCGCACGAGACGAACCTCCAACTCTCCAAGCTCGATGCCTCGCGCCTTGCCATGCACAATGTGCTCTCCTGGCAGCGCACACACACGCAGAAGGGCCATATACCCGCCATGTACGACCCAGACACGAACATGGCCTACGTTCCCAAGCCCAAGTCGAGCATGTTCCTGACTATGGGGAGGAGCAAGGGAGGAAAAGAGTGGCTGCTGCCCGAAGAGGCGCTGTTCTTGATTGAAAGAGGGAGTGTGGATTGTCGGTGGCCGGTCAAGGACGCGGAAAACGGCGGGAATATGCTGGAGGGCGCGCCGATGAGTCTACAGGCCGCGTATGCAGCGTTCCTGGGCTACGAGGCTGGCGTGGGCGGGAAGCTGACCATGGAGATGTACACCGTGTACGCTGGCCTGAAGCGCTCAGGCTATGTCGTGTTCCGGCACGGCAGCTGGGACGACGCGCGCGCGCCTGTGCAGCCCCTCACACCGAACTCCCCCGATCAGAACGCAAGCAAAGCTGGCTACTGGAGCAGCTTCTGGAGCGACGTCTGGCGCCGCATATCCCAGCCCTCGCACACCGCGTCCCCGGAGAGTCTGGCATACGGCCCGCTGGTACGTCCCGGGCTCTATCGCTCCTACGCAGACATCTACCGCGCGCTCGCCCTCATCCCCTTGCACGACCGCACCCAGCCGCCCGCCTTCGCGCTTCCGCCCAACCCCAACAACCCGTTCCGCATCCACTTCGATGTCTGGAAGACATCCGGCTCCCAGCGCTTTCGCAAGTCTGCGCGCCCGCCACCCGACTTTCGCATATGTGTTATTGATGCGCGCTCCACGTCTGTTCCAACTGCCGCCGAGTTGAACGATTTGTTGGCGACGGTGCCAGATGACGGGCCCAAGGAGAATGTGCATATTATGCAGAAACTCAAGCATGGGAGCAGGAACGTGCTGCTCGCGGTGGTGGACAATGGGATACCGAGTTACATTCGCGTTGCAGACGTGGATTTCGGGAGGGAGAAGGTGTATGAGCGGACGGCGCCCCGAGGTGGAAAGGGAGGCCGAGGAAGAGGTGGAAGAGGCAGAGGAAGGGGCCGGGGGAGATGAAGCGGCGGGGCGTTGTAACCCTGGAATCACCACATCTCCGACAGGAGACACTCTGCTGAGGCACAGTGCCTATGTCACGGCAATCGTGGCCATTGTCGCTCTAAGCGACGTGTTCCGTCCCGAGGCGGCGCCCAACACCAGCTACGTCGTCGATTTGCAGATCAAGGGAGAGGAAATCTAGCATGAGGTCGACAAAGGGAGAGCTAGCGATAAGTCAAGTGCAGATGAGGATATAGGCATGTCGAGCGGCCTTGCAACAGCCAGCTGAACTACCAGGGGTAGCAGAAGAGCCATGTAGTATTTTGGGCGAATTTAGGTGCCCACATCGGCGAAGAAATGCTACACTATTTCCAATAAAAATATCCTACATGCGCATACTCGAGAATCCATGCGTTCGGAGACGCCGATCAGGTACAGAAGTCGCGCAAACCAAGAACGTCGCACTCGGCTCCCGCCAGAACGAACCTCGGCATCTACCCCAGATTCCACCACACTAGGAATCTCCGCAGCTCCAACTCCGCACTCCTCCCCATTTTACACTCATGCATGCCCTCTCCGCCGTCCTCCCTTCTTCGTGTTCTTCTCTGATTTAATCAATCAAGAATTGCTTTTCGCATACCCGAAACCGAGAATTAAAACAGCAAGCAACAATGCCAGCCGATCCCAAAGTAAAACAGCAGGGCCTCAGCAGAGAGCTCTCAGAGGGCCCGCAAGACCCAGGGATGTTTGAGGACATACCGCGCGTGCGAGAAATAGCCGGGGATCTGGGTTCCCAGTGTGTATCCCTCTCTACTCCTCACTCCCTTCCCATTAGTCCTCTTCCCCACCCCACCGTAGCGAACCCCATGCCCCAGCCAACTTCCCCGCGTATGGAGAGAACACAATAGCTAACGCACCCCCCCAGACGCGTAAAAGACAAAGTAATCATCATAACGGGCTGCAACTCGCCGATCGGCATCGGCCGCGCCTCAGCCCACCAATTCGCCCGCAACGGCGCAAAAGCAGTCTACATCTGCGACTTCGCCTCCACGCACCTCGACACGCACAAGCGCGAACTCGGCGCCCTCTACCCCGCCGTCGACATCCACACGCGCGTCTTCGACGCGGCCGACGAAGCCGCCGTCAAGCACGTCTGCCAAGAAGCGCTGGACACGTACGGCAGACTGGACGTCTTCTTCGCCAACGCGGGCATCAGCAGCGCAAAAGTCTTCTGGGAAGAGGACACGCAGGGCTTCATGAACATGATGCGGGTCAACACGCTCAGCGTCTTCCTCGCCGCCAAGCACGCCAGCAGAGCCATGCTCAAGACCTCGACGCACAAGCCCTACCCCCAAGGCGCCATCATCGCGACCGCCTCCGTCGCCGGCCTGCGCTCAAACGCCGGGCCCACCGACTACTCCGCGTCCAAAGCCGCCGTCGTGAGCCTGATGCAGACGTGCGCGTTCCAGCTCGCCGGCACGGGGATACGGTGCAATGCCGTGTGCCCGGGGCTGATTGAGACGGGGATGACGAAGACGACGTACGACGCGGCGCGGGCGCGGGGCAGCACGGGCAAGATTGGGCAGCTGAACCCGCTGAGAAGGGGCGGGGTGGCGGATGAGATCGCAAGGGCGGTGCTGTTTCTCGGGAGCGACGAGGCGAGCTATGTGAATGGGCAGGCGTGGGCGGTGGACGGGGGGTTGAGCGCGGGGCATCCGTTTGTGCCGGGGAAGCTGGCGTAGATAGGACCGACGCGTGTGTAACGTGCAGGAAGAGATGTCTATCACATAATGCCGTGCCGTTGCATGTAAACAGACAGACAGACAGGCAGGCACACGGGACGTTCGATTCGTGAGAATACTTCCTTGCCCTCTATTCCCGCCCAGCACCAACCCCAACCTTGGCCAGACTCCACCCCGTACATCACCTAGGGTCTAGTATAAATTATTCCCGCCGCCAGCACCCCACTGCCTGCCCCCGCCCTCGCTCTGCCCCTGATCATGCTGCCCATACGCCCCTCCATACCCACCCTGCTGCTGTGGCGCATCATACCCCTCATATCCCTGCTGGTACGCCGTCGGCACCGTATAACTCGGCTCCGCGCCCTGGCCCCCATGATACTGTCCTTGAGCACCCCAGCCACCGACATCGCCGCCGGGCGGCGCGCCGTTGTACTCTGGCACGCCGTGGGACTGGCCGCCCGCGTAGGACGACTGGTACGGCTGGAACGAGCCCCAGTCGTGCGTGGGGCCTGGCGAGGGAGACGGCTGGTACGCCGACTGGGAATGGTCGTACGAAGACTGCGGTGCGGAGGCGTCGAAGTCGTCAACTTCGCGCTTCCCACTTCCGCCGAACATGTTGAGCGCGGGGCTGAGCTTGTTGGCCAGGCCGCCAGGGAGGTTGCCCGCAAGGCTGCCGAGGAGGCCTCCGCCGCTGCTGGAGCTCGCGTGCGACTGTTGGCCGTAGCCGCTGGAGTGTGACTGCTGCTGTGCGTGCCCGCCTCCATGGCCGTGGCTCGTGAACGACGAGACGCCCGCGGCGCCGTGGCCGGCGCCGTGCGAGTGGTCGTTGCCGCCGCTGTGGTTCTTGCCGGCGCGGACGCTCTCCGAGCTGAGGATGTGGTTGAGGTCACCGCCGCGGTGGCTCTGTGCCCACTTCTCGACAACGGAGAACATGTTCCTGTGGATCTCGCTGTTGTGGTTGCGGATGGCAGGGTGGTGGAAGACCTGCATGCAGTCGTTGAGGACCTGGTCGACGGGTACGTCAGGGTGGTCGAAGGCGTAGACCACGCGAGGTGCGACGAACTGCAGGATCGCGACTGCGATTTGGCCGGCGGGTGCGTTGAGGACGTTGGAGAAGTGGTCCTTGGAGAGCATGCTGTGGGTGGGGTCAGAGGAGTGCGGGTTTGTCCAGACTTCGAACTGGTGCTTAGCCGCCGAATCGATAACGGTGGAGGAGCCTTGCTTGAGAGACTCGGACGCCTGCTTGATGATTGGCATGACGAATGGAGCCAGCAGGGATAGCACAAAAAGGGTGACGCGCTCGGTAATCGTCTCAATGAGCTTCTCCAGACCAGGGATCTTCTCGATGATCGCGGAGATGTTCCTCACCACCTTGTCTCGGAACTCCAGGATTGGGTAAATCTTAGGGATGATGGTCGCTGGGTCAGTGTTTGTGCCTGGTATGTTAGGTCCTGGTGGTCCACCGACAGACCCAGGAGGCGCATCGAAAGTTGGGGCGCCTTGGCCAGGACCGCCAGCTCTTGAACTGCTGTAGTCATCATAACCCCCGCTTCGGTATCCGTGTCCTGAGATGGCGGCAGCTTGCGCATCAGACTGTGCCTGAAGCTGCTGAGCTTCTTTGATCAACCCACTGGTCCCAGGAACCTTCCCTAGGACATCTGTAAGAGCCGAGCAGCTGCCTCCGCTGCCTTTGGTATTACTTGTCAAAGCGTCTGACAACGTGGTGTTCATCTCATCGACCTCAGATTGCGTGATGTGGTCCGTCGCTTCACCTAGCACAGAATGGAAGAAATCAACACCTCCAAAGGTTCCGGTCACGAGAGGGTACACGTGTTTGCCGTGGAGGTTGATTTGGGTCTGGGTTCCTGTATGCGCGAACACGCTTGAGTATCCTAGTTCTCGTAATGCAAGCTCGGTGTAGTTGGTGTGAGCGCCGAAATCTTCCAGGCAATGGAGGCCTTGTCCGAGACACCGTAGTGCTTCCGCAAGATTTGCTTCGTTTCCGCGCTCTCCGTCTGGTCCATGAGTATACATGCGGCCGTAGTGGATTGCTCGAGAGAAAGAAAACTTGACGTAGCCTGCTGAAGTGGCCCAGTTGCCTCTCTCATTAGCGATATAGTTCTTCATTCCAGTTTCCGGGTCGACAGCAAGCTCGATATCTGTAACGGGTCCGCGCAGACGAGGATCGAACTTCCTGGCATCCTGGTTGTCGGCATAGTCTTTCGGGTTGTCAATGTGCTCTTCTGGCCTGTAGACACCAAGTCGGTCGGCGGTAACCTCAAACTCGCCAGTCGCATATCCGAATGACATAAAGGACAGGATCCACACAAGGACGCGAATGGTGTCACCCTTGGCGACTGTTAGTTCGGATACGCGGCACACTTGCAGATCCGGGACTCACTTGAACTTTGCTCAGAGTTGCGGTATCTACAGCCTGTAAACCATTAATAGAGTTCACTCTTGAGCAGAAGATGATGTCTTACCTGCGAGTAGTCTCGGAGCCAGTTGCCAAAGTACACGCGCTGAATTGACTTAGCCCTACTCCTTGCCATGCGCATACAGAGCATACCTTGATCATCATAGACTTCCACTTGTGACCTTTCAAGCACGCGACCGTAGCGAGCATGTCCTCGATATCTCCATGGCGCCAGTTCTTTCCTTCAACCGCGGAGATCGAGCTACGCGGCTCATCAGCACGAGTATTTGCCTTTGTTGTGGGGATAGCTCACGCGATGTTGCCCGCGCCAAAAGCATGCGCCTTTGCGGGTAGCAGCACCAGCACCGCGAGTGCGATCAGCAGCACGTATTTTGCCTGGATTCCCATAGCGAGCGAGTAGTAAGATTGTGTGTGAGGAGAGGATGGGAAGCAAGATGGAGCTCTTTGCTAATAAGTTATGGGTCACTTGCGCCTGCCGTCAGCGCAGCTGTACGTGAAGGGTTAGGCTCGTAGGGCTAGGACGCCACAGGGATTCAAGGTGGTCGCAAGCCTCAACGCTGCGTGTGCCCTTTGCCAGTTAAATCGTTCTCCCTTACAGTGACTACGCGTTCCATTTACACTGGACCATCCTTTAGCACACGACTGCTCAACGCCTCAATTTTGCGAGGCTGTGCGATCGAGGGTTGTCTGCGCCACGGTCTGCCCCACTTAGCGGGGTTCATCGCAGCTGAATCCCGTCATGTTGAAGCAGAGCCCAAGGCGGGGCAGCGCTAGGACCACAAAGGCAGATGGCATACACCATGCGCCACTCCTTTGCGAGGACGCGGACACTGGCGATATACGAAGAGGTTTATTTGTACAACAGTTACTGCCTGGGTGCTATATGCTGTAAGCATTTTAGAGTACTTACCTAGATATGTATGTACGAATTACGGACAGGCACGAGTAGTTGCCCAATCTTCTATCATGACAGCGATATCCTCGAAACCACACATCCTTGCCAACTCTACACTGTTTACCTGCTGCCCCTCGGTCTTCCATGCTGACCACCCTTTCAGGTCAGTTCGTGCACCTCTTTCTAGTAGAAGCTGCACTAGATCCGCTTGGTTACCTGCAATTGCAAAATGTAGTGCGGTCATGGTTCCAAATAGAATCCCATCGCCAGTCTGCATATTGGCGTCTAGAGTCGCAGAGTAATCTGCATCGATCGGTGCGCCTTGGTCAAGGAGGTAATGGATTGTTTCCCGACGATCCTCAAAGTGCGGCCTTTGGCTGCCAGTTGTGGCCTCAGCTTGGGCGCACGCGCACGCGGCATGTGCCAGGAGGTTTGTACCCTCTATCGTAGCTCCGTGCGCAACTAAGAGCTTGGTTACTTCGAGAGGGGCGTATGCAACGGCTCTTTGCATGACTGTATGACCAGAAGGGCTATTTGCGTTCGGGGATGCGCCGAGGGAAAGACAGTGTTTGACGAGGTCAACGTGTTCCAAGAGGAGGCTACAAGAGTCAGCCGACAAGCTCAGTTCACGCCAGAAGAAGAGATTATACCTGATGGCAGGGGGGCAATTGTCATTCACAGGTCTGTTGATGTCCCACCCGTTGTCGAATAACTTGTCCAATATCTCCGTCCGACGCGTTTCTCGTGTTTGTCGTAAGGATGCAGACATGACTGAATTACTAATCTCAAATCCAAGAGGCAGCATGAGCTGCACCAAGTCGTCGCGATTGTTCTCGACCACGTCGCGTAGCGCAGGACCTTCGTTGAATTCCTTCAACGCATCGGGTCGAAGGCGCGACGCATTTAGTGGGTCTTTCCATCGTGCGAAGAAACTCTGAAATTCCGAGATCGGCTTATTCTCGTACCCAAGCCTCGCTAGATAGGTCGCTGCCTCTTCGACTGTCTCCGTGGAGGCAGACATGACACTATTCGGATTTATAGCGGCAAAAATGCGGCGGAGCTGTCGGGAATATACCTGTTCTGGTATACCCTCGGGGATTCCTTTTATGAGATTGAAAGACGATGTAAAGAGGAAGAGTGTTCTGCTTTCTGACGCTGTGTATAGAGCTGGGAGTTGCACGGGGGCGACACGAACGATAATGACCTGTTGTGAACGCGAAATGGGAAAGTAGAAGATAGTCAGCTGTCCTAGGCGAGGTCGACGATAAACTGACGAGAGCAATCCCCGTTCTGCAGTTTATTTGCGTGTCGCGGGGTTCTCAAAGGGGCCAGGGGCGACGGACAATGGAACCGACAGACGACAGGCGATGTGCGACAGAAAACGGGCAACGAGCGACGGGCTCCGGGTTGGACAATAGGCTGTGCAACGGCCGAAAGGCCTAGTGGCATAAGCACTCGCTTTGCAGGGCCCAGTCTAACCCCGGGCGTTCTCGACGTGCAGTGGGGGCTAACTCGCTCGTTTGCACGGCCCGCGCCGAGTGCGGGCCTCAGACGGTTGCGAAGTGGAGATCGGTCAGTGTGCTTGACGGAGCCCGACAAGCTTCTTCTCTTCGCCTATCGGTCGTAGCGCATCTCGATCATACATCTTATTCAGATTGAACGACCTAGCTGCACATCACGTGAGCTCTCAGGGGGCCAAACGCGTCACCAAACTTGCAATCTTCGTGAACAGTCTACAGTGTACATTGCGCTGCATTGAGCTGCGATGTGTTCAAATGGTTTCAACGTGTATCGGCCGGTGCATTTCATGTAAATTAGGCTTCGCAACAACGGACCATATGAGTTTACGGTCGCCTTGTATTCTTATCTCCGCTATGGACTTAGGTTCGTGGTGGCTTACGGTCCGGACTCTCACCATTACGCCTTGCATCTGTTTGAATCATTCCGCATGTGGAAGTAATTGGGAGTAATCCGATATCAGACTAAATCCTTTTCTTACATCTGGAATGCATAAGAGTGACTACGCCGCAAGCTTGCTTGTGCAACTTCAGCACCACATTCTTTTCCCTAGATACATTCGTTCGTTGGTTCATTTTATACACTCGTTTAACATTCGCTTCGACGTTGTAGATTGCTGCAGCCACTGTTTCCATTTTCTTACCAATAATTGCTTGCCCAGGTGGTAGGCTTACAGAGAATTTGTCCATCATGCGTCTTCCCAACCTTACCGCCATCGTCATGCTGGGCCTTGGCCTTGCGGATGCGTTGGCTATCCCTGACTCCAGGTATGATTCCATGGTCTGAATAAATAGAAACATTCACTAATCGTTGCAGTGCAAACTCCGGGTCAGCTCTGGAGCTGTTCAACCGCGCCGCGCCGGCCTGCAAGATCGGAGACAAGGCTTGCGGCGCAGGAGGCTGCCCCAGCATGAAAAGCACGCTCAAGCAAACCTGCAAGGCGGCCAAGAAGAAACGACCCGGCAAGGTCGGCAGAGCACTCGACGTGGCCGACGAGCTGTGGGACCGGGCCACAAACGGTGGGAAGAAAAGCAAGCAATGCCCTACAGACAAACCCAAGAAACCCACCAAGAAGAAGCCCAAGACCAAGAAACCAAAGACTAAGAAACCCAAGACAAAAAGACCCAGCAAGGTTCGCACTCGACCTTCTCGCGCGAAGAAGCCCAAAGCCTGCAAGGGCCGACGATGCAGACGCGAGGACGAAGCTGAGCTCCTGGAGTCTCCCACGTACTTCCACGTGAAAGACAGCCGCGATGTGGTCAACGACGGCGTCGAAAAGCTCAATGGCTTTGGCGAAGAGCTCTCGGACGAGTTCGAAGGCCTCTTCGGCCTGGTGAAGCGGGCAGGCGCCTTCATTGAAAAGCGCATGCCCCAGGGCGTCAAGATGGACGAAGGCAAAGGGCGAAAGTGGAAAGAAGGCAACACCATGTCCACGACTGGAATCAGTGCTTGTTCCGTCTTGGTTGTCTACTCCAACGTCGAGATCGCCATGGCTCACATTCCCCCCGGCCGCCTCACGAATGGTGTCTACACCCCCGGTGAAGAAGTTACCGCGGAACATTTGCGGAAACTCGACGGAGAATTCAGCTTCTTCAGTGGAGGTGCGAAGGCTATCTTTTACTACAATTCTCAATTGGACCCGGACAGAGTCCAGCAGGTCGAGAACTGGCTTACGGAGAAGGGAATTACCGCCAGCGAGAGAGACATCAAGGACCATGTAGGCGGTTTCGGAGGCAGCGGACACTTTGAAGTGACCCATCGAGGTAATGGTAAGAAGGCGACCGTTAGTTTTGGTTAGGTTCCATTTATCAGGGTTAGACTGAGAAACTTTTGCATACGGAATGGAGGCTGGGCTTCGTATATAGAATTGTTCGTGCATAGGCGTTTTACATTGAGTAAAAAAAAAAAAAAAATGATTTGCATACTTTCTACAGGTTTGAGTCTTGGTCCAATGGTAGCCCTAGTCCTCCCTCCGAAACCGGCTTATGGTTCGGATTGTCATATCCCCAGTACTCATAGTACTTGTCCGCAGCCGGCAGCTGCTTGATGCCTGGCTTGTCGCCCTCTGGCTGCTTCATCACTTCGACGTACTTGTCCATGTCGATGCTGTTTTCTCTGCGCCAGTCGGTGAACTTGTCGAAGTTGTGGCATTTCTTATTGATGGACCTATTACACGGTGTTAGCGAGGAACGATGAGGAGTGTGGGTTGGGGAAATCAACGTACATGTCTGCGAAGGGATACGCTTGTGTGTACATCCAGACGAGTGGTATCATGTCCAAGTTGCCGGAGCACTGGATCGATTGGAGCAGGATGTCGAAGCAGTGGTTCATGTGCAGCTCCCTCTGCATGACTTTGTCCGCGCGAGCCTGGCTCATGTTGTCTATCAAGCTAAGTTAGTCAAGAACCCCTCATAGCTGGGAAGCCATCGCGGTCAACTCACAATAACCCCCATATACGACCTTTCGCAACGAGTTCAAGCAGTGCAACTGATGGTAAACATCAAAGATAGCGGCATACGCGTTGTCTCCCAAGCCCCAGTCTTTGTCCTCCAGCTTGGCAACAGTTGTGTAGTCTTTGCCCATCTTCGTGAGCTCCTCGCGCGTGACGGGATACACACGCGTCAACTCCCACTCCTCCCAGATTTTGTCGTCAGCAGGGTTGGGCTGGTGCCGCATTATACTGCCGCCTTCCTTCGGCGGGAAGAAGGTTCCGTTGATGGTAACATCCTCGAAGTCAACTGTGTACTTGTCGTATATGGGACTGTACCCAGATACTCTTCGAAGAGCTGCGTTACGCACAAGATAGTGGCTGTAGAACCATGCTCCAAAAAGGCCGATGGAAATGAGGAGGGCGGAGATGTTGATAACAGAAATAAGTACGAGTGCTCGACGGCTTATGACAAAGTGCCGCTGGTCTTTTGTGTGCGCTCCGCTGATGAAGCCTTTTGTCTCATCTTCATCTGCTTCTGAGGATGAATCTCGGCTGCTGCCCGAGGCAACCGGTTTGTACTCAAGCTTCTCTAGCCATTTCATGATGGCGATGAAGAGTGCACCGAAGAGAGGGTGTGTTTGGAGGTCGTAAGCTTGCACATGTGCAGTCAAAAGGCAATCGGTTACAAGCGGAGCTGATTGATGCGTCAGTCGGGAGGATTTGGGGGCCACTAAGCATGTTATTGCCACAACTATCACCCCGCATCGCGTGCTTCTTCGCAATGACGACGTAGATAAGGCTAGTGTTGTCGAGCTGCATCGGGGTGGTTCCTCCGGATCCTGAGATGAAGCTCGTCTTCCATCATTGGTCAGTTCGAATCTCTCGTACGTCTTACTTTATTCTCGCTAACACGATGCTACATGTCACCGGGATCTTAGGAAGTCAAACGTTGGCACACCTTCCTAGCCAGGGAAAAGCAGTTGCGCTAGCTCTGACGAACGCGGTGTAAGCGCACAGATCACCTGCCTTGTTCGGTCAGGTTACAGCACATCAGAGTGTAGGATTCTACATACTACACATAGTATAGCTGCTGAAGGATTACGCCCACACTTGATCAGAACTAAAAGCCAGTTGATCAATCTATGAACGCTCTAAACGACGCCGATAGTGGTGCGGTCCGTAACAGATCCATATGCAGTACTGCTTCAGCGTTCCTTGAACTTCGAGATCCGACGCGTCCGAAGGCAAGCCAAGCCGCATGTGCATGAATCCTCAAGTGCATCCTCGAGGCCGCCGAGCGGTGAGTAAATGTGTGATGATTGTTACCGTGCAGGATTCTTCGTGGAACCCACTGCCTTGAAGGATGCGGTTGAATCGCACTTGCAGGTCGTAACCCTAGTAGTCACCAACGCTGCTGATCGCCGGACGAGTTATGACTATGTTGGCGGTCGCATACCCTTCAATGCCCGGTGGCGATTGATCCCTCGCATACTGCATGCTTGCGATACTTTGGGGTCCGCGGACGCCGATTGGCACAGCGCGTTCAGCCAATTTGAAGGCGTTGCTGCGTCTCCACTGCAAGGGGCTGATGCTGCGAGCCGTCCCCGTAATGGCAACATAATCCTCCCGGTGTGAGAGACAAGGCTGTCATGTGGGCGATCAGTCTGCGGTGAGATACCGAGCTTGAGTGGCTACCACCGGCTGTGTCTGGTTGGAACGATCTACCATGTATATAATTGAACTGGCACCCTCTAACCACTTGTCAGCCGTCAGGTCACGCCACATTACGCTTCTTGAGTATCCATCCCATTCTCTCCTCCTCCAAGATGCGTTTCATCGAAACCCTCAGCGCTGCGGCGCTCTTCTCTACACTTGGAGCTGCTGCTCCTGTTGCCAAGAGTGAGAAGAGGACCGAATTCGCCCCTTGGTACCGTGCGACGAACATCTTGCCCGCCAGTGATGACAAGCGCTCCGTCGACAAGGTAAGTCAGCTCAACAAGTCCAACCGATATGTTGTATGCTGAATCAGAGAAGCGCACAGAGTTCGCTCCTTGGTACCGCGCGACCAACATCCTTCCAGCCAGTGATGACAAGAAGCGGGATGTTGAAGAGAAGCGTACAGAATTTGCCCCATGGTACCGCGCGACCAACATCCTTCCGGCTACGGATGATAAGAAGCGAAGTATCGAAGAGAAGCG